TCCACTTCTAGCCACATTTAATGCTACTTTCAACATGTTAATATTATACCTAAGTGCTATGGAGAGAAATATAGACATGTTTTCCAGAGTGCTGCTGTTTCTGAAAGTGGAAATTTTGAGAAAATTCATGTGAGGAATGTTCAATAATCTTTCCACCAGCCATGTAGCTCTGGAAGCTCTGAAAATCTACTCATAAAGATGTTCCTGTATTTCAGGATGTTTGGCGGAGTGTTCATCAGACCAGTTCCAGTGCGGAGACGGGTCATGTATCCCCCAGGCCTGGAGGTGTAACACTCAGGAGAACTGTCCTGATGGCAGCGACGAGGCAGACTGTGGTGGGTCTTGCTATTACATTATTGTTTTGTTGTATCATGCAACTATTCTAGTGTATTTCAATAAGTCTAAAGGTACAATTTGACAACATAAGAATCAGTATGCTGTGGTTTTTGTGATAGTGTGATCAGTTAAACCTTATCACTAATATCAGGTAATCAAATTCAGACCAGTGATTTACTGTTATTGTGAATGCTTGTCCCTTGCAAATATGCATTTTAGTTTTTAAATTAGTCTACATGTTTTACATTTTTTTCCTTGATAGCCACTCCCCCCAGTTCTTTCCAAGTCGTACCATTTTAGATGATTGAACACAGAGGATTGTTATCTTAGAACCATCAGACTTTCTTGACTGTAATTCAACTGATCTGTTTCCCACCCCAGAGAAAACCTGGCAGTGCCACCCTTTCCACTTCCACTGTGGCAGTGGGGAGTGCATCAAGGTCCGCTGGAGATGTGACAGGGAACCGGACTGTCAGGATGGCTCGGATGAGGTGGGGTGCCCAGGTAGGACAATCAGGCTGCCTGGCACACATGTGATTCACCCTTTTTTGGATGACGTCCATTTGGGCATCGAATAACTCCTGTTTCAACCATTTCAGTTGATAACTTTTCAAATATGTTCAGAGGAAGTTTGCCATGAAATATGTTGGTACCATCAGTTTGAACTTTCTACTAATGAACGATTTTTAGGTATCTATTCCCATATACCAGTTTAACTTTGTCATGCTATTAATTAAAAGTTGATATACTATTTTGAAGAAATACATTTGTACCCTTATTATAGTCCCTTGCTGTTTTTTCAGACATGACCCCCACTGTGTGTAGTTCAGACCAGTTCCGCTGCCTCACAGGAGACTGTGTCCCCTCCTCTGTACGGTGTGACAACAACACAGACTGCTCAGATGGGTCAGACGAGCGAGGCTGCTGTATGTATTTTGTCTTTATGTTACATGCGATAAAATGTCTTTGTGCATCAAAGCAAGTTTTCAAGCTTGAATAAACCAATGAAGGAATGGATGTTTGAATTGTTGACAAGATGTTACCTACAAAAATAATTTTGATTTGTTCAAGGGCTTAAATTCATACTGGTTGATCAATGTAGCCATTCTTGACTGATAGAGAATTCTTATGTCATGTGAAATTTCTTTAGAAGCCTGCACTAATAAGGGCATGTGATGTTTTGTTTTGTTGCCAGACCATTCGGAGTGCAGGGAGGACTATTGGCAGTGTGGGACGGGGGAGTGTGTTCGAGTGGCCTGGCTGTGTGATGGCGAGACAGACTGTATGGACAAGAGCGATGAAGACAACTGTAGTAAGTGAATGAGAGGGAAAGTTGTAGTGAAAGCTCTTAAGTTTTCTTGTTTTCAAGTTTTCTTGTACCGCCACATTGTTGCTTGTCCCTAAGAGGTGTAGTTCAGAGGTTTTAGGTGACATCTCTCTTGATCTGTGTCATAAGTGAAGGGTATTCTCAACAATTGACATTTTGACAATTTCACTAGAGTTGGTCTTGAGGAGCAATGGACTACACAGGATAGTGGCTAGTGGCAGTGCTAGATAGGGGAATAAGGACAATGTGGAAGGAGTTTTAAAAAAAGTACTATAGAGCTGCAATTAATGACACATTATTAATTTAGAAATACTACATGTATAGCTTTTGTATTACCTCCCCCCATATCACTCAAGTAAAGTGTAATGCACTACCTTTCTATTTTTTGTTGTATTTGTGTGTTGTTTGAGTTGAAAGTTATTAGTTGTTTTTAACTTCAATTTCACTTTTATATACTTTGCTTATTTATGTTTTATTGATTTATGATTTATTCATTGATTTATGATTTATTTATTTATTTATTTTCCACAGCGACTATATTTCATTCTTATTTCATTCTCAGCACAGACCAAATATGAGCCAATGACATCTCAGTAGCAATTTGAACTCCAAGCCTCATCAGCAGCTGCTGAATTAATAAAGATTTATTGCAATCCTTCTTGAGCGTAGGAAGTTTTACCGTAGCTTCTCTGGTTGACATGCCTTTAGCCTATCTCCTTTGCTGTGCTATGCTTTAATGCTACCTCCATGGGGTAGCCCACCTTCCTCAACTCAGCTCACCTGTAGGCCTATCTGGGTCTCATTTTATCTGTAAAATCTGCATGACAATATACATGCTTGGCACGTACTGTAAGCCCAAGCTTAAATAAACTCTCTGGGATGTTTCAGCTGTAACGTGTAGCCCTACCCGAACCCTATGTAGCAGTGGGTGCATCCCCACAAGTTGGGTTTGCGATGGTACAGCTGACTGCAAAGAAGGAGAGGATGAAAGCAATTGCACACTGTCAGGTCAGAGTCACACATGTCTTAGCTAGAGATAAAGGTTTTCCTCTCAATAGACAACCTTAAGTTCAACAAATTATTTCTACCTACTACTAACCACATATAACTTAGATTAGTTAGAGTAGCTTGTTTAGAGAGTAGTGCCCTACTGAAAAGTCCAACGTGTCTTATAGCTAGTATTTAAGGTTTAACAGTTTAACACATAATGACTGTTTTTCAACTCTTATTTTGTAGCATTACCCCTTAGAACTTACCCTGCTGAAGCTGACATATTATGGTCCTTTGGCAGTTTCCTTTCAGAGGGAATAGTGGTACCCAAAAGTTTCCTATCTCAATGTTAGAACTGTTTAAATCTAATAGCATGATTAACAGCTTTAAGACTGAATACTAAAAAAAAAAAAGTTTAAACATAATTTCTTAGTCTGCATGTTTGTAGAAGAGGATGTTTTCCTTGTCTATTGATGTTTTTGTTGTGTCCATGTTGTTAACAGAAAGGGAAGTGGGCCCAGCTGGCACAGACGGCTGTGGTGAGGACAAGTTCCCCTGTTCAGACGGGAGCTGTGTGTCGTCCAGGTGGAGGTGTGACGGCGACTTTGACTGTCCAGATGAAAGTGACGAGGCTGGATGTGGTCAGTACTGATAAAGATCACGGTCTACACAGCTCTGACTGTAAAACTAAAAACAATATCTGACCAATAATGTAATAGGATGGTCTGCAGTGGTATTGATGTTAAAAGCTAAGGTTGGGGTTAGGGTCACATGTAAAATTTGAATCCCTTTCTAACTACATGTGAATCTTTCCTGCTGTTTTGATTGGAATGTAACTGTTGAGAAAATGTATTATACATGTTACACTTGTTATCAATTTGTTTGTAAGCAAATTTGTGAGCTGTCCTAGTCCTGCAAAATCAGTACTTGAAAAGTTTGTGAACTTGCTTTATATGCAAGCACTTAAGACCTGCCTGTTAATGTTTATGGAAATGGTTTTCAATAAATGCCTCCCCAGATGTTGCTACCAGTGGTGGGAGTGGGTGCCTGTCCCACCAGTTCCAGTGTGCCAGTGGGGAGTGTATCGAGAGTCTGTGGCACTGTGATGGGGAGAAGGACTGCCAGGATGGCACGGATGAGGACCAATGTGGTAAATATGTGTACATGTGATAAATGCTTCGTAAGGGATTTAGTAGTAGTTAGTAGTAGTAGTAGACTGGTTTATTAGGTCTTACAAGACATACATGCCTCCTGGCAGCCGTGGAGGGCTGAATTGTGAGGCTATTTACAGAGGTGTCAGTCTAAAAACGATTATACATTTACAATCATGAAAGTTCATCTGTGTTGGTAGTTACATGTTTAAAGTTAAAACTTTTGGTCCAACACAAAAAATTCTCTCACCTAGAGCTTTCGACCAGTCACTCTGGTCTTCCTCAGTAGACTGAAACATAGCAGGCCAGACAATATCCATGACTAACTTGTACATAAATAATTCAACTCGAAGTCTGCTGGATTATTTGTCTCCTGTGTAATGACCTCATGGTGACCTCATACTTAATGTCGTGCCCTTAAACATGTCCTGTTCCCAGGTGTGCACACCTGTCAGCCAGGCCAGGTGATGTGTGACGACGGCCTCTGTATCAGCCACACCTGGTTATGTGATGGAGACAGGGACTGCAGGGACAGCACTGATGAACAAAACTGTGGTACGTCTGGATTAGAAGTCATATCAACTCAGGGCTGGAAGGATAAAGATTTGATCACATAACAAAGTTATATGTATCATACATAGTTCACAAGAAAAACTATTCAGTTGCTTGAAGAACAATTTCCTTGTGTATCTTATTACCTGGATGTCTAACTTTTATCAACGTACTATACATAGCATAATAATAGGCTAGAGGAAGCATTTTAGAATGTGTACAATGATGTTAGCAATCAAGAATCCATATAAAGCATGAGTCAAGTATTTAATTTTCAGACATTGTTTCATGTCAAATTGTAATGACATATAATGTGATTGTTGTATTGCTCCCTGCACAGGCTCCTCTTACCCCCCAGTGTTGCCGTTCTGTAAGGCTACCCAGTTCACCTGCTCAGATGGCTCCTGTGTCGACCGAGCCTTACTGTGTAATGGTCAGGAGGACTGTGCTGACGGAAGTGACGAAGGAACTCAATGTGGTGAGAAAAAAATCTTTTCTCATTTTCTTCAGTTTCCCAGGAAAATGTTAAGTTGATATTACTGTTGTACGCTGAAGAGAAGTGTCATAAACATTTAAAATTTTGGTATATAGTGTTTTCAGCAGCAGATCCACTCAATAATGTGTGTCATTCTTTTTCAACCATGTTTTATTTTTGTATCCAGTTGTGGACCACTGTGTGTTACACTTCGGAGCCTGTAGCCAGCTGTGTGATGCAACAGAAAGTTCCTTCAAGTGTTCCTGTGCGGACGGCTACAAGTTGGAACCAGATGGCAGCACTTGTCGGGCCATGGGTGAGTGTTGGATCATGTTTAACAGTTAAACTCTCAACTCTTTACAGAGGTTGACTGTATAGAACTTGTTTGCTGAGAACAATGCTTGTTTCTTGGAATATATTTTGAAATATTGATGGCCTCTTAACAAATTCAATAATTTAACATCTTCAGGAGAAGAGCCGTACCTACTTGTTGCTGAGACCAGCAGCATCAGAAAGGTTGTTCACATTCACCATAGCAACAGGACAGACTACATGCCCGTGGTTAGGGGGGTGGGCAGCCCCGCAGCGCTGGACTACCACCTGGCTCGGCAGAATCTGTTCTGGGTGGAGTCTGGCAGTATCAAGTCAGCAGGTCTGGATGGAAGAGGCAATAAAACTATTCTTACAGGTAAGGTGGTACCTTCTTATCAAACTTGAATGATTGCCATCTCTTTTGACAGGCAGATAGAGCTTGCTTGACAAGTGCTGTCTATTTAGAAATTATTATTGGTGCTGTCTTTGGTGCTGAATTTTGTAGGTGCTGTCTATGGTGCTGAATACAAGGTCACAAGGTTTCAATTTTCTCAAGGTTTTTAATGGCTATGAAGCAAAAGGCAAACATTATTAGATCACGAACTTGTCTTAAACTAGTACATTGATGATATTATATCATATGTGTTGTTAGGTCTTGGTGAGGTGGAAAGCCTTGCTGTTGACTGGGTGGGAGAGAACCTATACTGGACAGACTCAGCCAAAAAGTACATTGCAGTATCCACACTAGAGGGCCTCTACAAAACAAGTGTGGTGAGCTCTCTAGGACTGCTCAAGGCCCTAGTACTGGACCCAAAGAACAGGTAAAGTTGGGCATTACAGATGTTTTGAAAATTTCCCTACGTTCTCAGCTAAAATAGACACTAATACTCAATTTTCTCCTTTGCCAACATTGAAATTAGCTAGAAAATCTAACCAATCTAAGATTTAGAATATTTAATTCTGTTGGCTTTGTTGATTTGTTCTCATTCCATGATGATAATAATTCCATAGGAACATGTACTGGAGTGACTGTGGTGCGATTCCCAAGATTGAGATGTCTGGCATGGATGGATCAGGCAGAGAGATGATCGTGAGAAAGAAGCTCCTGTGGCCTATTGGCCTGTCCCTGGACCATCCTTCCAACAGGCTCTTCTGGATGGACTCCAAACTCAAGGTAACCTTTTCACACCTACACAAAATATTCATCTTATGAACATTCTGTTAGGTCAGGGGCATCTATAAGAATTTTGTAGCATTAAAGATGGGGATCAAGTTTTATCTGCCTCTGTTCTGTTTCCAGGTCCTAGAGTCCACAGACCTGCGTGGGGAGAACAGATACCTGATCCGAGGGTTGGACGTTGGGCAGCCCTTCTCCATGGCTGTGTTTGAAGACCTGGTGTACTGGAGTGACGACAGAACCAACAAAGTCAAGCTGGCGCACAAGTACACAGGAGACAGGGTGTACGTGTTGGTCAGGGCCCAGCAACCCACTGGGGTGAAGATGGTTCATCCACTCAACCAGATTGAAGGTACTGTTTTCTTGTGTATCTCTTTACCTGGATGTCTAACCGTCATAGAATGATAGATGTTACATTGGTAGGCTACCTGTAGATTGTGGTCATGAAAGATATTGGTGACTAGTGAATGATCTTGTTAGATTACCCTGCAAGCAGAGAGCAGCAGGATGCCTCAGTTGTCTTGTAACCTTGCACCTAAACACAAGTTTTATGAGATAAAATGAAATTTATATCTGCCACATTTCTGGTCATACATTTTTGTCATCCTAATGATATATCTAAGCAAGTTTTGCCATGTATTTATCCCCATATACCCTTTGTTCTAGCCCCTAACCCCTGCAGGAGTGGAGATGGGAACACCTGCAGCCATCTGTGTCTGCTGTCCCCCACACAGCCGCAGGGTTACACCTGCATGTGTCCTACTGGCTGGCAGCTGCATGATGGGACAACCTGTCAGGACCCACAGTCACTGTTCCCCGATCCTACCGGTTAGCTGTTATACTGTTTGTTACTGCTGATTCATCTTAAAATTTCCATTGTTCCAGTACTGGTAGGGAAAGTTTAATCATCTCTCCTTCGGTCTAGTAGAATTATTCAACTGTTTTAGAAAGTAGTATTTAGATTATGTGTTTGATCTGTAGTTTTGTCTTGTTTTGTCTTGTTGAATGTTTTTCAATTTACTTGAACTCAACAGTAATTTGCCCTTATCTGTCTTTTCTGCCATTTGCTTGCCCCTTTGTTCATTGGTTCTAGTGGAGAATTGTGGTGAAGACAAATTTCAGTGTGCCAATGGGCGCTGTATCCCCTCTCACTGGGTCTGCGACACTGATAATGACTGTACCGACAATTCTGATGAATCTGATTGTGGTAAGTTTTGATGACTCACCAGGAATAGCCATTGCAAAATGATGACATTATGTATATTTATCTAATTGAAACAAAGCAACCTTTGGTGAAACATCTGACTGAAACTGTATATGATGTGTGGTGGACTAATCGCATGTCTGCACTATTAATGACTTGTTGGCATGATATTCTGGACCATGAGGTACAGCAATAAAGAAAAGAAGAATAGGCAGCAGATTTGCAACATATTGTTCTGAAACACTGAAATCTGTATTCAATGTTGTATTCATTGCAAGCTATATTGTATCCTTTGCATTAGAACCGGCTTCTCTTGCATGATAACTTAAAAAGGTTTGTAAATTAGTAATATAGGCAAACCTGATGCAATGTTGTATATAGCATTGACTCAAACTGTGAGCTAAATGCAGCTGTGAGGTACCACTGTTATGAATGGACAAATAGAAGTATATGGTGAATATATATACAGGAGCGGTGACGTGTCCAGCCGGCCAGTTCCAGTGTCTGCAGGGCTACCCATGTATCCAGATGTCGTGGCGGTGTGACGGTTACAGGGACTGTCCTGATAACTCGGACGAGGAGGGAGGATGTGGTACGACCCTACGCTTCACTACTAGGAACAAGCGCGCAACTAGTTGAGTCATATCTTCTAGTATCACAGGTTCCCTGTTCAAAACTCAATGGAGAAGTTTTTTGTTTACGAAAATTAACCTGCACTCTAGATAGGGCCATTTCATTTAATAATAGATGTCTGTTAGGTATTCACACTTTTTGTTTGGCTCGTTTTATTGGTGGCAACAGAAAATGAAATCCTAAGGCTTGCGTGTTAACTTCAAGTTCCAAAATGTTACCTTTGAATTTCATACCGTTCACTTTTTTGATCCCATTTAAACAGTTTTTTTTTATTTCAAGTTCTCTATTAACAGATGTTTCAAAATGCAGTTGTGACTAAACTGTTAGAGTTCTGGTTTGAAGACAATTTGGCATAAGAAGACTCAAGTTTGGTTCTGAGGTTACTAGTGGTAGTTAATGGAAAAGTTTATCTAGCATACCTACCTAGTTTTTATATATACTGTAGGTTAAGATTTGTCTGACTGCTTTTGTTTCCTTGGATTTCAAAAAAATTCAAGTTACTTGCTTAACTCTTCTTTGCCCTAACATGAAAAAACATTAAGAGCAATTTTCAACTTTCAAGATCCAACATTTCCTGTTGATTTTGTGTAATTCAAGATTAGTTGACCGCTTTATAGTGGAAACAAAGTCATGAGTATTTCTGATATGCCCTGTCCAGCTGAACCCAAGGCCTGTGAGTTCCAGTGTAAGTCTGGACACTGCATCCCCCAGACCTGGCACTGTGACCATGACACTGACTGTTCAGATGGCTCAGATGAAGAGGACTGTGGTATATTCTTTAATTCCTTTTTTATCATACATAAGCTAACTTGAAATAACATAACTTCAGAATCTTTATTTTTATTCAGGAAAATTGATCACTTTATATGTGGTCAACTTCCAGATCTAGATCTAAGATAGGTTAACACCTTTGAGGTGTAGTATTTCTGCCAGTTATTTTGCCAGAAATTTCTGTTAGATTGATTGTCTCCTGCTAAAAAAGAAAGTCTGAATTGAATTGTTTAACTGTAATATGTATGTGTCTTTACTCCTCCCTTCCCAGACTATGAGGGCTGCAATGAGGGTGAGTTTCAGTGCGAGAATGGACAGTGTATTCTGGGGAGTTGGAAATGTGACGGGGACAACGACTGTGAGGATCGGTCTGACGAGGCAGATTGTGGTAACTATATTTCCTTCTCTGATATCAAATTGAAGTCACAAAACTGTAGACCTCTGTATTGTGTTTTCATGCCCTGCTTTCTAGATCTGTGCATACAATGGCTACACCATAGGTCCTTGGGTGTGCATGTAGACATGATGTTTTCTTGTCTTATAGTCTTCTGTCTGCCTGACATGATTGTCTGGTACAAATAATGTCCCAACACTTATTGGTAGCACTATCTCATGTTATCAGTTATAAAATGTAGCTTTGCAGGTCACAGACAATTGTTCCATGTTCTTGTGGAATTTCTCAACAGGCATAACGGCAGCCCCAGACTGTGATGGTTTTCAGTGTGCCGACCGTTCCCACTGCATCCCTAATGTCTGGCTGTGTGACTTCAAGAACGACTGCCTAGACGGCTCTGATGAGAGCAACTGCAGTAAGTAACAGACTAGTACAAAGGCAGTGAACTTTGAATATGTGTGTGTGAAGTGATTAAAAGAAATAGTTCATTGAGCTGCTTTCTGGAAGTTCTTCCTTCACTCAGGATAGGCTTTCAATCTATCGTGAGCACTGTAGCTCCCGCAAGGTGTTGAAAACTTTTTTAGACCAACTGAGTTGACACTGCAAACAGATAAACTGTTTCCACCTGCTATATACATTCTTATGTTTGCCTTCACACCTGTAGCTCAGAAGGCGTGCCACCCCATGGAGCTGCAGTGTGGGAGCGGGGAGTGTGTTCCTCTGCGCTGGAAGTGTGATGGAGACCAGGACTGCAGTGACGGTGCAGATGAACAGGACTGCACCACAGGTACTGACTGCTACTGTAGGGTACCCATAGTTGAGACCTTTGTATGGCATTGCTGTTATGTATGCATTTATATGTAGCATGTCTGGATGTAGTATTTTGAATATGTCCTGTATGTTGTTAGGTGATTTTGTGGACTGTGCAGAGGGGTACTCCTGTGGGGATGGCCTGTGTGTGCAGTTACAGGTGGTCTGTGATGGCACTTCCAACTGCAGGAATGGGAAAGACGAAGGGGGCAAATGTGGTAAGGAAATGCCATTAAACATGATTATTTCTATAATCCTTGAGTTTATTGTGTTTATGAACTGAATCAGTAGGATTTTGAAACAAATGCACCATGTAGTAAACTTTGTGTATTTCAGGTCCACACCTGTGTGAGACATCCCCATGTGCTGGGCCAGCTGACTGTTACCCCACACCTGAAGGCCCCCTCTGTCACTGTCATGTAGGGTTCAACATCAGCTCGGACAATGTCACATGTGAAGGTGCTAACTATTTAGTGTTCTGTTCTTTCTATTGTATCATAGTAAAAATGATTCCAGCAGCCCTGACAAATATTACCAGTAGAAACTACCTGATCTGTGGACTTTATTCTTTTGACTTCTACTGTTCAAGTTTTTGTCAAGATGGTTGTATCTATCAAGCCACCTGACAACTACTATTTCCTACATACACTATTAACACAATGGTTTTACATGTTCTCCTGTTGTAGATGTGAATGAGTGTGCTACACCTGGCAGCTGTAGTCAAGGCTGTGACAACACCAAGGGGTCCTACAGGTGCAGCTGTAGGGATGGCTACCTGCTGGAACTGGGAACAAAGTGCAAGGCGCAAGGTAGGTCTCCTACAGTGTACCTGTCAACTAACTGGCTTCTTATTTCTAACAAACCATAGCGAGAGTCATCATCATGCTTTCTATCAAGTGTTTTCCTTTTTTCATCCAAATATTATAGAAAAGTTATTAGGATTTGGAACAGAGCTATCAGGTGGCATATTGTGATGCAACTGTGCTGGAAAATATTTGAAGACCATATGACTGAGCAAATGTGAGCAACATGGAGCAATATTGACCTAGAATATTCTATTTTGCAGGCCCCAATCCAGTTCTCGTGGTATCTTCCCGAAACGACATCCGTACCCAAGACCTGAGGACAGGCCAGTACAGCTCTGTTGTCAGTCACCTCAGGAACACTGTTGCACTGTCCTTTGACAGTTTGGAGGAAAGGTGAGGTCTATTTTCATATATAAGGCATTGTTCATCGTGCCTATGTTCATAGGTCTGACAAAGTAGAGAACAAGCATGTAGGAATGAACTTCTTGTTACTGAAGACAAAAAAGCTTAGGATAGAAAAAAATTTAAAAGACTTCTTTTGAGAGGTAAGAAAGAATTTCTTTTGTATCTTTTCTTGTTCCTTGTCAGGTTGTACTGGACCGATGTGTCTGATGAGACTATCTCCTCTGTCAAGCTGGGGGGAGAAGACATCAGGAGAGTGGTTACAACAGGTAAGGACTGAGTTCCAGACAAACTCTCTTGTGAAAATACCTACAATGTATCCAAAACAATGCATTAAGATTTCATGGACAACTAAATTCTGAAAGCAGAAAGAACTGCTGAATCTGTGCTTGAGGGAGTGGTCCAAAACATTGCGACCTCCCTCTGTCAGATCAGATAGCTCCACAGATTTTGAATGAATATCCTAAGTTTGTGAGAACTCTCCCTCAGGACTGAAGACCCCAGACGGCCTGGCAGTAGACTGGGTGGGGAGGAACCTGTACTGGACAGATGCAGGCACCAACACCATCTCTGTCAGCACCATGGACGGAGCCCACCAGACTGTGCTGCTGAGTGACAACCTGGACAAGCCAAGGGCCATAGCAGTGGACCCCAGAAATGGGTAAGGGCATCACAGTAGCATCATTTCTTCTGTGTAAGATTAGCATCAGTCAATGAATTTTTTTCTTTTTAGCTTGACTACTGTTTGTATCTCTTTCAACACTATGGATGTTGGTTGTGTCCTGACTGTTGACATTTTCTTGCTGGCAGTCTGCTGTACTGGACTGATTGGGGTTATGAACCTAAGATTGAGGTAGCCGGAATGGACGGGTCAGAGAGGAGAGTCATAGAAAACCACCTGGTGGGCTGGCCCAATGATCTGGTCATTGATTTCTCCCTGGACAAGATCTATTGGATTGATGCCAAGCTGGACATTGCTCATAAAATGGATCTAGATGGTGGGAATAGGGAGGTGAGACAGATACATCCTTACTTTTTTGTACAGATGATAGAAGACTTTAGTATTTTTCAAAAATTACATACACTGTACATGTTAACCTTGACATTCTAACATAACAAGGGTTAATATATTCAAAATTAAATTCAAAATTATGCTTAAATTGCTGCTACAAGGCCAGGTATGGAGCACAGAAAGCTAAACAGAATAAAGAAACTTTTAAGATGTTTGCTATATTATGTAGTATTACAATAATAGACAAAACTGCTATATCGTATTTCAAATCCAGCTATAACTGTTGTCTGCCTTGGAGAGAATTTTATTATAATAAATATTTGCAATGCCAAGTTTAGAATCTGTGTTTTACATTCAATTTGATATCAGTGTATAATCACCCTCTTGTGTCCTGTGTGTAAAGATTGTAATGGAGGAACAGTTGGAGCACCCGTTCTCCCTGGCCGTGTTTGAAGACTTCCTGTACTGGTCAGACTGGCACCTGGCCTCGGTGCAGACGGCAGACAAGTTTACTGGCAAACATCAGCGTGACATGGTGAAAGGGATGAGCCAACCCATGGGCATCCTGGTCTATCATCCTCTGCAGCAGCCTACTAGTGAGTACAAGACACTCTTCTCCAATCTTGGAATAAGTTTGATTTCTAGTACAGCATCTATCTATTTGTCTGATGGGGAAGACAACTTCTGAAACCCTCTTACAATTATCTAAATTGAATTTCGTCTAACGTTGCTTTTTCCAACCCAGTGCTTAACCCATGTGAAGACAGCCCGTGTTCCCACCTGTGCCTGCTGAGACCAGGAGGAGGGTTCACCTGTTCCTGTACAGAAGGACTACACGTGGCTGTGGACGGACGCACCTGTATCGGTGAGCTACTTTACAACACTGAATTATTGGTATCGTGAAGGATGTTGAGGCAACACGATTCTACTGATGATGAAGATGATTTACATTGAAATGGCATCACTCTGATATGACAAATAACTTGGTTTTAACATATTTTCAAAACATAAGATTACATACAAGTTTTGTTTTCTTGGAAAATCCACCAAGTAAACACTGAGATTATTGAGTTGGCACCTGTATTGTATGCTATGGTCTGTACATGTAATGCACTGTAACACACCTATAACAACATCACCAGTGGTCAGGTTTGGAGTACAACTGTCTTAAAATACGTTTACATCTCCTAACTAACCTCATTGTCCCACCTCTGTGTGTTTCCCAGATGACAGTTCGCAGGCCTACCTGCTGTTCTCCATGCACACTGAGATCAGACAGCTGAACCTGGATGGGGTCTCCAGCACTTCAGAGGCCCTGAAGCCGGCAGGGGCACAGAGTGTTGTAGCGCTGGACTTCCACTGGGACAAACAGATGCTGTTCTACAGCGATGTCACTTCTGATGTCATCTACAGGACCTACCTGAACAACACAGAGAGAAGGCAAGTGTCTCATCATGTATCTATTGTGTGATTAACTTTTACTGTAAGCCCTCAGCCATGGCTGTTCAGTTTTAAAAACATTGTTTTGAACAATCTTACAGTAGTTGACATGCTGTAAAATAAAGCTCTACACACTATACTTAAACTTACACACTATAGATAAGTTACAATCATTCCTCCCAATATCTATAAAGATTAGCAATCTAAATTCTCTAGCCTCCTACTACAACTGGATACCACAGTGACTGAACTAACCCTTTATTAGCACTAGGAATGACAGTCTGTATCTTCTCTATTTCCCTGCCAGTGAGGTAGTGGTAGACCAGGGTCTGCACACTGTGGATGGTCTGGCCGTAGACTGGCTGGGAGACAACCTGTTCTGGGTAGACTCTGGCAGGAACATAATTGAGATGTCCCGTCTGGACGGGGCCTATCGCTCCACCTTCCTCAGGCACAGACTGGACAAACCCAGGGGCATCGCTGTGGACCCCGTCAACGGGTGGGAAAACTTCATACAAAGTTTTCTTTGCGAGTGGATTAAAGAGTCAGGACCCTCTCACACTTTGTTTTCATGGAATTAGTACATGTACTTCATTTGGACATAATCGTACCTTATTGTAACTTATTTTATGTCTTTTATTGCCTGTTGGCATATCATTTGTCATCAAATTGGGCATTGCCCCTATACTTGCTAAGAAGCCTTGTAATTGCATATGGTTGGAGAGACAAGCATTCTGAAAATATTTTTCCTCTTTGTGTGCACATTTGAAAAATGTCCTTCGGCATACATCTTGTACAACTTGTTGGAGTTAAAGCACAACATTGTTATTCAATTGTCAGTCTACAAAAGAGGAATTTTTTTGTGTGTCACCTGATTACAAGTAGGATGAACTGAACTGAACAGTCTACAACATATAACAGATGACTAACTTTCTCTCCTGTGTGCAGGTACTTGTTCTTGAGTGACTGGGGCAGTGACCCTAAGATTGAGCGTGTCAACCTGGATGGAGCAGACAGGAGAATCCTTGTCAGTTCTGGTCTCAAGTGGCCTAATGGCATCACATTGGGTAAGCCTGATATCCCCTAATATGACCATGATATGTACATGTATGTATGCCTTGCTTTTAAATAATCATGCATTGGTAAAGGATGTGCATTGTATAGGGATTAGCTGTTCAGAAGGTGCAGAAATATTCATGGGCATCCAGAGAATATGGAACCAAAACTTACAGACATCAAAAGTCACCATGAGTCTGTAATCTGTTATCAAGTTCCTATGTTCCTATGTACACCACAGCAGGTACATTTTTGTAAAAGTAAAGTTATCCTCATTGTTTTTCAGATTTTACAGAGGGAGAGCTGTACTGGGCTGATGCAGGGACAGACAGTATAGAGTCAGTCCACACAGACGGAGGAAACAGGAGGACAGTCCTGGAGAACCTGGAGCATCCGTTTGCTCTCACCGTCTCTCAGAACAGGATCTTCTGGACTGACTGGAACACAGGTCTGTATGAACTCCATATGCAGTCAATACAACTAGATGTTAAAATTACACATTTCTCATGGGCTTGTAGGTAATTAAGTCATATATATTAAGTCACTATATCAGATACTGTTTTGCATTCCACTACACTTCAGATCTCCTTTAAAAGTAGGATAAGGTTTCTTTTGTGTCGTTTTATGTCTTTCTTTCCTTTTTCAAACGGTACCAACATACAATGTGCTGTCTAAACCATTGTTCTTGTGTGGTATGCCTTTGCTTAGGTCTGAAGCAGGGATTCGTTTGGATTGGTATTACTTTTACAATTAACATATCTAACATTACAGTCAGTGGAAATGTAATACTATGTTTTTGTCCCTTCCAGCCTCCATCCACAGTGCCAATAAGCACACAGGCATCAGCTCCACTGTTCTTCTGAGCAGACAGCATGGCATCATGGACCTCAAGCTAGTGGATGAATACAGGCAGCAAGGTTAGACAAACCTAAGTATTACATGAAGCTTTCTATGCTCAAGTGCCATGGGTATCTAATACTACAATAAAGAACCACTAAGATAGTGACAAATGGTAACCAGCACTGTCCTATGGTACTTAATGTCTAATTTTTATATTGTAGTTGGATTTGATTGGATAACAAGTAACAAACTCTTGTGTGCTATTATACAAGTGCAGTAACTTGAGATATCATCGCTTAAAGAGAAGGTGGCGGGTTGCATTTGAAGATGATTTCATTGAAGCAATGATTTCACCTTGTTCTCTTTGTCATTCATGAAATGGCTGTTACACCATGTGACTCCAAGGGCAGAGACACTGGTAACACTTCATTACTGTTTCTTGTTCTGGGCATTTGATTTGATGCCTGTTCAGCACCAAGGACATCACTATGCAAGCTAAACAGATTTTGTTTGTTTGTTTACTAGGTACCAGTCCCTGTGCTGTAAACAACGGTGGGTGTAGTCACTTCTGCCTGAACACACCTGCTGGACACAGGTGCACCTGTCCAGACAACTTGCACCTGGAGGGGAACACCTGTAAAGGTAAGTAATCACTTTTGACTTTGACTTTATTTAGATTGCAACAAGATAACCTGACCACCTATTTCATTACCATGCATTGTAACATATTAACAACGGTGAATGCAACATGAAAACAATCAAGTAACGATAAATAGCAACAGATACATCAATTTTTGCTATGGTCAATTTGTTCAGGTGTGGTTACAAAGTGGCTGTTAGCATGAAAACTCACCCGCCCTGGTAGGCACCCTTTAATGTCTGAAATAATTGGACTTCTCCCCCCAGAGTATGAGAAGTGTCCCTCAGACATGTTCCAGTGTGGAGACAAGAGCTGTCTGGCAGAAGAGCTGGTGTGTGATGGGAACGTGGACTGCCAGGATGCATCAGATGAGCACAACTGTCGTAAGACATCATTCCTGTATTCAGTACTGTACATGTACTTAAACCAAGGAGATTCAATCAGATTGAACCAAGTATAATCAATGGCTGCTTCTCCAAATCTTTCGTCTTTGTTTAGTTTGAAAAGGATAAAAATCTACCAAGCATTTTTTTAACATCATTATAATGCAGTTGTAATAACCTTAATTCCATTGTCTGGTCTTTGCATGAAGATATGGTTTACTATAATGTGATTGTGTCTCTGTTGTCCCCTCAGAACATACCTGCTCAGTGTTTGACTTTACGTGCACCAATGGGCGGTGTATCATGGAGGCCTGGCACTGTGACGGGGAGGATGACTGTGGGGATGGGTCAGACGAGGCGGGCTGCCAGCCGGTCACCTGTCCTCCTCAGACCTTCCTGTGTGATGGTTACAGGTGCTTGCCTGATGGAAGAAGGTAAGGGTACATGTAGCTAAGAAAATCAGATCGAGGTTCTTAAGCAAGATATCTTCAAAAGATACGTTGGATGTCATTGTAATGTGTCCACAAGCTGGTGTGTTATGCCGAGGGGCAAAATTGTATACTGTTGAGTTTTGAGTTAAACCCTGGTAAATTCAATTTTTACTATACCTAGTTCTATACCTCTCTATACCTACAGACTACATAATTGTAGTACATTTGGTAGCCAGTAACTGCACAAGAATTTTTTAATGTGTATTCTTAAAAGGAAGAAAAGTTACGTACCAAGTATTTTTAGACAATTGTTTCATATATTTGCACATTTATGGTTGACAACTCCTGTAAGCTTTGGTAGCAGCTAACCCCATCCGTACCCATCCCCAGGTGTGATCAGGTGCAGGACTGCACAGACGGTACAGACGAACACGGCTGTCCTGACACAGACTGTAGTGCCGAGCAGGGTCTGATCCCGTGCCAGTCCGGAGGCTGTGTCCCCGAGCAGTGGCGCTGTGATGGCCACCCCGACTGTGACGACGGCTCGGACGAGCCCGCGGACTGCCCCACCCCGACCACCACCTGCCAGACCACCGAGTTCACCTGCACCAACGGGGCCTGCGTCTCCCACAGCTGGGTGTGTGACGGTCAGGACGACTGTGGGGATAACTCAGACGAGCGCAGCTGTGAGGGGCAGGCTGAGACGACGTGCCAGGGGGATCAGTTCGCCTGCAACTCTGGTGTCTGTATCCCTGACAAGTGGAAATGTGACGGAGACGCCGACTGCAGGGAGGGAGAGGACGAGGAGGGATGTGGTAATGTGGCAGTTCTCTAGCTTTGATTTCTGTCATGTTTATAACATAGGTTCACTGTATTTCTGTGTAATAGGTAAAAATTTATTACTTAATGTGATACAAACAGCTGCAATTAAACTTGTGTATTGTGCCAAAAAAGGACATTTAGTGTTCTTTAATCAATACACCGATCAACCACCAATGACCCACGGACTCAAGCTTGTGTCAGCGATCCCCACAACAGTCAAATCAGACTGGACACATACTACAACTACTTACCAAAACAGAATGATGCTGTTCCTACGCTGGCATTTTACGCCAGCATTGTGATTGTAAATTTAATCTTCTCCCATTGCTGCCCAACCTAGTAACCAATCCAAATATGCTGCCAAAAGGTTACTTTAGCAGGGAGAAAGAAGGTTAGAACAGATACAAGTTAACACCAGTTGGTTGTGTTCCTGTGCAGGTGTTGCAGCATGTGGTGCAGGTGAGTTCAGCTGTGGGACCCACGTGTGCATCCCTGTCAGGTGGAGATGTGATGGAGACAATGACTGTGGCAACATGGCAGATGAACAGGACTGTGTGCACCAGGCTACAACAACTCCACAGGTGCCCCAGACAACCGTGGCTGCCTGGAGAGAGTGTGGACCGGAGGAGTGGAAGTGCCTGACCAGGGAGTGTGTACCTCTGTCCCAGGTGTGTGATGGGAGGTCAGACTGTGCGGATGCCTCAGATGAGGGAGGACTTTGTGGTGAGTTCTCGTTTGTATCCATACAAATAGCGTTTTCAGGATCTGCAGCGTTACTTTCATTGTAATGGCACAGACTCTTTTATGAAAAGAACTTTCCAGAAGATATTCGTATGACAATCTGATGGTCTGTGATCACTGTACAGGATAAAATGTTGGTCTATTAAAGTGGGTCAGCCCTTGAAATTCTAATGCAAAAAAAGTCTTTTTATAGAGTATGATATTCAACACTTGACTAGAAGTACTGAAGAAGTCTCATCCTGGGATGTTTATATATAACATGTGATAACTTTTTCTGCAGCTTCTGTGTGTCAGGATAATGGTGGGTGTACAGGAACATGCCACGCCACCCCGGGAGGGAGATGGTGCAGCTGCCATCCTGGGTACAAGCTCCTGGAGGATGGGGCCACCTGTGCAGGTCAGACCAGTAGGATGGTGTTCAACTCTAGTCCTTGTAGATTCATATTTTTCTCTGACATCTTTGATATCTTTCTTGCTTCAAATGTCATTAACTAATATTTCTGGGTTTTTTTGCTTCAGACATCAATGAGTGTGCAAGTCCTGGCATGTGTAGTCAGTTCTGTACCAACGACAAAGGCACATACTACTGCTCCTGTGATGAGGGCTACAGACTGGATCCAGACCACCGAACATGCAGGGCAACAGGTATTCTATGTACATGTAAACTGATCTATATTACACTGTAGCATGAATGCATGACAACGAGAATCAATATTCAAAACTTCCTTGCTTGCCCCTGCACTTTATGTATGAAATAGTTCTCCTGAGATAAAAGGTTTTGTCATCATTTTTGTTCCAGGAGGTTCAGCTAAGTTGTTGTTTTCAACTGGCTATGAGATCCGAGCTATGAACCTGAACAGCAGGCAGTATGAAAGTGTTGTGGTGGACAATGCCGGGCACATGGTCGGCCTCGAGTACAACCTCAACTCCCAGGAAATCTACTGGACTGACGCAACACTGGTGAGTATCCTGGATGAAATTTGTTTTTTCCTTTGATAGTAAATGTACATTGTTTGCAAAGACCTTAAAGCTCTTTTTTACTTGAACTTAAAGTCAATCAGCACAAGTCAATATTATAATTATGATTTTCCAAATTTCAAATTGAACCTTCTCCCTGCTGCTTAACCCTGTGACCAATACAAATTTGTGCCAGACTTGTACCAATATTGATAACATTAAGCTAAGATATTCCACCTGCCTTCCCTCCCCATACAGGGTACCATCAACAGGTTATCCCTGACCTCAGGTAACTGGAGTAAGTTTGTGGATGGTCTGGAGTCACCTGATGGCCTGGCACTGGACTGGATCGGGAACAACCTGTACTGGACAGATGCAGGCACCAACATGGTCGGGGTGTGCAGTCTGCCGTCCTGTCAGCACAGAGCTGTCCTGTTACAACACAACATAGACAAACCAAGGGCGATTGCACTCAACATGGCAGAGAGGTATAGTAGAACCCATCCTTTTATATGTGTTAATTTCAAGGACTTAACGAAACCTTTCTTCGAAAAAATAATTTCTTTCTCAGTGTTGCTTTATGTCATATAGGTCACCCAGGTACCAGTTTGACTTCAAACATGTTGTACATATTGAACAGTTCCCCTTATATACTCCTGGCAAGCAAATTTAAGACTGTGCCATGCCAATGTTTATGGAGCCATCAAGCTATTTTGAAGGTAATTCAAAAATGATTCAAGAAATAGATAAATGTTGTTATGAAATGTTATGTTCTAGGACGCTATACTGGTCTGAGTGGGGGGTTGAGCCCAAGATAGAGCGAGCAGACATGGACAGTGGCAACAGAAGGATGATCATCACCACAGGCATCTTCTGGCCCAACGCACTTGTTGTGGACGACATCCTGAAGAGACTGTACTTTGCAGACGCACGGCTGGATAAGATTGAGTACTGTGACTATGATGGGAAGAACAGGTGACATATTCCTTCTTTTATATCTGACTTCTGTCAACATCCTTGAGTAGCTTAAATGTTTTATGAATTTGTGCTAACTGTTCCACTCCTAATCCTTAAATAGGAGAATAATCGTGTTAATCTTTTTTGGTTCAATACAGAGCATCTATGGCAGATAAATATTAGTCTAAAATCTTTGTTATATCTTTGTACAATACAGGGTTTCCCTCCCCACCACTGTGAAGCACCCCTTTGGTCTGGCCCTGTTTGAAGACTTGATGTACTGGACTGACTGGCACAGAGAGGCCGTGGAGTCTGCCAACAGGCTGACAGGGGAGGACACTGTCAAAATAAAGGACGGGCTTCACAGACCAAGTGGTATTAAGGTCATGCACTCTGTACTCAGGAAGTCAGGTTTGTTTCTTCATATTGGTTTCACTGTCTGTATTCCTTTTTTTAAGTTCACAGTGCTTCATTTATGACAATAAAAAACACTGAACTTGATACATAAAAAATCGTTATTGCTGACTAAAGAGCCATCATATTGCAATGTAGTTCATAAGTTTGACATTGGTGATATTCATAGGTACATTTCTCCATTGACTCTGTTGTATGTTTCTCAACTAGAGTCTAGAATTAGTTGTCCTTTCTTCTTTTTTACAATGGAACCTTTCTTTCTCAGGACTTACTTAATATTCAATTTAATATTTTTTCCTCCTTCCAGCACCAAATCCCTGCTCCTCAGCACCCTGTAGCCACTTGTGTCTGCTGAAGCCTGGCGGTTTCAGCTGTGTGTGTCCCAAGGGATACGAGTTCATCCCAGGGAGCAGGGCAGAATGTGTGCCTACAGTCTTCCCCACCTCAACACCTGCCACTGAATCATCTGAAGGTAGAGGTCATATGAAATCTTGTCAGTAGAACACATAGTTTTCCAGTGAATGATGTAAAACACATGAAATTGTTGGTAAAACAATCATTTCTATTGTGTGCTTACTGCAGTGCTTAAAAGAAGGATCTAACTAAGTGTCAGTCCTTGAATGCTTTCTACTTTGAGGAGATCACTGTATGTCGAGTTTGAAAAAAAAGTTCAACATGGGTTACCCATTAGCTGGTCCAGGAGTTTCCTGCAACACATGACGATACCACCTTTCCATCTATGCTGCTTTACTTTATGGTAAACCTTATGATAATAACCCTAATTTATAGTTACGCCTATAGAAGTTTTTCTTCCTTTTTACCTTCCATTCTGCAGTGAGTCCCAACATGCCTGCTGGATGTCTCCGTGGGTACTGCCTGAATGGAGGGACATGCATGGTTGTTGATGGGTGGGTGGAGTGCAGGTAGGTTGCTTACCTGAGGTCTGCTCTTCACATGAATATTTGGTAGAAGTCTAAGCATCAGTATTGAATTGGTAGTAAGAATTTCTTTGGTGTGATTAAGGTATCCTGTATTGACAACTGACTATTGTATGGTTCATCTGAAATCTAAATCTACCAATCAATTTGTTAAGTCAAAGCTAAGATACCACCGTTACATTTTTCACATTAATTTTGTAGTCGGATCTTTTAAATGTTTACTAAGGTCCCTGAAATGTGGAATTGATTTTTTAACTCAGGTGCCATCCAGGGTTTACAGGGCTCCACTGTCAGCATGGTCCTGATGTTGTGAATGACAGCAGGTCCAGTCCTCAAGGCTCTGGTAAGTCATCAGTCCATTGAGAGAGATTGTTTTTCCATATCGTACAGTGTAACATTTGCTTAACTTTGATGAATTGTCTTAGTCAGAATTGTACATTGCAAGTTGTTTTTTTTCCTGACATACACGTAGCTGTGCCAACTATCAGTATTTTTGAAACAACTGTCTGTTCACCCTTCTGCAGAAGATCGTGGCTGGATTGCAGGCCTGGTCTGTGGAGTTCTGCTGTTGATCCTCATCGTGGGGATTGCTACTTACTACATCTTTGAACAAAGGTACTCAACTTTTTGATGTTAGAAAAGATCTTTGGTTACACAGTACAAACTGGGTTTATTTTGCAGAAGGGCAGCCATTCAACATAAAATTGGCATAGAATTGATGAGTCAGTTGCCATTTTAGCATGGACTAGATTGACATTAACTATTTTGTTCTGTACTAGACGCAGACGTCACCTGGGGACCCTCCCCATTATCCACTTCTCTAACGTCCTGTCCAGCAGAGGTAAGGGGAACAGTGAACTGAGGAAGCTGATGAAGGGCCACGAGCCTGACCCTCCTGAACCCAAACAGAAGAAGATGTCTTACTCCAACCCACTCTACTCACCTGTGCCTCCCGATATTGAGGTAAGTGCAGAGACAGTGCCTTTTGTTCTGTACATGCTACTGTTCATGTAATTGTTTTTTTGACACCAATTTCTTTGTTACGATCATGATTCAGAAGTGATGTTTGTGTTCCAGGAGAACTGTAACAACCCCAAGATCATCCACGTGGTGTCTGCGGAGTCGCTGGAGACAGCCTGTTACCCCGGTAACCTGGTGTGTGAGGGAGACGCTGCCTCTTCCAGCAGCAGCACAGAGGATCTGGTGGAGGGAACCTGCACCGAAACTCAGGGGCTCGTCTGATGGGGCAACGACTGGGCACGCAAATATCCAAGCCATTCCAAGTCTTTTGATGCTGCAATGTTTTGGGACATTCCAACTACCATGTAACAATGTCAGAAGGACATGATCAAGAAGTTCTAAACCTTTAAGGGAACTTCATGTGACTTTGAATTCAATGGAACCCTAATACCAAAAAAGTGTTGCATGTTTCAAGCTTTTACTTGACCAATTGATACATGCTCAGTTCTGCAATACATGACATCAGATTGGTGATAAGTGTTGCCGTGTTGCCTTATAAATGGCCTTAAAGGCCTACTTCTCCTAGAAAATATGTGATTTACTGTTGGTCCTGTGCCGACTTGCTGCTCACAGTGGAGCTGAAACACCCATAGATTTGTTGTTGTTGCATAAATGTTGTTTCTCTGACCACACTCCTGACAGGTAGTCAAGATAAGTCAGATGTAACATTGCCTTAATGTGTCTGTGAAAACTCAGGCAAATAATTACTGTCCAGATGTGCTTATTGTAAATCTGTCCTACCTCATGTTTGAGGATGACAATAAGACTATCAGAGCTGCTTCCTAGGGCTGCTATAGTTGTAAATATCTCTAGAATGCAAAGAAGATCCTATAGTTGCAAAGATACTGCTTTAGTAGACCATATACTTGTATATAATTGCTTGGAGAGAGTATATATGATTAAATTTCTGCTTACAGAAAATTATAAAAGAATCTGTCCATCAACACATTTTGACAATGTTGAAACCATCATGTCCATTGTGCGTTTACACCTGTAGATACAAATTCAATGTTGCTACTTAAATGTAACAGATCAAAAGTTTAATGTCATGAGGTATTCCTCTTTCATGATGTTGCAGGAATATTCTGTAGCAAATTACGGGAGGATTAAAAATCAGTTTATGAGTTGGAGTGGATGTTAGTTTTGATATTTATTGAATGGCTAGAACATAATATAGGGGATTGATGCATACTTGAAATACTTTGAATTGTGTTTGGCATTTTCCCATGGCTAGATCCTGAATATTTTACACTGTGCCACTGGTGAGATTTGAGTCAGAGGTGGTGTTATATGTAATGGAGATGGCAGCTACACACATGGCCATGTTTGATAGTCATGTCTACAAGGTGTTATTGCAATCATATCAACAATCACTCCACTCTGCACTTGTGGACAACTGTAGGAGGGCCTACTTGTAACTGTGTCAAATACTTTTGTGTGTGTGTACAAATAATTTCAGTCATTTGTCAGAATGATGTGGACCAGAGAAAGCTGAAAAAGTAGTCATTAGGAAGTGTTTGACAAGTTCTGTTATCATTCGTACAAACTTGTTAAACTTGTTTAAGAAAAGTGCCCTAGCTATAGAATATATCAAATGAATGTACATTTTTGAGAGAAATACTGTAGTAGAGGTAAGACTATAATGTCAATGCAGGGCAAAGGCTCAAGTTGAAATTGTTGCAACAAATACTATTATACGTCATGCTTATATTTTTTTTCCATTTAGTTGCTATTTTAAATGTTGTTTATAATTTTGTATAAAATGTTTGATGAAAAAAGTAAGTTTTGAAGACTAGCATTTATTTAAGTTGTTTAAGTTGGTTTTGTTGAAACATTTAAAAGCAATCATAAGTTACCTAGGTTTACGGCGCATACCAGTTATAGTGTCTGTGTTTCAATGTTGAACGTCAGACGTGTAGCACTTCTCATGCATAACTTGAATAAAGACACTGTTCACCTGTCAGAAGTTGCTCATTTCTTAAGTGAAATAATCTTACATTTGCTTGCATCTACCGTTACAATTAGTTGAAAAAGTTGTGAATCTAAAGGTGACTTCGTGACAGTCAAAAGAAATGAAACTGATGCCTTGCTCTTTTACAGCCTGTATATTGTTAATACAGAATCTAAATGCAAGCAGCAAAAATATGTCATGTAAGAACAATTCTTGAGTCGATAACTCCTGTCCCAGCAGGGTTAATTTTTTCTTATTTATTTCCGTCACCGTTTGTCATGAATTATCAATCAACGTAGCTAAGAGCAGTCACCTGAAAAATCCTGTTTTGTTTTGTACCATTTCTAATGTCACTATGCGTACTATTATGACAGCGATACATGAAACCAAGCGCCAAAAATATTAACATTTGAAACGTGATAGGACCAGCTGATTGGTTAGTTGATTACATCTTTAGCGGATAGATATCTTGGTCGTATGGCTTCTTTTAATATGTAGATCAATTATGTTCATATTCCTCTTCTATCTCTAGTGCTAATCACCGTATCACTACAGGGAACACATTATTTTTACTATCTGCAATTTTCTTTATTATTTTACCTAAAGATACAGTACTGTACAGATTACTAGTATACCAGCATCCTACTTACAATTTCGTTTGCTGTTAGAACTAGCACGTAATAAAATACAAATGTATACCAAGGCACATGCAGATCTCTTCGCTGGAATGTCGTCTTTATACATTTTGTAATCCATGTCAATGATCGGCCATTTCTGTCACCATTGTACTAACCAATATTTCCATTCTGCAACATTTCTTGTATGTAGGTGGTAACTAAAATGATGACCTTGCGACCAAAAGAATGATATGTCCCTACCTGCAGGCAAGTCAATAACTCAATAATACTAAGGCAATTTCATTGTTGTGTGCCCAGCCTATTGTACTGCAAAAGCCATCGCATGATGTAGATACCTACGTAGTACTGTTTTAGCTATTGTTTATTTCTATGAAGTTTTATTTTTTCCCCTTTTTCTTGCCTGACCCCTTGCGTCCCCCAGCCTTCTGCCCAGACTTCTGTCCTTTAGCCTCTGCAAAAAAGTCAAATATTGGTCAATTGACGTCTCATTCTTATTTTTCAGCCAACAGGATTTTCCTTTAAAAGCACAATTGGACATGTCAGCATCTATTGTCTCAACGAACGTTGTAGTCCATTGGTCCGCTACACATCCACTGCTCATGATGATATTGTTTGGATTAATTGATGGCATTTCAGCACCAACGTAATTTCATTCCAAGTGGTAAAGTCTAAACTGTTTGCTTACCTTTTGCAGAATATTCCGCTCCCCACCTGACTTCTTCCGTAGGAATACTATCAGGGCCGACGACTGGTGCGTTCTTTTTCTTCTGATTCTTGTCTTTGATGGTAGGACCATGTAGCATGCCCTCTAACGCAGCTGACAGTCCAGGACCAGGCGGTGCCGCAGACTGCGTGGTGTCTGCTGACTTGATGGTCGCTGCGGCCTGGGTTGGAGCGGCTGACTGCATCGTCGCTGCTCCTTGTTTGTCGGTGACGTACTCAGAGCCCCATCTTACTTCTTCTTTGGGGACGCCGCCAGGACCTACAATTGGGGCTTTTTCTTTCGACGACTTGTCACCCTTGATAGTTGGACCATGTAACATGCCCTCTAACGCAGCTGACAGTCCAGGACCAGGCGGTGCTGCAGACTGTGTGGTGTCTGCTGACTTGATGGTCGCTGCTGCCTGTACTGGGGCAGCCGACTGCATTGTTGCAGCTCCGTGCTTGTCGGTGACGTACTCAGAACCCCATCGTACTTCTTCCTTAGGGACGCCTCCTGGACCTACGATTGGGGCTTTTTCTTTCGACGTCTTGTTTTTGATAGTAGGGCCATGTAACATGCCCTCTAACGCAGCTGACAGCCCGGGACCCGGCGGTGCCGCAGACTGTGTGGCGTCTGCTGACTTGATGGTCGCTGCTGCCTGTACTGGGGCTGCCGACTGCATTGTTGCAGCTCCTTGCTTGTCAGTGACATACTCTGAGCCCCACCTGACCTCTTCCTTAGGGATTCCTTCTGGCCCTACAACTGGGGCTTTTTCTTTCGACGTCTTGTTTTTGATAGTGGGACCATGTAACATCCCCTCTAACGCAGCTGACAGTCCAGGACCAGGCGGTGCCGCAGACTGTGTGGCGTCTGCTGATTTGATGGTCGCTGCGGCCTGGGTTGGAGCGGCTGACTGCATCGTCGCTGCACCTTGCTTGTCTGTCACGTACTCAGACCCCCACCTGACTTCTTCTTTAGGGACGCCACCAGGACCTACGATTGGAGCCTTTTCTTTCGACGTCTTGTCTTTGATAGTGGGACCATGTAACATTCCCTCTAACGCAGCTGACAGCCCGGGACCCGGCGATGCCGCAGACTGTGTGGTGTCTGCTGACTTGATGGTCGCTGCTGCCTGGGTTGGAGCGACTGACTGCATCGTCGCAGCTCCTTGCTTGTCGGTGACGTACTCAGAACCCCATCGAACCTCTTCTTTAGGGACGCCACCTGGCCCAACGATTGGAGCTTTCTCTTTCGACGTCTTGTCACCCTTGATAGTAGGACCATGTAACATGCCCTCTAACACAGCTGACAGCCCAGGACCCGGCGGTGCCGCAGACTGTGTGGTGTCTGCTGACTTGATGGTCGCTGCTGCCTGTACTGGGGCAGCCGACTGTGCTGTCGCAGCTCCTTGCTTCAATGTCACATACTCGGAACCCCATCTGACTTCTTCTTTTGGAATACCATCCGGCCCAACGATTGGAGCTTTCTCTTTCGACGTCTTGTCGCCCTTGATGGTCGGTCCACGCAGCATTCCATCTAACGCAGCTGACAGCCCAGGGCCCGGCGGTGCTGCAGACTGTGTGGTGTCTGCTGATTTGATGGTCGCTGCGGCCTGGGTTGGAGCGGCTGACTGTGCTGTCGCAGCTCCTTGTTTCAATGTCACGTACTCGGAACCCCACCTGACTTCTTCTTTTGGAATGCCGCCTGGCCCAACGATGGGTGCCTTTTCTTTGGACGCCGTGTCGCCCTTGATGGTAGGACCATGCAGCATTCCTGCCAGGGTACTCTCCAGCCCACCCTTTCCTGCATTTGCTGCTGCTGAACTGGTCTGCTCGGCCTGCTTTTGCGATGTGCTAAAGGAGCCAGCTTGCACCGCCTGTTTTCCTCCAACTCCTGTTTAAAAGTAAACCAAAATGGATAGCGGACAAAAACATCATAAGTACACTTAATCGATGGTTGGTCAGAAGATAAAAGGATAAAAGGGAAACGTGTGCATCGCAACATTATGGAAGATCAATAAACAATTCAATCAAATTTTTCAATCAAAAATAAACGATTCCTGCTCTAGGTTCCATGCAACCTGTAACTATAGGAGTACAAGTTGATGGGTACTTGTTTTGTTTTTACAGTTCAAAACGCTCTAGCATCGAAGCCCATTCAATAATCAAGTTGATCACACTGTCACGGATCGAGGGCAGTAGGCAACTTCCACAAATAAGAAGGAAGGATATGGCATTATAAATATGATATGCATAATGAATGAGAAGAAAGTCGCGCAATGACAGCACAGCCAGTGATCAATATGAGTGCTTATGACACGCCACCATGCACCTGTGCAGAGCTGCAGGCCGGGCAGCTACAAAACAAGCAGGCACTTAATGTCTGATGACAGAAAAACATGCTAGAGCCACCATTCTTGCTCACAACTGAAAGGAAAAAGAAGATTGTATGGTTTATTCTGCGTGTGGCGGTTAGCGTGACAGGTCATCGGGACTGTCCAAACCACTCACCGGTCACTACATTCGTTGCCTTAAGCCCGTCCAACGTTCTATCTAGCCGACCTAGAAGCTTGCCTATGCGGTCCTCCTCCTCATCAATACCTTTCCCGGCACTATTAGTAAGATTTTTGCGTCTGAACGTCCTTTCTGTTTGATTTCGTAAGTTGTGAAGTGATTGCCCCTTTGAGGAAGAGGTATTCCTTCGCCCTAAAAAAGAGAACGAGGGTTACCCATACGGAAAGGAGGGGACTTAATGATGAGATCGTTAAAAATCTGCGGTCCTTCTCTACGATATGGAGATCACAATTGTTAGTGCAATGGCGGTACGGAGATGAGGTAGGAGAAACTGCCCTGCCACCATCACCAAGAGCAGATAACAAGAAGGTTAAGTCAGTACCCAAATGTTACAGCGGAAATATTGTGTCTTCATGAGCAGAGAAGACGACAGAAAAGGTAGTACTAGCCATGGATACGACGTACGATGTTACGAAATGTTGTCTCACAAGTGCAAGGTTAATGCTCATGAGGCAGCTTTCGTCTGCTGCCCGGCAGTTTATGATGAGACGTTGACGTTTACTGTCATTCATTAATTGACGCATATTGTAATGGCGTCATCTGGTCACTGAATCTTTGACCTCTTCAAATGGAGTCTGCGCAAAGTCCATTCCCAAACAAAACAAAACAGTCAGCTCAGGCACGTGCATTTATGATTGAAATGTAGCTGCAGAGTTGTTGAAGTTTCACTTTAAAAAGAAAGCAGATGATTTAATCAGTTAAAGGAAGCGATCCGTTTATAATTAGGTGCAAGCTCATTTCTTAACGCTCCTGGCGACGTCAACTAGCTGTACGCGCCACAACCAACCTCCGATAAAGAGTACTGTGTCGCGGACATGGTAGACATGAGATGTGGTCTACGAACTGGGATCATGTCAGATGTACTGTTCTTCTTAGCTAGGAAACAAGCTTACCTGCATCTTTAGTCTTGTCGCCACTTGACGTGCCGCTAGTCGTTTGGGTTGCGGTCTTCTCCGCGACTGTCTTCTTTATACCTACAGTTCCAAATTATAGAATACCTCACATTTGGATAATGTCTATAAACTCTTAAGTGACACTGTTGACAAGGCACTAATACCCATGTGTATTTGGAGCAAATATCAAATTATTAGGGTAGGCTGTCTTGTAAGGATGGGTCAACGTTAGTCGCTTTGCTGTAGTTGTTTTAAAGCTACTGATTGTCAATTGTTTCCGATGAACCCTTTATCAATCTGCCAATTTCGTTTATATTGTGTGTGAAAAGGTTACCCTTGACATTGAACCATGGTCTCTACGACGCTATTCTATGAATGAATATTCATCCTATTTTGAAAGAAAAACATATGCATACAGAAAGCGAATGTAGATTCAGATTTTGGGGTGATAATGATAACTGATGGTATACCAGCACTTTGTTAGAAAGTGTAAATGATAAAATGACGCCGCTGTAGCGTAATGCATGAGCTGTTACACCACACGCACCTATATTGTTCCACTGATGTAAACACACCCGTACATAGTACCATCAGCCGCCGCCACCTCACCGTAAGTGTTAAACATGCAGAGCCAACCTTAAGCACAAAATCTATCTCTACATAGTATATATACATGTAACCTTACGTACATATATGCGGGGTGATCCATATTAAGTCGTCGGTCCCATTGGTCATTTGCACCCCTGCAGCAGTAACACATAACCCATACTATACCTCTATGCACAAAGCGGTAACCGGCCATTTCGCTACATAGCCTGTACGCTAGCTGTCTTTGCTGACTACCCAGCGCTTGTCCATAAATTGGAGCAAAAACCATCAAACAAACATGATTAAAAGTGAAATAACTTTTCGTGCATTGCAGCGAACTTGCAGCGAACAGGCGATGTAGCGAAAAGGCCGTGGAAGTATTGCTCAACATGCAACTATGCCATCATTCATTTCATTTGGCGATTGTAATACAAAGTGTAGCTTTTAGTTTTGGTCCACTGAAGATACTACAAACCAAGCAGCGTAAGCACCACTCATGCATTCTTATGGAGCCTTTAAATTTGCAGTAGTTGCTCTTGACCAAAAAGAAAAGCACGAAATTCGCCCCTGAAGTATCCTTAGCTGTCCACACATGCGACAGTGTGCAACATGGTGAAGCAAAGTGGGCCTCGTATAACATCATAGGCAAAGCTATCAAACTGCTCGAATATATTATAAATTTAATGCTGCTAGTCTATCACTGTTAACGCAAACTACACTGTACATGTAGACGGTGTCACAACGTCCTATAGTGTCCAAGCAAGTAGTTCTACACAACAAGGCCGCAACGATTCAGACACTGTAACAGCCCTTGAGGCATGTAGTAGCCGTCATTTTAACAGCAGACAAACAATGGATCAATGACTAGGCCTGATACAAAAGCTACAACGCATGGTACCGCGGTGATCTTACGACGATTCAATGTTTACTTACCTGTGTCTTTGCTTGCCATGTTGACACTCTCCGGTATCAAATGTCTTCACCTTGCTGTAGTGGGTGTAATCTGCGAGTGGAGAAACCACAATTACTTGCAAGTGTCCTATGTTGTTAATATCTATTCGAACAGTCCAGTCATTAAAGGCAATCTCACACAAAATCGTTACCTTGCTACGTACCTGTAAACTTTTGCAGGAAACATGAAATGGAGGCAGGAAAAGGACCAGACAAGGGACTGCTACATGGGTAGGCTTGACCTTTGGTACCGTTTATCTGGTGAACGCCCTGTATTATTAGTGGTTACAACTTAGTGATCATGTGTTTATTCAGCGACAGTTCCTGATATCCATTCAATTGTATACGCAAAGACAATCGTTCCATCGGACATGGCTTATAGTCACGAGTGTAAAAATGATTTGAGAAAGAACGGCGATGATGTGTTAAGCAATGGCCACGTCAGGCATACCACTCGTGCCCGATCTTACCTTAACCTATCGAAGGTTTGTCATTTTCATCATGGCACCCAAAGGTCCTTGAATACACTACATTAATCTATGTTGTCTGGTAATGTGTATACTCATTTTAGGGGGCGATACGTTATCAGCACTTAGGTCGGTAACACTGTATGACGACTGACTTCCAACAGGACTACCCAAGTTTGTATATGAACATGAATTTGCGATAATTTACAAGAGGTCACCATGATAATAACACGCGTATTATGTTTCTACATTTGTACACAACAAACGTTACGGTCCTCCTCGCCATGTGCAGACGTATTCAGAAGAGGCCGTAAAATATTCGCGACTGCTGCCTGAGTGAAAGTAAGGCGTGTGGCGCATGCATGCATTCAGAGGAATGACCTAACGTGGCCTGCACTCTATGACTTCGCCCACCTTAATCCGTTCCAGTTCCTTCATCAGTGTCTTACTATTCACAAGGATCTGTAGACTTACGCCAAAATTAGGACACCTTTTGTTGAAATTGTGCATTGTACGTCGGGTACGCTGAATATGATTAACCATACAGATATTCAAAACAACACACCGGTAGGCGTTGCCAGATTCCAAACCATTACACCGTGATATCCAGGTGTTTGTCTAGACTTATAATTTACAAACAAGTCCTTCAGTGCTGATCAGCATAATTGTCAGTATCTAGTTAAATCAGGAAGAGTGTGCCTTGGTCATCTATCCTGTAACGTTAGCATGCAAGACCTTGAGACCCTTGAGATGATTGTCAGTTCATCCCGATGCCTAGTCTATCTGGTTTGGGTCAGTGCCAACTATCTCTGAGAATGCCTCGCACAAAGACATATTAACATTCTTTAAGGCAGAACAAATAGAAACCCAAGGTCTTCCGGAATCGCTGTATTGTATAAGTAACAACTTAACACTTCTATATACACTGTACGTGATTCAGACGACCTTGGACAATTATCATATTTGTCCCCTCCCTCTTCGAATTCGCTATTTCAGACATGACTTGTTTCCGTAACCTTTGACATTTAAGCCCGGCCTGGCTGTCAGGAAAAGATTTATCTTGCTCGACTCAGTCTTATATTTGTTCTACAGGTCAGCGACATAAAGACAGCTTTTCTATGTATGTCATGTCGGTGTTCCAAAGCACAAAATGCTATATTTGAGAAACTAAATGATACTAATTGCAGTGGCCACTCTTATCTGATCTATCTATTGACGCAGTCCAGCGATTTAACTACTAGTGCGTGATCTGCATGACGCTGAGGAATCTGATACATTATAAATACTGACGGAGTTTCGTGGCTGAGTAAATTGCACCTATACGGTGGGAATTCCTGTGCAAACTTTGCTGTTTGTCTACATGGCTGTTTGTCTACATGGGGGTGACGTCATGGTATTATTAAGGACACGCCCACGGCGCGGCCCGGGTGCAGTCCCGCAGGAATGCTACAGTAAATATCCCACTTGAATATTAACAAGTCAATTAGGCTATAGTTTTGAATAACAACCGCTAGACATACCGATACACCATGTCGGATGCACCCACGCAGGTGACAACCACAAACTCCTAGACTTACAAAAATACCCAATGGTGGTTTCTGTCATTGTGCAGGACAGGTTACACTGGCTTAGTAAATTGGGCATATGAATATTAAAGATGCGTGTCTCATAAAATGTGATTTGGCAGCACAGTCTCGAAGCTTCCGTTTTTTGAAGATGTAGACTATAAATGCGTTTCCATGGGTCACCGACACACAGACAGATGTCAGAAACGCTATTTTACAGTCAATACGCGTGCACAGACATATCTGAACACACCCAAAACAAGGTTTGGCCTGTCCTTGGGTATGGCTTAGACTGGCCTTGCACCAGGCTCCCCCGACACTCCCAGACAGTCAACAACAAAAACAGAAGGTTTAGATTCAGTCGGCTTACCTTAAGAAAGGGCACCACCGTAACCGTACTTTAACACGGGGAATCTCCAGTGATGTACGTGAAATCGGCGCTGTAGCCTGTCGTTCTGTGCTACCTTAGTGTCCTGGGACCGTCAGACTACGGGACGACGACACCGGGAACTCGTCCGGCAAGTTTTGAAGGCGCGGTCTTAAAAAATCCGAGACCCCGAATCAACCCGCAGTCAAGCGTCTCTTTAGTCTGAGGTCAGGGTTCGAAGGGGAAGGGCGGGCGCTGGCCCAAGGCATGATAATGACTCTGTCTGCAACTGTTGCTAACATAACTAACTGATCGATGTCACCATGCCCCTACCTTGAGAAACCAAAACATATAATCTTCTTCTCGCAAACAACGTGACAGGTAAACCTTGAGTTCAGCCATGAATAATTGACAAGGTAACAGAAGGCTGAGTATGCAGTACATCAATTTCAAAGTCATATTTCGCCATAAGATAATATTTCTGAACAATTAGCCTGTCAGAAAAATACCACACGTCGGTTACGTATTAAACCTACAACAAACAACAACAACAAACAACAACAACATATGTCTATGAGAATCTAAATCCCCATGGGAAGGCCAAGTTCAGTATTCCACAATAGTTGATAAAAATGCACCATCATGACAACAACACAAAGAAAATAGGTAAGGGTCGAAAAAATATGTAAGCCACTAAAATTTCCAATTTGCAAAAGTTGATATGATTATAGTTGCGATTCCCAATATGGTCACGTTTTCCTATAGAAATCTTCTACGGATAACAATTCCAGTCGCGTCGTTTAGTATTGACCTTACGAGGGCGTGCCTACCTTCCGTGCCAACCAACCGTGATATTTATGACTGAATGAACACGGAAAGCCTTTCTTGTCATACTGCACTTCGCCGAAAACAGGCCTATTCATGGTGCTATTGTATCTTATGTATCGCCAAGTAGTGACAATGTTTTTAAAAATCCCATGAATGGGCTCAGTTGAAATGTCAGTGATTTCTCATCATGCCCTTATATACAATGTAACGTTACTGATAATGACGGTGTGGTACAGTGGGGTTTATCACGCACCAGACAGTAAATACCACCGGTAGCTACAGTCTCTTCTAGCTTCAATCAATGCGCTCACTAGCTATCAGTCATAACTCGTCGGTAACCTCATGAGTAGATATGATATTAGTATTGTGTCGGAATGGTCAGCTCCTTGGTATAACAGTAGTGGTGTAAGACACACCAGCTCCTAAATTGTCACATACAACCACTTGCGTAAGCTTAAGGAGGAAAATTTGCTATTTTGAGCGTGTCATCTTTTTACCAATTTTAACGACCGTATCCGTAATCATCTTACGTTCAGACACCACCTATAGCTATCCGATATCTCTGTTATTTACTAATAACATTACCAACTCTCCAAGCAAACTTGCCTTTTGTCATCCACCTACCTAAAATCACAGGTTGAAATGATGTCGATCTCTATGGCCACTTTAATTTCCGATAACACACCTCGCACCTCGAGTCCTTTTGCAGTGTCAAAGTCACTGATTGTACAATGGGCACGATTCTCTTCACTCTTCAATAATTGATGAAAACATAAAACTGCCAGACACATGATTTCCAGTTCAGTGCATGTTTACAAGGGACATTGGTGGGAGCCGAATTTATATTACTCATACTGCCTCGTAATGTCTAGATTTGCCCGGAAGTAGATGGTTAGAAGAAATAAGTACCGTTACAGTATCTAAATTTGGTCCATATGTGAGACTAAAAAAGGTTAACCGTTAATTTACGAGGTTGTTCACCGGTGATTCACCAGCTAGACTCTGGATGAAATCATACTCAGACATGCTAGGTGACTCTTCTGCACCTCTGAAGCGCTGTGGCATACTTTGTGTTGCGATGTTCGCCATATAGTGTATGTAACACAGAACCACTAGACCCCGAGTAAGGTTACAATTAGACCTTAATCTTCTGTCACATATTCAACTTATTTAGTGATAACCTTGGTTTCTGTGAGTTTATACAACGGCAAGAAGATGTTTTCGCCCCCCCCCCCAAAAAAAATCACAAGTGCCCCGTTGTTATTTCAGAAAAAGACTGAGACAAATATGCATCGCGTTGAAAGTTCCAGTGCTATACTGCCGGTCCTGCTGCACTACCTGGTGTAGTCACGATACAAAATTTATCTAAATCATCAATACTATGTTCTTGTACCATGTTTTAACGGCCCCTGGCACAGCGCATTATATGACTGTAACGTTATGTTAGATGCAGGCCCGTGTGGGTTATGATAACTTTCAAAGTATAAAAGTTCTAAACATTATTTTGTTGGAATTAAGGCTTCAAGATGTAGAAAAATACCACAGAATGGATCTACCTTCGCTGCGACCGTCGAATTCACAGTCGGTGAGGAAAACATGAAGTGATATTTCCACAGCTGACCAAACCCAGTCTAGCAGACGACATTTTGCAGATTTGGCGCGTAGCAGACGACACATCCGGGACATTGACACCTGCTCAGGAATGCCGAGGTGCATCCTGGGATGGGTGCGCATGCGTGTTCCACCCAGGTTCGAATGTAGAGCGAACTTCATGTTGCGAATGGAGCTACTTTTGGGCCCATCTTGCATGAAAAATTGGGTGATTTAGCTGCTCCGATCAGCTGCACGTGAAAGGGGACGGGGTTGTCCTCGTAGGGAGACATTGCAATCGCGGACCAGGGTTCCACAGCTTGCAGAGAGGAGCCGGACTGTGAGGGACGTTGCACGTCTGGCCTGGGAAGTGTTGGTGTCATGGCAGGAAGAACGCCGACGAGACGGCGACTGAAGCGGCCACAGCCTCCTATTTACAATGGTATCATCAACACAGACGAGGACAAGAACAACGACTTCGTCTGGTAAGGTTTTCAGTGACGAACTTCTGACCAGAACTCCACGCCAGGCTAAATTTTCCTAGCGTGTTTTCCCTTGATGCCCCGTGTGCTAGGAAACCGGTGATTGTTTAGGACGGCCTTTGTTCCGAAACATCCTCTGCACACAGATAATCCCTAAATAGCCTAGCACAAGGAGTTGGTACATTCATACAAAAAAGCTGATATATCCCCTTTCAGGCTAACTAGTGACCAAGATATTTGAGCATGACAAATGCCACAGACGACGCCCCGGTGCACAAATACTCCCCCGCTAGCCGGACAGCCCGTATGGTTGTATCTGGCCTCGGGTCAGCACGGCACAACACCAAGTGCTTCCGGACTATCTCTTTAGGGGCCAAACTCCCTGGTGGCGTGGACACAAACAACTGTCTTGTTCTAATTCCCATGCCCTTGTTTGTGTCGTTAATTTGTGCAATCAGAACGCTGCTGTACATAGCCTAGAGCGGTGGGAATGTGTGATAGTTGCCTCCCGTGGGTGGTACGTCCGCAGGTGGGCGGGTGGTCCACCTGACGAAACACCTGTGTGAAAGTGAACTTTCCTACTCATTACTCTTGGTTGATAAACATTGATGCAGTTTTTACCAATCCACACTGCTTTTATAAAAATTTAAGTTAGATTTCCCATTTCATGTCTTTAATTTCAGACACCAAATATTAATAAACTTGCTTCCTGGTTTGCAAAACTGTATGACAGCATATTATAGGAGAGGAATATATAAGATGGTCAAGAATAATTGATCAACCATTTCAAAAATGACTTTGGCAGTGTCTGTAGATTTTATCCCTCTCAGAGTCAGATACTGTAGTTTGGGAGTAGGTGTCAACTGTGGATACCATGGACTTGTGAAGTTTTTAAGGTAAACTTGGACCTGTAGTTGTCAAAATTGTGGGAGGTCTGAAATGTACTAGAAGCAGACTAAGTAAGAAGGTACCACCGAACACCATTTAGAGTTTATGACTCAGATTTCCTACACATGGTTATTCAGTTTCCCTATTGAGCAAATGACCGATTGCATTTTTTGTTTACATCTTTACAAGATTTTATTACAGATTAACTATGTACAACTTGTCAAGACAGCTGGTGTTTACATTGTTGGCTGCCATCAAACCCCAAATATGTTTTGAAACGTGTACTATGTTCCTTTGCCAAGAACATTGTCTGTGTGTGGCTGTGTGATGTCTGTTAGTCACTGCAAACCAGTGAAAAGCTAGACTACTTGAAGATTACCTTTTTTTCACTTTCAATTGTACATTCCAATAACATTCTTGAGGATGGACAGGTGTGATTGTTGCGAGGTATGTTTTACTTACACCCACCTACCCGCCCACCTACCCGCCCACCTACTCAGGTGCAAAAATGTATAATGGAATTTGTAGAAGCTAAACCCTGTCTTCTTGCAAATGAAAATGTAACTGACAAAAGCAGCAGCAATAACAACTTACCATATAGTTATTGTAAACATACTTCAATTTCACATGATGTTGACAGATGTTAGAGAACAAAAGATGAACCAAGATGTACCCAGACTCAGACAATATTGAGAATCCATGTACTGATATCTTTCTAAGCTCACATAGCTGTTGTGTGTAATTTTTTTATGAGCATTCTATTGTAATCATGTTAAACTAAAAATATTAAGATTGTCAGTAAATGTTTGTAATGTTGAAATGAAATATTTAACATCAATTTATCTGTATCCAGGTGTCAAGTTGACCAATGGGCCACAGCTTACCCAAAATTTATAAAGTGTATTACTTAGATTGATAATTTGGATTGCAACTTCTTTGTATCTTCTATTTCCAAATCAGCAAATGAAACAAAAAAAAACCTAGACTGGTAATATGTAACCCCCTGGGCGGAGGCAATCAGAACCAAGACCCTGCAGCATGTTTCTACATATCTACCAGGAGACTTATTTCCGGCCATTCAAATTGCATGCCCTGGAGTGTGCCACCTTTGCAAATTACACAATCCTGTGCCAACCTATTGGCTCTAAAAGGAAGGCTCTGATGTCTAAGACAATACTCTGATGGCTAGGACAATACAAGATGTTCATTTGTCAAATGTCAACTCAGTAATTGTAAATAAGAATATTGTTGTATCAGTGTTGACAGTCAAAATAGCTTAAAATGGGTGGAATATTTCTGGTCATGAAATATGGATCTCTGGAATTCTTTGGTAGTGGGAGTCAGACACGCTTGAGGGCAAGGCACACCTCTACTGAAAAGAAAATTGTACATATAATTCTGTAACAAGTCTTGGAAGTCGTCCAGGTATCAATTGGTCTCAAATGTCATCATAATTGGCCATTGACAAGTATTAATAACGTAATAAATGCCTACCAAATGAAGTATAAGATGCTACACTGGTTCATTAGGCTGCATGTAGTGGAGTGCACAAGTCAATGAAGAAATAAGTGAATGAAGGATGAAGGTTTGCATTGTTACCACCTATATTATATCTTACATAATGAATGAAACCCTGGAACATAGATCTAGTCTGGCAATTGGGACATATTCTTGCAATACTTTGCCTTGCCAAAAACATAAGAAAGATGTTTTTTTAACACTTTGGGCACATCATTGATTTGACATTTGTGATTTGTGGTTTCTCTGCTGCAAAAGGTATTCTGTGAAGTTTGGCAAGCATACCATATCAAACATTAATGTAACATTCGAAAAGCATGTTCTTTGATGTATTGTAACGGCTGTTTCACAATTGAGTGTACCAAAAGGCTGTCACTTAGGGTGAAAAATCAACTTTCATATACTTCAAAATTTATGTTGGCAATTCAAAGGTACATAGTTTGGGCTTCATATCCTAAAATATCTCTGCACAACACATCTCGGTTACTGTGATACAGGTCTTTTTTATAATGGGTCAATAAGGGGGTACGGACGGGACAACTGCAAGACTGTATGTAAAGTTACATAGAATATACCCAAATAAAGAACAAAAGATAAACACTATTCCATATTATCTTCCATTACTAGTATCCACAACACCAAAAAACTGACTTTGATTTGCAGTAACACTTTGCGGTGTCATTTTCTGGTCATTTATTATATTGCGATAAAAACAACTTGCTGGCATTTCATGTTCAAGGAAAGGTCAAATACCAAATTTTCAAGTTCAGGCAATTTGGAAGCTTATCTCTGTTATTATTTCATTCTGTATATATTTCTACAAAAGGTTCTAGCTTATATATCTTGGAAACATGTCAAGGGACTTTTCAATGATCATTTTATGATTGTATGTGGGGGTACGGACGGGACACAATGGGTCAAAAGACTGATACTGCAGGGACTTGTCCAAACCTTTTGAAACACATTTATTCACTAATTCCAGTGAATGAAGCATCTACAAACACTGTGATAGTGTCTAGACTAAGAAAAAGGAAGCTGGACATTGTAATTAGAATTTTCTGTATATTACAGTATGAACAGAAACGTTTTCTGGCTTATATAATTTAGGGCCTTCCTTTAAAAAATCAGCTGATGGTAGGTATTCAAGGATTCTAATTACTAATATTGCTAAAAAGGCTTTGGGAACATTAGTAACAGCATTAATAACATAATATAACATATCAGAACCTGTACATTTATATATTTGAGTTTGCTCAAAGAAAAGAATGGGGGGGGGGCGCTGCAGGATTTGTAGTCTAAATTCAGAGTTATTGGCAACCCTCCTCCCTTGAAGGAATTTCAATTTCTAGCACAGCTACAAAATGCACATAAACTGCTATGTTTTCTTTTGCACCTTGGCTTGTTAATACCTTTTTCAGAGAACCAGAACAGTTCTCTAAAGTTGGTTCACATGCACGTGAGTCCGGAGTAGACAATGTCCACAAGAGATTCCTCTGGATGAAAGCAAATGTTGATTAATTCATTAAAAACTGCTAATTTTGGTAAGGAGGACAAATGTTTGTATCTTTTAAGGTTTTACTATGAGTATTTCAAGCAATTGGAATGCCATTTTCCACAGCTTTTGGCTAAAAAATAAAAGTGGGGGTACGGACGGGACAGGTGGGGGGTACGGACGGGACAGGGGTACGGACGGGACATTTGGGGATATATTGTGCTATATCAGGCAAATTCTTTATCACAGAAATGGTTTCTATGGTGGTTTGGTATATGCCAATAGAGACTTATAAGCCATCATAATTAGAAGCTTATAGTATTTACTTAATGTAGAAATCAAGAGGGGGTACGGACGGGACAGATTTTTTCGGAAAATGGCAGCCTGTACTTCAATCCTTAGCTGTGAGTCAGATGAAAGTAGGAATGATCTCATTCAATTTTTTTTCTCTTACATACATCATATTAAACCTTTTCATGTCAAACTAGCACTTATAACAGTATAATTAAACAATGCTACAGACCTTGCAATCTTTAAGTAAATATTTCACTAAAATTGGTAACATGGGGGTAAAAGTGAAAAATAACCTTCCCGGCAAAAAAAAGGTGGTGTATCTTCAAAAATTGGTAACAAATCTCTGGTAAACATATGCCTGCTTGTACAAAATAAGAAATTTTAAGCTAGCAACCATATTTGTGATGTCTGCAGCAATGGTTAGAATGTGAAAAAACTGAATGACGGCTGGTAACATTGAAAATGGGGCATTTTTAAGTAATATTTTTGTCGATAGTTTCGCCAAATATTAACCGATTTCCCTACTTTTTTTATTGTTAAGTTCCTTGTCACACCAGCTTTTGGGAAATATAAGTCTGAAACATCAATATATCATGTAGTCTTTGTTATCAACTGGTAACATGTGGAAAAGTAAATGGGTACACTCAATTGTGAAACAGCCGTAAGAAAATTCTGTTGAAGCTTGATATTTGTAGAAAACGGAACGGAAGTGAGGGACTCCCAAGCAGCTGCCTCTTGGTGTTTCCTGTGTGGATTTGTGTAGGATTTTATGATCCCTCAGACCTTCCTGGAGGCAAAATACAATTATTTTAGCATATCATACCGAAAAACTAAAGAGCATATGACAATAGTGTGAAATACAATGTACAGTGAAGGCAGAATTCAAACTTAGCCACCAGAGCCTATGATATTTTTTTTGCTGTATCAGTCTGATTGGTTTCTGGACAGATTTTTAGTATGGTATAGTGTTGTAACTTGTAAATGCAGAAAAAGGATTTGGAGCCCTGGCTGGTCATGTAACCAGTAGAAATGAGTCAGTGCAAATTCCATTTGTAGTGAACTATTTTCTACTGACATGAGTTACAGTTATAAATATTATTTATAACTTAGTGACAATCTACTGTAACAGATTAAGTTCATCAACTACTGACAACCGTGTGACCACAACATGCAGCAGTAGATCTTTTTTTAGCTGCTCTCGATGCTGTTATATAAGTATTGTGAGGGTGGTAGACTCCACATGTGGTCCCAGGTGCCTTTATAATCTTGTTATACTCTGCATTGTATGGTTCAAAAGTTGCATGCTGTCTTGTTAGTGTACATGAATACGAGCTTACTCCATGCATATAAAACACGTCAAGTGATAATAATCAACTCGCTTTGCAGCAGCATGAAATATAATGTGCTTATATTTTTATCTCTTGTTTTTCAGCCCAATCTGCTTTGACATGATAGAAGAGGCACATATGACAAAATGTGGCCACAGTTTCTGGTAAGTATTCTTTAATTAAATAAATTGATGTTATATAAAATCTTAAAATAGATTTAAGTTATATAAGATCAACCTTAAAATAGACTAGTCTTTCTTAAATTAAAGCACTCTCTGTCTATTCTGTCCCTCATTTTAATAGCTTACCACAAAAAAAGTATTATGTATTACATTGTTTATTAATTGGCAGAAACATACTTGTAACCACACTTGGTGAGATGCTGTCAATTAGTAGCATTTTGTAGCTCATAGGTCAGACTCTTTTCAGTTGTTTCTTTGGCTATGCCTGATGTATTTCTTGGTTCTCAGAATTTCGTATGAAATTAATATAGCTAGGGGGTAAAAATGAAATAAAAAATGAGAATAAAAAAAGAAACAGGAATATTTTGTAGTTGACCTAAATGCTAGCATAGGCTAAGCCACCAAATTATTTAAACTACCTAGCTGTTAAGCACTACAAATGATAGATATTGCAAACTGCAATAATATATAAGTTGATATTGTGACTTGACAAAAACTGGCTCACCTTGAAAATGTCAACCATGTCATTATGCCAAAAAGAATCAGGCATCCTTTAAATACATGAAGGGAAGAACTTCAGGGCCTGATACAACTACTTCACTCCTTGATTGACCCATCTTCCACATCTCACTGTTAAAAGACTGTTCCAGTCTGCACGCTACAGTCATCAGTGTAGATGTAATGTTGAGTATAGCCTGAGGTAATGCAGCTTCTGTGAAGCTATCAGTAGGGCATAAAATTGGAATAATTTTTCATCACATGGCAAATTGTAGGTTGCCAGCATTTTGGACACAGCTTTCAAAGAAACAAGATTGTGCCTAATATTGGCTGCGGGACCAAGTAACAGGTAACAATGGCTGGTAGAAATTAGATTCAGAATTTTTTGTATCAAAGGTAACATCATACAACAGAGATGGTCTATACTCTTGGCATGAATGCAATGGCAATGCTATATTTATAATATTATTTGATGTAGAAAGTACAAGTCAGAGGTTTGGGAACATCATACGCTGTTTGAAACACTGCCTTCCCAGAACTGATTTTCCACCAGAAATTCAAGTAAAAAAAGAAATAGTACAAGTAGTAGTTTTGGGTTTGAATTTGTCAATTGGAAAAATTGCTGAAAAATTGCTTTATGGGAGAAGCAAGAAAGTATGAAACATTGCAAGTATGCCTCGCACCCTTGGAGCAAAACATAATTACAAACTGCAGTGTAAAATTTCACCCTCATCTCTTGGGTCTTCTATCACAGCTTGTTCCCCGGCAGTTACCCATTAGCCCCTTACAGGAAAGTGTGCGTTCTGATGGAATATAATTACAGCCTTGTGAGGTTGCAATCACGGGCAGCAGGTGGCGTGTCATACAATAAGAGGCCCCGAGTCTAACCCCTTCCATTAATCCGCAGTGGAGATGGGGCAAACAATTTCCTGTTCTTCCTGTACTATAACGAAATCGTAATTTCCTGGCATCCGGTTTATGGCGGGTATAAACGTCCTTATCGCTGATTCCGACCACGAGCGCAAATGGCGGGGTGTCTGGTGGCTCAGGGCCATTTCCGGTGGATGTTCCCCTTATCACATCTACCTTATCCAGAGATAATGTCATAACCAAATTCCAACCACAACCCAACTGCTTCCCAGGTAAATCCCAGGCCTAGTTTCTGGACAGAGAATTAGAACTTCCGGCACAGACTGGACTTGTAATAGAGCTGTGCCCCATCAGATAACACTGGGTACTAACTCTTTAGAGGACAATATCAGCAATACCTTGAAGGCAGTACAAGGTCAGACCTTATCGGATATCTTGAACTGTTGAAGTTGTACGTTTGAACTGCACATTTATTTTCCACGATAGCCATTCATATTATCTTCCTTACGTTAATTCATAACCACTCCAGTCATTGTAATATAACATGCAATATTGAAAATGCCTCTATTAGTTTTATTACTTGTAATCCTATGATAGTCCAAAGCATAATGCTAGTGGTAGTACAACAATGTATGATATCAATAATTCATATCGAGGATGCATATACTTCTTGTTATGACTAATTACTGCACTGGCAATTTTTAATGGAAAAAACTGATAGCATATTTATCTGGAAAAATGTTATGTCATGCTGTTTTTATGTCATAGGCTTTATCATGAAACAATGTTTGCTCCCTCATATATATGAATCATAGTAATGTTTAGTCATTTTCTGTGTATAGAGTTACATGTCACTCACCTGTTACATAAACAGTCCCCAAGGAGTGGTTGACAATGTGGTTTATGTCTATTTGCACTTGCATGATTTTACATAAGATTATACATGCAATTTTGACTAGATTTCTCCACATATTTTTTCACTCCATCAAGTAGTTTATGTTGTTCAGGTTGAATGTTACTAATAATTGTGTTGTGTATATGCACTTAACTGGATGTGTTAAGTAAATCATTGCGAACAGTTAGTAGCAAATAGTGTAGAATGTAGTAGAAGATAAAAGAGTAAGGTATGATAAGAAATAGCTTCCGGGTAAATTAGTAAGCTGTGTGCTTCACTGTTGAGATACGATATCCGGCAATGTTCAAGTTAGCTGTCAAAACCAGTTGGAGACAAGATGGCCCAGGAAGACTGTATTCAGCACACAATTTCCTGCTGGGAATCCCAGGCAGAGATGTATGAATGAGATGGCTGCTGCATCTGTTGCTTGACTTCTGATCTATGAATGCTGTGTAGGGCAGAGCAACATTACCATTTATCCTCAGTACTTGGTTATCTTGTCTGTGGGGCTGGAAGGGTTGTAAAGCATTATGGGTAAGGGGCCGAGGTCTGCCATCCGTGGCTGTATCCACAATCCTTGCTCAAGACATCATGATTGGCGAGTGGCTCGAGTTTGAGACAATCGTAGAGAGATTAGAACCAAGCTTTCAGAACTCAGTAAGTGTGACCAAAAAGGAGCGTTCATGTTACTGAAATGTGACTTTCTATTACCCTTGCTGAAATTGCGGCTTTCTTTCCGGTCTAATTTTGATGTTGTCAGTTTGGCTGCGGCGTGCATGTGTGATGAATGGAGATGTGCCGGGTTAACATGTCCAGGAAATGGGCTGGAGGCTGGAAAATTGGATGTGCATGACCTGCCGGCTCGTCTGGAGGGTAGCGCAGGTCGGAGGGAAGCTCAGACTGCCATTTAGGTAGTAATGTCAGGGTTCACCTGGCTGATGATACACATTACCTCAGTATAATTCTACAGGCAAGTCTTCACGACAACTGCACATCCTGCTATTACTCAGGCCAGGGGATGTCAGATATAGGGATGTGAGGGTTGTTGGATTCAACAGTAAAATTGATGTAATTTGTCAGTAGATCTGCATCATCACTGGCATGTACACTTCTAAGTAACCACTGATGTCTGTATCAATTATATAGTGGATTCCCTGGTGGTGGAACTTGGTGGTAAATCTATACATGTACAAGTCATACCAACGTGGTAAAAAATTGCAAATTATGAATATGACCTTTCCTACCTTGACTATTTTTGTAGTTATTTTGTTTTGGAGCACATGTACATTTTTATGATGTTGAATAGATATTATATAAATGCCCCAATTGTGGCTTCCTTATCATTCAAAAATAGAATCTAGTGCTGTAATGATTATGTATCCTTTTTATATGCAGCTGACCTAAAATGTCAGTTGAAAGAACCCCGCTGAGTCTCTAACTGGAGGAGAAGCTCTTGGCGCGGGAACTCGGCATGAACAATCAGCGCGCTTAGGATGGATTTCCGGACCTTACCGGCGCTGACGTTGATGAGTGTGGTGCTCGCAGGTTACTGCAGGTGGCTTCCTGTTAGTGCCGCAGATGTAACGATGTCCTTGACATAGCAAGGAAGATGTCTTGGTTGAGAAACAGGAAGGAGTATATCTCATAGAGATGTTGAGTTTGAAGAATGGGAATAACTCGTTTCTATTTCTGATTTTGATGGATGCTTCCGGATGTTGAATACTTAGAGGTAAGCCACCTGAAAGACATCCTGTCGGGGGTATCTGGAAAAGTGCTGATTGTTTGCAAAGATAAGCCTTTTGCGTGCTGAAGGATCATCTCAACCCAGGAAGACGGTAATGCTTGGAATTTCAATGGATATGCCAGGTGGTGTGGTTTGCTTTGAGGATGGTTTTATAACCAGTGTCTGAATATGCATGTGGCATACGGCCTCTGGCCATGGTACTGAAACCATGAGTTGCTGTCTGCTGTAAGTACAACACATAGATATGAATCAGTATCAGTGTCAATGGGTATTTCTATGTACAGTATCTACATGTCCTGACTGACTGGTTGATTGTTTTAATGGTTACTGATGATATGGAATTGGTGATAGCAGTTTTTGATATCCCTGACTGCTCTTTTGTAGCAGAGGGTGTTGCTTTGTAATGGACATCTTGATACTGTGACATACATAGGCAGAAACAGCTTCATATTCGTTTTAACTATGAATTGTTTTAGGATTATATTATGAATGCTAGGAAAAAGATTATTGGTAATTTTTTATTTGTAGCATGTATTTTCAAATTAGAATGCTTAACTGTCAGCTTCTCATCCCCACAATCTACTCTTGTTGCCAAAGGCTGTCTGTCTTGTTTTTCATAACAGAATGATATAGTTTCTCTGTTGGATGGAAATGAAGTTTGAGATAAAGTTTCAGCAGTAGTAAAGTTGTTATTAGATGTAATGGAGTGTCTAAGCCACTTTATTCTGCCCTGCTTAGATGTGATAAAAGTCCGGAAGTAGCGCAGATGATGTGATACCTCTCGGGAGAGCGCAGCGTGAGCCGGATATTAGGTATTGATTGGAGCCAAAGGCATCAGGTCGGGACGGGAGCCTTCAAATTCAGCTTGCTCGGCGTCCTAGATTACAAATAGAACCTGTGAACGCAGCAGTTTATGATTTCCAGAGAAATCCAGGGATCTATCTTGTGGATGCCCTGTGGAGTTTTGAGTGCTTTGAGGTAGTTTAAAACTACATGTACCGGAAGTTTGTTCTTGTTGGAAAATGTCAGAGATAAATCCCCCTGCATTTATTTCTTAACGAGTGTTACAGGAGGCCATGAGATGACCTTAATAGCTCACATAGGGCAAGGGAAGATGTCATATTGGCCATCGATTTAAATCAGCGTGCTTCCGGCTGCCAATCCGTCGGGGTGAATTGTGCGCGGGGAAGTGAATGGATCGATGTGAATGGCTTGTGTTTGTCCACTGAGCTGCATCACCGTGTACATCAGCCAGACTCAGGCTGCCGCACGTGGGGAGAATCTGTTCCATCAGGAAGTTGGCTTGATAGTGGGTAATTCCAGCCGCAGGAAGGAAATATCACGGGCTTATTCATTCCTGGGCTGGTGATTGGAGCATGTTTATGATGTGGGTGAAAAAGAAATAAATTTATAGCTGATGGGACAGGGATGTTTCTATGATGAATGTGACAAATAATGTTGCTTTCGTCAGGCAAGTTTTTATGACAATTTTGATTACAAAGTTTTTTTCTTACGTTGTCTTTCCCCTGAAATGGCAATGAACTGGATGAAGGTTTGTTTGTGTAGATTCTGTTTGAGTTAAAACTTGTTAGATATCCATTATAGTAGGTAGAAGTAATTGTACAGGCAATAGACAAGCACATTGATCAGTTCTGGGGAGGCTCAGAAGAGTCAGATTCATGATGAGATTCAATTTTACATCAAACCTGCTGAGCCTGTGGTTCCTTGTTAGTGTAGACTACCAGCTGTGCTTGTTAGGATTTCTACATTTGTATGTCTGGAAGAAAGTCAGAAGTCAGTTTGCAAATTTAGGTTTGACTATATGTATCTGTCAGAAGAAATGTCTTATTTTTTTTGAGAATGCAGTTCCTCATATTTCCTTCTATACCATTACCAGCCATATCAACATATAGTGGGACTATTCTACATACCGGTATTTCACTATAAGTGGAACATTCTGAATCAGATAGTGTGTGTCTTGTTTTCAGTGGTATTTTTTATGTGTCTTACAATTAGAGCTACTATTCCATGTTAAGGACATTTTTCTTAAAGTATTGTTCTTAAAGTTGTTCTGGAAGATTTAGGAACAAAGCAGCAAACTTGCAATTATGAGTATTTCAAACAGAGATGTTGATATGAAACATGTTGTTGATATTATGGTTCTTAGTTTGTTAACAGTAACATTTCTTCCCTAATGTGCAGTTTCAAGTGCATCCAGCAGAGTCTAGAAGAAAGCAACCGATGTCCCAAGTGCAACTTTGTGATAGAGAAGACAGACCAGATCTTCCCAAACTTCTTATGTGAGTACAATTCATGCCGCAGTTTTAAATTGTCTGACACAGAACTAGTCTGACTGGGTGTAATGAATGTTTAAATCTTTCTAAGAAATAGAAAGTAATCAGGGAGCCAGACAATCGCACACCTACTCAGTATTTCAAAATGATCAAAATCCCACGATACAATATTCTTGATTAAGGTCTCTTTCCAAGAAACATATGGTAGGTAATAATGTTTTCTAGGAAGGGTGTTGTAATAGGCATATTATACTACCACTTATATGATTGAATAGGGAGATTGGTATTGTAGATCCATTTTACATGGTTGTCCACAAGATCATTTAATATTGGAGGAGTAACTGTGGTCATGTTTGTTGTATCCTTTTGGGAATACAGTTGTTACAGCAATATATCTTGTACCTTCTTGTTCTAGTAAACGAATTGATCTTGAAGCATCGACAGAGACTGGAAGAAAGAAAAAGAGTCAAGCTGGATCAGCCTGTAAGTTTTTATATAATTTGTACTTTGATCAGATTTTACCAAGCACTACATAGCATTGTTGGCATGTCTCTGTTATGTTATTGTGCATTGTGGTTGACTGATGGTACAATCTATATTATGCTCCCAAGGTTATGTAGATTTATGATGCGTATTTGTCTGATTAAACCAATTTTGCTAAGCTATATGATTTGGCTTTACTGGCTGGTTTGAAAGGTTTGACTCATAAATTTTGACATGCACTATTATGGACAACAGAGGCATGAATTGCTATTATCGTTCTCCTTAGGCCATGCCAATTTGATCTGTTGGTTCTCTGAGTTTTTTCAGAAAACACATTTGACAGCGACAGGGCAAAAAATAATTATAATATTTATGAAAACAGGCCTAGGCATCCTATGATAGCCCCAAATGCTATGATACTGATAGGAGCCATGAAGTCAACATGCCAGGCTGGTTTGTAATTCAAACAATGAATTTCAAACTTTCAATCAAACCACTTCGTCATTGATAGATGGAAAAACTTTAACAGCTCTGAAGAGAAGGGACTTCTTTCAACTGTTGTGGCCAAAATATGAGCATTTTGGAATTGATTTAGAGGCTCAAAGGTTTTTGTTTTTTTTTCAAATCAGAAAAAAATGCAGCAGGTGAATTCGTGAACCAAGAAATTAAATTAGTGTGTTCCTCCTCCTGTCTGTACCACAGAATGGGATGAAGCTGACGGAGTTCCAGGAACTTCTGTCTCATGAAGATGATAACCTGGACATCACCGATGTCAACCTCATGCTGGAAGTCCTCTATCAGAAGAAAACAAGACTAGAAGCTGTGAGTCACCTTGTATTTACTCATCCTGAAGAAAAGAAAAATCAAAGTCAGCAAAATCAAATTTCAGATTGTCTCGCTGTCTTATTTATATGTCTGTTCTTGTTGCTTTTCCCACAGGACTCCATAGCAGCACAGAATCAAATATTAAAAGAATTCCTCCAACATGCAAGAAGAAGAAAACAAGAGGTAAGCCATTCCACACCAAACATTCCTGATTTATTCTGTCAAATCGTAATCCTGTTATCCCAGAAGTAAAAAAAAAATCTAACCAGCATGTTTCTGGCACATGCTTTGAGATGAGACTCTTTGTAGCAGTGGTAGTTCTGAAAATCCCGTCTCCCTTGGTGCATTTACTAGTGGTGTGACCCAGATATGGGTACAAGGTAATTGGGATTCTAGATGTCCCGTTGCTCGTTCCTTTCAGACATTCATGAAGGGAGACACAAATTACATGGTGTGCATTTTTAGCAGAGGGAAAAGCTCTGGGGATCCTCCTGTGATTGCCTGGGCTGTTCTATATGGATTCTCTGTTTTAGATTAATTGGTACTTCTCTTATCTCCCTCTGCACTTTGTCCAGCAACTAGATAAACTGATGGGAGAGGTCTCAGTATTAGACCAGGACATGCAGAGAGTACAGGTAAGTGGTGCATACATTTACATGTACATTACTAAACTGAACATTGGATACTTTATGTCATTATATCCAGGTATGGAGGTACAAATGTGTACAAAAATGTATTGTTTTAAGTGTGTTTGTGCATGTGTTTGCTTGTGTGTCTGTAGGTATTTGAATGCAGTAGAGTGGCAGAAAGGAATAGATAGGAAGGGGTAGATTTTGTAACTGTAGATTGACAGAAGGTCCACCTACACAGTTGCTGCAAGTCACTGGGGGTACTTGCTTAGGGCTTGTGACAAGTTAGGATTGTGCACTTCTGGTCTCTCAGTCTGTAAGGTTTCCGTCACGGCTAATTGTAGTATGTAAGGCCACCTCTTTGGTTGTCGAAATAAATTTACAGAAACTCAGGATACTGCCAGGAGGTTTGAAATCTCAATTTTTAAATCTGGAAAAAGACTTTAGAAGACAAGCCTTTGAAGACACTTAGTATATCTCTGTCATGTAACCTTGGAAATACATCACAATGTTGGGGAAATTGTACTCTTCCTATTCACATGACATTTACTAAAGCGTTCATTCAGCAAGTACAATGTACAATTCCCAGAGTGTCTTTCCAAATTCAAAAGCAGGCAGTGCTATTTCTGCATTCGCTTTGAGGTACTTGAAACTGTGATGTCAGTACAAACCTCTTGTTCTGTTTATCCCCGAGGTACTTTTCAATTTAAGTCTGCGAGGAAGACCTAAATATAGATTTTGTTTTCTGATAGAAGGATTGCAGTGCACATGTAAAAACCACTGGTGAATAAAGGAAACTCAACAGATACTGCTGTGTTGACAAATTTTACTATTCCAAAGGTTTTCATATTGTCCATAAAACAAAATAAGTAGATGTTGTTTTCTATACTATTTGATTTCATGCAACTGTTAGAAGCATTGCATGCACTTTGCTGACTGTGGCCTGGTGAGAATCAATGAATCTTTTTCAGTGCAAAACCTGCAGATAATTACCTTCTGTTAGTTGTTCTTGCTAAGTGGTTATAGCAAGCAGCTGTCATCAGAAATCACTGGCAGTGCTGTGTTCTAATCTTTTAAAGGGTTTGAATGTCACCGTCAATTAGATATGAAAATATGTAACAAAACACATGGAATAGAGAATTCTTATTATATACAAACTTCCTGGAATCCGCTGACTCAGTTTGTATTTCTGAGCACAAGATATTTTTGTCTAACAAACAATTGTCAGAAAAATGTGTTGGAAAATTATTTTACGATCTTTATGCCTCATTGATTATTTGTTTCATGCACATGTATATTAATTTCATATGCTACTTTTTTTAAGAAATAAATTTCTGCTACCAAATGAACTAACCAGTGAACCATAGGTTATGTACCGTCTTGGCTTACCTTAGAAGCATTGCACTGAATCGGAATGCCCCTGCATAACTCTGGAACGGCATTGATTTTTCCTGGAAAGAACCCTGAATGAGAGAGCATTAGGAGCACGCATCGCTGCCAGTTTGGAGAGAAGGCTTATTGTGCAGCGTTTTACAGAAGTAGTTAACTTGTGACAGACAGTTGCTAAGTTGCCAACGGAAGTTGGTTGTATTTTTTTATCTAGGGACTTTCAGCTGCAGCAAAGAATGTGAGCAGTTAGTAGTTGGTTGAATGTCTGAGTTCTTGTAAGTGATTGGCCATGGCTAACTCTGTCTTTGTAACATCTATCTGACTTCATTCTTATCTGCACAATCTCAACATGGACAGATTTGTTTAGAAACAAGAAGACATTGAAGTCCAAGTAGCTCAATATTCTTAGGCTCATTGGAATTATGAGGGTACAAGATGTCTGGGTTTGGACTGAAAAGTCTTTTATTTGTAACACATGGGAGATTGTGTCTTGGCAGTTTGCATGTCTGTTAAAATGATACATCTATGAGTATAATTTTTTTCTAGGAGTGTTTCTTATCTGGTCTAGATGTTCTAGCACAAACAGAGATGCTAATATGGCAGTGACGTTGACAGTCGCTTTTATTTACACCTTTCTACAGGAAATGATGTCGAGCCATCAAAGCAAGTACCAACACACAGGCCTGGTGAGTACATGTACCATACCTTACCTTCATAACTGATGTCACTTATACTACATGTACATGTAGTACATTTTATGAGCTATGACTTTATCACAATGCACTTACACAAAATCTCAATCTAAGTTGACTATGTCAGAATTGGGACCGATCAAAAGAATGTAAGTCATTACTGAATCAAAGAAGAGCACTGGTACAATACCTGTTCTATAGACAAGTAGACCATGCCCAATGCTATGTCTTATATTATCAGTGAAATATTTGTCTGGAACTAGATCGACAGCATATTGCTTCATACTCAAAGTACAAAATTATCCCTCTCTTTAGGGCCTAAACCAAATCAAAGCCTTGCATTTGCTGGGCCCTGGAGGGCTCTTTGGGGAAGAATTAGGTCGCCTGGGCCTACTAGCAATAATTATGAGCAATAACCCGCTTTGGTGTAATCAGATATTCAACCACATTCTCCTCATTGGTGCTCCAGAAAAATGCTCAGATACCGCAAAATATTGTAATCACATTGGGCACAACACAGTTATTTGCCATAAAATGGATAATTGGGCCTCTGAAAAACTGCAAAAGGAAAGCAGTGCAGTGGGAACAGTTGGCATTTTGGATAAACCTTGTCCTAGATCCTTTAATTGTTTTGCATGGCTACTGGAATACAAGATTATGAAGCAATAAGCGTATGTTATTATTGCCATGGTGACGTAATAAAGTTGATTAACCCATTTTGGGAAGGAGGTCTGCCGTTCAGTAAAAACAACTCAGGGGGAAGTAAAGACCTGGTTTACCAGCCCAGAAAGGGATTGTCAAACATAAGACCTGTTTTTAAGCTCAAGGAAATGGGAGAATTTTATCTTCATCCTCGGAGTGCCTGTTGAAAGGAATCAGCTTAAGCTGAATGCATGTAAAAGATTATGTATTACATGACTACTGAATATAAAAGGATTTTATTTTTAATGCAGGAATTTATGTAAAAAGATATATGTATTACATGACTGCCAAATATAAAATGACCTTATTTCTAAATGCAGAAATGTATGTAAAAGATATATGAATGACATGACTGTAGAATATAAAAGAACTTTATTTTTAATGCAGGACATGTCCAGGGTATTGAATGGCCACGACCCACCATCTCAGGCTACGAGGTAAGATCCTGATCTGGACATACACACATGGCAGCAGGACAGTTTTACTACGCTCAGTGGATATCATGGATTATTTTTCTGCAATGTAATGAGACCCAAAGAAAGTTGGTCATGTTAGGAGTTGACCTAGAAGTGAAATGAATTTAATAAGCAATGGTACACACTTTTTTTACGGTAGAATTTGACTACACATTAAAGATAACATACACTGGCATTGCCAGGCAACTGGTTTTCTGTCTTTTGTTCCCATTCTAGTAATCCTCTTTCCTTACTGTAGCTTGTGATTACTACCCTGCCTTTTTACTACCATTTCATGAAATGGACCACATCCATATCTTCCACAGCTCTGACACATCCAGCACAAGCTTAGTCCCAGTCAAGACAGAAGGGAGAACAGACAGTCCATCGGAAGGCTTCAATGTCAGCAAAAACGTAAGGATCTGGTTTTAATGTACAACATTGATTGCACTTCACTTCTGTACGGTTTGGTAGACAGCACCTGTGTCTGTAGCTTGCCTAGTACAGCATTGAATTACAGTCAACTGAAATTTTGATAAACTAAAACGTTCACATTCCACCCCTGTTTCAGGTCAGCAGATATCACTGGTTAAACTCCACCCTGGCCAGTAGGAGGACCAGACTGGACCAGCACTTTGATGACCTGGAAAAGTGCTACTTCAGCATCAGATTAAAAGAGTTTGGACAAAGTAAGTCAGATATGTATAATAATGAATCATATTGTAAGACGCATTATTCCATCTACTGTTGGTGGAATAAACTAAGGCATTCATAGTTTCCAGATGGCTAATGCCATAACTTTTTAAACGTTGCCAAAACATTACAAGTCTGCAATCTTGTTGAAGGGTAAGACAGGTTGTTTCTCAAATCATGTTAGTAGTTGTGTACAGTACGAAAGGTTTCTAGAATTTTTTTAAAATTCATTTTTGGTACAGGATGTCATGCTACTTGCTTCCACCCTTAAGGAATAACTAAAAACCCATTGCTTGCTATCAGACTACAATGTCATGTACATCCATGTGGTATAAAAGTTATCTAATGATATTTCCCTTGTCACTCCTTCCCAAAGCTGAGACCCACTCTACAGACAGTCTGTGTGAGTTCACGGACAGCCTGACCAAGTTCACCAAGTACAGCGGCTTCAGACCACTCGCTACCCTCAGTTATGCCAGCGACATCTACAACGGCTCAAGCATAGTCTCAAGGTACTTATCATATCTTTATCTCCTAAGACGTACTGTCAGATTCTTTACCAAAATCTCTTAAATATTAACTGCTTTGACAGATTCTGTTGACTTGTGTTTATCATTTCCATTAATGACACCCTTGATTATTTTCTTCTTTTTTTTTCCTGTTTAACTTTATGTTGAATGTCAATGGCTTCATTAAAAGTAATCTAGCTTGAATATTATTTTATGTCTTATATAGTGACAGACCCTCTGTGCATGGGTGTCATGTTTCCCTCTTAAGATTGTGTATTCACACATGCAGGGCTCAAAATACCACTTCCATTTACAGATAAATTACATGTATGTAGGTATTTCTGATGTCTAACTGTGCCTTACCTGCACTGGCCCTTGCATGGGATGTTTCAGTGTACAAAGATTTTTGTTTTTACAATTTTCCTGCCAGGGAAAATGAAAACAATGAAACTCAGGTGCAGGTAGTTTTGACTGTAACCTGCACCACAGTAGGTATGCAAAGATGAGTATTTTGAGCCCTGCACGTGTGAATGGTAAGGGAAGAGATGAACTACAAGTTGTTATTAATTTCATAACACTTGGTCACCTGCGGAGTAATGTTAGCAACCCATTTTGTGCACAAATAAATAACTTACCAACACTCATGCTAGAAATAACCTGTTTGCAAGCTCACAACAGGACGTGGTCTCCAGGTATATGCTTACTTTCATGGTAGAAACCTTCTTGTCCAGTCTGGTTACATGTACAGTATGATTGTGTTTCCCACAAGGGGAATTCGTCTTTTTGTTAGGTCTCAAAAAAGGGATTGTCTGACACAACTACATTCTTGTACAATCAAGTACTCTGTTTACAGTATGTTAAAGCACCCCCATGTGTAGAAAAGGTGCAGTTTTTTATTTACACTCACAGAGGACTACATAACAAGTATAGCCACACAAAGAAACTGCTTTGAAACATAGAAGTAGAAAAAAGAAGTGCAGCCTCCCTCAAAAAAAGGGAGGCCACTTGGGCAAGCTGTCATTGATACCTGTGGAAAAAAAAACAGGACGTAAAAAACATAAAGATTAACATGAGTTTCTTTTGTTTCAGCATTGAATTTGATAGGGACAATGAGTATTTTGCAATAGCGGGGGTTACCAAGAAAATAAAGGTAAGAACAAGCTGAACACGTGATATAAATTCAATAATTGCCAGCTCAGAAGGTCGAATCAACTCATATTATAAAGTTTGTCTGCTGTTTTGGGGATTTCACTAGAATCCATAATAGTTAAGTGTAACAACATACATGTAGTTATGTTTTGGTACTGAGAGTGAGAGATTCAGTTTCAGTTGTTTTTATAGTGTAGGAAAAATGTTTTGTAACCAGTGAAATAGAAAAGGCATTAGAATGAAAGAGGCTTGTATGACTGTATAAAACAATGTGATGTCTCAGTGTAACAACACAGTATAAAATCTTTCCCCAACCAGGTGTTTGAATATGGGACGGTAATACGCGATGCAGTGGACATTCACTACCCCTGCAGTGAAATGGCATGCAACTCCAAAATCAGGTTTGTGGGATTTTTGTATCTTCATGCATCTAATGTTAAACAGTTGTAAGTCTACCCATGAAGCAATGATACCAACCTCATTGTATGTGTTGAGGTGGTATGTTAGTGGGACAAGTATGTGTTGGTAGGAGCTAGTAGAAGACCTACTGTAAAGCTCAGAATGCCTAGTAGGAGACCTACTCTGAAGCAAAGAATGGTACAAACAAACAAACAAACAAACAAACAAACAAACAAACAAACAAGAATGATTTTGTTCCAGTTGTGTATGTTGGAGCTCCTACCACAAAGGCATGTTGGCCAGCAGTGACTATGAAGGCACCGTGACTCTGTGGGATGCCTTCAATGCAACAAAAAGTAGAATGTTCCAGGTAAGATTTCCTCTGCTCAGTTGTTTTTATACGTACCCTGTACCCTTTTGCTGTATGTTGAATTGGTGACGACACTGACTTCTGGAATGTAAAATATATTCATTTGTCTGTCTTGAATTCTAGATGGTTGCTTACTTACTCTGTCTGTACAAAAGGCCTTGAGGCCACCCATGAAAATGGGGATTGTCGAGGTTTAGTTTGCTTTAAAGTGTAGTTTGATTTTTGCTTCACACTGTTCTTTTGATTTTTCATTGAAACTGTTCTTATGATTTTTGATTGAAACTGTTCTTTTGATTTTTGATTGAAACTGTAGTTTGATTTTGCTTGACACTGTTGTTAAATTTTTGCTGACACTGTTCTTTAATTTTGCTTGACACTGTGTTTTAATTTTGCTTGACACTGTAGTTTGATTTTGCTTGACACTAGTTGATTTCGTGGACACTGTTGTTACAGGAGCATGAGAAGAGATGCTGGAGTGTAGACTTCAACCATGTGGACCCCAAACTCCTGGCATCAGGGTCTGACGATGCCAAAGGTGATTGACATTTTACTTAAGTTACTCCAACTTCTTTCCTGCCATGTGGCCAATCCTGGCTGTCCATTTAAAGCCTATCTTAAGTGTTGAGTCAAATGAGGTTTCTAAAATTGTGAGTGGATTGCCATGAGTATTTGGGCGATTCAAAAGATACAGTCCCTCTTTATGGATAGAAAGTACTTCTTCACCTTCCTTATGTACCCATCACCCTAGGTACTTTTGTGAAGAAAGGGTACTTGTTTCTGGTTGCAAATGGAACTTAAGATCACTTAACTGGTAGCAAAAATTTCCTTGTCAGCTTTTCGATCTCTGTTCTCTAACTCTGTCATATCTTGAATTGGCGGTTATTCATTGAAGTCCTCCTCACGGCTCTCTCAGGAACACTTGCCACTGTGAGTTGGAACTGATGAGTACCAGAAGCTGGGATTTCTAGCACTGCATTCCCATTAAATCATCAACCTTCTGGGAACTCTGTAACCAATAGGGAATGGGTAGCCAAGTGGCTACTTCACATCCTCAGTGAGCTGAAGGTTTTAAAGTACAGAAATTGCTCATCCATAAATGTACATCTTAAGCCTGAATCAAGACAGAGTCACTCTTTTCCAGTTTACTTCCCCCCCAGGCACCACTTCAGTTCAACCTGTGTATGAATGAGCTGAATATGTCTGATGGATTTTGTCACAGATAATGTAACAAATGATCCTTGGCTACTATATGTATCAGAGATAGAGCTGTGTACCGGTACGCAGTACCGATACTGTACCGGAAAAATTGATTAGGTACAGGTCCAAAATACCTAATCCCTCAGTACCGGTACTGTACCTAAACAATTTCACACCAATTTTATGCCTATTTGTGACCTCAAATGTGTAAATAGCTGGTCCACAATGGGTATCTGTGTAAGGACAGTGTGTTCATGAAAACAAAACATCTTAGTTTTGCCTATATTTTATCTGAGCATTCGCCATAAACAAAGAATAAACCTTAACTATCAAGTTTATTAATGTTTTTTTTGTTATTGAATGAGTTCAGAAGAGCATATAAATTGGTCGAATTGTTCAGGTACAGGTTCAGGTCCGGACCTGTACCTAAACCTGTGTACCTGTACCTGTACCTGTACCTAAAATTTGTTTAGGTACACAGCTCTAATCAGAGATGTGATGATACATGTAACAGTGACGTTTGAATCCTTTGTCTTCCTGATGGTTCTCTAGCTTAAGGCTTCGTACACTTTTTACACTTCGGACAAAACTGGAACGGCTTCTTTCCTTCCCTTGCAGTGAAACTCTGGGCCACCAACATGGAGCACTCTGTGGCTTGTCTGGAGGCCAAGGCCAACGTGTGCTGTGTCAAGTTCAACCCCAACAGCAGGTTCCACATAGCCTTTGGGTCTGCAGGTGGGTACTGTGGTAGTAAACACATTGTGTTTTGACACACATACAATGTATCACTTGCAGTAATGTGTTTAACAATATATGTCCATCCACAAATGATACACATTGTAAAGATGTGCAAATGCTTTATTTTAACATTGTATCTGAAATTTGAGCACCTTTAAAGCAAAGGTAGATGACATTGTACAACTATGTGATAACTGAATTTTTCTGACTTTTTGCAGATCACTGTGTGCATTACTATGACCTGAGGAACACAAGGCAAGCCCTGAATGTGCTGAAGGGACATAGGAAGGCTGTGTCATATGCCAAGTTTGTCAACTCACAGGAGATTGTTTCTGCGTAAGTTTTACTCACCCTTTAATTGGTCTTTAGCATATGTGTAGGTACCAGTAATAGTGATACAGATCTGGCAGACTTCATTTGGCTTTGATATCTTAACCGTTAACAGTCGAAACTCTCCAAGCTCAGTGATTTGATGCAGATTGCTGAATGTTGATAGAATAAGGAATTGTGAGATTACATACGGTATCTATAGCTGTTCACTTGCATTACCAGTAATGGCATGTGAAACATGTTTGTAGTAAACTCTGATGCTTGGGTCAGGATTGGAACCCGCAACCTTTGGTCCAGAGATTTAGGTTGACAACCATTAATGTTTGATAACTGCTCTGACAGTTGTTTTTTGTAACATTGCAGGTCAACAGACAGCCAGTTAAAGCTGTGGCACGTCAGCCAGTCCCACTGCACACGCACTTTCCAGGGACATATTAACGAAAAGAACTTTGTTGGCCTGGCATCCAATGGGGACTACGTTGCATGTGGTTAGTATGAGACCTCTCTGTCACCTCATTCACTAGGGATTCAGAGTTTCTGACGTATTCCAGTGGTTTAATTCGATGTGTCTGTGAATTTTAGTGTGGTTGATTATTAGCAGTTACATTATTTTACATTAGTAAAATGTCTGGTTATTGTCTTTTATTAATATTACTGTACAACAGTACTCAAGTAGCCAAGGATGATGAATGGGCATTTCAGTCTTGATTAAATTAGAGGCCTTGTGCAATCTGCTAGATACTCAACAGAGAATTATTGGTGAAAACTTGCAAGATGCAGGATAGGGCAGGTAGTGTGTAGTACTGTTACAGACCACTAGGTGGCAGCACTAAGTTGCACATGAGTTCACTGTTGAGCAATATGTATAGTATGTGTAACATACTGTCTGTTGTTTCTCACAGGGAGTGAGAACAACTCCTTATATGTGTACTACAAAGGCTTGTCCAAACAACTCATCACCTTCAAGTTTGACACGGTCAGAAGTGTTCTGGTGAGTAGTTGTTTCTTTAATCTGCATCTTTCAGTCTTAAATTGCCAACTTTGAATCTTTGACTTGATTTAAATAGATATTAAGAGATGTAAATTTTGAGTCTACCAGTGGGGTGTGGGGAAGAGTATTGGAGGTCTACCGAGTGGGGTGTGGGGAAGAGTAGGGAGGTCTACGAGTGGGGTGTGGGGAAGAGTAGGGAGGTCTACCAGTGGGGTGTGGGGAAGAGTAGGGAGGTCTACGAGTGGGGTCTGGGGATGATTATGATGGTTTTCTTGTTTTTATCAGGACAAAGAGAAGAAGGAGGAAGATGCCAATGAATTTGTCAGTGCTGTGTGCTTCAAAGGGGTAGGTTCAGTCTGTAAATTTTTAAGTTGTACTGCCTAAACAGCTCTGTGAACTACTGAAAAGTATTTCATACATGGAGATTTTTGCTCTATAATGTGTCTTCAATCAAATAACAAGTAAAAATGTTTTGTCTATTTCTTTTACCTAGAAATTCAGCTATTGCTAACAGTGTTGTACATTTTTCCGTTTCAGAATTCTAATGTTGTTGTTGCTGCCAATAGTCAGGGTACAATCAAAGTAAGTATCATATCACTTCTTCGTGTGGGGGGAGAAGGTCTTTGATTTATAGACGCATTAAGTTATAAATGTCCTTTATTCATTTGCCATTTTGGGACTTTTTTTCATTCAAGTGACGTGTATGACTGAGTATGCCTTTTACCATGAACAGGTGCTGGAGATGATTTAAGAAGGTACACTTCCCTGCCTGCTGTCTGAACTGCAAGAGTCCTGCTGAAAATCACCACACATCCTGAAGACTTCCCCAGCATGCAATTCACACTGGACAAATCACGTCTAGGTTGCTGGCTTCTCATCTTGTTGTCATCCCTCAATCTGCCTAGGCATTTCCAACAGTCCCTCTTACCAAGTAGTGTGATAAGATGTTTTGGCTCATGCGAGACATCATGCCTTTCTTGCCTGAGCATGATAAGACACTGCCAGAAGTAGGACCTTCAGGGCATCTTGTAATAAAGAAATTTGTTTCCATGCTGGAACTGTACTGCAAGAATTATAATTGCACATAATTGTTTAATGATGTATGTGGTCTAATTTCCTTGTGAAGATTTAAAGACAGGACTTTATTATTGTATGTCTTTGAACACCTTTTTTGTCATGTTCCCTGGCTGCTGATGTTCTTATAGTGTATAATGCCATGTGATTGTCCCTCACGAGATTTTTGTATGTTCAACCATGGTCCTTCTAACTCCATGGTTCAACATTGTATTTAACACTGGCAGTAATTTCTTTGTGGCTGCAATGAAGATATGTTGAATATTGCATTGTATAGTTATCTGGCACCCTAGAGATATAAGAATTTTTATCAGCAGAATTTCTACTGTCAGAAAACATTGTACACAAGGAAGACAGTACAAAGTAAGTACTACATGTATCATACAGAAGTTGATGTACAGGTCTACAGATAGTGTGAACTTTGTCAATTCATTTCACTTCAAGTTTGATTCTCCCTTAAAATCCTAATTTTTTGTTGATTCATTTAGCCCTTGTAGTTCTATATGATACAAGCAAATGTTGAGAATCTCAATATGTAATATTCTGACCTCATATTCACTGTCAAATACTAGTAGCCTTAAGTTTGGGTCTACCTGGTAATTATTTTCATGCTAGAATTGGGGAAGTCAAATACAGTAAGACATTCTTAATTTGAGACTAACTTCTTACTACCTGATATATCAATACAAAATACTACTGATATTCTACTGATTTTCCACACTGTGTTGTTGTGATGCTGCTGAGATGCAACCAGATAAAAGGACTGACACCTTTTGTTTACACTAATAGATGTTTGAATGTTATGTCCTCTGTGGTGGATCTAGTATAGCACAGATGTTCAAGACTTGGTTGTAGCACTTCATTTACATTCAGTCCTCTCAGATGCAATAGTATTGTCTTACTGTAGTCTGTTAATGTATTGACAGGTTTCCTTTTTTTTAGTTTCATCCTTTAGAATCTTTGTTAGTTGTAAGAAATGTTTTTTTTTCTAGACACACTGCCTTATGAAACAGATATCTGTTTAAGATGACCCATAGTGTTGGACCATCATTGTTACCTGAGGTAACTAAGAGTCCCCACCTATTCAAACAAACATGAAACAACTGAGTTTCACACTAAGCATGTTGCACTTTCAACAAGACGCTCTACCAGTGTTCAAAACTGCCCATAGCTGTGAACACACTGCCACCTCTCCAGCTTACTTGATGTACCATTCATGTACATTTTGATTCAAACATTTAAGATTAACACTAACAGAACTTTTGTCACAATATGAAGCACCACTTTGTCCATACGTTTGCTACATTCCCTTAATATTCTTAGTGTTGTAACAACTCAAATTGTGATTGATATGCTAAACAAAAGGCTTGTATTTCCCCTAGTGTAGTTGTTGAAGCCTCCTGTAATATCTGTGATCCCCCGCCTGTGCATAAGCAGCCACTAAGTCAGTGTGAATACCTAAGTCATGTATATAATGACCTGTATATCCTACCAGAGACTGTGATGTTGTTGTGGCCAGTACCCGTGCGGACTGATTGTGCGTGTGTGGGAGCCTTGTTGTTGTAGTTATTTATCCTGTGACGTACCGGCTGCCAGTTGTATTTATAAAACCAATGATGCCAAAGTCGTGTAGGAGACGTAGCTTCCCTAAGACTGTACATACTGTGTACACATGATGGTAATCTGTACCTTATGTACCATAAGATAACACTATGTCAAACAGCTGATTGACCTCTATTTAATAGAGAGAAAGAATAAAAGTATTTCACTGTTGCTCTTGTGTAGGTTGCCACGATTTTCACTACTTTGTGTATATTATTGGATGTCCTAAATCAAGGGAGCCACAGAGTTCTGGCACAATGTTTATTTGAATGGTAATGGGTTAACCTTCAGCCTGTTAGGGTTCAAATTCATGCAACTCACACTGTTAGAGTTCCTACAACTGGCTCATCTATGCATCAAATAAACATGACATAACTTGGTAAATACACTTATTAAAGATACACAGACACATAACACACAAACCAGCCAGCTGGGGGCCAGGGGATTTTTTTTAAAAAGGACATTTCACCCAGAGTAAACTCTTACAGGAAACAGTCTATTTTATGGGTACCAACTTGGAATGTTGAATGTGGCAATATTTTTCTTAACAGTTTAATCATGAATGAACAACTTTTCCAATTCAACACAGTATGTGAACAAGCAGTGCAATAGCACATTCGAAGACAACTGCAATATCTCATCCTACATGTACAACTGCAATAATAATATTCTACATATACAATGTAATACCATTTCTTCCACTATCTCTGACTCAGCTGTACATGTGTATAATACAAGTCCTCACATCACCACACACAGTGCTGACCGAACAGTCTCGGACTGTCCGTCTGTTTTCAGCACGTTCTTTGCGTCCTTGACAATGACAGTCTGGCTGTTCCCATAAGCATTGTACCTGGCTGTGTAAGTTCTCTCCAGGTAGTTCCTGGGCAGCACCAGGCTCTGCTGTTCCTGCCATATCTGCTGACTCGTGTCTTGGTAACGACGGCGGATGGAATCGGGGATGGCCGGCGCAGTCTTCCTCCTGTTCATGGAATCATAACTCTGACAACAAAACTTGTACCCTTCTTTGCTGTCACTGGTTAAAATTCCTAGCGGAGGCTTTCAATGATAAAGCTGAAGGCACTGTTACATCCCAATTGCAGCGAAAAGGTCTCCTTGGTTACTGGTTACATCATCAGTAATGTCCAGCCATCTCCTAATCTCTCCATGTGAAGAAAGCCACCTGTCTCCGCTGTGGAGTGTCCAGGAAACTGCCAGACTTGTGCAATGTACCTGTAAAAGGATTATATTTGCTTTAGTCAAAGAGGTTCAATTTAGTTTAATAGAAGGATTGATAATGAACTTGAATCAGGAATTATAATGAAGAGATCTTTAGCTGCACTGTTGGAACTTCTAGATATACCCGGTATGCTGTTCCAGCATTGTCATAATAAAGTAAAGCTGCCAAAGTCAAGTTTGGAGACATCTATGGACTAGTACATGCAAGGAGGTCAACCTCATTGGTAAACTCAAGGCACTTCTATGATCTTAAATCGGAACCGACGCTCCTGCACAAGCGTATAACTTACCTCAAGTTAAAATCAACATAGTACAGGGATCTGGAGTCACATCGTTGATCTCTTGACGCAAGGTTTTAAACATAACCGCATTCTTACCCGGTTATTTCAACAAACGTCTTTACTCAGAACCAGGGAAAACAGACATGTTTTGGTTCTGTTGTGGCGGAAACGACAGGTTGCACTTTGACCTGTTGAAGCGGAAGTCGAGGGGCGGTCCGTATATGCACCTTGTATCCAGTTTTACGGACCATCTGCTGAATGTAGGGCAGCAGTTGTGTACTAAAACGTCTGGTTTTACTGTCTAGGCTACAACAAGACCTCAGAAATGGCAAAAATTTGCAGCGATGGAGTTTTAAGCGGCAACTTCCGCGATCTTTGACAAAACCCTGAACGTGAATGTTGACGTTTGGGGCTAACTACTGACTTCTGGGGGACAAAAACATATGATATTAATACTATTGCTCAGAGTTATTGATTTTAAGGAGCTTTATGTATACAAAAAGTGACAAACATTTGTTTGAAATACTTATTTTGAGATTTATTTCGCTAAACTCTATTATACGATATAAAATGTTATATTTACAAACCCCTCCGCGGAATGTAAAATAGAGCCGTCTGGATATACAGGGTCCGGGGCTCTTTGCGCAGGAAGTCGAGCGACTCCGTGCAGATCCAAAATGGAGGAATGGAGACAGTGCGTACAGTGGCTCATAGAGTGCGGGGTTCTAGCCCCGACACACCGCGCCACCTGGCCAGAGGCGCAAGTCTTCGACCTGGCCCAGACCCTGAGAGATGGAGTGTTGCTGTGCCAGCTCCTCAACAACCTGAAGCCCGGATCTGTGGACCTGAGACAGATCAACCTTCGGCCTCAGATGTCGCAGGTAAACACCCCGCACAACAACCCTGCTTTCCTTACCTACAGTTTCCTGGTCACAGTTTCGCCACGCTTGTGCCTTACCGACGGTACCTGGTCTTTAGATTCGGTGTAAGGTGTTGGCACAATCACGGGAAGTCTAACTGTGGCCCCAGGCGGGACAGATTTCCGTCCAACTTCGACGAGATAAGAATCTCTAAGGGTGTTTACATGCAGAAATTTTTGCATCGTTTCTTTGGGGTTCAAGTTTGTAAGCGAGTCGTACTGTTTTGCTTTAAACGAAACCAGCTGATTAGACACTAAAACATTATACAGTTATCTCAGTATCTCTTCTTTGTCCCATTCTTGTTGGATATGCATACATTTAAATCAATACAAGACTTTCAAGTTTTTGGGATACTGTACTTAATATTTTCTTAGAAACAGGAAGACGTTAAAAGGTTCATTCCAGAAAATTTGCAGAAACAAAGATCTGTACAGTATAGTGTTAGATCTGTCCATGCGCTATGTACGTCAGTTTATTCTGTTTGAAGGTGTTGTAATGATTTAGTATGACAGGTAAACAGACAGGTGAAAGTCAATGACACCAAACTGTAACATAAATTATACATGTAGTAGACATAGCAAACATTATCAACACCAGCGCACAACAATAACAGAGATTTCGAAACACGTTTAAGGAACTGTCCGTCACAGTCAATTTGTTTTGCTTTCCCTTGCGTAGGCAAAATGTAGGGCATCTTTATAAACAGTGGTAGTTTTCGCTACAACAGCTGCAAGGCATCACACTATTGAAGAACTCTTAAACATGCACAGAACTGGAACATGTTAGAAGTCAAGATGTAAGCATTTGAAGATGCCGTGCCAACAGAACCATGAAGAAAACTGCTCGTCATCAGAAATAGGTTAATCCCCTGAACTTTATCTCTGTGTTTTGAGAACATTTAGGATGTTCTGGACCAAAGCAGCCGTGGCTGAACGGATATGTTCAGGAAGTCTGCAGTAAGAAAATGGGTCAATCCATAGAATGTGATTCTTAACCTTAACTACGAGCTCAGTACTGTGATGGGGTCTCCCATCATGTGTGTAAGTACTAACTTCATAGCAACGTGACGTCCCCAGAGTTTAGGAAGGGACTAATGGACACTGTATTTTATGTTCATCATCCACTGTGCATGAGGTACAATAATGGTGCATTATGGTGGAACCTGGAACCTTCTGATATTGTTTAATGTGATTTACTCTAGCATAGTCTTCATCATTCAAGATGAACCTATTATAAAGCTTTCCACCATTGGTCACAAACTAATGTTCAGATTTTTAAAAATTATAGCATGTCCCAGGTGCAGTTAAGTGTGGTGGGATTTCGGTGCTTTCAAATTGCTCTCTCCTGAGACTTGGTGATGTTTTATTACAACATTAGACCTAGTAGTACACTAGACCTAACCATGAGATTTCAAAAGGGTGCTGGCACTCTTTTCCTCATTCAAGAACAACGGCATTGTGTTTGTAGGATATTTACATGAAAGTGAAATTTGTCATCAGCCTGAAAAGAATACCAATGCAGGTACCTCTGTAGCCACAAATGGGTGTTATCATGTAAATGATCAGCTTGTGTATAAACATGAGGTTTCCTAGGATGTCCACACTGAAGAAATTCTTCCTGAGGCCTAGGAGAAAAATTATGTGTTTCCTGTTTCAGTCCTAAAAAATTAGGGTCAGTAGGTAGGGATTTTCTTTCTTTCTTTTTTTTTTTAAAGACTTCAGCCGAGAAGTTCAGGGATATCTACTAGTTTATAGTGGTCCAACTTATACAATACAGTTTAACAAAGTAAAACTTCCATGAAGACACTTTTATTTTCAATGTCAATGTTAGAAAAACAATTGTGCAATGTTTTATTTATCTATGTCCCTTGCAGGGGTCCACCCCCAAAAAAGTCCAGGGTCGGTTGGGAAACAGGAAACACAACATTTTTTTCCTAGGCCTGACATGTTCGACTGTTTGTTCAGGAGGTCCTATACAAACTTGATGAGAATATTTGGCCAAAATTAAGTTATAAATGATACGGTCTAGATGTTTCAGATTGTAGCCTCCAGGATGAAAAGAAAATTGTTTCATTATTTTTTATTGAAAGTCTATACCAAAATTCCCTTTTCACAGCTTGTATAAGGTATTGACTTTAGTGCTATTGATTTATCTCACAACTGGGTGTAAAGTAATAGCACCCAATAACTATTTATCACCCTACATAAAAGAACAAAGGCATTAGGAGACAGGGACTTTTCATCACCCAACATGAATAACATTTTCTTTGGTCAGCATTACCCTTTTGGCTTGGCACACTGCCCAGGGACTGTCCAGACCTTGCTAAAAAGCTTTGAGCCTGAACAGAGCTGGTTAAAAAATGTGGTTAACGTTACCTGCAGGATTTCAGAAAGTAGGGCAACCTGAAGTCAATTTTATTGGACATTTCAATGATTTCCTAGCCTGGGTACTATCCTGGTTAGTTTACGTCTGCTCCCACAGTCGCTAGTGGTTGGTCGGTAGCAACTGTGGGAGCGGACATAAACTAACCGGGATGGTACCCAGGCTAATGATTTGAAATTCCCAATATCTGTAAAAAATGTTTTATGGTTGATTGTGGTGTGCATATTATTTGGAAGGGCTTCAAAGCATACTGGGTAGCTAAGGGGATGAAGTTGGCCATCTCTGTCTTCCTTTAGATTGTAAATTATGCATAGCACAATTTCAGAAATAAATCTGTTTATCCTTGCATTATCCATGAGAATCTATCGTATTAGACTGGCAGCACAAGATTATAAAACTCCCTCAGGTGCAGCCAGAGACAGACAAAAGGGTACTTAAAGCATGAAAGTTAGATTTATGATGTTTAAGGCTCGTAACCAAATGATGTTGAGCTTGGAGGCTGGAGCCCTTGTTTACAATTTGATGTTTAATTACTGTGTAATGTATGTGATAAATTACAACTATGCTACAGATCATTCTGGTGAGTTATATATTTTGCATGTACAGTCCTTTTAGCTAAACTACGGGTATACTTCTTAGCCTATAGGCTACAATTGTGTAGCTTGGTGGTCTTGTTTTTGTATTTAGCGATACGGTAAGCATTTTTATTTTCGAGTGCAAAACAAAAGAAAATTGTCAGGGGTGATATTGCAATAAAGTAGACCTGAACTGAAAAATGGAATAGAATCAGGATATAGAAATATGCATGTAATTTACTTACAGCAGACACAGACTAAACATAACATAGAGCGGTCCTGGTGACACTTGCGAGGTGAAAAGTTGAAGGCAATAGCAATTAACTTAATTGCAGCAAAGGCAGTGTAGTGTATGTTTTCATGGCCTGGTAATGGGATGACAGTGGAGTTGACTGTACTTACATTAGAACTGATGTTCCATTATGTACACTGTCATCATATCTAATGGAGCTTCAGTAATGGGGTTTGTGACATTTGATAAACGATAAAAGAGCTGCATACTCAGCAGATCCCATTTTGGACTGGTGGACTTTGAAATGACATCTTACACGTGTATTTGCTATCCAATAATAGAACTGGAGTAGTACTTTTATAGGCCCTTGTTGATAAGTGACAGATAAGTACCCTACATCAGTATTGTCTGTATTACCAACAGTCTAACTTTATATGGCCTGAAATTAAAAATTTAGCTTATTTTGTCATGATTGGAGGAAATAAAAGGAGATTTCTGTTGTTATGAAATTCTCAAATTATTTGAGAATATATATTCTACACTTATATTTCATGCAAGTAGTTAAAATAATTTAAAGTTACTGGAGTCTCTGCTCTCTGTTCGAACTTAGATTCAAGTTCAATGTCAAACAGATCAAGTCTTTCCACTTGAACAGGATTTAAAAGTAAACATTTTTCAGGAAGGTAAATGTTGTACAATAGACGTTCAATAGGATAGTTTTTGCCATGTCTGAGGTGATGAAATTTCATGTCAAATCATCTTATGAAGCCTCTTATCAGTTGTTTCCAGACAGTTTTTATTACCTTGTTTCATCACGATTAGTAATTGTTTAGTTATGAGTGAAGTTAGGATAGATTCTTCATAACAGCAATGTGAAAGATCTTTAAAGGGTCCAATGTCACAGGTACTTCCTTTGTAGACATCTAACTCTCTTCTAAGCATGATTTCAATGGACCTATTGTAAATAAAGATAAAGTCAAAACAGGGTAACTGGAAAAGTGGAGGAATGGAGATAAAACTAGAAGTATCAGACTATTACCGTTGCAAGGAATTCAGCATGAATTTATTTAATATATCTATCACTTGTCTTCCCAGGTTACTGACAGTAATTATGGTGCACTACATTATTTATATGAAACCGTAACAGTACATGAGGAAGTGCTGAATGATGCATGACCTCACAATCTTCTCAGAACTCTGGTATTTTGATGATCATTTCCTTGATCTGTTCAAGACCTGTTGTCAGTGTCAGGCTGTCCATCTGATAATCTCCTGGTTCTGTTCAGACATTTTTGTCTGGAAGAGAAACAGATGTGAAAGGAAATACTTAAGACTAGTCATGGTGAAGAAGAACTTCCAGACTCAGTAGCCAGACTTGGGAGTTAACTTTCTATCTGTGTAGCCGATACAGCTGCCCTTTGGCATAACACACCAGCTCTGCAGGCACATGGCACAACAATAGGTGGTTATGTCTTATGATACACTGAACGACTTGTCACACCTAACCCTGCCTCAAGCAACTGTATAGACTTATAAGAAACCTATCTTGTGAGGATGTCACTAATGTACTTGGTAGCATTGAGTTCTCCCTACAATTGTTCTAGAAAAAAACAAACTCAGACACAGTTTTCCATGGGCCAGTAGGGTAACTCAAGCTAGCATCATGGCTCACAAATATGAATACCAGTGAGTGATAAGATCTACCTGTACACTTTGGAGCAGAGTTCTGTTACTCTTTTTGCCGAGTACAACCAAACATGTATAACCTCCCATGTACCCTCATGACTGGTAAGATCTACCTGTATGTATACACTTTGGAACAGAGTTTTCTTACTCTTTTTGCTGATTACAACTAACAAATATAACCTCTCACGTGCCATTCTGAGAGGTACAACCTTCTTATATATTGCGTGCAAGCCAAGTAAGTGACAACAGGCTGGGATTCGAACCCTTGACCTTTTACATGCTAATGCTGTGTGTTATTAATGACTGAACTATGCGTGTTAGCCAGTGTGTCATGAAATTCTCACGAAGTAAGACCATGTATACAATAGTACAACCGTACATTGTATTACCAACCAATCCACTTCTATTTACCCAACACTAAGATCCCATGGATTATGGTAGTAGTAACTCAAATGCACCTGTCGTCTGACACCTGTGCTTAAACAATTCCAGTCGTCAATCTAACCTGTACCAGCAAGTGCTTGCCAACAACAGTCATTGCACAAAGTTGTTATAATAATCATATATCAGTAACTTGAGTAACCAGATAGTAGCCCTAACATTATGGTACATTCTATTTCAAAGTAGAATTACACATGTAATAGATAGAGTAGTGATATAGAATTCATTATGTACATGTTTGATTTTGTTATGCTACCAAATCTCTGAGTCTGACAATGTTGTTCTGTTTGTCTGTAAACAGTTCCTTTGTCAGAAGAACATCAACACATTTCTGGGTGCGTGCAGGACCATGTTTGGGATGGGCCCTGAGGACCTGTTTGATGCACGTGTCCTCTTCGAGGTCACAGACTTCCTGAAGGTACGGTCTTAACTAGAACAGCTGGCACACTTCAGGAAGTTTTGTTTTTTAAACTCTATAACTGTAATCATTTTGTAAGATGTTTGGAATGTTTGAGCATGTGTACTTTGCAGAAAAACACTCTGCATCCTGTAAATTTGACATTGGTTTGATCCATGTATCAGTATCAGTACTTAGTTCAGTATCTATATTTAATTTAGTACATCCGTTCCCTTGAATTGAAAAGTTGAAGACTTAGATTTGGTCTAATACAAACTGAATGTAGCTGACTATTGTATTTTTAGAGGCCTGATAGACCCTCTAGTAGATCTTCCATGTAAAATTTTGTGCCATATACTGATAGAGTCATAGACCTTTTATTTTTACCATTTACAACATTTACTGATCCTCTTGTGTCCGCCTCTGCACAGGTTATCAAGACCTTGTCCAAGCTGTCCAACACACATCTTGCAATCCAAGCAGGAAAACGGTACTTTCTTCACTGAACTGAATTACAACTATGTTGATATTTTCACAATCTGAAGCTCTAGTTTTAGACGCCACTGGTTCACGATGTTTTGTTGGTTAAGTTTCAGTCATTTATACTGTCAAAAATAAATTCTGTAAAAAGATACAGCTATGGCAATCAGCAACAACAGAGGAATTGGTGGATTTAAAAAAAGACTGCATGATTTCAAATGGTCAATCTATGATAGCAGACAAATAGGTATTTTATGAAGTGACGTCTAAAGAGTTTTGTCATTTTGCCAGGCCATTCCCCAATGCTAGTAACAGTAGATATGAGGAAGAGGATGATGAAGAAGACATCTACAGAAACCTGGAAGACTTGGCCAAGTGAGTGTTTATATTTCACATACCCAGACGTACATACACGAACAGTACTATTTGTATTAGGCTATTTTAAGACGCAGTGAAGGAAAGCATATGGTAATGACCGTCATCTTGTGTATGTAGACAGTAGTGCAACGACAGAGTGCTGTAAAACACTTCAAAATGGCTCTTTAAGTTGGAAACAATAGTTGTTTGTGCATCAATGAAAGCTGTCGTGGTGCCACCAGCTTGTTCTTGTTGTGTTCTCAGTGAGTGTGACCTGGCCGATGAGGATGACCTTTATGACACTGTCCCTGTGGAGGATGAAGACATCTATGGAGACATTGTTGGAGTGGTATGCTATTTTCTTTACATGGACTCATTTTTTATTGATTGACTTAGGGATGTGTACCTAAACGTTGTATCAGGTACAGGTACAGGTACAAAGGATCAAGTACAGGTCCAAACCTAAAGGCGATAGCGATGTTTCACCTGTTTTCAGTGCAAAATTTCAGAGGTCCAGTTGGGTCATAGGAAAACAAAATAAATAAATAAATTCAATTAACATGTGTTTGATTTCATCATGACATAGGGTTTTTACAAGAATGGGAATAGTATATAGTATGCCTCTAGCAGGTGGGTAAAATTCATATTGAAAAATCCTTTTTTTTTATAATACTTTAAAACAGTTTGCCTTTTGTCTTTACAGCAACAGCCCATCCAGAAATCTCTCTCTGTCCATGAGAAGAAAAACTATGTAGTAAAAGAACTGCTGGACACAGAGAAGAACTATGTGGAAGCTCTGAACATGATTGTGCAGGTAAAACCACAGCCAGCGTTATATCATTATCTGGTATAGAACGGGCCTTTCACTGGTCCACGTCATACAAGCGAGGATAAGCCCCAGTCTAAGCTGTGGAATGCAGATCAATCCGTTTTTTTTGCCATAGGCTTATTGTGAATAGTGCTGAGCTCATGATTGGAAAAATGCAGCTGAAATGTCATTGAACCCAAATTCAAGAGGGTAGCATCAAACCACTGCAGCAGGGACTGGAAAACCAACATTTTGTTTAAAATCAAATCCATGATGACACAGCTATATTTGACTCATCTGAAATATATAGAAATGGAATACAAGTAGTAGACCATGATCACTATCCTGCAGTGCCACCTAGCTTGAGCAGGTAGTACTGCAGTCAACGTTTTTCTAAGATGCTGATGTTGATTGTTCCTTCTGTCCAGCACTTCATCCTTCCTCTGAGGAACTTCATCTCACAAGATGATGAACAGATCATCTTCATTAACATACAGGTCAGGACACAAGACATTTGTTTGTATTCTATAGTCATAGATATAAAGTAGACTCAGGAAGCCCCTTTAAATGTTAGAATGAGTGAAACCTCTAATAAATGCTGTAGTTGATATGGTTTAATAGCAGATTTACTTCATTGTTCTAAATGTGAATAGGGAAGTTTTGCCTGCCTTTTGTTCAAAGAGTGATTTTATTGAAATTTTATGAGATTAGCTCTTCAGTGAGCTAAACCTGGATCGAGATGACTTTTCTTTCCTTTTCCCTAATCTTCCCAGGACCTGTTCAACGTCCACAAGGGTTTTCTACAAGACCTAGAGAAGGCCTCACGCCACCAGCGCACCACCATCAACATCAGCAAGTGTTTCCTGGACTGGAAGGACAGGATGCTGATCTACGGGCAGTACTGCTCGGACATGCAGTATGGACAGGACCACGTCGACAGTCTGTGTCAGAGGAACGCTGACGTCAGGGCCAAGATTGAGGTAATCCTCCATCTCTCTTCCCAAAATAGTTTTGTCAGGCTGGTAGAGCATAGGATATAGGGATTTACTTTAACACAACCAGGATTGTCTCTTGCCTGGCTTATGTTTCTGTGTCATCAAACACCTTCCTCAGAGCTTCTGACTGGACTTCTGCCACTCAGCCACAGTTGTGTTCTCGCCACAAAAGCGCCACCTACATTGGTTACATACAGCGGCAAGAAGCAGAACTCCAGTCAGAAGCTCTGAGGAAGGTGTCTGATAGACACAGGAATGTAAGCAAGGCAAGAGACAATACTGGTCGTGTTAAAGAAAAATCTTTATCCACTGTCTCTCTTGTATACTTAATAAATGAATAAATAATACTTCTGTTTGTCTCACATTGTCAGTTTGCAAAGTGATAAAATTTTCAGTTCTTTCAAGGAACCAGTACCTGGACTTACATATGTCTCTTACTACAAATGTAGCTGATTTGTTACCAGTCCTTCTCACCAGAGGTGTATAGCGTCAAAATGAATGACAATTGTGTAATGTGCAGTCTGCTTTCTGTGTAATAATTGCAGTTAATGTCACGACTAATGATCACTGAAACTGTCATGTATCTTGAATTTATGGACTTACTGTTCATATTATGCCTCCATCCTTCCTTTTCTACCTTCAGACCTGTGATTTGGAGTTGACTTTAATGTACATTTCAGAATGGATGAGCTGGATTGTTATTGTTTCACTGACCTGCTCTGTGCTTTTGAATGGTTACAGCCATGCTTGTTCTTCTGATATATTTTTCTTCAACAATGCAATAGTGGCAACACACTTGCCGATACTACGTTTGGCCTATGTGTATGTAAGGCCTGTGTGTCATACAAGAAGATGTAAAAATTCTGAGTTGGATGTGTGATGTTGTGCATTGCATATTGTACCATCTCCATACCATAGCCTGTTGTAACCTTCACGAAAGTGGTGTAAGAACAAGCCCATGGCAGGGCTAACTGTGAATGATTCCGTCACGCTACTAGTATCTGATTTTCCTCTCACGTCTCACACTGTATATTGAGAAAGCGTCCTGGCTTAACCCTCTTCTGACTAACCCTGGCAAGTGTGTTGTTGAAGTGTTCTACATTGCTATCTTGCTCTCTTCTCTCCGGCATGCGGCCAGTCCCAGCTGCGCGGACTTGGGCAGGTACAACTGGAGGTAGCTCTCATCTGTGGAGTCCCAATGTGTCCTTTTAACTGTGCCCAGGACTAGTCATGGTGCATGTGTACAGCAGGGATGACAGCCTTCTTGGCTTTAGTATGCTTTTTTCTCCTTTCCTGCCAAAAAAATTAGACCCACGCGTATTCTATCCATCTGATGATGATCTCACATATTGAGCTAATTCAACTGTCGCATGCTGGACAGGGCCTCTGCTGATTGGATGACTGCCACTCTGGTTTGCCCAATCAGCGTGCCTGTTCAAACGTCTGAACAAACATTTAAATGACAGACAGGTAGAATATGTGCAGGTCCAGTCATTTTGGTAGGGAAGCGAATGAGAAAACATACTAAGGCTACAAAGGCTGACATTCAGCCTAGCTCATGTATCACAGACAAGAACTGCAAGTCTTTCTTGCCACCTTTTCAATTCATCCTACATGTATTTTGCTGCAGGTCTACATTCAAAATAATCTATGGCATGGCTCTATGGCATGCATATATGAAGAAAAAGCTGTTGAGAGATGTTGGTTGAAGTTTTATGTAGACAAATTGTACGTTGTAAAAGATTATTTGCGCAGTTAAAAGGACCTTCAGGTGGTGCAGTATGTTTATTTTGTGTTTGTCCTGTGTGTTGTGTTGTACATGTATTAAGCCACTGTGATGTGTTGTGTCCTGCTATACTATGTTAGTATGTGTCAAGAGTTGTACTGGTACCTACATTATCTGTCACTGTTACTGTGGTACATATTTATTATACATGTGTGTCACGTTGGTCTTTCAACAAAAACTTATGTGTACCTTTATGTATATCTAAAGGTCTGCACGGGACAAGTAAATGTAAGATCTGATGCTTCTGTAAAATAGCCTGTAAATAATTACTAAATCACTTCTATTAAAATAAATAGCACTCTATGTGAAACCAAGTTCATCACTTTTAGTGATTCTAAAATTATGTATGTGAATGTAGTCTTCAACGATAACAGCCTCCAGTTTAATTCTGGACTTCCAGTTTAAGTCCGGACTAATTCCCATATCTCAGCAACCTTACATCTAGATGGGCTAATATCGTAACCTATCGGTAAAAATGATGTAAGAAGTTTGTATATTATGTATCGGCCATCGAGGACCCCTTGGGGATTAACCCAATTCTGCAGAATTATTCCCAGAATTCTGGCTCCAGTTCCCAGAATTGGGTCAATCCTCAAGGGGTCCTTGATGGCTGCCACGTATATCTTACATCATTTTTACCTATAGTTTAGGATACATCAGTAAAGAGCTGATTTGAAGTTGTATTTATATTTGACTGTGCCCCCCTCCCCAGACCTGTCAGATGGCGTGTAATCAGGGGAAGTTCCGCCTGAGAGACCTGCTGAGTGTGCCCATGCAGAGGGTGCTCAAGTACCATCTTCTGCTCAGGGTAAGGAAATCAGAGATAGCAAACTTCACCCCCTCACCCACACTGCTCTGTGACATTTTACATATGGATACAAGTTTGACATAATTACTGAGTTTAATGATAATGCATTTATTAGGAATGAATATTAAGCATTCCAGCTAGTTGTTTGATTCACAAGCACCTTAAAGTGGTCTAAGGTATGCCTAACTGAATTCGTTCTCTGTAGGAACTTATCAAGCACATTCAGAAAACCCCAAGTGCCTCCAAGGAAGAGAAGGAAGGGCTGGAACAAGCACTAGCAGCTATGCAGGTAAAACATGAAGCACATCCAAATAGCACAACACTAATAAAAAAAACTCTTATACATATAAACAACAGTAATAAAAAAATACTCTTATACATATAATTTGTAATATTGTGTTTCATACTGAAAAGTAGAACAATATGAACTCCTATGAAAAAGATATAGATTAACACTTCAGTGCTTTGCTCATGTCCTTGGTGCTGAAATAAGGGTTAACATAAGTTCTAACATAAGTTATTGTTACAACAGGACAGTTTTGGCCTTACATGCTGATGTTTCTCCCCCAGGATTTAGCACAGTATGTGAATGAAGTGAAGAGAGACAATGAGACAGTAGAGACCATCAGGAAGGTTCAAGAGAGGTGAGAAAAGAAAAACAACTGATTGCTTGTTCAGTCACTTTAAAGGTTTGATTGTACATGTATGTATACTTTCCCAGTCATCATTATTCCAACTGCCTCTGGATAGTTACATTTTTTGTGACTGTTTCATTATGAATGCAAAATTTGGAAAACATCCAAGGGAATATCACAAGTAGACATGTAACATACATTTCAACATTTATCTTTTCCAGCTTTAATGTTGTAATAGTGATAGAAAGCATGCTATATTTGTGTGGTGATTCTCCCCAGTATCACAGACTATCCCGAGGGGAAGGACCTGTCAGATTACGGCAGATTACTGAGAGATGGAGAGCTGAGATTCAAGAACCAGAGAGATAACAATGTCCAGAATAGGTGAGCGCAATAATATCAGAACCACATTTAAGGTTATTAAAGTGCACCCTCCTGTTAATTCCTATATTTTACACACAAGAATTTTGCCAAACTACTCTTCATATTTTTGACAGCAATTTTAGCCAGTCAGTACCTAACAATAAATTAGCAAGTACATACAGTGATAAAGGACTTCCTTTGCAGTATTTTCATGCCCTTATTTCTATCCCCAGATACTGTTTCCTGTTTGACAAAGCCATGGTCCTGTGCAAGCCACTGAGGGTCAGTAGTCATGCATTTTGCTCATCAGTTTTCCCCTGATTTCTTTTGTCTTTTACTTGCTTGAAACTTCTGTCCAATGTCTGTGTACTGAGGTTGTGTACTACAGATATGCTATTTAGATTTGTAGGCACCCTAAGGCTTACAAACTGTATATTACTGTATATGTTGTGCTATGATTCCATTAAACTAGCTCAAGCGTGTTTGAATGACTGTCCCCCCTAATGTGCTACAGCGGTCCAGTAGGATGTCGGAATATATCATTCCCAACTGTCAGGTGCTCACTTTTGCTGTCTCTTCTCTGTCTTTCTGCAATTCTTATGTCTTTGTTTTTTTTCTGCACTTGTAGAATTTCTATTTACCTGTCACCAGCCTTCTATCTCTTACTGCTTGTGTTTGTTTCCTTATGCATGGTAACAATGTCTGTTTGAATGTACAGCACTGTTCTGAATCACCTTAAAGTTAGTGACAGTGACACACATATTGAAGGAAGAAGGAAGTAAAACAAACTAAGACAAATTTGTAGCTGTGAAAACTCTCTCCGCTTGCAGGGCGACACTTACAGTCTGAAGGATGTTCTGGAGCTCAGTGACCAGACAATAGACGAGTGTAAAAATGCAGTACCTGAGAAAGGCCTGTTTGCCAGAGACAAGGTGAGACGAAGAGAGCCCTCAGTTCTGTGGACGATAATCTCTTTGGGGTACTGTGGCTAGAGATGTTTTGGTTTTGTTATACAGAAGTATGAAACATTTGCAGTCTTAGTTCTTTATTGAGATTATTTGAATAGGACTCAAATTTACTCCCTGTAAAATACTCTCTGTAAAATACAGTTTAAAAAGATGGACATTCTTTTGGTATGACACACTCAGACTTGCACAATTCTCCCAAAGATTGTTCTTTGGTATCACACATTTTCTTAGTATGCCTGGCTTTGTGTCACTGGCCTGTTGGTGAGTACAAAACTGAGATATTTAGTTCAGTCAGTGGATTCTATGTTGTTACCACATTGTTTGGTGCCACATTCACACGTACATTGTGCATCATTAAAAAAAAGGGCATCTTGATAATCAGTTTGATCTAAATTGTCCTTATCCTTTCTCATCAGCAGTTTGCATTGCCACAAATCAGGCCATTCTCGTCCAAGCATCATACCACCATGCTGATATATCTGGAAAAAGTGAAACCATTTGCCAACCTCTGTGTTGGAAAGTAGTTTAACTTTTTCCATAATGTTATATACTAACTGAACTCTCATGCTGATATGTTGAAATTTTAATCAAGGGTAGAACTTAATGATAATTAAGCTTAGAAAGGCTGATTTCTACCACACATTTGTATAGTTTCCTCCTCTTGCTCGTTATCTCAAGAGTGATTTTCTATGTTGACAGTGGAATCACTACTGGGAGATGTCAGACAAGAGAGGTGCCTGTGGTTGGACTGTCTATGTCAAGACTTCTGAGCTGAAGAGAAAATGGCTGGAGGCAGTCAGCATGGCACTGTAAGTACAGTATAGAAGTCCAGTGAAGAATTGGTACTTACTATAAAGAATCATTATGTAGTAATTAAATCAGCTTGAAAGGCCCTTGTGAAAAGTTAAGGATTTTTATGTTTTTTTCATACCATGATATGATCTGCTTTGTGTATTCCAACTGTGGCGGGACTGCCATGCAAACATAGGGATGATAAGCCACACACAATGCTGTACTCTGCCATAAAACTACATGTAGATCTAGAGTGCTACCATCATCTTCTGAGATGGATATATATATTATAAGAAATGATCCTTTACTATATATATATAGTAATATATTAACAATCATACATGTAGGTATAACAAAGAATATCAAGTAAAGTAGGGAAAATTTATTTTATGATATAAAACTTGTTCCTTTTCAGGGATAACCTGTGCCCACGACAGCTGACCCAGGGGAAGGGTGCCACTCACCAGTTAGAGATGTACACATTCAAGGAACCAACAAGATGCAGTGTCTGCAGCAAGCTGCTCCGGGGCATCTTCTATCAGGGCTATTTCTGTTCAGGTACAAATCTCGGTTTGAGTCTGACAGGAGAATAACAGAAACTGATGTGAAGTGTGTTAAAACACAGAGAGTGTATGAAATTGAAGTCTCAGGTAGAGTTAAGAAAATATTAAATGATTGTGGAAATAAATTTTTTAAAACCTTAAGTGCACTAACCTCGGTGATGTTCTTATTGGTTCAAGCTTGCTTTGATAATAGCTCAGCACAAACTACCATGAAGAAAACCTGATAATTGCAAAGGTGTTCTGTGTCCTTTTGAACATGTTAGCCATTCCTGTGTCTCAATATTTTATTCTATTTCTTACAGTTTGTGGGATGATGTGCCACAAAGAATGCATAGGGCATATGGATGCCTGCAAGACTGATGGTAAGTTACTAAAAATCTTGAACTTTTGAACTTGGAGAAATATTTCTTTCATCATTGTACTTTTCATTAGATTATTTCCCTTCTGTGCTGCATAAATGAATGACTAGATACAGTGCGCAGAGCATTTCATGTACATGTACATTACTACAAGAAGCTGTATAAACTTATGACCAATTCCCTGTCTCTTCTTCCAGCACCTCTGCCACCACCTAGGGTGAGTATCTGACTTACCCTGTACTCTGGCTTATGAAACAAATGATATTGCTAAACACTATACGTGTATATTGATGCTATGCAAGTAGAGGCTAGCAAAATCTTTTAGTTTAACAAAACCATATATCTAGCTCTTTTATCTGCTATTGTCTAGCATTAATAGGATACTTTCCTTGGCACAGGTAGTAATCATTCATCTGTAATTGAGCAGTAACTTAGGCTGGATTATAGAGAATGTAAGCTCTTCAGGATGAATGAACTTTCAAATGGTTCCACTCAACTACTTTTGGAGGGTTGTGAGAAGTATAGAACATGTGTTCCACTATGCCTCGAGAGGAGTTATGGAGTAGTTAGAACCTGTAGTAAATTCTAACCCATCATCTGTGGTATATGAATAGGACTTCAACACACCATCTCCTGTGAGAGTGAGAGCGGGCTTCAGCTCGGGACCAGAACTCCCCCCGAGGAACCTCTCCACCCCCAGGACACCCTCAACACCCAGCCAGCTGGAAAACAGACGTAAGTCAGCGCTCTACAGCTCTTCTGTGTCATTACTTCATCGTTATAGCAATCTCTCTTTGTGAAACATCCACCAATGTCTTTTCAAAAAAATTGTTTTTGCCTCTCTCTCTCTCTGTTGAATAGTTTTTCTCCTCCTGTTTGAGCTTCTGAATATCAGAAGTTTTAATGGTTGGTTTTTGGCATATGTTCAACCTTGGCCTTCAACATTGATAGAAGTAGTCATTCCTGATGCCTGTGTCGTTCTGCCGTTCAGATATGTTAGTGCAGGCAGACAGGGCGTACCACGGGATCCCCCCACCCCCCATCGGGGACAGGAAGGCTCTGACGTTCAATGATGGAGAGAAGCTGGAAACCACCAACACGACAGACCGAGAGTGGTGGGAGGTATGGTCTGGCTTAAGGCCTGGTCACAACCTGCCATACGTGCTTCTGTGTGCTATCTATGTGCAAAAACGTGGGCAAACGTGGGACGTCCGTGCGTGGTGAGTGCCGCCTCCGTACGGAATCCTACGGAGTTGGGAGCACGCAGACACACTTTAAGTGTGTGTAAAACTTTTTCTGCGTGTGGTCTGCGGATTCACCACCCGTGCGTGCGAGTACGAGCGATGCGCGTGCCCCGTACATACCGTACGGAAGAAGCATGTGTGAGTACGGCCTCCTTACGGTAAAGTTACAATCGCACAGAGATCGTATGTTGTAAGCTCGTACAACTCACCACTTGCGCAACGAACGGATGCACGCAACCGCTCATGGCCAGACATGGCGTGCAGACCACACTCTCACACCTTGCGCAACCGTGCAAGTGACGTGCGTAGACGCCACTCCTTCCCCACGTTTTCAGCAAAGACATAGCAGACATAGCCAGACAAAATACAGACAAAAAGCACGTACGGCGGGTTGTGACCAGGGCTTAACTATCTCATTACTACTTCTCATGGTCCAACTTCTCATCTGCTGAATGGCTGGAATGTTCAGTGTCATCTCACTGATTTCAAAACTGATGCTTCCTTTTTTGCTGTGCTCGAAGGGGCAAGTATATTGTATGAAAAAAGGATGTCAGACAATGAAGCATAAAGACTTCATAAAGACTTTAATATGCTCACTCGGTCACACCTTGGCTGATTCTCAATCCACAGGGTAGAAGACTAAGGGACTTGGAAAGAGGCTGGTTCCCAAAGGACTGTGTGTCAGAACATGTAAGAATGTTTTCATTTTTTTAAATTTTGCCTGCAACTCTTCTGTGGCCACTATATACTGTTTTGGAATAAACATTGACCAATGTCTTCCAAAAATGTCTTGACTCTGTGATGAAGGATTTTTCCTCCACATCAAGTTTTCTGATGACAATCTGAGCAGATAACCTTACATGGCAACCTTGCAGATAATGTCAAAATATATACCCCTCTGCTGTCAGCTGGTCCTCTATCACTATCAGAACCAGTATTAATCTTTTGTACCTCTTATTTCTATCCTTAATGTATTGGTGTTTTACATGTTCTATAATAAAGATCTAATAGCATGACTTCACTAGAAAAAGAGAGAATAAGCACATTTATTATTATTTAGTAATCTTTGTAACTGTTGAGTGTTCATAGTTCACTGATGTCTGAAACACTTGTTGGCATACATGTACTTATCATGCACTGTGATATTCAAGTTGTGTTCTAGTCAGAAAATAGTCTTATACATGTACACGTGGTACTGTTGACTGTCCTGTTTGTACTTCCTGATGTCGTGATGCTTAATTTTTGTTGCAATGCTGAGTCAGTCTGGCCTGGGTTCCATCCTGGTTAGTTTACGTCTGCTCCCACAGTCGCTACCGACTGTGGGAGCGGACGTAAACTAACCAGGATGGAACCCAGGCTAGAGTCAGTCATTTCTTATTCATTTATGCAAAACTTTTCTCTCAATTTCAAAGGCCATTCAAGACCTGGTGAGTTGTTGATGTGCATAAGTATGACTATTTATGATAGGTTGTGGGATAATTCGTGTGCGGTGTGCTGATTTGCATTCTATGCAGTTGTGATGTGCTCGTTGTTGTATATCAGGTAACTCGTCCTGTAACACTGTGATTCTATCAACATTGTGAACTGTTTGTTGACAGAGGATATCTAGAAGCCAGAAGCCGAGTTACGAGGAACCAGAGAGCAGGAACACCAACTGGCGACCACGGTCGGTCGCCACTAACGGGTCGCCAGCCGCTCCAAACAGATCACTTCAGTCCTTTCCCTGGTAATGGCAGCCAAAGCATTATTTTGTGTGTGCTTGTCTTTTGTTTTAGCGTCCCGCGAACGTTAGGCGAGCGTCGACAGGGGTTGCGTCAAACCGGGCATCCATAGGCTATGAAGACGCGTATCCAGGGAACCCGGTTGAACGTAGGAAGTCGGCACCACTTGTGCAACAACTTTCAGTTGCAGATTTAAAAAAATATAAATGGTAAAGAAAGCCACAATGTCTTACAGTACCTGGTGATACGGGCTACGGTATACTGGCTTTGCACGGCTGATAGCTGCTACCACTTTCTCACATGGAAATCTTCCAGCCAGTACAACTTTAACAGATCAAGGGAGCAATCAGCGTAGACATGCTGGGTATAACGGCAGAAACTTGGTTAAGGCACAGGCTCTTTGCATGTTTTTCTCTCAACACTAGTGTAATGCATAACTCATAGAAGGTACTGTATGAAATGTGTGTCATACTGCAGAATGTGATAGCCATTTAGATGTAGATGACCTTGTGATCTATCACCCATGCTTGACTGGAATTAAGTTTCACAGCTTGCTGAATATCTCTTGTTGCATCTTTTGTTTGCTGGAGACGTATCGCTGTGCATTTCATGCAGTACCTTCATTGGTGTAGTATAAATGCTCTGCCTATCTAAGGAAATTAAGGGTTATGATCCTGGTGTTACTACTGCTTGGTGTCTGTTTATAGGACTTCTCCTTGAATTAAAGACATTGGAATATCTGAAGATGTCTTTGGATATACATTGTATTCTCTTTGTTACAATTCACTTCTGAGTCCTGTTTGTACCATATTGATATTGCCAATTCCAATGTCCATTGTCTCATGTAGATTGGCTGAAATTTGGAAATATTGCTCACATGTCCCAGAGATATTCCTGTGTGAGTGTCATTACATGTACAATGTTTTGCTTTTCGTACATGCAGTAGTACAATGAAATGGACTGTTCTACTTTTAAGGTACTCTGGCCAGATGGAACGCGCTGACGCACAGAAGCTGTTGGAGAGCCTGTCCATGGGGGTGTATCTGGTCAGGGAGAGCGCTAATAAGCCAGGACAGTGGGCCATCAGCCTCAAGTAAGGATGCTTAGAAAATACTTCCGGAAAGATATGGATGTAAGACGGTAGATCAAGTGTCTCTCTAGATGGGATTTTTTGTGGACAACTACACTGTTTGCTAGCAGTCAAGTTGGCAGAATGATTTGGTGTTAGCATGTAATTGTACTTTATTATAATTTATGCACTGTGGATGTTTTGACTTGTGTGGATATATTTCAATTACTGAGTTTAAGGTTGTAACTGATTATTTTTTATGACAGACACAGACAAGTCAAGCATATCAGAGTAAACCAGCAGAACGGCTGTGTCTTCATTGCAAAAGACAAGATGTTCCAAAATATTGTGGTAAGTCTGTCTTTTTGGTACAGATTAACAAGGGTACTTTCAAATCAACTCCAAATATATCAGTCATATAGAAGTCAGTTGTAACTTTTGTCTCTGATTTGATCCCTTTCTTTAAGCATTCAGAATGTGTGTGAGTCTGTCACTTTCACCTTCTTTAACAAGATCCTGTTTCTATCACAGGAACTTGTTGAGTATTACCAGAAGAACACGCTAGGCAGCAGCTTCCCTGGACTGGACATCACCCTGGCCATTCCTTACAAGGAGTACAAGAACCCTCAGAACAGGAACTCTATGCCTCCAGCCAATGCAGGTACGGTGCATTTACTAACAGCACTGATTATATACAGTACAGACACTGTTTCCATGGACACTGTTTCCATGTTTCACAGTGTTATATTGTAGTTAACATCTTTTCAGTCAGTATACATGTATTTTTATCATGAAGAAGTTTTTATATGAAGATATTGACTTAGTGTTAAGAATAGTCAATGGGTATCCAAGTAAAGCTATTCAGCAATAGGCAATCCCTGTTTTGTATTTTCAAATTCATTATTACTCTGATTGACCAAATAGATGTCACTATATAACGTTTCTTTTTGAAAATAGTGTTGTCTGATTGAAAATTTTAATTTTGGCCCTTTAAGTCTTAACTGCTACACTACATTTGAAAGGTAAGAGTATAGAGGTAAAAAAAATGCTGGAAAAAATAACATCCATGTAAATCTGCCCCACAGCACCACCAAGAAACAGGAGGCAGTACCACCCCATCGGCACGGCGGTCGCTAAGTACCAGTTTGCGGCGCGCGACATGCGGGAGTTGTCTCTACAGGAGGGGGAGAAGGTGACCATCCTCAGCAAGGCTGGGGGAGACCAGGGCTGGTGGAAGGGACAGACGGCAGAAGGAAAGGTAACAGTGAAACAAGTGTACTGTTGCGCCAAAAAGCAGTTACTAAAGCAACTGGATTTGATTTTGGAAACAGTCAGAGGCTTCAGGTAGCATCCACTACCTTTTGTCAGTGACACTAACAGACTGCAGGAGAATTGCAGGTTTATCTGAAACGTTTGACCATTTCCAAAATCATATCCAGTTGCTTGAGTAACAGCTTTTTGGCATATCTTATTACCTGGATGTCTAACCTTCACCGACATAAGTGTACTGTTGGTTATACAGACAAACTGTTATAAAATTGCAATGGAAATCATTTGCTACAAGCAGAAGTCAACTGGTTAAATCTGGCCTGATGTGCACTACTTCTATAAAACTTGATTCATAAAAATGAAACAGTTTCATTTTAGAGAGTTTGATAGAAAGTGGTCTTGAATACTGTAATTGTAACTGTAATACCAGTTTCACTTCGTTCAAAAATTTTGCTGACTCTGAATATCAGCATACATGCACTGTGCAGTACAGAGCCAATGCCATGTTTTTCTCAGGTTAGTACATTTTGGATTTATCTTATTTAAACAAAGAGGCAAGCATGCCTAACCCTTGTGAGTCAACTAGACTGTCAGTGAATAGTGAGTGTGAATATGATGATCAACCTCACTAACTCTTTTCTGTTGTTCCTACACAGATGGGGTACTTTCCATCAACATATGTAGAGGAAGTTGACGAGTGAAGAGTGTTTTTCAGTGCTGGACCATCTCTGATCAACTTGTCCATGTCACGCAGGCATCAAAAACATTGTTTCTACCAATAAGCTGGAGGCCTTTTACTTTTCTAAGCTGCAATATGATTTTAGCACTAGATACTAGTAGTTTATGAGTGTAGTTTTGTGGGACTGCTTGTATCTATCTTCTCTACTTTAAGGGCATCTGTTTATAGCCAGGATCTGGCATTCTTGTTTTTCTGTCCTATAGTTAGCCATGCAATTGTCTTATGAAGATTATGCTGTTCCTGTGCCCCATGTGAATTTCTATTAATGTACGGTCAAGCCGAATCAAAGTGCTTTTTATTTTTGCAATTGTCATTCTGTTGGTGAAATATTCATTTGTACATAAAATCAATGGTACTATTATTAATCAAAGTGATGTAAACATTTCATTAAATTGTCTTCCTAACATGTTTTAAGACAGCAGTATGTTTGGTGTTTCTATATGATTGTTTTTTCTGGCTGTACATTCCTGTCATATATTATCTTATCCTATGCTAAATTGTTCAACTACTTTGTACTTTGTTCGACAAGTGAAGTAACCATTAGGTATTGTATACATATACATGTATTCATTAGTTAAAACACCAGGGACTTCTATACACAACTACATGTATAGGAAAATTGGCGAGGATGTATCTACAACAAGCCAGTGGTAGTTAGCAATGGAGAAACATAGGGAACAATGTGATACATAATGGGGACAACAAGGACAGTGATAAGTGAAAAGAGGGCTACTTTTGATGCTCAGTTGTATTAAGTCATTAGTCCAGATACTTGCAGGATGTAACGTTAATTGTAAAGCTGGTTGATATTATGACCATAATGAATTCTTTATATTATAGTAACTAGATATTTTACTGGTGTTGTAATATTCTCTGCAAGTCTGTGTAAGCTTACATGTACATGTATGAAAAGGACTTGCTTGGTACTGTAATTTCAAAAATTATGAATAGCTAATTGTATGCAGGCCATGAAATTGCTGCTTATCTTGTGTTTGCCTTAACGATTATTGTGCAAATGGGTATGGTTTTGTGAAATTTTGTTGCTTTTTTTTACGACGTAAAATTGTTAAGTAACGTTACATGTACTTCAGAATAGATAAAGATAACGTTATAATGATCTCTTTTTAAGGCTAGATGGATAATAGTTAACAGGTGGATATATACAAGAAAAAGTTGAAAATAGGTAAAAACTAGCATGGGAGAAATATCCTCTTTGCTTAGAGTCAAAGTAGCTTTATAAGAGAAACAAAAAGAATGACAAAAAGGGAACATGGATTGTAGCGTTGAAGTGCTTTGCCCAATGTTTGGGCCTTCTTTATCGGTGTCAGTTGTGGTGTATGTTTATAATTAAAGATTTTTCCATGATGGGACTATTATATGATTTTGAAGATGTGGATATTGTACAAAATGTTCATACTTAAAGCAAGTGTTGGAACTTTATTACCAGCAATGGCCAGCACATTAATCCAGGATGTATCACATGAAATACAGTAGTTAGTTCTATAGTTGGTAATTGGTACAGCCCCTTTAACTTGGAAGTCATGATGTGAAAAGTTTACTTGCAAGAACATATTTTACTCCACTTCAATGGCATGGGTGTAGTTCAGAATACATACTTTTATCTTGGACACTGATGTTACATTTAATAATGAAGAAGAAACAGTTGTAGTGTTAACATTATACCTGGAGTGCTCTATGTACATTGGAAAAAAATATACATTTAATCAGTCAGTAATTTGTGTTCATTGTGTTTTGTGTTTTCAATACACAAGTTGGACAAGAAAACTGTTGGGATGAAGTGGATTGAAAGGATAGAAATAACACAATAATTGGGCCCTGACTCACACAATAAAGACTGCATTTCAGTGGGTATTTTAAAAAGGTCAGCGGTCAGTGTAACAAATAAACATGAAATTATCCAGATTAATTCTTCTACTATAGTATATGTGTTAGTTATATTATCAACTTGTGTCAGAAACGCGGAAAACTTGGCACAAACTCAGTACAGAAAGTTTTCTCCGCGCAAGGACTTCTGGGTAGGTGCCGATCAACATCCGGGACTGGGGGCGACCTTTGACCTGGATCGTCTTTCCACATAATCAGATGAGGTGATCTGATCAGGCGCATTATTCATCACTTTTCCCTCGTTTTCTCAGCGGTAAGTCCATATCAGAGGTTCATGTGCGGGTGGTACCTCTATAACTAAATATTCTAGTGAATTTTAGTAAAGTAGGTGTTATTTATTAGCCGTATGGTGGAATTTTTGCGGTTTCGTGTCGTGGTAGCGTGCAAGTTGGCAAACAATGCACGGCGAACATGTTCTGTTGATCGAACTGGCATGGCCACCACTGCCTTGTCTCAACATCGTATCTTGTGGCGTTGTTTGGGCTCCCAACGCCCAGAAAGTCGCTGTATAACTTCATTTATTTACCAGGACCATGCACAGGAATTTTCACGCCGGGAACCTAACGTTCAGCGGCGTTTTGTGAGGGGTCCCTACCCTCCTAGTTGCTATGCTGTTCCAACAGGGTGGCTTTGTGTCCTGTGGCCAACCCAGTCGGCCATTTTGTGTTTGTCTAACTCAGGCTTGTACCCACTTAAAAAGCCAAACGCAGCTCACAAACGGCAATTTTAACGCCAGCGTCTCAACTTCTATGCTTTTCTGTGTGTGGTGAGTGGATATCAGGGTTGTTGTTGACTTTAAAGGTTCCAGTTGCGCTGCATGTTGGTTGAGCTGTCTATCAAAATATCCCAGACAATTGAAGTCTGCGCCTGCGTGACAACGCCCACGGCAGTTGTCTCATTAGCCTAGGGGGGCACAGACTGGGGTGTCACTGTCATGCCAACTCAATTGTTTCTTGTAGATTTCCATACTTTACTCTTTTACTCCTTTCTTTAGGTGAAGAATCGTTCCTATTCCAAAACAATGGAATTCTAGAATAACATTGTTTGAATAGTGTTTTCTTTTCACAAGCTCTGAATATTTCTGTTACTTATCTATGCAGCACATAATATTTGTGTATGGAAGGTAGAGTAGCCTTTGTAGTGTGTACATAGTCCCACTTGCAACAATATATCCTCGCACAAATCAAAATTTGGAGCTGGGAATATGACAAAGAACAAAGAGGTAGTAAATCATCTGTAATGGCTCTAAATCCTTTTTCTTTTGCAGATGGCTAAAATTTGATGATGCACACCACTATGTATCATATAATCATAATCACTGACGATACACTACAAATTGTCCTTGCATGCAGTATCAAACAGACATGATCATGCTTTCTGCATGATCAGAATAGACATTGAAGTTTTGTCTGTGCAAATCACATGTGACGTGAGGGAGAATCTGTAGAGAGAAGTTGTGACGAGTGCTGATCATGGTTGATGTGGACTGTTTCTCCAATCCTCAGGACAAGGCCAGACCGTGATGGCGGAGGGGGATCAGGTTACAGAAATGGTGGCCGACAGCACCAGTCAGGAGGTGCCCGTAACAACCACATCCCCGATCACAGTGAACGGAGTCAAACCTCGCGTTTACTACCAATGTGACCAGTGTCCGTATCTGAGTGAAAACCGCTTTGCCCTCATTCGCCACTATCGTACCCACACGGGCGAGAAGCCCTTCAAGTGTAAGTACTGCCCCTCCGCGTTTGCGCAGGCGTACGACCTGAAGCGCCACAGCATGGCCATACACGATCAGTCCAAGCCCCACAAGTGTCCGAAGTGCGACTTTGAGTGCCTGCGCAAAGGCAACCTGGTTGCCCACATCAGGAGGACCCACTCAGATGGCAAGCCGTTCAAGTGCAGCTATGGGAATTGCTCGTACAGCACCACCACTAAGAAGTACCTACATGTACACATGGCTATCCATGCCAACAAGGTGAGACCAACTTTCACCTTCTGCCTCCCCTGTACATGTCTAACTCCACCCCAGTGCACTACCCCCTGCCTGCTGCATGCCGCATGCTTAACTGAACAGCTCCAGTGTCTACATGGATAGATTAACGCATACCTTCACCACAATGTGCTCAGCCATGCATGAGTTTGGGAGAAAGTCTCTCTGGTGGTTGTTTTGATTCATCTACCTTCTTGCTGATGATCTTGTGCATGCAAATTGGCATAAGCGTCCTATTACTACCAGCCTCACAGTGTGAATGGTCACAGGTGGACAGTCAAGACACCTGTTAATGTAAAATACATGTTTCTGTGAACTCATGTAAAAGTAACTCAGAGATACAGTTGGTTTTGTAGAGGGATTAATATTGATGATGTGCATGCATTGCAGTTTAAAGTCTGGTCTGATGCCCTCCTCATACCCTCTATCCTTCCTTCAGCCATTACTTTCTTTCCTCTGAGGGAAGCAAGAATGCAATCTAATTTCCCCCTCATTATCACAAGCTTTTGGTCACTTCATGCTTTTAGTCAACTTTGTTACCAAAGTACTGTACACCACAGATATGCGTGGGAGTCTCAAGCATATGGGGAGTTTTTATTGTCTTTTTTTCCTTCAAATTTTATTACTTATGAGAGTTGAATTGAGTAAAAATGTGCAAATTATTCTTTATCATATGGAGGTAAAAATACATATACTAATGGATAAAATCATAAATTTTTAATGTTTTAGTTCAACATACCATTTTTGGTACAATTATGCCAGCAAAACCATCCATCTGCTACATGTAGCCTTGTCAGTTGTCACATGTACCAACAGACTGTTCCTGTGTGTTCCCTGCAGGAGAGGTATCAGTGTACCAAGTGTGAGTACAAGTGCCCTCACCAGTGGATCCTGACGCGTCACATGCGCAAACACGAGCGGGAAGAACAGCGGGCAGCGGAACAGGCGGCGTGGGAGGCACAGCAGGCTAAAGTCACGTCACAGGCTCAGGTCACGGTCGTCGAGACGAAGGTATGGCACCACTTACAGAATCATATTTGGTTAAAGAAAAGGTAGAATATTTCATTTAAAAAAATCATATAAATCTAACACAAAAAGTTGACATGGAACACAATACTTATCATAAAAAAACAAGGGAAATTTTGTCATTTTTCTCACAATATAGTAGTACTCACATATGCATTGAGCCCTGGTGCTCAACCCGCAGATGTATGATTTGAACCTTTTCTGTTAGGGTTACAATAATTGTTTGTGCTAAATTTCCCTTGTTGCAAGGTGGGTTGTGTAGCATCAGAATTGTTTACTCTCCTAGTCATGTATGGGTAGAGAATAAATGAATGATTTATACAATGGTTGTTTAACTTGTGTGACTTTTGTATGTTTCCACTTCCAGCCAATGCAGGCTCAGGTTCAAGTGGACGGTTCCCAGAAGGTGCCGGTTCTCATCGCCAAAGGTTTTCCCCCGCCCCAGCGCAACCCCATCCAGAAGGTCTTCATCACACCGAGCTCCACTCAACAAGTAGGAACCATGTCTAACACAGTTGTCACTACAACAATACCGGTAATAAAGGGCTGGACCCCCACAGCAGTCAACATCGCCCTCCCTGTACAGTCTCCCAGTACCTGCCAGGCACAGCCAGCCACAGTAAACCTCACCAACCAAACACAGGTCACCACCTCACCGAAAAGCCCCAGCAGAGCGTCGTCTCGCAGTAACCTGGGGAAGAAGAGGATCCGGGACATGATCCGGGATGATGATGAAATGAGCACGACCAGTACAGGCCGCGGTCACTCAGTCCCCGGCAGTCTGATCGACAAGCCCTTCCAGTGTGACATGTGTGGATTTGCCTTCACTCATAACTGGCTACTACAGGTTAGTTGAAAATGTTATTCAAAGTTAATTTGCTTGCAAGTATCCATTTTATTCATATCCTGTATTATGCTCTGTAAGTTATTGTTATACCTGTACTGCTGTACAAAATGTACCATGATGTTTTCATTTGGCTGACAGAAACTGTATGCCTGAACATTTTTTTTTAATCATAAAATATACTACATGTAATTGGCTTATTTGTAGTAAACAGTTATGGAAGGCTGTATAGCTAGATTGTGAACAATGTGATGTTTTCTTTGAATAAGTGCTGTGATCAGCATAGATTTACTGTATGGATGAGTGAACTGCAGAAACTGATAGATTAGAGCAAAAAAAGTGTAGCATTGTTTTTTATGTAGATTTCAATGGTGTTAGATTTAGTTTTCTGTCGTACTTGCTAATTGGTCCCTCATGAATGGACTATTTCATGATGAAGTCAACTCAAAAGACAATACTACCCCCCTCCCCCCCAGCGGCACATAAAGACCCACCAGTACAGTGGTAAGAACAAGCAGCAGCTGTTGGCCCGGAGTCTGCTGAGAGCTGCCCGGAACCAGCTGGAGCGACCACGCCCCTTCAAGTGCGAGGAGTGTGGGTTTGCCTTCATCCAGAACTGGCTGCTACAGAGGCATCTACGCTCACACGCTGCACGCAGGATGAAGGTCAGAATTGCCTTGTCATCCTATCAAAAATTATCACTTTTGGGTATTTGAAGAAATTTCCCAAATCATTATGTAATACTGATGGCAGCATTACCATCTGATTCCTTGAATACAAAAAATAAATTTCTTGAATCTCGGACTAAAGTTGTCCAACTACTCTTGTTCCCCAGTCTTGTACATAATCTTATAATCTTACTTGTCTATTTCATGATATCAGCAACAAGAGCAGGGGTCGTACTTTGCTGGGAAGGTGATCGCACAAGTCCAGGTATGTTTGATTCATGCTCTCACTTTTAGCTATTGGGTTATAGCTTGGGGTGATCATAAAAAAAAAGGAAAAAAAAATTTCCTTGCATAAGATGTGTGATAGTCCAGTAACTGTAATCTCAGAAATGTGAAACTTGTTGTCCACCCACAGCAGCCCCAACAGGTGCTCCAAGGCCAGACCTTTGCCTCACAGACCATCACAGTCCAGCAGAACACTTACAAACAGGAGGCCAGTGACAGTGAAGAGGACAGTGGGGAGGATGATGTGTACAGTGATGAGGATGACTCCCTCTCTCCCATCCCTGCTGCCAAGATGCAGGAGTATCAGTGTAACTTCTGTCCATTCCAGGTAGGTACATTGTGATGAAACAAAGTATGGGTAAGGGGGTGAAGTCTGCCACCTGTGGTTGTCTTGTTTATCCTTGTATGACTGTTGGAGTTTGCAGAACACATTTTATAGCTGACACAATCTTCCCTCTGCAGGCTAACAATGGACTGTCCCTGGCAAACCACCTCCGCATCCACAGTGAGAAAACCTTCAAGTGCAATGTGTGTGAATTCACCACCGGCAACAGGTGAGGGACGTTTACATATTGTCTGCTTGTTCTAACATGGAACCTTTCATAACTTTTTTATTTGTTAAGTACATAGACAAAGAGATAGGAAGACAGAATTGGTAAACCAGAAAAGGTGAATAGGTTAAGCAGTATGTGATTTGAAATAAGCATTACCCATTTCCTTGTTGAATTTCTTCATCCAGTTTGATACAAATACCCATGTCTTGATAGATTTACTCTATAGGTGTTGTAGAATCCAAAAAGGTGAGGCTATCAATGATGTGTAATATGTATTGACCAGATATTTATGGGTTCACCACACCACGAAGTGGTGGTGAACCCATATTGCTTTTTCTGATGTTTCTTCTTCTTCTTCTCCTCCTTCTCCTCCTTCTCCTCCTGCCATTTTTTAAATGGATTCAGCTTCTTCATTTTAGGGCCTAAGGTCCTGAAATTTGGTATGGAGGTACAGTGGGCAAATACCCCTAGGCGTTTTTTAAATTTTTGTGATACAGGCTTTTAGAATGGTTTTATTTGAGTTTTTTGGCTGTGTTATAGCAAATGTATTACTGTGTTAGTGTGCCGTGTTTACCACGTCTGGGCATGAGTCATCACAATGGAATGCAGGGCATCAACCAATAGGCATGCAGCTTTCCTCTATACTTCTTGCTGATTGGCTGTTGGGATTTAACTTGATTAACACCTGCACAGAGCATTTCCACCTGCACAGAGCATTTCTTGCTGATTGGCTGTTGGGATTTAACTTGATTAACACCTGCACAGAGCATTTCCATACTGACAGTATGTCTTTATTCAAGTGTTTTGGTAGGTATTTCAAGCTTTTCTGCTCCAGCATTGGAATGCGGGGCATGAACGTTTTTTTATTTATTTTGAAAATCAACAGTTTGCATTATGCAATTAAAAATCCTAACCAATGATTTTTGAATAGCTATCCAACTGTTGTTTTAGTTGTATGTTACTTCATATTATAGTTATATCAATGTAAATCATTGTTTTCCCTTGTGTTTCTCATTCTTTCCCTGCCATGTCGTAAAATGTGGTGAACCCATCGCTGTATTTGCTCCAAAGCAAATATTGGCCTTTCTAGTTAATCTGCTGTTTTTTGTTGCCTACTCCTCCGCAGGAAAGCCTACATCACCCATGTACAGGAGCATGCAAACAAGAAGCACCACTGCACCTTCTGTAGTCTGACGTTTGAGTCAGGAGTCGGCCTGTCCAATCACATCAGGGGACACATGGGAGAGAACAAGTACAGGTCAGTGTTTCCTGTCTTCAATTGTTATACATGACTTCTCAAACATGGTTTTCCAAAATGCAAGCTTATACAGTACAGTACAGCACAGCACAGTACACTATAGTAAAAGCTGTTTCTCTGCAAGACCCATTAGCAGTTGTTGTGATGCTTGTCTAAATTCTCAGGTAGAATTGTGTATTCTTCTTTATAGACTTTAAAGAATTGAAAGAGTACATTGGGTGTTTTACTCACATCTCCTCTTGACAACATACATCATAACAGTAACATGATATTGTTTCCTTTTTCAGATGTGATCACTGCCCCTTCTCCACCAACCAGCGTAGAGTCCTGGAGCGTCACGTGAAGCGCAGCCACACCCGCAAGCCTCTGCAGCCAACCATGATCATCAAACCAAACTTGGCCCCCATCAGCCAACCACAGGAGACCTTTCATGTGGACTTGGGTCCGTCGGACATCGGGCAGGAGGTGACGGTGGGCGTGGACGGGGAGGAGGAACTGGAGTACGAGTCGGTCATCTTTGAGTGTCGCTACTGCGGGCGGCAGTTTGACATCCAGGAGGAGTGGGTCCGACACACACAGAGGCACATGTGGTGAATGAATGGAGACGTATCTCAGCTATAACAGTACAGTACGTCTGTTTGGTGTAGATGATTGGAACGCTTTCTTCAGTCTATTGTAAAAGTCAAGTGTAAATGGTATTAACATTTTGCAAGACCTTACATACCTCTGACAAGGAACAAGCTTTGTTTTATCTCAGCTGTTACTGTGACCATTTTTGTAACAATTCCTGTATTTATTACAACGTAATGGTCTTGTACAATTGATTTGGGTTGAAGCCCACCGTCTGTTAAATGCAACTGACCAACACTGCCATTGGCCAGTGAGCTAAAACTCTGATATGGTCACATTTCTCATGGATGAAAGTGCCAGAATTTTTAATATGTCAAGTACTGCAGTTTGGGACCTTTCCCAAGTGACCTTGTAACAAGACAAGAGCAGAAGTTGTGATTCAATTGTTTTGATGTGCTGCAGTGATTATGTCCTAGACATGTAATTTATGACTAGTGAGGATGTATTTATTATACCTAGGAATTTTGAAGTGGCATCCCTTAGTAGTTGTAATGTGTGTGTCTGTGTGATGACTAAGACATTTAGCAAAAGTGCTGATGAAAGTACAATGTATTTAAACAAAGCTGCTAACTTAATGCTTATGTAACTACTCCTTTTCACACAGTTGCCTTATGTAATTAGCTTTTGGAAGAACAGCACATGTAATGATATTCCATGTGCTTATAGAGACCATTGTTTTACACAGTAAACAAGAGAATATCGCACCTAACTTAATAGAACTGTTTTATGTACTCTGTATAATGGGAGAATCTTAGACTAAGGTAACATGGCTACAACCTAGACTTTTTCATTTGGCTATGTGCACAACTATGGTGCAAAATGGCAATGTTGCCTGGTCAACAAAGGGCTTTGTGAAGGCCTGCAAAACTCAATAGCTGCTCAGGTTTAATTTCTAATTTGGTGGCTACATTTTTTTGTGTTGTTGTTTAAGATCAGGGTAGAATGTTGACTAGCACTGATGAAGTTACAGATTTTGTATAGCACCGGTAGTTTGTTTCTCCTTTTCTTGTTTGGTACAATTGAACATCTGTAATAATTTGAAATCAAATAGATAATGTACTGGTCTGTGACATCATGAAACACAGTTTTGAGTTGTGATGATTTTTTTTCTCATCTATGGGCTGAGGATCGAGGATTTCTGTACTGCTGGACCTTCACACTGTACAAGCTTTAAAGAGTGAATAAATTGTCAGCAGTGGACTTTAAGGGCGAGTATTTTGATGTTGTAGTCTGTTTGAGAAGTCCTTACAAATGGTAGCAATACGAAACATTTTGAAAAATTTTGTTCTTTAGCACTCACTCCTACACATCCTCTTAACGAAATGGTAGCCTGGTATCCAGTCTTACGTGGTAGTGGCGGGTTTTCCTCAGGGCCACATGAGCTCTTTCCCGCCCGCCTCAACTAGGTTTTCCTAGCTGAGGCGGGCAATTCATAATCATTATGAATTGGAACATAACATTAGTCAACACAAATATTTGTGTTGACTAATTTTGATGTTTTTCTTTTCTGAAAGAGTTCTGAAGTAGTCTGTCCTTATACAAGTTGATGCTGTCATTCTGACAATATGAATGGTAAAATATCAGACCAAGGAAAACATCACTCAAAGTGAAATGTTTTATCACTTTAAGTGATTCACCAAGATTTGCAATCCAGTATAACAGTTACTGTCATATTTTCACACAGAATCATCCATTGAAATAATTTCAACCAACATATCCTTCTGATTTACATTGTTTGTGATAATCTGAAATAATATTATTATACCAAACATTGGTAAAAAGTAACACAAAGAAAATAAGATTTTGATACACTGGAAAAACGGTGAGATTCCTTCAGCCCTCAGTATTGATTAAAATATCCAAACTACAACTACAATAGCCATTGTAACTTTACAACTCCCGAAATACAAAAATGTCAACAATGTCATTACAGTAGATTTCCTTCCTAGATATATGTATATCCCATAGTTCAATTTCAAAGTTACTGTTAACTTTTTCCTCCCACTGCTACATCAATACACTTTTATCTAACATACTAGTAACTGTACAACAATTTTGCATTATTATTTTATAGTCTTCCTGAGAACATATCATTTTTAATAGTCTTAAGCAGAGAACATGGCATTTTCCATTGAAAAAATAACTGTATTCATGTACATAGACCATAATTTCCTGAAAATTGGTGACACCATTACACAACTTAGGGAAGGGCCATGGACATTGGAAAATATTTGCACTGAAATGATAGCTGCAAAAACAAAATATACAAAGAAGTTAAATGAAATGAGTCTCCTTGATACCACAAAATGAGAAGATTTTCACTTCTGACTGGCTCTGTAAACAAGAAATATAACAGAAGTATATTGTACACAAATAGCAAAAAATGCATACACCAAATTGTAATTTAGTATCAAAATAAGATGAGCTCTTGAACTTTTCTGCCAAAAAATTAAGCCTCTTATGACATTATGTGGAATGCTGTTAGTATCTCAATCCATCAAATGCCCTATTTGTGTCCATTGAAGGATTGTGATTAATACATGATATTTTACTAAATGTAGATGTCCAGTGCATTCCCAATTCTGGACCGACATAGTGGACACACCCTCTGGTGTGCGTAGAGAGAATTGGTGATGTGGTCAGCACACCCCCTACACAGGCACATGTGTCTACAGGGCAGGAGGAGCACGTTCTTCACGTTATCCTGACACACCACGCACAGACGCTTCTCTCGCTCCTTGGTGAACCTCAGCCGGATTTTTCTGGCTCGTTCCGGTGCCTGGAGTTCCTCGTCGTCCGAGGACAGACAGGAGGTTGTGGGTGTGGGGCTGCGGGGTCTGGACGTGGAGGTCCCAGGCTGAGGAACTGTGGGGAGGTATCACCACAAACTGAGCCTATTGCATCAAGATACATCTTGGCTAGCCTCTACCAGGCTTTCGAAAGTGGCTGCAAAGAGTGGAAATTGGCCAAATGGACAGATGACCAGGGGAGCTAGTCCATGTTAAGAGAACAGTTTGCCGCTCCTATTAGTGCGGACCAACTCCCCTGGCCTATCATGTCTGTTTGGCCAATTTCTACTCTTTCCAGCCACTTCCTGAACATCTTGGCTACAACATCATAACTATGTGCTGAGGTTACATGTAGTTTTGATTAGTGCAAAAAGTTCATTACAGTTCATACAAAAGTAATGAAAATTACAGCTATGAATAACTGAGAACGAAGCTTACGTACTGTTTCGTGTGCGAAGGTTGTACCGCTGAAGTCTGGGAGGAAGCTGGTGCCTCTCCCCGCCCTCTTCACTCTCTGATCCCTCATCGCTTGCAGAACTGACTAACGACGAACTGTCTTCCCTCCCAGAATCCTCCACGTCACTTCCATCATCCCTTTCTTCTTCCTCCTCGGCTTCCTGTGGTTCCTCCCTGTCCCGTGTGTTGTCCAGGTCCTGTCCGAATGTCCACATGTTTAGGTGCTGGGTGATGTCAGGGAGGGGAGGGAGGGTGGTGTCGTCCCATTTCTTCACCAGTATAGCCGTGGCCCCGAGTAAGACGGCAGCCGCTACCAGTTCTAGTGAGAATATTGACACCGTGAGCCAGAGGAAGTCCACAGCTTTCTTCACGCTTGTCAGCATGGACTGCTGTAGGTATGTCAGCCCTTCTGCCAGGTAGTACACCGTGCTGGACGACACGGAATACAGGATGTACGCCGCTGCGAGAATCCCGTTCAGCAGGAGCTGCGGCACCATCCAGGCGCACGTCCCGACGAACGACAGAGCCGCATGGATCCCGTGGAATGACTCAGCCAGGACGTAGAAGATCCCCTGCTGTAGGAGTTGCAGCAGCACCACCACGTTGGTGACCAGGTACTGCAGGGCTGCAATGATGTAGTTCACTCCCAGCTGCAGGCCGGTGACAGTCTGCATGGCCAGGAACTGGGCTGCGGCAAAAACATGCAGCAGCACGGCCTGCAGGCTGCTCAGTATGAACGTCAGTACTGTCTGGATTGCCGTGAGGATTCCACTCACCAACATCTGCACAGCTGCGAGGGTGTTGGTCACCAGTGCCTGCAGTCCACCGAACACACTCGTCCCAGCTGTGGTAACCCAGGACAACACCTGGACACCTGTCAGGTGCACACCTGTCTTCACAAACTGCCATCCTTCCAATACTCCATGGAGTAACGTCTTACCAAAGACTTGAAGGCTGTACATAGTATGGGACCCTACTGTGCACAAGGCGTGCCATGTCTGTGAGGTGATGTAGGTCAGAACTAGTTTTAGGACTCCTCCAAAGTCCCAGAGGATCCCGAAGGCCACCTGAAGGCACACCAGGACGTACTGCACCACTAACCCAGTCAGGAACAGGAGGTCCAACAGAAGGGTACAAATCTGTAGGAGAGAAGAAATCAGAACATTAAACTCTCACAATTCTACAAAACAGCATCTGCCAAGAAGTTAACAAGTCACCAGGGACCCCTTGAAATCTAAAAATTTTGAGGTCTCATATCAAGATCTGCCCACATACCAAGTTTTATGACAATCCACCCTTAGCAGGGGCTATATGGGGGTGTAGCCGGGCCGGGGGCTTTTATAACATCATAGAGCCCCGGCAAAGATGAAGATGAAGCTTCTTGAGTTACCACGCTAAACCACATACATTGTACATACACAGGTATTCAGAGTACCCTACATTTGTACATACACATGATGTAGGCCATCAAAAATATTGCATCCTGGCAAAGGTAATAAAGTTCCTGTAGGTGCAACTAATGGAATCAGAAATGATGACATGGAAATGGAAACAAACCAAAGTTTCCAAATTTGTACTTGTAAACAGATAAAATGCAGTGATGATGTGTATGTTAAGTACAGTACCTGATTGAGAATCCCCCAGCAGGTTTTAGCCACAGACACGGTGGTGTTGACAGTGACGCTGGCGATGAAGTGAAGCGTGGTGAACACCCGGGACATCATGTCATAGTGCAGCGTCAGCAGCCTGTGTCCGGCGTACAGCGCCCTCCCCACGCCTTCCTCTACTGACTCCGAGATGGCCGACAGGGTGTCCAGTACAGTTGCCATGGTGATTGTTGGCTACTGTTCAAACTTACAGTCTGAAATCTGCTATGGTTGGAACCTGGGGAAAAAAAACAACACTGATCCATGTCTTGTTTAGACTGTGCCAAAGACTGGAGCAAATTCAAAAAGTTTTGGCAGCTATTTTTATCATAAATTCATATCATATACCATACTCTGTATCTACATTTGTATCAATGAATTGTCATCACGATACAGTGCCCGTTTAATATATTCAACAGAAAATACGGTGGTAGCAGCTTTGATTCAAAGTCATGTAAAGTTTAGGTTGTTTTATACTGCTTTGTAATTTGGTGAGTAGCAAAACACGTATTACCTCAACAGCTTCCGTGACATATGCCAATACCATGAACCTCAATATACATAATAACGTTATAAACAGTACGGTAACCGTACTTCGGCGGTCAACTCTATACGCTGCTGTGGTTAGTCATCAGCATGGAGAAAATTCTATCTCCGTTTAAGTACGTAACGTTATACTGGTAGTGGTACACAACGTTATAAACCGAAACTCTTGTAGCTGCACCCTAGCCTAAGTCTTCCTGCTGCGAGGTACAACATCTATGAGCAACGTACGGCTTTGAAATCGATTAAACTAGCTTCTTTCCTACCTCAACATGTCCCGCTGCATTCTTAGGTACTTCCTGTGGGTAAACTGAGCTAAAAGGTGATATCCAAGCACTTTTGACGCAGGTAACGACAAGCAACAACCTTGGAAAACAAACAGACTGCGGCCATGACAGGTACTGGTTGTCGGTCAAAGGGCACAACTGCACTTTACAAATAAATAGCTAGAGGGCGCACGTGCACGGTGGTGCACGTACATTTACATTTGTACATTCTAAAATTGTTTATCTCTTTATATAATACATAGAAGAGTGAATGACAAACACCCGGCTTCAAACTAAAAAAAGGCACGTGAGTCTTCTGAGGTATTTTTTGGAAAGCTGACACATTCCCTCATGACCAAAATGTTTATTCTTCGCATGTAAAATTGTATCCTTGTACTGTACAAGAAATGACCTATTATGGTCTGCAATTTCACATTACTGTCCCTGAAAGTTGATGTCTATAATTTTTCAATACCACAGGCAATATAAACAACAAGGGTATTGTAATGTTAGCAGTTTGCATGGTGAGCTGCAATAATTTATAGCCGCGATATAGTTACACCACAAAAATGTTTTTTTTTTTCAGCATTGAAGAAACCATTAAGCCTGTGAGAGATTCTCCTTTAATCCTATCCCTGTTAAGGTTAAATTCATATCACATGGCCCTCATTGTGGGCTAAACATATCATTGCTGCCATTCTAAAAAAAATGACATACATCTCAATTTTCAGACCTTTAAAGTCTTCACAGACTTATTCTTTCCCCACCACTGTATATACCATTGTAATTAAAAACTTTTAATTACTGTTCTTACTTCACATTTCACTGTTACATATTCTTGATCCTGTGAAAATATGTAATGAAAATACATCTCTCTAAAGCTTGTCCAATGTGTAACAGTGGCAAGAAAATAATGAGTATCTATTTACGCCAGAACCGGAATAAGAGAAAAATGTTAAAGTTAAAATTAAAAGCTTTTTTAGCACATAATGATATGAAGTAGTAGTCAAACAGACTTGGTGTTAACATAATGGAACATTCAGAAGCATCAAAACAAATGAAGGTGTTGTTTTTTAATCCAGAGAAAATGATCCAGTAGATCAACATCAGAACGGAGCGTCGACATCTCCCATCTCTACATACACAGTCTTGACCTGAGTGTAATACTCCAGAGTAACCAGCCCGTTCTCTCTCCCCAGTCCTGACTTTTTAAACCCCCCAAACGGCACGGCCACGTCGATGATGTTGAAGTTGTTGATGTAACATGTCCCAGCCTGCATCTGGGCAATCACACGGTGAGCTCTTGTCAAGTCACTGGGCAGAGGAAGAGAGGATTAAACATGACTGCATTATCTGTACAGTAAATACATGTCAACATTCTTTTTATTTGCTAACTGGGCAATTATTCAATATTACTGTTTACAACAGAGTCTTAGTCATGTTTTCAAGTGCACCACATAATACAAAGCAAGCATACAAATTTTGTTACTAAGATTTTCCAAGGACATTCTACATGATGAAAGCTCCTTGGATTTTCTTGCATTAAGAATGAACTTGCACCATCTACTTAGAGGGCTACATGTATGTCGTACATGTATGGGACGAGACAATAATAATGATTCAGTCAACTTAAGCCTGAATCCATAGAACTGACCAATATGAGAACTGACAACAACTGAAAAACACAGCAAATATTCAGCAAACTGTTTTTGGCGACACCTCAGAGACTATGCCTACACCACTCACTTTGTAAAGACTCCCCCGGCCAGTCCATACTCTGTGTTGTTTGCCCTCTGTATGACCTCCTCCTCCGTGTCGAACCCCAGGATGGAGACCACGGGGCCGAACACCTCCTCCTGCACGACCGTCATGTCGTCATGACAGTTGGTGAGGACACAGGGTGAGATGTAGGAACCCTTCAGCCGGGGGTCATCCGGGGTCACCAACTCACCTCCACAGGCTACTACTGCACCCTGGGCACAGGAGGGGGAGCTTTAGTAACCACACTTCATTTTCTTATTTCAAGAATATCTGGTCCATGAAAAAACATATACTTACATGTACACCTCATATGGATATAAAGCTTTAGGATGTTAATCTCCAAGCAGATCTTTCAGTGGGGGTAAGACAGCCTGTATCCATTTGCCAGACAGTATAATGTACATTTCCCCACCGAAAGATCTACTTGGAGATTAATAGGATATAAACTTATACACTATTCAGCATAGTAGATACAAAACAGATTTGTAAAAGCACTGAATAGTGGTGTTAAAATTTTGAACATTGTAATAACAAAGAATCATGATTCAATTCAATGTATTATTAATACATGTACTACTAGTGTTATAATAGCACATTGTATTTGCTGAAAACAATGTTAAAATTTGCTCTGTTTAAAGACAAACTTCAGATCCAAAATTCAGACACAAATTTCAGATCCAATCCTCAGGAATCAAATGACAATCTCCTCCTACCTCCTTCTTGGCTCCGTCCAGGTAGGTCATGACCTTGTCCGCCTGGTCCTGGTGAATCATGGCGCCGACCCGAGTGTCGTCGTCCATGGGGTCTCCGATCTTCATCCTGCCGGTACGCTCCACCAGCCGCTGCAGGAACTGATCCATCACAGAGTTCTCCACAAACACACGGGTCGCGTTGGAACATACCTGGTGGGACAGGGGAAAGTGTCATGTAGGAATATTCCAATAGGCCAAATTATAGCCTGACTAATGGGAGGTAGCCTGGAGCCCAACCTTGTTAGCTTTAGTCCGCTTTGTAAGATTGTTGGTGGGCAAGCAGATTTTGGGAGGCACACACAAAGGTCTTGGGGTGGGGCTTGTGTAAACACAGCCTAGGTCAAAGTATACTTTGGGCTAGGCTAAAGCACTGGAAAAATGTAGTCATGGCAATTCAAACATACCATACATTAATCCTTCAAGGATACATTAACGGAGGGAAGATATGATACTAGTTCAGCATTTAAATGCATGGCAAAGACTGCACTTTATAGCTGAGGAAATACGAGCCTGGAAATACATGTACTTGTCACTAGCAAAGAAATATAGAGGCTACTTAATACATACAACAGGACATGGCATTCTGGGCAGTTATGATCATTACTAGTATATAACCATCATATTTTTAACCATCCCCTTGCCAAGGTAGCCTTTTGTCCCCACAGTTGTCTTGGTTCCAGAGTCAGGCAGCAGGGAGAAGGTTAAAACTGACCTCTCCCTGAGACAGGAAGTTGCCCAGCATGGCCCCGCCCACAGCGTTGTCCAGGTTAGCATCAGCAAACACGATCAGGGGAGACTTTCCTCCCAGTTCTAATGTCACCGTCTTAATGCCACCTGCTGCAGCTGCCATCACCTGGAACAGGTGTTTCCAGGTGTGAACAAGGACGAAATTGCTTTTTTATACAGAAATGGCTGGTATACTGTTAAATCATACTCATTCTTACCACTGACACGCAAAAAGGAAACAATATGTAATTATAATTAAAAGTAATATCGATAGACTTGGATTTTTTCCTTTCAGCAAGATTAAAAGTGTGTGCTTAAAGTGTGTTTCTTTAAGATGAAAGTAAATCATACTGGCAGGCAATAGCTGCCAGTATGATAGTCCAACTCAGTATCGTAGTTTATTAGTATACAAACTGTGGAGACATGTTGCAGTCTGATTGACTCTTGTCAAATGGAACTTACTTCACTGCATATTTCTTCAATGTTTTTAATTACCCTACATGTCTTAACTTCAGACACACAGAAAAACACTGAGAGAGTATACAATAAGACAATATGATCATTACCTTCGACCCTGTGGGCACACTGCCAGTGAAGGAGACTTTAGCGATGTCAGGATGTTCACAAAGCAGTGTTCCCGTGTCCCCGGCTCCCTGTACCACGTTATAACAGCCGTGGGGCAGTCCTGCCTCTGTGTACACCTCTCCTAACATCACAGCTGTGATGGGGGTGAACTGGGACGGCTTAAACACAAACCTGGAACATGTATGTTTGGGAGAGTTTTGTAATACTGTATAATGTTACATTTCAAATGTCAACTGTTGGGAGCCTTGAGATTGCCACATAAAAATGTCACTGTTGCCTTCTCAAGAATGTGTAGAACACCTGGATATCTGAAAAGTTTATGATGTAGCCTTCTTGAAATTTTTCTTTTCTTAAGGTCTCAGCAGCTAGCATACCTAGCAGAATTATGACAGTTGATGTATACTGATACTGTGGGGTCGTGTGGCACAGTCGGTAGCGCGTTCGGCTCACACCCCAGAGGTTGTGGGTTCGAACCCTGCCCATGTCACCGATCTTGTGCCCTTGGGAAAGGCACTTTACACGACTTTCCTCACTTCACTCAGGTGAAAATGAGTACCTAGCTTCGGTTAGGGACGTCCCTCGGATAGGACGTTAAATGGAGGTCCCGTGTTTGGGAGAGCCACACCCCATGCACGTTAAAGAACCCACCGCACTTATCGAAAAGAGTAGGGGATCTTCCCGGTGTGAGTGGTTCAAAACTTACAGTCCGGTCTTACGCAGCTTGTACATGTGCGCACATGTACAAAACTGGTGTGTTACGCCTGAAGGCGGTTTACCGGTTATGCGAAACAAACAAAAACAAACTGTGTTACATCTTTACTTTTTAATGAAAAAAATAACAACAGAAATTGAGTTCCTTATGTAAGCAGTGTCTCTTATGTAACTAGTACCTACCTGAGGGAATGAGTCTTTTATGTGCCAATGCACATTCTTAGATGGAAAACTTGTTTTGCTATTAACGATTACGCGTTTCTGACCAGATGTGGACAGAGAACTTTCTTTAGCATAACAGATGTGAGTAACACATGTGGTAAGACTTTTATTACATACATATTTGTACATGAGGTAAATCTTACGTGTTTCCACATGCCAGTGCAGGTGCTGACTTCCACCCTGCCATCTGGATAGGATAGTTCCAGGCGCCGATCCCTGCACACACTCCCAGGGGCTCACGTTTGGTGTAGGCAAATGAACCATTCGCAAGTGGAACATGCTGACCTGTGGACGGTGGGAAAGAGAAAAATTTTGTAGAGAAAGAATGGGAATGAATAAAAAGAATTTTTATCATGGATCAAAGAGTTATTTTTGAAGAAGCTATACAACAAAATAGCTTCAATTCATAAGTCTCAATCATAAATGACCGCACCTTTAGAGCTATATTATGATGAATGTGTACAGGCAGAAAAAAACACAAGAAGCATCTTGATATCAACACACCTGCAATTAGAGCTGTGAACCTAAACAAATTGTAGGTACAGGTACATGGATTTTAGGTGCAGGTCCGGACCGCTGTACCTGTATCATTCTGAATGATTCAATTTTTGCAGTATAGTACTGGTACACAGTACCGGTACACAACCTTACCTGCAATTGAAGGAGCTAGCCCTGAGAAGTACTCGATGGCATCTATAGCTGTCCAGATGTCCATCCTGGCCTCGTAGATAGGTTTCCCCGTGTCCCTGGTCTCCCAGTAGGCAAACTCCTCCTGCCTGTCCTTGATGATCTGTGCTGCCCTCTGCATGATCCTGGCTCTCTGCAGCCCTGTCAGCTGGCTCCACTCACTGTAGGCTTCCTTGGCACACTGCACAGCTCTGTTCACCTCGTCTGGGCCCGACGCCTGCAGCTCTATGAGAAGCTCGCCTTTGCAAGGGTGCAGAGTACAATCATCAAGTGTCACCTATAACACATTTGGTGTGATACAGTTGTCTATTGACAAAGGAAGTCATGGTTGCCTGACATTTTAAACATTTTGACAAAAGTCAACCTACACAATCAACTTCACCCCACCTACCCACCTGCCAAATATAATTGCATTCCGTCCAATAGATCTTGAGATATACAGCAAAACATCATCCAGACTGAAAGCGGTAACCATCATTTCATCATATTCATGGAGGGTATAAAGCAGATTTTTTTCTTGAAACTTGCAAGGATGTTACAAAACTTATCACCAAAACATTATCTTGTCATCTCACCTGTCGCAGGTTCTAAGACCTTCATGACCTGGTTAGGGTCAGGGTTCAGAGGTGAGACCCTCTCCCCGTTGATGTAGTTGAAGTGCAGCGGGAGTTTCCCATTGCTGACTGTGGAACACACGCCCCTCCTGCCAGCAACCTGCACACCCCTCAAAACTACCTGCTGGAGCCACATGGTATCTTCCTAAAGAGACAAGGGACATTTATTAGTTTAAACAAGGAGCTTCTATCATTGGCGACCATATGACAATATGATATATATGATAATTTGATAAATAGAATTGTGTATAGGGAATGGTAAATATCTTGCAATGTACAGTTTTGTACAGAATTTTTGTGTGTGAGTGAAAGTTTAAAATACAAGTTGTGATCATATTCATTGATTGAAACATATTTTATATTGCATGGTTTAAATTCCTTACAGCTTACAGCAAAGCTGGGCTACATTTTCGTCGTTAAAAGCTAGGTATTACGACCAGAACTTGGCTGTTCTCGTAGATACAAAAATTGTGTGTCAAATAAGCAGTTTATAGCAGGGCCAAAGGCCACATGATAGTGATCATGATCACCCCCCCTCCCTTTCATATGTTTAGCTATTGAACGTTGCCACAAGCTACTATAGAGACGTGATGATAGAGAACTTCATATCGTTAAGTGCTTTCTAAAGAAGAAGTTTACGTTGTCTCACCGACTGTCCACAGCTTTCGGCACAGTTTACAAACAAACTTCTGTAAGCATGTCACAGCTGCCTGGATGGGAAGGTTAGAGGTCACAGTTCGTTGGAATATACCACTTGCATTGATTAATTTACAAAAAAAACTATATTTAATACTACACAGAAGTTTAAAAGTTTAACAAGTCATATTAGATGCACAAAAAAAGTTTTTCATTAATATATTTTCCCACAGATTTGAAAAAAACATAAATTTTATTGACTTCGAGTTTCAAATAGGATCCCCCTTCGGTGCGAAATGGTATAAGCTAATTTGGGGCCCCAAATTCAAACAGGAGAAACACTACTTGATCGTCCGGTTGTTGCTGTCAAAATAAGGCAAATTCTCAATGACTGTGAGGCTGTGACCGGACGTCTTCTGTCTACATTACATCAAGGATAACACAGGTAAGCCGTCTGTAAAATTTCTTCTGTCTGATTCTTGTAAAAGGAGTATCCGTAAGCCTGATCATATTTGAGTTGTTGGAGGGTTAGCGTTTGTTGTCACAAGGTCAACCCTACAGATGTTACGTTATTCTCACCCTAAGTAAATCCACTGAACATGAGACTATGCAATGTGTCCAGAGTAATCCTGCATTTAAATAAAGAAAGTAGATCCAGAATCTAGAATTTGATCACCAGTCACCGCCTAAGTGACGTGTCCCGAGATTTACTAAGTGACAATTGAAAGAATCCCTTTGACGATTGATCAAATATCCTAGGCATTTCCGTTGTTCTTTTCTTCTTTTCTTTCGGCCCCTTTCCTCTTTTGTAACAATACCTAGGCGGCAGAATCTTCAATTGGTTGAAAGCGGCCGCCTCATGAAAGAAGATACCCAAGCAAGCGTTTTCTCGGTGTACTAGTAATTTTGTTCCCTCCTTCTCATGACAAAAATTTGACATTTTTTAATAGGAGGCTGCTCTCCCCTTTCACCGCCCAGTAAACACACAGAACAATCAGTCTGAAGGACAATGGAGTTGCCAGCCTGTACTGTTGTCCTGTTGCTATGGCAACTGTCCATCACCACCTGTCATGTCCACATCCACCCCAGCCACTACCCTGACCATTATGTGGACGGGGAACATGACACTGAGTTTGACAGGGAGATACTGCTGGGAGGGAAGGTTGGTGTGTTTTTAGGTCAATTCTTTAGCATTTTACAGCCAGGCTTTGGGGGGAGGGGGTGTGTGTGCAGCTGAAAAGAGTTATTGGCCAAATAGAGAGATAACATGCCTGGCTGTCACAGAATCAGAGACTGCTCTTCTTCATTCAAAAGTAAATCATTGACTCCTGTGCTAATCACTAGATCACAGGTAAAACAGTAGAAGTCTACTAAGTAACCCTCTAAAGATCTTTTGTTATTCATGTACATTGTATTTTACTGAGCAGAAGGAAGCTGAAGAATACCAGAAACTGTCGCCTGAAGAGTCCAAACAGAGACTGATGGTACTGGTGAAGAAGGTTGATGTGAATGGAGACGGTCTACTGGACAGAGGTTAGTGATCATTGAATGTGGAAATAATGATTATGTACAGCCTAGCACTTCACTCTAACCCAGTCAGGCACAAGTACTAAGTCTCAAGTACTATTATAGGAAAAGGACCCTTGTGACACTGCTAGCTGGCCATAGAAGAACCAGTTTGCAAGGCATATTGGACCTTCTATCGCCAGCCAAGTATATCCCCTTTTAGGCCAATTTCAATTTCAGTTATTCAGCCTGCAAAGGAGTCTGGTAGAGACTGTTCATTCTCCTTGTTTAGGTCTCCCTCCTATCTGACATCTGCACTATACTTTTAGGTACAATCAACCTTTAGTTATCTCATGGATTCCATCACATACCAGAAGTCATAAAGTATGAATCACATGGCTGAATTCTTCACACACTTCCACTGTGTTGACTTGACAGATGAACTAGTGGATCACATGTTGGAGTCTTTCAACACCTACTCTGTTGAGGAGGCCAGGGACACCTTCCCGACTATAGACCTGGATGAAGATGGTAAGGTGTCCTGGGAGGAGTACCTGCAGGATACCTTTGGTGCAGAGTACTCCACAGAGGCAGACCCTGCAGAGGATGAGGTGCACTTTGACAAAACCTGTCAATAGCTTATGATATTGATACAATTTCAGGATATGACAGTATCAAAAAAGTGAATGATTTTGTAGACCAGAAGCTATGTTTTCTTCATCAATAATAACAATAACCAGCAACTCAAGTTGCAGAAATAACTTCATATCATGAAAACTAACTACAAAATGTACTGTTTTTCCCTGTGTTTGTAGATGATCCAGGATGACCGGCGATTTTTCCAGCAGGCAGATGAGGATGATGATGGGAAGTTAGATGAGGTGGAGTGGCTGGCCTTCCAACATCCGGAGGAGTACGTCAGGATGCATGTGAGTATCCTGAGATATCCTTTCCTAAACTCTCTACCCACTTTCCAATAGATAATGAGAGCTGAAGACTGTACAGCCATCAAAATTGGATTTCTGTAGCCCTTGATTTCACTGCAATCACTCACTATCCAGGCTTATTCTGCTGCGGGGGTCCCTGATACAGAGTGATTGAAGTTAGTTGAAATCTGTCGAGCCAGGCATGGATTTTTGATTGATACTGATGATTTTTCCCAGCACTTCCTGGTAGAGGAGAAGCTGGAGGAGAATGACTGGAATGAAGACGGGCTGATTGACTTTGACGAGTATCTGGGTGATGATGAGCCTGATTCATGTGAGTATTACATACTGTAACAGTTTTTTTACACTTCATATGTGTCAAAATTTTGGTTACAAGGAAATACTTGCTCCGTTTACAGCCTGTTATTAGTATTGGACAGCAGTGTTCTCACGGTCTGTTGTTGATTGTCCAGCCTACAGCAGTGAGGAGGAGTGGAGGATAGTGGAGAAGGAACAGTTTGATGAGTATGATAAGGATGGAAATGGACAGTTGGACAGTGAGGAGGTGACAACCTGGGTCACACCCAACCACAGGGAGGCAGCAGAGGAGGAGGTAAGAATGGTTTAGTTACTTTAAAACAACCCAGAATGTGATGGGGTTTCAGTACTTAAAACCTCAGAATGAATAACCTTTGTTTAAACTGGAACTTTTGCGTGTTCCTTTCCTTGTGGGTATAGAAAGAAGTGATTTGATGCTGATGCTTTTTACTGCTTACTTTCTTAATAAGTTTTAGCATGTAAATCTTATGGAAGAAACGACATACATGAACCTGTTATTAGTGTATGCTGGTTTAGTAGAAGTTACTAGTAACTTTATTTCAATTAACACATATTAGATGAACGTTTAGAATTACATTAATGAATATTGTTTTTGTTCACTGAACCACAAGCAAGGAGGTTAAGAATCTTGATTTTTAACCTCCTTGACCACAAGTTAGTACCTTTTACGTTAAACTTTGTTTTTGCTCCATGCTTTTTTGTCTGACTTTTTTACCCCTTACAGGCAGACCATCTCCTGTCCATGGCTGACAGTAACCAGGACAAGCATCTGTCTGCAGAGGAGATCATGTCAGACCCTGACCTGTTCCTGCAGAGTGACCTGACAGAACAGGGGGAGCTGCTGCACACCATGGACCATGAGGAGCTGTGATGGTCTCTGTAACCTTACCAAACAACTGTCCTCTTCCTTTACACTCAAAACATGACTTGCCATGGACAGAAATTCATAGGATAATTCTACAGTAAGACTTAACCCCCAATCCTGCACGAAATGGTAGAATATTAGCACTTGCCCACTTCAGGAAAAAATGGGTTGGTGTAACATCAATTTTACATGAATAAATTATAATGTTATTATAAGAGATCCAAAACTATAGGAATGGGCACTGTGGTTCCTACCTCAAAACAACCAGTGTAGTTAATTGTTACAGTCCATGCCTTCACGGGTTAACACAACTGGTTCTTTCATTCCAAATGTTATCTTTTGTCAATATCTTTCTACAGCCATGCGAACCATGACAGTCAGTGTTTAAGAATGCAGACTGTCTGCAAGTACTCTGCTGTATGCAAAAAAGTCTCATGCTGATGTATCTTACCAGTTTTAAATGATTCAAAGAAAGATAAGGAAAAATAAGAATTCCAATATTTACCTTTTACATGTATACCTAATACACTTTCTAAGAAACATTTCATGCAGGTATAGGTTATAAGTTATGCCTAGAGCTACCAGTTGTCAGTTGTGAATGCAGATTAACCTGTTTTGCCAACTACCAGTATTGTATTCTATCAATAGCAGGGATAAATCTGTTAGTAACATCTAACAGAGATCTGACATTTCCACAATGTACCTTGTACTAAGTTATAGGCTTTTAAAAGCTTGCAGACTCTACCTCTTGAGCATGTGAGCTGCAGTCTTCATTGTTGCCACTAAAGTTGAGGGAAGAAAAAATTCAATGTATCTTGATCCAGTATTACATTATTACAGACAATACTTGCATACAGTATTCTAAAGCATGCTTACAGAAATCTAAGATATTGAGCTTTATAGATTTAATATACAATGTAGTATGTTGCATAGTATAAACAATAGAGATGTTGCATTTGCTGGTTTCCATGTGGAAAGATTGTATGTGGTTTGTCGTAGAGACAAAATTTTCAGTGTTGCATTGTTGATCCATGTTGTCAAGTACATGATATAGAAATTAAGTGAGACTCATTCAGATTGTAAAGGGTAAAAATGAAGGGTAAAACCTACCAGGTTTGGACAACATGATGGAAAAGATCGAGCTGCTGCTCAATTCCTGTATGTAGTAATTGTCATGTCTACTTTACTGTTTTAGTGTAGCTGTGAGTTGGAAATGCCAAGTTATGTCAGATATACTGTTTCATGTATTTTTGTTATTTAAAGTTGTGTCATGTCTTGCCTGATTTTGTTACTATTTGATGAAATTACCTGGCTTATTACTATTGAATGCTGAAAACTACTGATTCAATGGAAGATGTTTTATTGTATTAAAAGTAGCTTTTTAATAAAAAATGTGGGATTTCTGTATTTGTTAGTCCAACAGATACAAACATGAAAATGTCATTTTGTGCTGAAGAATTTTTTAAAGTCATCTTTTCATACTACACATGTATTAAATCATGTAAACGACCGACACCCTGATTTGCATTATCACCCCAATTTGCATATGTACCCCTTCCACATTTCAGCACAAAATTCTACCGTCCCTCAGTGATCAAGCTACAACACTAGTGTTTGAGATAATATATTCTTTAATGGACAATTATTACAGTGGAATGCATGTATAGCCAGTACATTGTACTTAATTTACTGGATGAAATATAGGGCATATTTCCAAAGCACCTATTAATAATAATCATAATAAATCTATGTTCAGCATCCAGTAATATAAATTAAACAGAATGCTATTTTTCTATAGTACAATATGTACTTGGCAGCCAAAATTAATTGTACTCATGCATAATCATGAATGTCAACAAAGATTAAGGCAACAATGGATATTCACTTTAAAGGCCTATTGTTGCTTATCATTACTAATGTCTTTGATATACATATTATATTTGGTGATGAGTTTCAACAGTTAACAGTAATATTGGTAATGCACTTCTATCTATATTACAAATCTACATTTCAGTCTCAATCTGGATTTATCTTATGATGCAATTTCATATATAATGAGAGAAAAATATAGAATTTAAAAGAATGATTTGGCACAAGCAGGCAAATCTATGTGTACTTTGCAAATGACATCAATATTTGCAAGGAGCTTTAACCTAGTCTCAGCTCTGTTTTAGCTCAAAAAGTTTGCAAATCTATCATCTCTTCAAACGTTATATTCAATATATTTGTCTCTTTTACAAAGTATCAGATTCTGCTCTCGTATATCAATCAGTACACCTGTCTCTGGACATTTCGAAATGCATACAACAGTGTCAGATCATAGGGAATCCTTTACAAATTTCTCTTACAAGTCAACGTCTGTGGCAACTAGTCTGTATGCTACAGCAAAAGAAAAGATTTTGAGGCAGCTCTATATCAGAATAATTACAACTCAAAGTTTAAAGGCAAGACATGGTGCTGTGATCCTTTTAAATTCAAACTGAATCAACTTGTTGACAAACAACATCTACAGAACTGTAGCTGCAAATGATATAAAATATTCTGTAATAAAATACAGTCACTGGCAAAAGAAAGACTAAAACTGAACTGAACTGAACTGATTGAAGAAAATCCCCCCAAAAACCAGCCGGTCTGCATAGTGATCAGCTGAGCCAGTCCAAGTCATCATCATCATCCTCGTCAGGGAAAAGGGGCGGCGGTGGTCCTTTGAACGGCTGGAATAAAAAAAATAAAGAGTCATCATCAACCTTACTATCCTTAAAAGTAATCAAAACATCACTATCAGTCTGTTAGCTTTCTATTTAAGATGCAAGAAACATGTATGCTGAGAAGTTTCTCTCAAATTCTACATAAGGTGTACTTCTACTTACATCATCAGCATCATCAAGTGTTGGCTGTTTTGTCTTGTCTTTCTCCTTCTCCTCCTCGGCTGCCTCATCTTTAGGCTGGATACCAAAAGTATCAGCCATGCCATCATCCAAGATGTCATCATCTCCAAATATATTGCTGAAAATACAAAGTAGACGTTTCAGCAAAACGTTTCAGCAAAACGAAGCCTAACATGTTCAATGAAAATGTGACAAATTTCAACGACAGCAATTTCAACGACCATCTGCAATTTCAACGACAGCAAGGAATCACACTAAGTTCACACAAAAGGACAGGATTCTTTATAATTTATTGCTTAAGTGGGATTGTGCATCAAAGGTCTATGTAGGTTGATCACTTTTCTTATACATTACAGGACATACACTGTATGTGTAAGACATGCTTTTCTGATTCTGAAGGCTCCCTGGTTTTCTTACCTTAAATCTGGTTTCTTCTCAGCAGCAGGCATCTCCGGTGGCTCCTCTACTTTCTCTGTCTCCTGTTGTACATGGTTCACTTCATCTGATTGGTTCACGGTGACAGTTTCTTTACCTTCCTCTTCCTTCTCAACAGTCACACTGTTATCAACACTCTGAGATTGTTCAGAGGCCTCCTCAGTCCTGTTACCGTCTGTTTGATTTTCTACAGTTTCTGCAGTAACTTCTTCAATTGGTTGTTCTGCTGCCTTTGAACCTTCTTCCGCTTGTTCTGTGGGTGCTGGCGGTGTCCCAGAATCCTCTGTGCCCTGCTCATCTACAGCCGATGGTGCCACAGAATCAGGAACTGGAGAGGTTTCTGTTTTGCTTGTGTCTGAGCCGTTTTGTTCTTCTGTACTCTCGTGTGCAGGAGCTTCTGTTGACTCTACAGACTGAACAGGCACGGCTTCTTCTTGTACTGTTTCTACTGTAGAAACTGTGAACACAATATTGATAACTTATGATATACATGAACATGAAATACCATTTTAACTGATACTCAAGCAACTGACGAAAAGTAGATGCTTCTTGAAGTGTCTGACAATTTTTAAAAAATCCACTTGCTTGGGTGACAATTACGTGCATATCTAAAAAAACATCTCGAAGAACCATCAAAATCCTTTGACACAGTATATTCAGTACAAGACAACTGGTTGAGTGTTTAAACAATCACATTGTCCTTAGGTCTTCCAGACAACTTTTCTAACCTTCCTCCTGTTGTGCTTTTACTTCTTCCTCTTGCTTCTCCTCTTCTTCCTCCTCTTCCTCCTCCTCCTCCTCACTCTCCTCCTCACTCCCAGACTCGCTGGCCTCCTCCTGCTCCCCCTGCTGTGAGGCCTGCTGGGATAGCAGCTGCATGGTGGTGGTTTTGATGGCATTGACGATGGCTGCCAGGACGGCCTTCCCCGTGTACGACTCCTCCGGCTCAAACTCCGCCCGCAGCGAGTGGAACACCTGGTTCATGATCTTCTTCACCTGTGTAGAAGTAAATAAGAAGTCTAATAGCCTGGTGCAATATATAGAGTAGTGTGTGTAGTCCAATGGTTAGCAACCCTGCTTCTGGACCAAAAGGTTGGGAGTTTGAGTCCCGGCTGTTGTCGCTCACCCAACATGCACACTACTGACCAGTGGGAGATTAGCTCTTCAGTGAGCTAATACCGAAGAATTTAGTCTTTCAAAGGATGTTTCACTAAAGACACAAAGCTGCTTTAAGGAATTCAATCGTATCATCTCCAAATTTCCTTACTTCTTCAGCTATATTGGGCGTGGTCCCTGTTGCCATGGCACCAGTAGAAGGCTGACTCTGGGCATGCTCCAGCTGCTCCCGGAGTTCTGCTATCTGTTCCTCGTATCTCTCCTTCATACCAACCGCACTGCCATGCAGACTGGTATACTGGAACAGACAGAGTCAAACTTGAATGAAATGTTTCTTTCAAGTCACTAGGAAAAGGAATTGCTACATGTACTTTTCTACCTTACTGCACATACATGGGTAAAAATGTACAATGATGAAAACAACAACAAAAAAAACAGAAACTTTATTCTTTAATTTTCTGCAACATCTTGAAGGCATTATTTTCAACTATCGCTTTACCTTCTCCTTCCACCCGGCCATTTCTTCCAGCTTCTCCTCAAGCTCTTCCACCTTCTGGCTCCCCTCCCCCTGGGAGTTCTTCAAAGTTGCCAGCTGCAGGAAAGGCCAATGACAGAGATTATAGTTTTTACTGACTTCTATGACAAACAATATATTTAACTAGGAATGTGATGAATTCTGCCTTTTATAACTCAAGAAAGGTTCAAAGGGAATATCTCGATTCACGATTGCTAATGTCAGATTGTTGCTATCTCTGCCTCCTCCCCACCTTGGCCTCCATGTTGGAGAGTTTGTTCTGGAGCTGTTCCTTCTCCTCCTGTATCTCCTCCATCAGTCTCCTGTGTTTGTCCTGTGTCTGAGCCACCAGACGGTCACACTTGTCCTTCCACTGGGTCTCTATCTCCTTCTCCACTGCCGCTACCTGAGGGCAACAAGTTTGGCCGGTCACCACACACACTTTATTTTATGGATAACATCTATGCATACATTGGTTTTTCCTTGTATTTATACAATCCCACAATAAAAGAAAGTTTTTCCAATCCTTACCAAATTAAAAAGATGGACAACAATATCACAAATTGGAACACTTACCAGTGTTCATGTACACCGACTATAAAACTAACTAAGACATTATAGTCTGGTACATTGCTGAAAGGTGACAATATCATGACATAATAAGCATACTAAGTTGTCTGTATCAAGCTGTGTCATACCTGCTCTGCAGTCACAGCATCAGTTGAGGCTCTCTGTTTTCTCAACTTGGACCTCAAGTCTTCAACTTCCTCCTGGTGGTAAACAAACATTCACACATAAAATGACAACATTGAAGAAAAGTTTGACAACAGAAAGTTAAAACTGATATCAATATGTTTAGAAACTACATTATTTACTGATAATAAACAATCAATACAGAAAAATACAGACTAAACTCATCCTCACCTCATGTTGCCTTTTGATTTCATCCATTTCCTCCTCTAGTTTTCTCCTGTCTGACGTTGCCTTGGCCTTCCTTTCTGACAGAGTCTGGAAGAGAAATTAGTCAGAGTCAACCTGGATGATCTACCAACACTTTTGTACTAAACTACATGTAGTGGCTAATCCTATGCCTAGTCGATTTCTTTGTACCTGTCAGTAAGTTGTCTTGCAGGCTAGCAGAATATTTCCTGATGTTTCAGGATAGCTCTGAAATGTTATTATCACTCAAAAACACTGCAAACATATATTTTGTGTACACATGAACTCAAATTAGAGCCTGCAAACTTGCCACAAAGAAATCATTAACTTTAGGTAACAGTGTGTGTTAAGTGTTAAAAGTGAAGAGCAAAATTATTAGAGAAGATGGGAAAGACAACAGTTTTCTAGTATAACACCTCAATAATGTGTACAAACTACACTATTTTAGTAAAATGGGTAGGAATTCTCCACTAAAACAGCTCTAATCTACATCTGGAGATATTCTGTGCATCAGCCTCACCTCCCCTTCTCCACTCTTCTCAACAAATCAGCAACAAGGAGACAGACAGAGAGAGGGGACCAGTGGGGTGAACAAGAAAACATTAGTCATCTGATGCTTCATTGGTGCATTTGATTGTGTAAATGATGATATGCTGGAAAAGGTGATTCATGAATCTGTACAGAATCAAGTGTGCTGAATTACAAGTCAGTTTTGTCTAGTAAATTATCTAGGAAATGTGGTTACTACATGTGTTCATTCTAGTGCTGGTTCAGACAATGATGAAGAGTTAACAAAGACAATCACAGGTCTTGCATCTGTTATGGTATCAACAGTAATAACAACACTCAATGACATACATTCTAGTGTATAGAACATGTAGAAAGAAAGGAAAGAGTGAAGAGAAAATTAAATTGACACATAACCACATCTTGAGTGAAGTTATGAGTAATGTTTCTTATTCTAAACCATGCTGTGCTATCTTAATGTCACTTTTTGTTGAGGAAGCTCCTAAGCCTCTGTGTCCCCTGCAGTGCCTACCTTTTCCAGCCCTTCCTTCTCGGCCCTGAGTTCTGTCAGCTCATCCTCCATCTCTCCCATTTTACTGTCCTGCTGCTTCTTGTTCACCTTCTCTGTCTTCATGGTCTGCTGCAGCTCCGACAGTTGGGAGTCTGTTTCTGGAGTGGTGAACACAGACAGGTTATAGTAACTCATACACATGCACACGCACACACACACACACGCACATGCAGACACACACACTTACACAAACACACAGACACTTGAATGTAGCTTTCTTTTTCACTGTGGAGTCTATGTGTGCATGTTTCCACCACACTACTGCTGTGCCTGTAGTACTAACCTGTCTTTGCCTGTCTGAGTGTGTTGAGTTCTGACAGGTTTTTCTGTGCCTCCTGTGCTGCAGTGTTGAGCTGTGAGGTCAGGTCTCCCTCCTGTTTCCTCAACCCAGCAATCTCCAGCTGCAAGCGGCTCAGCTGGGCCGTGGTGATGCTCAGCTCATTGGCCATCTGCACCTGAACACATAACACAGCAAGAACTACATAATGTAGAAAGGTCTAGCCTTACTAATCACTGCACTGTTCTTAAATTACACATTCATATATTTGGTGACTTGAGTCCAACTCTGTACTGCTACTTGCTACATAATGTAATCCAACACTGCAGGGTGTCTGCTACAGCACCAATTACCATGGTGACAGTCATCTGGTCCAGGTATCAAACTTTGTAGCATTGGCAGAAGCTACACTTGTACATTATAAGTAACATTTATGTCCTACCTGGGCCGCGATTACGTTCGATACGGGTGTTCCGGCCCGTGTGATAACTAGCGGTACAGCCCGGGGGTTCTTACCGCGTACGGCCCGGGGCTTCCAAATGTTCCATAGAAAGATTCGAACGCGTTTCGCCCTAACCGCGTGCAACGCTTTCGAAAATTCGACTGCAAAATTCGGATGTTGGAATTGACGTTGTTGCGTTTTTTGGGATTAGGGACACCAAATTTTTGCTCATTTCGCATTGAAAGGCGTGTTTTCGTGGGTGGGTATGACATAAATAAAATACAACACGGTGTATTCCGCATCACCCTCGGTCCCAGCCCTCCCGCGGATCGGATCTCCCTCCGGCCTTCGGCCGTCGGGCGATCCGACGCGCGGTCGGGCTGGTACCTCGGGTGATACGGAATACACCGTGTTGTATTCTATATGTACATACTAAGTGTACGTAACAGAGTTGTTTATATCAGACAATGCTACATGTACTACTGCTGACCTTTTCCTGTTCCAGTTCCAGCACCCTGGCCTGAGACTGGGCTGCTGTGTTCTTGAAGGTGTCATTTCTCTGCTCCAACATTGTGTTGCTTTGCTCTATAAACCTAATGTTCAATAAAAAATACAATGTATATTCATTTTCATCTGCTGAAATCATTGAAAGAAGTAAGAAAGAAAAAAATAGCCCAATGTATACATGAATGATACACTTTTTTATACAAAGAGACCAATATACATGTACCCTGGAAGAGCTGTATTTGTGATTATACATACTTTTGGTTCCTCTGTAGCAGCTCAGCAATCTTCTCATTCTGGGATTCCACTCTGGAACTCTTTTCAAACACTTCCTTTTTCAATCTCTCATTTTCCTGAAAGGAACACAGCAATGATCAGACACATTCTACAACTAGCATGTGCATACTGAATATCACTCTAATTTCTAAAATATTCAACTGGACACGACACAACACAACATAATTTGTAGTCGTCACCTGCAGAATTCTCTGGATGTTCTGCATGAGAACAGAGGCTTCCATGTAGCCTCCAGGACCCTGTGGGACCAGACTGTTCCCCATGCCATGGAGCTGGAGGTTGTCAACCTAAGCAAACAAAGAAAAACCTAGTTGTTATCATTTCTCCCAAATATGACAGTCTTTGCTGTAAGAGTCATACTTGTAAGTGATCTGCTGTTTCTAAGCAAATATATAATGATTCCAATATCATCAACCATATACATGTATGATATAGAACTGTCACAATGTCAAAAATTAAGCAATGTAGTATGTCATCAAATAGCAACAAAAAAAATTGGATTGAGTAGTTTGGCAAAACATAATTCCTCTTACCTTGGAGAGAATTTGTTCCACCTTGTCAGTAACTTTACCGATGGCGATCCTCATCTCCGTGTTCTGTTGTCGAGTTTCCGACACGAGCATGTTGGTGTGCATGTCGCTTCCCGGTTGCCCCGGAAACTGCTGCTGTTGCCCGGGAAACGGTTGCCCGGGGAACTGTTGCTGGGCGGGGTACATGGTGTTGTACTGAGGGGGCGGGGCCTGGCCGGGCTGCTGGTAGGTGTTGTAGGGCGTGGCAGAGGGAGCAGAGGTTTGTGGGTACTGGTAGGGAGGAACAACGTGGTACTGGTCAGCAGTGGTCAACAGGGAGGAGGGGAGAAGGAAGAAATTAGTGTCTGAGATGTAGGAGCTAGGAAGTAATAATAAAATACTCTTGATCAAATATCAACATGATATACTGCATCTATGATTCAATCTACATAATTGTATTATAATTGTGTATTATAATTGTGCAGATCATCTTAGATTTGTATCCTACTCTGTAATTTTTGTCTCTGATTTTGTTACATGTACATCTCCATCTGTCAAATTGAATTTTCAGTACTAGAGAGTAGAGACTGATATACAGCTTTGCTATGATACCTGGAATGGCTGCGGCTGCTGCATCTGTGGCTGGAACATAGCCACCTGCTGCTGAGGCATGCCAGGTGGGGCAAAACCTAGGAACAAAAACATCAAATGCTAAAATCTCTACTGGAGCCATTTATTCAAAAGACATCAATCTGTGACAACTGCTTCATTTGTTACATTAACAGGAAAGTACTTGAAAGTAATTACATGGAATTGTTTGTATATACTTGGCACTTGTATGAAGAAGTACATCAACATCTCTTTACAGAGTCAAGACATATCAGTTGTGCTGCCTACCTTGTATCCCTGGCTGCTGCACCTGTGGCGGTGCTTGCTGCGGCGGGGCCACCTGCTGGGGCGGCTGTGCGACCGGCTGGACAGGTGTCGCCTGTTGGGGAACAGGCTTCACCACCTGCGGCTGTTCCTCCAGCTCAGGCTCCACGTCCCCCTCCCCCTCGGCCGGCCCGGTGGACGGGATGATGGCCTGCCCCATCTTGGCCATGCGGGAGATGAGTTTAGCCTTGCTGCTGGAGGGGTGGCCCAGCTGCTCACTGATGGACGACGTACGGGCCTTCACACTGGTGTCTTCAGCTGCAGCCTGGACACAGTAGGGCAGATCAGAAAACAATCCAACTAGAAAGGTAACACTTGCAAAGCAAATGCATAATGTTAACCTTCTCATATGGTCTGCTCTGTTAATTCTTACCCAAACACATTTTCATATACATAAGGTGACAGGAGTCTCAATCCCTCCTGCTCTAAAATTGCAACATGATGTAACCCAACAGTACATGTAGTTACTAACCTGGGGTGCTACCTGAGCTGGTGGGGGCTGGGCCTCCACAACGGGCGAGTCCACTCTTGGGGCGGGGGAGTCTCGAGATGATGTGGACCTGCTGTCATCTTTGTTGAACTTAACCTTAAAGGGAAAGGAATGTGAGGGCCAAGTTTCAGAGGTAGAGTCGGTTCCAATTCTCTTTGTAAAAATACTCTTAATTTGGTTAATTTATTATTGAATCTTGTTACAATGTACACACAGGCCCACCTTACCTTCATAGCATGGACTTCAAAGACAAGTGTAGCGTTGGCAGGCACCCTGTTGGGCACACCTTTGGCACCGTAGGCCAGGTGAGGAGGAATCACCAACAGCCTCTTCCCTGATTTCTTCATTCCCACTGTTCCTTCTTCCCAACCCTGGGAACAGAGAAATGCCAAATAATTCAGACTAAAAAACATATGTACAAACATTCTGATAAGATTATAAGCTGTTTGACAGTAGTAGTTCACTTCATAAGAGAGACACATGTACCAGGGGCATCATATGAAGGTATTGCAGTACCAACATCAGTTTTGATATTTTTTGCTAGAAGTTATAGTTTCAGTCAACCTCAACTGTAGACCTTACCTTGATGACTTTTCCCTTTCCAATTTTAAACCTGAAGGCCTTGTCTGTACTCATGTTACTGTCAAACACCTGGAGCATGAAACAAAAGGAGTCAAGTTTAGTGAGTATGGAAAACAGTAATCATATGGAGTGAATGTACTGGCTAGTAATCAAATAACAAGAAATTACATAAAGCACATGCAAGAGATCACTAGTTGTGAGCGTCTACTAACCTGACCAAAGGTGTTGTTGCTCAGAAGCCATCCTGTGTATTTCATCTCCATCGAGTCTCCCACATCTACAGCCTGGCCCTCCCCTAGAACCAGATCCTGATGGACTATTCCATCTATTGCACCACTGTTGGCTCGGGACATTCCAATCTACAAAAAGGGGCCAAAGTTAGTTTCAGGTATGTAAAAGTCTTGAGACCAGGAAATACATTTGCATTGTATCAAAATAACTGTGGAATAGTACTCACATGTTTGGCAAAGTCCACAGCATTGGACTCAGATTCAAACATGACAGACCATGTCTGTCTCTGGTCATCGTAGAAGGAAGCATAGTTGTTGGCCTGTACCTGCATTTTGTAACAAAATAAAACAAAACTTAGTACATTGTGCATGTACATGTATGTTGCTATTGACTAGAGAATAGGCATGTATAATACTGAACTACCAGCAATCATAGAAGTTATTGTATTAATGGAGAAATAGAAAGAAGCAACACATGGTTTTCTTGCATCAACTTGATCCTTACATGCAGCTCTAGCTAAGTCAAAGAAAATGCCCCTTGGGGCCTCCCTAGCCAAGTCTGACTTAGACTGCTACATTCTCTCACTAAGGTACACATTACATGACCTTAAGACAAGTTCACCACATCACATACATACCAAGATCAGGCCAGGGTGATGTCATACTTACAGTAAAGCTGAAGGTCCTGGTGACCTTGGCAGTGGTGACAGGCCTGTCCTTACTCACATACAACAGGATCTTATACTGTACATGGCAGAGGACAAGATAAAGGCAACATTACAATAGATAGTGAAGACAATTCCTTAGCATACAATACAATACATTTGTATTCCAAGACCACTTTTTGTGATGATCATTCCAACCATATTGAAAGAAAGTTTAATAAAAGACTGAAAATTCTGACATTTTCCAGGAAAAATTATCTGAAAAATTTACAATAGAATGTGGTCTACTGGTTTAGAATTTTGAGTTGTCATGTTTCATCATGTACTTACATCACTGTTGCTATGGCTACCAAGGATGGCTGCACCAAGCTTTCCCTGCTTGACATACTGATTGTCCACACTGTGGTAGGAGAGAGCATATACATGTATCTCGATACTCTCGATTCTTGATACATACTCCATATAATATATCTTGAAATAACTTAGGTGTCTAGACAGTCTGGCAAAATGTCCTCAGATGCATTGTATATGAGTTACACTCATTGATGATAATTTACCGTTTCCTATCTCATTACAACACGCTCTTCTCTAAACAAGTTACTTTTCTTATCTTGCCATTACCATTCCTCTGTATGTAAAGTACTTACTATTTGTAAGCATGTACAGCGCATGCAAACAGTAAAGCTGGAGCGCTGCCCCCCTCTGCCTTTCCCGGCTGGACCTTCTTGGGTTCCTTGGGTGCCGTGTAGGTTAGAGACTCATTTCCTGCCCTGGCACCAGCCTGGTCAGCGCTGAACAGGGACCCAAGCTTCGACCTTAGAAAGGAGAAATGTCAACATTAACAGTAAGTCTGACATTTTTAAATGGCCCTCTTTGTATTCAGTATTGTAGATATGGTAGAAAAAATCATTATCTAATTTTACAAAATTTAACTTCAATGACATCTAAGCTAGAATTGACTTTAAGTTACATCCATACTGTTTAGTTTAGTTTAGTTTATACTGTAAAAACTGTTATGCTAGTTTCAAATTGAAACAGCAAACATAAGTTGCAACACAATCACCAGTTAGCCACATTTACCTGTGCCAGTATCTGAACTCATCACTAAAGAACCAACTCATTGTAGAACAACAAAAATCACAAAAGATCAGAAGAATGATGATTCTGTAGTGAGTTCTCCAGAAAAGTCCACCTATGTCATAACTCCAGCAATGCCTACTAGTAGACTGGCTCTCAGCTGCTTGCCATTTACTGATTTAGTAATCAAAACCACATCTGACAAAAGGTATTGATATGCTAAACTGGTGGGATGACAAGAACAAGATTGTTGACAAATCATTCTGGTAAACTATTTCCATCTAGCATGTATATGTGGCATGACCAGATGGGTTTAGAGCAAGGTCTGTAACCATGTAATATAACACTGTGTACTATAGCCTAGGGACTGTTCATTCTGTACTATGTACTTGAGGGATGTTCTTAGTATGTGTCATATCAAACATTTATGCTACATTATCCATACGCCAAGTGTACAAGTTAAACTTTATCTCTAGTCTTTAACATTAAGAATATGCAATGTCTTCAAATTTTCTACACAGATCTGGATGTCTATACTCAATGGATTGTCCCTACTGGTAACAGTTTGCTGAGATTTTCTGCTGGTAGGATATAGACCCTTGAATGTCTGGCCATGGCTTCAACACACAGGGACAAGACCATCATTGTTTCAGCAACAAATGACTCAGTCATGCATTCCTTGCTGTGTATTTAGTGTCAACACAGGGAAGCCACACTAACATTAGGGTCATGTTTCCTTACGTAATCCTGAGGCTTAACTCTTGAATATAAGAACAGTGAGATTATAGTTTGAGCATCTACTGAAGAGTTAATCTTTTTTAAGAACTAAGTGTATAGTGACTCATCTAAATTTACAACTGTCAGTCTGTCTAGGACTGACATTAGCTGTAGCTTGAAGAGTAATAGAATGGTTGATTATGAAAATGCTGTATTACTATCTGCTAGGTTGACAGAAAAATCAATCAGCCTTCTGCTCTTGCATTTGGTACCATATAGATATATAAATATCTGTCACACTGCTTTACATGTACATGGTACTTTTGTGCAAAAATAGCATTCAAAGGTAAGGCAGGATCCTGTCTACATCTAGTTACGTATAGCATAAACATGACTGGCATCTGATCGAGTCTGAATAAAATCATTTAGTTTGGTTTGACATTCCCTCAGCGGCACCATGGTGTCAGGACAAATATCACATGCCTCCTACAGCCAACATAACCACACTGACAGCTGCTGCTGGTGAACTCAAGGTTAAAGGGGAAAGGTTAGGAGGATCAAGAGACCTAACACTGACTGTCACCATCCTCAATTCTTTTATTTATTTATTTGTCATGCCAATAAATTCAATCAAGGACATTTATGTGTATAATGTCCTTGATTCAATTCATTACATGAAGATACAAAACAACATGACTGGTCTCAAGTAGATGTAGATGTACATATATTTGTTGACAGGATTATCCTGGAAAATGCATCATCCTGTCAATAGTGCAAATTTTCCTGTTATTGACAGGATGATTCTGTCAATAGCTAGCCATTATATAGCCGTGGCGACTATTGATTCGGGCTTACATTGCATTACCCTCAGCAATAGTCGTGGAAAGATCCATTGGCAGAACTGCACATTTCCCGTTGGCTGCTCGATGCTCCGTTTTTGACCCGGTTTTTTGCTGTCCCGAGCTTCCCTACAATATAACTCCACAATTGGCCGGGTTGCCGATGTTTAGATCAGCCTAAATATTCCACAGCGCGACAGAAAAGTAGTAAAATAGCTAGTCGGCACAAGATGGCGCCAGCTTGTGCCGACTAGCTATTTTACTACTTTTCTGTCGCGCTGTGGAATATTCAGGCTGATCTAAACATCGGCAACCCGGCCAATTGTGGAGTTATATTGTAGGGAAGCTCGGGACAGCAAAAAACCGGGTCAAAAACGGAGCATCGAGCAGCCAACGGGAAATGTGCAGTTCTGCCAATGGATCTTTCCACGACTATTGCTGAGGGTAATGCAATGTAAGCCCGAATCAATAGTCGCCACGGCTAGCCATTATATGGCCATTCCCCTTGAAGGTCCATAACTTACAAATTATAACACCCAAAACTCAAAATTAGCAGATTGACTCATTGAGCACCAAAGAAAACAAGATTATGCATACTAGAATACTAGAATATTTTTCAACAGAAACTTAATTCGGAAGTGGTCAAACGATTTGGCAAACAACGAAGACTCGCCACATAAACTAGCATACAGGAAGTTGAAGATTTTAGTCAATAAAATGTAGTTATTTTCGTGATTCCTGAGAAATTCTTACCCTCCTGACATGCCCGAGGGCGAGAGGAAGTCATCGTCGTCTTCTCCAGCAAGACTGAACATTGTAAAGGTGTTTTAAGACATTAAACAGGTACTTTTCATGCACTTTTAGGGTCTTCGGAGACAAGCCAAGTGGGAGGGGAGTCATGTGAGGAGGATCTGGGCGCTTACACTGTGACATGGGGAGGTTACCCGATATTTGTTCTTCGCCATAACAACTTTTTTGTTCAACTTTTCACGATCAAATAAACAAACAATTAAAAATATATTATCTTATTTTGATAATTGACGTGAGAAGAAAAATGCAATAAATTAAAAAAAAACTTAGTTTTCTTAACATTCTGGAAGATTGAGAACCCCTACTTAAAAATGTACTATTCTTTATGGTTTCTGCTTCTCGTGACAGTCGTAAAATCTATTTTTAAGAGGAAAAAGATATAAACTGTAGAATATTTTGCATTAATATTCCATGACAGATACGTACAGTACGATTTATGATACGGAAAGTTAAAGTATTTCTTAACTCATGCTGTAACCGCGAATTTTATTGCACTTTTACGACTGATTTGCGGCAAATATAGCTGCCCGGTTGACGGAGGTATGGCTTGGCCTAGAATATGGTAGGACGGCCACGAAAGACGGCCACGCCGCTATTGGTCAATTTCTCAGCAAGCTCCACGCTGCTATTGGTCGGGGTATCAGCTGCTACAGTGAGGGATAGCTAGCGGTGGGGAGGGCTGCCGGCGTTTATCCACAGCTTTTAGGGGCAAAAAACGTCAACCTTTACGGCTATAATCACTCCACTTCGGTGGATAAGCCACAAACAGTCATTTGTGCGGCTCTTAGCTCTGGAAACCTTACAGGTAATGAGTGCGTGAGGGACTTGGGTCTAGATAACGTGTTACCAGTAAAACCATTTCTACCTCCATGGTAAAACGCCGTACGGGAAAATTCCATGGGCCTTTCATAAATTATGTAGGGACCAGGTAAGGCACCGTACAGGTGATATTGGCGTGGCCCTTTCATCAAGGGACCAGGTTTAGGAACCATACAGGTAATATTTGCGTGGCCCTTTCATCTGGGGACCAGGTAAGGCACCGTACAGGTAATATTTGCGTGGCCCTTTCATCTGGGAACCAGGTAAGGCACCGTACAGGTGATATTTGCGTGGCCCTTTCATCTGGGGAGTAGGTAAGGCACCGTACAGGTGATATTGGCGTGGCCCTTTCATCTGGGAACCAGGTAAGGCACCGTACAGGTGATATTTGCGTGGCCCTTTCATCTGGGAACCAGGTAAGGCACCGTACAGGTGATATTGGCGTGGCCCTTTCATCCGGGGAGCAGGTAAGGCACCGTACAGGTAATATTTGCGTGGCCCTTTCATCTGGGGACCAGGTAAGGCACCGTACATGTAATATTTGTGTGGCCCTTTCATCTGGGAACCAGGTAAGGCACCGTACAGGTAATATTTGTGTGGTCGTTTCATTTTTGGACCAGGTAAGGCACCGTACAGGTGAAATTGGTGTGGCCCTTTCATCTGGGAACCAGGTAAGGCACCGTACAGGTGATATTGGCATGGCCCTTTTGTCTGGGGACCATATTAGGCACCGTACAGGTAATATTTGTGTGGCCCTTTCATTTGTGGACCAGGTAAGGCACCGTACAGGTGATATTGGCATGGCCCTTTCATCTGGGAATCAGGTAAGGCACCATACAGGTGATATTGGCGTGGCCCTTTCATCTGGGGACTAGGTAAGGCACCGTTCAGGTGATATTGGCGTGGCCCTTTCATCTAGGGACCAGCTAAGGACTGTACAGGTGGTATTAGCGTGGCCCTCTCATCTAGGGACCAGGTAAGGCACCGTTTAGGTGATATTTGCGTGGCCCTTTCATTTGTGGACCAGGTAAGGCACCGTACAGGTTATATTGGCGTGGCCCTTTCATCTGGGGACCAGGTAAGGCACAGTACAGGTAATATTTGTGTGGCCCTTTCATCTGGAGACTAGGTAAGACACCGTACAGGTGATATTGGCGTGGCCCTTTCATTTTTCAACCAAGTAAGGCACCGCACAGGTGATATTGACGTGGGTCTTTCATCTGAGGAGCAGGTAAGGCACCATATTATTTATAATTTGTGTGGCCCTTTTATGTAGAAACTAGTTAAGGTACTTGAAAAGAATATTTGTGTGATTCTTAGGGACCTTTGATTATTTGGTTCTTTGGCCCTTTGAAGGACGAGAAGCTGTCTAGAATGGTTCGAAGTACCGACTTTAACAGTGTTAGGGTTAGTTTATAGCAACAACATGAATGGTGAAGTCTGTTAGGATTTTACTCCAAAAGTAGAATAACTGGAAGTGGATTCTAGTAACAAAATGTAGAGCTAAGTACCGGTATGTGCTTTCTTGATTATTTTGGTCCATTTATATTGTTCTGAGGGACACGTGTAAGAATCAGTTTCTAAAACCTGTAAGAATCAGTTTCTAAAACCTCTTATAGAATATTCTAATAGTGACTTGTATGTAGAGTACATTCTGTTGTTTTGAATTTAATTCTGTAAGACTACTATATATACATGTACCTTATATGTGTACATTCTTCGCTCAATGCAGTTATTAAAGTCAAACTACACCTACTAGTATTCGTTTTCAATTGTCTTTCTTGTACATTGTCTTTGAAGTCAGGAACAAATATGCAAATACACAGAATGTGCCCTTAATATGCCTCTGACTATGACTGACACAAAAACTCTTGAGCTGCTGAATGAGCATGACTGCATGGTTGTTTGGGTACAATTACATACGTACTAGAAGAATGTGAATTAAAACTTCCCCGGGACGAAATATAGATTTTGACAAACCTTAGTAAAACTAGTTTCAAATTAAAATTCTGAAAAAACATCTCGAGATGTTTTGAAAAAATCTGTAGATGTTTTGAAAAAATCTGTAGATGTTTTGAAAAAATCTGTAGATGTTTTGAAAAAATCTCGAAATTTTTTGAAAACATCTGGAGATTTTTTCAAAACATCTACAGATTTCACATTATATACATGCTACATGTAGAAATAGCATTCGGGTATGTGTTTGATACTTAATTCGGGGCATTTTAGAAAGGAACAAAGGGCTTTCGGAACATAAAGATTTCGGACCATAGGGCTTTCGGAACATAACGCGAGCTTAAAACGTACCGGCCGCGGGTTCCGTATCTCGTCTAAAACTGCACATATTTCTTTAAGATTCGGCTGATATGTTCATTGAAGCTTACGAAGTTACTGTATGAGTTCCCGTGCTGATGTCGTAATTAGTCATTGAGTTATTTTCAATCAAAATTTGCTTCATTCAAACATCTGTCACAACCTTTAAAATATACCTTTACTTTCCTTCAAAACGATTCGGTATTACCATTGTAAAAGGAAGTGGTGATACCACTGAAAGGTATCAGACCTATGTAGAGGATTATGTCTATTTCATAATGTAAATCACTAACTCTACCTTATTATTGCAATACCGCACATTTCAGTGGGGTTTAGGACATGCCCAAAAAATGAAGCCAAATAACTGACCTGTATCTACCAAAAGGAATGGAAGAAGAGTAGATTTGTTAACAACACACAACGATCAGTATTTCAGGATACTAATGTCGAAGTTTCATCCTAAAATATCATTTCATTCTCGATTTAGAAAGTAAAACTCAATTTTGGGCGATGCGGTCAAAATCGAGCTAGAATTGTCTTTGCGAAACATAGCGGTTTGAAGACGGTTTCGCATCGCGGGAGCTTGAAACGTGCTGGTTTCCGTATCTCGCTTAAACCTACACGGATTTCTTTCAAATTTGGCTGGTATATTCATAAAAGCTTATAAAGTTACGGTATGAATTTTCATGCTGATGTCATGATTAGTCATTGAGTTATTTTCAATTGAAATTTCTTCATGAAAGCATAGATCTCTCACAACTTTTCAAAATATAAGTTGACTTTTCTACAAAACGATTGGGTGCAACCGATAAAAAAGGAAGTGGTGGTACCACTGAAAGGTACTCAACAGACGTGTATAAAAGATTATGTCCATTTTACAGTGTAAATCCCTAAATCAACCTTATCATTGCAATACCGCGTATTCCAATGGGGGTTTTGGGCATGGCCGAAAAATGGGGCCAAATGAATTGCTTGTAGCTTTACGAAAATTCATCAAAGAGCAAATCTGTTCACAGCAGAGATAGACCAGTATTTCAGGATACTAATAGCTAAGTTTCAGCTCAAAATATCATTTCATTCTCGGTCTAGAAAGGAAAACGCAATTTTGCGTGATGCAGTCAAAATTGACCTAGAATTGTCTATGCCAAACATAGCGGTTTAAAGGCAACCTCGCTTCGCGCGAGCTGAAATCATGTCGGTCTCCGTATCTCATCTAAAACTACATGGAGTTCTTTCAAATTTGGCTGGTATGCTCATTGAAGCTTACAAAGTTACGGTATGAATACCCATGTTGATGTCATAATCAGTCATCGAGTTATTTTCAATTGAAATTTCTTCCTGAAAGCATACATCTCGCACAACGTTTCAAAATATAAGTTGACATTCCTCCGAAACGAGGAGGTGCAACCAATGAAAAAGGAAGTGGTGATACCACTGAAAGGTCCTGAACAGACGTATATAAAAGATTATGTCTATTTCATAATGTAAATCCCTAAATCTACCTTATTATTGCAATACCGCACATTTCAGTGGGATTTTGGGGCATGGCCGAAAAATGAAGCCAACTGAATTGCTTGTAGCTTTACGAAAATTCACAAAAGAGTAAATCTGTTTACAGCAGAGATAGATAAGTATTTCAGGATACTAATGTCCAAGTTTCAGCGCAAAATATCATTTCATTCTCGGTCTATGAAGGTAAACGCAATTTTGCGTGATGCGGTCAAAATCGACCTAGAATTGTCTATGCGAAACAGAACGGTTTGAAGGCGACCTCGCTTCGCGCGAGCTGAAATCGTGTCGGTTTCCATATCTCGTCTAAAACTGGATGGATTTCTTTCAAATTCGGCTGGTATGTTCATTGAAGCTTACAAAGTTACTGTATGAATTCCCATGCTGATGTTATAATTAGTCATTGAGTTATTTTCAATTGAAATTTCTTCACGAAAGCACACATCTCTCCAAGGACATTCTTTGCTCTCTCACAACTTTTCAAAATATAAGTTGACATTCCTCCAAAAAGACTAGGTGCAGCCCATGAAAAAGGAAGTGGTGATACCACTGAAAGGTCCTAACCAGACCTATGTAGAATATTATGTCTATTTCATAATGTAGATCCCTAACTCTACCTTATTATTGAAATACCGCACATTTCAGTTGGGTATTGGGACACGACCAAAAAATGAAGCCAAATGACTGACCTGTATCTACCAAAAGGAATGGAAAAAGAGCAGATCTGCTAACAACGCAGATATATCGGTATTTCAGGATACTAATGTCGAAGTTTCATCCCAAAATATTATTTCCTTCTCGGTCTAGAAAGGAAAATGCAATTTCATATGATGCGGCAATGATCGATCTAGATTTTTCTATGCGCAACATAGCCTTTGAAAGCGCGAGCTGAAAACTTAAAAGTAAAACTAAAAGTAAAACTGAACGGATTGGTTTCAAATTCGGCTGGTATGTTCATGGGAGCTTAGAAAGTGGCTGTATGAATTCCGTCTGATGCCGTAATTGGCCATTGAGTTATATTCTGTTGAAATTTGAGTCATTAAAGCATAGAGTTCTCCAAATAATTGAAAACAAAGGTTTACGTTCCTCAAGAAAGATTTGAGTGCAGCCTTTGAAAAGGGTTTAAGGCTGTCCTTTTCAATAATGCGAATTCCTAATCCCTATAATACCTTTGATTCTACTGTCCTTTACACCATTTACACAGTAATAACTTCTATCAATTGCTTGCTTCTTGGCGACATTAGTGCGTTCAAGTATTATGTTGGGATACATGATTTTAATGCTGTACACTTGCTATTCTTGAATCATATACTGACTTGAACTACACTGGAAATGAAAGTCTATGGAAACAAGAGTGAAAACGTGTATTTCAGCTTTAATAATAATTGAATGGTGTTGAAAATAATATACATGTATCAGAAAATAAACTGGTAATATCTACAAGTACTATAGGTAATGAATCTAGTTACTATATGTTATGCTTGAAACAGTTTTAGAAAATATTCTCAAACATGCAACTCGGAAAAATAGAAAACAAATAAATAAGCGAACACAGAATAGTTCTACAGTTCAACACTACAATCCACCTCTAGTTATTCTACTTCAGAGAAAGAATGTGATAACATAAGTCAGGGTTCAGTATTCATGTTGTTGTTATGAACTAAAGCTGGCACTTCCAACAATTCCAGAATTTAATGCATTGACATCTCCATTTCCTGCTGTGCAATCAGTTTCTCCTTTCTGGCAAATGCCCTGAAAAAAAAAAGAAAGAAATATTCTAGACACTAGCAATCTAAACACTAGTATATAAAAAATGTCATTGACGAAAAAAATCAAAAAGAACAAACAAACAAATATAAATTGTATGGTCTTACCGGGCCCAAAAACCTATAAACCATACAAACATTACCTACTAGTATATGGTACCTTACTTTGTCTCCAGATAATAGGGCCATTCAGATATTACCTGTATGGTGACATACCTAGTACAAAGAGGAAAGGGCCATGCAAAGTTTACCTATAGGTGCCCTACCTGGTCACCAGATGAAAAGGCTACACAAATATTACCTGTACGGTGCCTAACATGGTTCACAGATAAAAGGGCCACGCCAATATCACCTGTAGGGTGCTTACCTGGTCCACAAATGAAAGGGCCACGCAAATATTACCTGTACGGTGCCTTACCTGGTTCCCAGATGAAAGGGCCACGCAAATATTACCTGTACGGTGCCTTACCTGCTCCCCAGATGAAAGGGCCACGCAAATATTACCTGTACGGTGCCTTACCTGCTCCCCAGATGAAAGGGCCACGCCAATATCACCTGTGCGGTGCCTTACCTGGTCCCTACATTATGAAAGGCCCATGGAAAGTATTTCCCGTATACGCGTACACGTACGGCGTTTTACTGGTAACGTAATCTAGACCCAACTCCCTCACGCAGTCATTACCTGTAAGGTTTCCAGAGCTAAGAGCCGCACAAATGACTGTTTGTGGCTTATCCACCGAAGTGGAGTGATTATAGTCGTAAAGGTTGACGTTTTTTTGCCCCTAAAAGTTGTGGATAAACGCCGGCAGCCCTCCCCACCGCTAGCTATCCCTCACTGCAGCAGCTGATACCCCGACCAATAGCAGCGTGGAGCTTGCTGAGAAATTGACCAATAGCGGCGTGGCCGTCTTTCGTGGCCGTCCTACCATATTCTAGACCAAGCCATACCTCCGAGTGGAGTGACGCGAACGTAACGCCTCTTTAAAGGCACCTTTGCTTTCTCTCATATTTCAGCCCCTCTTTTGTTTGCCTTTCATCATTGGACCTACTTAGAGAGAAAGGGTGGCCTGTAGGGCGGGGAGAAAGCTGAAGTAATGCCTGTCTGTCGGTAGCATCTTGTCTGTAACCCGAAGAAAACCCGATTGAGGACGTCACCATCTTCAAGGACGGAAATTTCCTGGATCACAAGGATCTCTCCGTCAGTCGCCCACACAAGGAAACAGTCGTCACGAAGCGGTACCGCCTCCAACTCTCTCCCCGCACGATGTCTGCCCCGGCCCGCCTGTGGCTCGTGTTGGTCTGCTGTGTGGCCGGCGCGGCGGCTCAGGACCACCGTATGCGCCACCAGCACGGCGCGATGAACCAGTCCGCACCCGCGGTAAGTCAACAGTCTGGAAGGAGTCCACTGTGTACTTAAGAATACTTAAGGCGTTAGACCTGTCACCTACATATGCCGTTTCTCCTGCAATATGTTGTGGGGATTTATCCAAAGAATAGACGGCAACCATCAAATTATCATTATGGTTTATTATATCAATCAATATATAATTTATAGGGCACGATAATTTGGTAACTTTTAACTACTGTTTATGACAACAGTCACCATACTAAAGACGTTAGAACTATCACTTTCTACACATCTCATTTCTCCTAAATGTCTAAAATATAATGTGGCGATTTATCCAAAGAATAGACGGCAATCATCAAATTATCATTATGGTTAATTCTGTAGGATTTATAGGGCATGACTAATTGGTAATGTTTTAATACTTTTATTACAATATAAATGATTCTTTGATAAACAGGTGTTTTCATGTGATTGTTGCAATTATCAAAGTGATAAGTGTTATTACTGTTACAGTAGTAGTACAATGTACTGATATCGACTGGGTCGTTTGTCTTCTATAATAGGTTTAACTATGCAACATTATCTGCAATTCTAGGCTATAGTCTGACATTGTCCCACACTCTTACATTTACCGGTACTTTTACCAGTCTTCAATTAGTACTTTTTCTTGAGGTGGCTATTAGTAGAACCAATGAAAAGAATCTCCAGTGACGATTTGCGTAAAGCAAGTGAGGAAAATTACTCTGACCCATTGGGAGAGATGCCGGCTTCTATAGGGAAGCATGCACGGTTGTATACCGTGTACCCTCATGTGAAAACTGTAGACTAAATTAATTATTAGATCTCATAAGCCAGGGTCTTGTGTCTGTTGCAATTTGCGCTACTTAAAAAGCAAAGCAAAAACAGAAAGTTAAGACAACCACAACCACAATAGGTGTGCAGCCAATTAGCCATTATTTTGCACATGACTGACTGCCAGCCTGTCAAGTTTGCTGAACATGACCTTTGGGTCTAGCATACGTGTCATGTCTCACTCTTACTGACTGTCATCTGCAAATGGTTTTGATAACTAAATCTCTGTTTACACAGACACAGGCTTGAAGTTGGCCCCAGTCTTTCTTTCCTAAGTAGATACCAGAGAATACACGCAACTTCCTTTTCTGCAGCTTCCCAGTACAGCATTTTTGTGCATTCAGGTTCTTTGGCCTTTACATAAGTTGATAATTGGCCAAATGCATGTAAACAACTTGGTATTCAACAGAGTGCATTACACAGAGGACTTTGTACCACAGCGTGGCTGTTACCAGCATGCACAGTTCCCTCAACTTGACATTGATTAGGAAAATGTAGGAGCAGCAGGTTTATGTAAAGTTTTTGGAGCCACTCAAACACGTAAAAGGCCTAGGGGTGCCAAAGATTAAATCTAAACCACATCTTGCCCACAAATAAATCTTTCATGAGTCATTGCCAATTGGAAAAAGGGTTAAGTTCTCTTCACCTTTATGTATGTATCCACTCTAGTGTAAAACTGAAGCTTGCTAAGTATTTGTAAATCCCCTTACAATAGTACACAATCACACACTGCAGGGTTCCAGAGCCTGTTTTTCAGGGGATTTTTGTGTACCAGAGCAATAATGAGGTCCCAACAAGGAGGTTAAAAAACCTCCTTGGTCCCAATTAGCAACCAGCTTGAATTTGTCTGTTGTGCAATTATGTGTATACATGTAGGTCAGAAATAACTCCTTCTCCCAACCAGATTCCAACCATTTATGATAATAGATCCAGGTAAAATGTCAACATTCTTTATATGCCTGTTGAAATCACACTAACGTGGTTACCGTTATCCGCATAAGCATACGATACATAAGGTGGCACTTTCTTGCACACTGCAGAAAACACTGCTTTTATTTGCCTCATACCACAAAGTTCATATATTATATAAGACACTTATAATCCACAGTCAGGATTGTGTAAGGCAAGCTCCATGTAATACCACATGGTTTTAGACCTGCATGTTTGCAGTGGTTGGCATGGCCACTAAGTGGGGACTGGGCAAGGACTCCTACGTGGTTTAAACTGATTAACATTTACATAGGGGCATTGTATTGCTTTGATCAAATGATTCTTCACATGTACAAAATGTACATACTGAGTTGAAACATAGAATTCCAAGAAGATCAGCAAAGAAATAATCTCTGGTTCTTAAATAGAACTGAAGGAAGTCAATTTTTCATCCATTGATTGAGATCCATCAAGTTGCATTCATATTATTCAAATGTCGAGTGTCATGCAAATCTTTCATACAATATTGTAAGCCACTTGTATTATCTTAATTAAAGTGACTGAAAGTTGAATCCTTTCCCTGGAAACCTAAGGAAGGGGTATCATGCTTGTATATGTATGCTTATGGATATCTTTTGAAAGAACTTTGAGCGAAGCTTGTGTGTTTGCCACTGACAATGCTGCTTCTGCAGATTCTCCTTTGGAATGTTTTTTTAGAAAGCCTATTTTGCACTAATAATATACTAATTTGGCATTTTTGTAGACAATGCCACCCATACATGGAATGGACCACAGTGCCAGTATGGACCACGGTGCCATGGATCACAGTAACATGGACCACGGTGCCATGGACCACAGTAACATGGACCACAGTGCCATGGACCACAGTAACATGGACCACAGTTCCATGGACCACAGTTCCATGGACCACAGTACCATGGACCATAGTAACACAGACCACAGTGCCATGGACCATAGTAACACAGACCACAGTAACATGGACCACAGTACCATGGACCATGACAGTATGGGCCATAGCAACATGAACCATAGTACCGTGGACCATAGTACCATGGACCATAGTAATATGGACCATAGTAACATGGACCATAGTAGCATGGTCAATGCAAACTCGGGAAGCCATAGTGAACATGGCCTTGGTGGCATGGTATGTGTATCTTTAAATCACTGCATGATTTAATTGATAGTAATAATATACTCAAACACTGAGTACTGATACCCTAACACATTGTCATGGCATGCAACTTTCTACTCAAGCTTATAAGAAGTACCACTATCTTATATTGTTATGTAGATGCATTTTTCTTAATTTTCAATTTACAATGTAGCAAAGGTATAATGTGCAGCTTTGATACATTTATGTTTATTTCATAATGTCTTCCTCTTGCAGATGATGCCGATGTCCTTCTACTTTGGCTACAGAGGTGTTGTAGTCTTGTTTGCTGGCTGGGTCATCAATGATATTGGAAGTAGGTGGTCTTACCTTGCACATATAATTAGAATGAAAAAACCTTGATAGTTATAAGATTTTGTAGTTTCTTTGGTTGCTTGTTACTTTCATCACATTATCAACAATTTTAATTGATTTGTGACTAACCTGAAGTTTCTCAAATGTGTCTGTTCATATCATTAAATGTCGGTTATTATCATTTTTTCTTTCCCTATCAGCCCTGATAGGTTCGATGGTTGGAATCTGCATTATTGCGGCCCTGTATGAAGGTCTGAAGGTGTTCAGAGAACATCTACTGAGGAAGTCCATGGTGACTGTCAGCTATCACTCCGTAGCAGTGCCTGGTCCTGAAAACCTACCTGTTGTGGAGACACAGAAAACCACAGGGTATGTTATGTTTTGTTGAAGACTTGTGTTAGATTGTTCATTGATCTTTATTCATAACAACAATACAATGATAATAGTGGAAGAGCACACACACATGCACAGACACACACACACACACACACTCACACATGCCAACAAAAATTTGAAATAGCTTCCTACATGTGATAACAAAATATATATTTTAAGCTCACTCCACTTTCTATAATGAATGGTTAATTTTGTTCTGTTTTTTTTTTCTATTTTGTTTTGTTTTTTGGCAACATTCCATATCTGTACCTGCATAGCCGGTATAACCGCCCTAGGGCATAACTGACTAGCTTCAGTATGATTGTATCTGCATGTTGATGTCATGTGTTCCTGTCCCCTGTAGATCCCGTATCCTGAGCTCCGCCCACCTGACCCAGACCCTGCTCCACGTGCTGCAGATTGTGGTCAGCTACTTCCTCATGCTGGTCTTCATGACGTACAACGGCTGGCTCTGCATTGCTGTGGCCATCGGGGCTGGCATCGGGTACTTTGCCTTCGGCTGGAAACGCGCCATCGTTATAGACATCAACGAGCATTGTCATTAATAATAGGACAGTGGTCCGCATGGTGTCATCAATCAGGGATCATTAAGCCTTCAAAAACATGAGTCTAAATAATTATGTCTCCATCCCACGCTGTTACAGAGTTTTCAGTCTCCATCAATAAAATCGTAGATGAGGGAATATTGTTGCTATTGATGGACTAATGTTATGCCCATGGAGTTCACGTAAAATAATTGGCGTGCTTAAGTTAATATGAAAAACACATGTAGGGAAGGGGGTGAACATGGGTTTGCTGATATAATGGAATAGATTTAAACATAGGGGAAAAACATTGCATTGCTGCAGTTTCTGTGCTAAAAAGGGTCCAGCATCTATTTTTATTGTCTATTACATGCCTTTAGAAATGTACTTACTTAAGCAACTCTTTGAACTGCGCAAGATGATTAGATGTCCTTGACTCGTATCAATGTGAAATATGACGTGATCATAATGTGTTCCAAAGGAGATTCAATGGTATTGAGGACCCAAAGATCTGTTGCTGCATTATCTGTTGCTTTTTTTTTTCAATGAAACATATTAAGTTAAAGACAAGTTGTTCAATCGTTAATCATACTAATTTGCATAAATTATTGTCTTGCATAAATAGTATTTTTATCACACCCTACATCTCCTCAGCCACCTTATAGTGCTACCTTAACAATCTACCACCATGTGCCTGCAAAATGTATTTTTCCTAAAGGTGGTTTTACCACCTCACAAAAACAGATAAACATAAAACAAACACAGTATCTTGTATCATGAATCTATATGTGAGAGGCAAGCTTCCATGACTACTACATGTAAGTTCCAATTTAGACATGAAGTTATGTTTTAATCATTGTAATCATCATCTGTAGTCTTGTTGAATGTTGAGGCACCACAGATACTTAAATCCAGAAATGTTTAAGGAGGAAGATCTTTATTGTTCTTAATGTTGTCAAATTAAGAGTCAGAGACAATGAAGTTGACCTTAACGAGAGACATGCAGTTAACTCGTCAAGAGTTATTCTTTATTATTTTTAATGTGTCACATAAAGAGTAGGAAATTGTGAAGATAATCCAGTTGACCTTAATGTAACCGTTCACCATACCAAACATGGTGTTGATTTTGCATAAGAATTAGCTGTTATTTTTTAAGAGTACAGCTGGTGTTAGGAAGGATTCTTTATTGCAGTTTTTCTTGGAAGCAGAAATTGCAGATTCCTTAGTTAGGGTAGTCAGAAAGGAACCAGAGTCATTTGACATGTCACAATCTTCATCACATAAACTTATGTTGTTTGTACTGTGTCAAACCGTCTGTGAAAGGACAGAAAAGCCACCGATTTTTAAAGAGATTATGAAGTGTGCTGTAGACAGGTCTACAACCGAAAAAGGATGTAGCAATAATGGCATATCTTATGTAGTATAGTGGAAGTATTTGTTAATTGTAAATTGAAGATTCCTATGAGACCAACGCTCAATTATGGGCTACTGAACAATTTATTGATGTCAGTAATTTTGTTGCTGTAAGAATTACCTCTAGAATAGTTAGTTTGCAGTGGAAAATGTACAACATTGTGTAAGGCATTGTTTTGAGTTAAGTACAAATGACCAGGGTTTAGAGCCTAGTATTTTGTCAATATTTTCAGGAAGAAATAGAATAAAACTCTGTAATTCTGGTCAAGCTATTTGTGTTTGTTTTGATAGAACCATCCAGGAGCAGGGCTGCTCTAGTAGCTCATAGTCGGGTCCACAAGCGGTGAACAGAACGCCAGCCAGGAGGAAAAGGACTATGATGATATAATAATGAGGCTGGAAAAGTTGACACAGTTTGTCTGCTAAATGAGATTTACTTTGACTTACTTGGAATAGTAGCTATCTGTCCTTTTTGTCTGAACATACTGTGTATATAAAAACATAGCAAGATCGATTACCCAGGAGTATTGTCCTTAAGAACGTGAGCCTAAAAACTGTCCAGAGTCCAACAGGCCGTTGTCCCAGTTACTAGGACTTGGATGGGATAGCAACAGGTGTATTTTTATTCGCTCCTTCACGTCAACAGGAAAACGTGTAACGTTACCATCATATCAGCTGATATAGGGGTGACATTTCCGAACAAATTTGATCGACATTTAGTCACAGTGTGGAAACCAACTGTGTTTTTTTTTCTTTGCTTGGATGTGAAGGAGCGAAAGATTTTACGCGTTCTGGAGGTCGGACCAAGGAGGTTAAAAAGTTGTATTTAAACCTCCATGGACCAAGGAGCTTTCATCACAGATGAAAGCTCCTTGCATGGACGAATATTGTTGCTATCGCACGTCATGTGGCTGGTAGTACCCCCTCATGTTTTGGTGTATCTGTACATGTCCGAAAGCGTAGTGTTCTGTAGAACAAATTCGTGTTGGTATCGCCGTATCTGTCCAAAAGGTCACCGTTCTGTAGGTCGGATGAATACTGTTGGTATATCGCACGTTACATGCCTTGTGGTACCTCTTGGTACACCTGTCTATAGTATAAAAGTATAAGGGCACAGACAGGTACCACTAGGCACGTGACGTCATAGTCACTCCACCCAATCTCTCGTGACTCGGGAATGATTACAATAATCGGTGTTTGGTTTCTTCGTGACCTCTGGCCGCACAGGAAAGCACACACTTCCTCCCAGTGACGTCATGAGCTACTGCAGTTAGTTCTCCCCAGGCGAACACAGTTTACTTAGTACTCTAGTCCCCGGGATTTGCACACTAGCCGTCCACCACAAATAGGTCCAGCTGGAACGCCCAAAGAAAGGTAACGACGTCGATTTGGTTACTAATATAGCTTAAGATATAGATATAAGTACTTAGTATAAACGTTTGTACTTTCACTTTTACGTAGGTATGATTTTAAGGCCTTTAGACAATGGTTGTTGTGGAATTCTTGAAATTTGACACAAGGAATTTCCGATCGTTTAAGCACTTCTTATGTTTGTATTGGTGCCAGTTATTTGTATTGCTCCCTCATTTTGTAGAAAGTAAACCCGTACACCCGTAGAATTGACATGAGCCGCCAAGTAACATAGACATAAGGCTAGGCGAGTCGTAGCACCTACCTACGACCTAGATCCCCATCGGCAAACAATGGCTACATAATATCAGGTTCTATTGTTGTGACTGCCAGCTAGAGGCAAGGTGAGACGCCCGTTCGGCCAGTTGCCACCATTCCCCCATGTACAAACCACTAAGTAAATTTCTGTCAGAAAACCTGCACATGCCGTTATGATCTACACACAGTCTTGCCGGATATTGCTGGTGCAGTTGCGGCATACTTCATGGAATGTCACAAACTTTGTTTCCTACGACTTCTACGTTCCCCAACGTTTCAAAACATCCGTTTTGTTTTTGTTCCATCCCATACTCTACAGTCAAACCTGTTTTACCCCCCTCCTGAGACTATGCAGTTTAACCTGTTTAATTCTGTCCTAATATGCAACTGAAAACTGCGGGCTGTGTACACTGGTTAAGTGGGCTTTTTTTTATAAGAACCGGTAGGGTTACATAGTCGGCAACCACTCCTTCACAAGCCGCGGCTTTCTTAAGTGGGCAGGTGTCTCACCTTCCGTAAGCAATCGGCCTTGAGTGTCAACAAAAGACATATGTAGAATATTTTATAGTTTCCAAGCTAAATGACAAAGGCTTTAAAGAATCAAAACCCGCTCAAACACACGACTATAGCTCCTGGGCAAATAGCCAAGGATCATTCACATGGCAGTTTATTTTCTGTTGCCATGCTACTAGTAATATCATCCTGAACTTTGAACTGAACCATCTAATAAAGAAATCTTACTTGATAAGCATTTCCCTTTGTACGTGTATTGTGTTTCAAAAGTCAAACGCATGCAGCTATAGTACAGATTCCCGTAATCATTAAGCAACAGGTATTCTAATCCCAGCGTGCTTTGTGCACACCGACAAAGGCTATACCAGGAAAGGAAGTTCGTAGCGACCAAAGAAGCGTTGAAACCCAAAGCAGCCGAAGCCATTCTAAGATCCTTTCCCCGCACGTAGGCATGTTTTCTTCACGCTTGAATACCGACCACCAGGTGCATTGTCTGGATCATTTACAACCAGTTTTATTGAAGTATATAGCATAATAGAGAACGACAAACCTTACATACTAATATATGACGTGCTACCGAGGCTATATATATAAACCTTAGGCTCTTTGGAGTACGTATACAAATAATCTCAGTAGTTGAAAAAGATTTTAAAAATGATTTTTCATACTATACTCGGACGTTTGTTTTCCTCCAAACATATCCATGGACGTTGTCCCGTATCCAATAACTCGGGACGTCGCAAAATTAAACTAACGTTACTGTATGAACCATCGTTAGCGTTTCCCTGTTGTGTTTTGTCCAGGTCACTGGTCAATTTGCAGAAAAGATGGCGCAACATTTCCTACTAGTGCTCCTTCTACCGCTGATCGTCAGTAATACCGCCCACGGGACTACCACAGAGGTACGTACTGCATCCGTTGACGTCAAACCCTTTCGATGCTGAAAGGCCTAGCATGATTAAGTCTTTTTCTTTGCCTGTGCCCCGAAGCTACGCAATGAGACAAGCCACAGTGAGTAGGATACAGGAAATTACGATACTAGTATACAACGCTGATCTCGTTTACGTCAGTATAAGCTTAAGTTTGACTGTTATTGTATAGTTTAACTGCACGATGGATGAGTCGGCCTCGTAAAGGATACATTGATTCTATTGCCGACTCCTCGCAGATCCTATTATGGGGATAAGAAAATAAATAAACTTACTAAAATGATCCCTATTTTAATTACAACTGTATATGTCGTGTGTTGGTTCATACGTATGCAAATGTTAACACATGGTGTTAATATATACTAGTAGTATAACGTGTCATGCCATTGTCCATGTGAATCCGGATTTGTTGGTTTCTTTCTCAGTACCGGTAAACCGCCTTTACGTATAAAACACCAGTTTTGTACAGTACGTACAAGTTTCGTAAGACCGTACTGTAAGGTTTGAATGAAACAAGTCACGTACATAAGTATAGTGGAAGATTTAATTTACTGTTACGTCATCTAAATCGGTATTGTTCCGTTTTATATAATGAACAGGCTCCCACCCCTAGCCCTGCACCGATGCATACGGGACACACCATGCAGCACACCATGGACCACACCGGAACACACCAGCCCGGAATGCACCACACCGGAACACACCAGCCCGGAATGCACCACACCGGAACGCACCAGCCCGGAATGCACCACACCGGTATGGACCACACCGGAACACACCAGCCCGGAATGCACCACACCGGTATGGACCACACCGGAACCCACCACGGCATGGGCACGCATCACCCCGGAATGCACCACACCGGAACACACCATCCCGGAATGCACCACACCGGAACACACCATCACATGGGAACACACCACCCCGGCATGGACCACACCGGCGCGCATGGGGACCATTCCAGCACGGGCCATGGCTCGGTAAGAAAAAAAATTATTCAAGCACCAAGCTAGTGAGAGTCGTAGACTGAGTTTTGTTTTGGACATGAAGAAGAGAAAAAAATCAAGTGCGTATATTGCAACCCGTTAAAAAAAACTTCACATCATCATCATTCCCACCACCGAGTGTAATCGACGAAGTGATGGACGCTAACAACCCTGACTACGCATGCAGTATACCTCAATCATGTGATACAAAGATACAGAATGCCATATTAGTTACAATTTCAAACAGTCTTCTCCTTGCTTTTTACAGGGTCATAACACGTATTTCTACTTCGGTCACCACGAGGTTGTTGTGTTGTTCCTGGAGTGGACGATCAACACCGTTCCAGGTAAAACTTCTATTTTCCAAGTGTACGGTAGTCTAAACAGTCCTCATAATTGTACCAAATACCCGATCTACGCGAACAGTTTTGTGACATAATGCAGGTACTTTCACACATCGGATGAATGCTAGCTTCGTAGCAAAACTTGCTTGCTACGAACTATGTAACGTTATATACGTTCTAACTATCCTCCGTGCACGTGGTCCATTTATAGCCTTTATAGACAAAGTTACTGAAAGAATCATGAGTAGCAAGCGTTCATTGTGTTTAACGAATTCCGTTTTCCCCACGCAGCTCTGATTGGCTCCTGTATCGGGGTGTTCGCCATCGCCATGCTGTACGAGGGACTGAAGGTTTGGCGGGAAATGCTGATCGTCCGTGCGGCTGACAGCAGTAAGGCAGCCCGCTCCAACTCCTACAGCCTGAACAACATCACAAACGGCAAAAGCACCAGCAAGCTGGACGTCGACATCGTGCCAAGGGCAGCAGAACCTAGCACAAGGTGAGCGTAAGAGCGTGGAGGAAAATCTGAGACAACTGAATGGTAAAATCTGACGTCCACGTCAAAGAAAGGACTTATCTTACGTTATAGGCAGACTCAAGAACAGAAACAGTTGTTTTGGTTATGTCAAGGAGGTTATAGTCTCCCTATAAGCAACTTTGTTCTGTAAATACTATTTTACAGTTTCAAAATTTCATCTTACTTTGACCCCAAAAATGACATGGGTCTTCAGCAATTGTCCCATTGGAAGGTCGGCATAATTGCTGTTAATCCAACACATGGATATGCATGGAGGGATGCATGGAGGGGTACTACTCAGTTACTAGATTGTGAATCTGTATTATTCTGTGAAACTAAATTTTACACGTTTGGTTGATTTTGTATCTACGAAAATGAGGTCTTTTCGCAAATAGCACTGGCCTCTGCTCTCTTTAGTCCGCATTTTTAAAGGTTTCCCACTGCACGATTCAAACATTTTATCATCTTTTTTCCCCACAGGCACCGGATCTGTAACTGCATGCACGCGCTGCAGTCCCTCCTGCACATCGTCCAGGTCCTGATCAGCTACGGGCTGATGCTGGTCTTCATGACGTTTAACGTCTGGCTGTGTCTGTCCGTGGCGCTCGGGGCAGGGGCCGGATACTTCGCCTTCGGCTGGCGCAGGCCCATCACCGTGGACAGGAACGAACACTGTCACTGAGTATTCATGACAATACCACTGACATCTGGATGTTTTAGCTCAAATGAGATACATGTACTAAGTAAACAGATTCTTTTCTAAAAGTTACATAAAATCTTACAAAAATTACGGTGCTTCATACTGAAGTCATTGGCATTGAATATCGGTAGGACTTAATACTGTATCCTCCAATGTTGCAAATTCACCGTGGACAGGAACGAACACTGTCATTAAACAAAGCAATCTGACACATCCTCAATGAACAGTAAACAATGGGAAGACATATTATCTTGTAATAATAAAAAATGCTCTTTTTTGTAATTCTTGTGCTATTTCTGTTGTTCGATTTGGGACAGTTTGGGTGCTTTAGGCTGTGGGCTGTATGATGTTGCAATGAACTGTTGACCAGTTTTGATTTAAGTAAGCCAGAGGTATTTTTAATTCCATTAATGAGTTAATCTTTAGCAATGTATATTAGCATGTTGATGTCTTACCTTGATCTACCAGAAAGCAGACAAGTTAGTCGGAATGTCTGTAATTTGTTCTATATATACATGGCCCTCTTTGAAATCACCATAATAAGTTGGAGGGGCTTTCCACTTGTGTTATATGAAATGAATCAATGAATAAATTCTTATTGAGAGGAAGCACTAAGACATTATCGCTGATACTATGAAAACTAACGTCAGACAATATACAGAGAGCACCATACATATATACGAGTGTCTTACTGACACTTCCCCTTGAAAATGATGTCCCTAAAACATTGAGAGGTAACAAACACGACCATACATAATTGCATGCAAATTTTATTAGCCAACCATCCGTAAATTTGCTTCCGTGCGCCAGTGAACTGGTTGAATTGGTACTAGTGGTAGATCGTGTCGACATTTGTCGATGGCGCTAATCAGTAGCCATTAGTACTAATGCGTAACAGGTGGGTATCGAATTCACTGCTTTTCTCCAACAGATTTATCGTTAAGTCTTTCAATTAAGACGACGATGACGTTTGGACAAGGTAAGATTATTTTCATTTGGATAAATGGGTGAGAAAACCTGATGTATCACGGCTCAGGGAAAGATTGTCGGGCTCAGTCGGTGTATGCAAGGACGTCCTTGGTGTATGGCAGCAATTGCAAGGTGCGCCCATTTCCGCCTTTGGCTAGCATATGTACCAGCACCTGTATTACTGTGATAGCTGTATTTGCACTGGCAGAGGAAAGATATTACCGGGGTCTTCACTGTATAGTTTATAGCATGTTAACGACGGGGAAAAAGAAAGGTCAGATAAGGACAAAACAGCCGGGGGGAGGGTGGTAAGAATGGATTACTTAGTATTCGTCACCATTTCCTGTTGGAGAATAACTTGCCAATTTCGTACTTACTACCTCTAGCTCCTTTTCTTTTTCTAAATGTCTGTAGGAGAATGTCTTTTATACAAACTCTGCGATTCTATTCCCATCATGTTCCATAGTTTGTGCTATTTATACCACACCTTTAATTTCACTACGTTCTGTAACTGTCACCACCCCGGGACGCCCTCAGGGCAAAAGCCCGACACAACAATGTCAAAGCCCGACACACAACATGTACAATTGTATATAGCCTCCTGTGCAGGCCCCGCGGCGGTGGGGAAGAGTTTTTAACGCATTATTTTAATATAACCTTCTCTCGTCGGCTATGTAGGATGGCCGGCTATATTAAAATAATGCGTTAAAAACTCTTCCCCACCGCCGCGGGGCCTGCACAGGAGGCTAAATTGTATACCCGAGACAGGGAAATGGAGGTGATAATGAATTCATGAAGGGTAGCAGCAACAGTTAAATGTGACATCACGAACGCTATCTTCAAGCCGCACCAAATTGATTGTGTAAATGTTTGTAATTCACGACTCAAGCCATTATGATTCATATGCATGGGCCTTTCTATTCATTGCCTCAGGGCCTTGAGTCGCTGTGACATGATATTAAACATCTGCAAGGCCCGCAGACTGAAGAACCCGTGTCGTACCGCTTCATTTCTGTTGATAATTAAATACCACTTTGTATAATAGAGCAGTGAGCATGTATCTCTTTAACAGGCAAATCATATCTAATTTTTATAACTCCACCTTATGTGATAGTCTACATCTTGTAAACATGCACAGCCACAAGCGTCTGGAAAATGTGAGGAAAATAAATCCTGTACGCCAAAAAAGTAACATAATGCTTCTTCGGGTACACTCTACACTTAAACTTTTTTTTCAACATTTGCTGCCAGGCTGTAGGAGCATTCACTGACCCGGCCGGACCAAAGACGTTTAACAACACGAAACAGTGACATCGAAGTACTTATAGTAACAACATTCGAGGAGCTCGAGTATGACGTCGGTACATTTCATTTCGCTAGTTGTGGTCCTAGTCATGTGTAGAACTACCAATGGGACCCCAACAACAGTAAGTACCCGCTAAACAACACTGATATCTGCGTCATACTATTTGCCGTCACCGATTGTACCACAGCCATGTACTTTTGATAACGGAATTACACAATGTCGTTTTGCAGTTAATTCAGCACAAGATTATAAATCTAGGTGTCCAATAGAAAATAGAAAGTCACATGGACGCGACATTCAACGTCAGCCTATTCTTACTGTCGTAAGTCGTCGCAACTTATTACGATGCCCAGGCAAATTGGGTTTCACTTTTCAGTATTTGTTTTCAGTATTCTCTTACAGTGGCGCCCATTGATATATTGTTTTTTATTGCTATTGATAAGGATATTTTACTTTTCTTTATCAAACAGGCAACTACCCTAAAGCACAGTACGGGAATGGGCCATTCTGGCATGAACCACACGGTTATGCCGGGGATGAACCATTCCGGTATGAACCATTCCGGTATGAACCATTCGGGTATTAACCATTCCGGAATGAATCACTCCAGTATGAACCACTCCGGCATGGGCCACTCCGGTATGGACCACTCCGGCATGGGCCCATCTGGCGGAAGCCATTCAGGTCATGGCAGCGTGGTAAGTTATAAACGTCACCGTGGCTGTGGTGGCTCTTAGTTCAGGGCTTTTAACCTTAAACCTCTGCACAATTTCAACATTCTTGAGGAGAATGCATTTCCACTTTTATCGATAGGCTGTATTGGAAAGTAAAATGACTATATTGTATCTTAGATAAGTACATATCTATTAGTAACATACCTATTAATTGGATTTCACATTCTCTAGCAAAGGGATTGCTTCTACCTCTACGTCTAGACAATGCGTCTACGTTTCTTGAGAATGAGGAAGTACTAGTATTGCATGTTGGCTTTTGAGTCAGTAACTTCAATCTGGCACTACTTTAGGGACACAACCTGTACTTCTACTTCGGCCACAAGGGAGTCATCGTGCTGTTCTACGAGTGGCGGATAGACTCAGTAGCAGGTGCGTATTCTTATTATCTTAAAGACTAAAATCCAACTACGCCGAAATAAAGTAAGTGTGCAACAACTCATACTGTGTATTTGGCTGTAGACATTTGATGACGAATAAGTGATGATGAGGTCAAGTTTGGGTCTGAAGTCTGAAGATGACTTTCCCTATAGTCCATTTCTTTACTTCGACGTCAGAACATCTTTTCATTTCTCTTAAATTTTGTACGACCCTTATGATGTAAATGACTGTCCATACGCAGCTCTGATCGGCTCCTGTATCGGGGTGTTCGCCATCGCCATGCTGTACGAGGGGCTGAAGGTTTGGCGGGAAATGCTGACCGTCCGTGCAGACGACAGCAGGAAGGCGGCCTCCCACAACATGAAGCAGCTCACCAACAGGAAGGACGCAAATACACTGGGAGTCGACTTTATGCCCGGGGAGACACTCCCGACAAAGACAAGGTGAGCATCATGATCAAGAAGACACGGTCGACTTCTCTTGTATCTACTTCAATGACTAATTCAGTCTTATTATGTTTACTGAAGGAAAACATATTGTTTTTGCTACGTTTCCTCTTCTTCTTCCGTTCAAAACACTGACCTCTGACCTGGCCAATGACCTGATTTGTTGATTTGTCTCTCACCATGGTAACTGGTGTTGGGTTACATAATGTTGCAATTTTATAGTAGGAGGGATTTATACTCTTGACCACATAAAGTTATATGAATGTATTTGAGTAAGAATTAACAGAGCAGACCATATGCGAAGGTAAACATTGTGCATTTGCTTTGCAAATGTTACCTTTCTAGATTTGTGTAATTTTGTCCTTTCTTGCAATAAAATCATTCCTATTCCACAGGCACCAGATCTGTAACTGCATGCACGCGCTGCAGTCCCTCCTGCACATCGTCCAGGTCCTGATCAGCTACGGGCTGATGCTGGTCTTCATGACGTTTAACGTCTGGCTGTGTCTGTCCGTGGCGCTCGGGGCAGGGGCCGGGTACTTCGCCTTCGGCTGGCGCAGGCCCATCACCGTGGACAGGAACGAACACTGCCACTGAGTATCCATGAGAATGGCACTGACATCTGAATATTTTAGCTCAAAGGAGATAAACAGATTCTTTTCTAAAAATTATAAAATTTTACAAAATTTGCAGTGCTTCATACTGAGGTCTTTGGCATTGAATATCTGTAGGACTATATGCTATAGAAACTTCCAATGTGGCAACTATTTGGCTAGCTAAGGGTTTATTCACAGTGTACTGATATATTTTTTGGCAAAAATAATCACACGCAACATCTGTAATATCATTAGATTTATTTTGCAGCATGAAAATCAACAACAGACGTCCTTCAAGGACCTCACTGTATCATGAGTCATATAACCAATGCCTGTACGTTGTAGAGTAATCTAGAGCAATACAATAATTAGCATTTTACTTTCTATGAAAAATTTACATTGAGCCCATTCAATGTCACACATCATACATCTACATATGTGATATATACATGTATAATACAAATAATTTGAAATGCAAAGTCTCATAGTCTCTTTTCAATAGAAGACATAATTTTCAATGTATCATGTATGAATTTCATCTGCTCCACAAAAGATGCAGCTGTTTACTCTAACTGGGGGTAAGAGTCAAATTGTGTGCAAAAAAAACTTGATAACTTTAATGCAATGAATGTTAAGTATTTACATTATAATTCTATATACAATGACAATGAGTACAGGAAAATACATGGTTGGTTTGACATGACTACGAGTGTGTGTTCTTCCCCCGGGTCCCCAGTCCTTTAGTTTTCCTCTCAGTCTCCAGGAACGGCAGGTAGAGTTTCCTGAGGGAGTCCCTGTGCAGGTCAGCGATGTTCTCACACCGCCGGTGCAGGACGTAGTTGGAGTAGTCCCGTCTCTGCTCCACCCCCTCCAGGTCAAGGGTCGGCTCTAGGTCCACTGGTGTTCTCTCCATGGAGGGCGTGGATCCGGCGATGACCTTGACCTTCTCGGGGTTACGAGGGATTTTCCCGATCTGTGCCAGGCTCTCATTGGCCTGATGTGGGAAAACAAAGCAACAGGAACTTCAAATAGACCGATTTCAAACTTTCTTGCTGATTCACAGTAGGCCTTCCATTCTAATAGTTAATAAGCAATTGAACATACAGTATGTACATGTATGAGAAATTTAATGTAGGAGTGAAATACATGTATGAACAATGTATCATACATGCATCTTCTTTTTTTGTGCTTCGCTCATGAACAACTGAAGTACATAATCACCAGATTTACAATGATTTCAAAATGCGCACTTTGAATCATTACACTGGGCTGAATTTTGCAGTAAAAAAGAGTGAAATGGGATATGTAAACAATGCTGTTAGACAAGCTAATCGTCCCTCTCACCTGAGCGGTGAGCAGTTCGCTGTGCCACTGCACGGTGCGGCTCATGTAGCGCCTGTAGTCCGCCTGGATCCCCTGCAGCTGCTGAGACAGCCGCATCTTGTGCCTGACGGCTGACGGCTTCTCCTTCTCAGACATCCAGGTGGCCGACACGTTCAGCTGGTTCCGCGGCAGGAGGACGGGTCGTAGGGACGGCAGCTCCTTCGCGCCGATGGCGGGAGTTGCCCTGCTGGTCTCTCTTGTCTGACACAGAAATGATACACGCTTTAGCTCTAATGTTTCAGGCGTAATGTGTGGATATTCATGACTATAAGTAGATGTCAAAATGTTTTGTTTTGCTAATCCGTTACTGGATTTGCTACAGTAGCATGCTTTTTGCAAATGTCCTTTTCCTAATAACCAATAGAGAACTGGAAGCCAAATGGCTGCATCAGTGTGTATAGATGACTAATATATTATGGCATACAATTAAATACATCAGGCCTCATGGTCAAATACATTTTCTGCATTAGAAATGGTTGACTTACTGCAGCAGTGGTGAGCTGTGATGTGGCCAGCTGGGACACGTCCAGTTTGTGGACCATGCCTGAGGACTTAGTGACAGACATGGCACATAACATGTGCAGGGTGGCTGTCAGCAGGACCCTGGACAGGAAGATTTCATTATGTTAAGATCAATGAATAGAGCCAAGTTTTCTGGCTTTTCACAAGACATGCTACTAGTATCAGTATTTTGCGAGGATATCCCTCACGTAAATGCTAGTTGTGCTGAAATTAACCAACAATAACAACCAGTGACAATGAAGTCACTAGACATTCATACCGATATCTAAGACACTACCATGAAATTGGCTTTAATATCTGATCATAAGATGGCTTTAAAATCTGATCATGAAAGGGTTTTAAAATCTAATCCAGTTCTTGACGTAAATGACTGACAAGATTTCTAAACTACTAAGTAATAAGACAACAAGCAAATGGAAGGCATTTCAGCACCAAGGAGAAATCAAACCTGGCAATAGATGTTTTCAATGCTGTTTTTTAGCAACAATAAAGCAAAGATAATACAGAATCTGCGAATAAGTACTAGTAAACGTGACGATGCCAAATATTGCAGAAAGAAGCATAGAAAGATCATCAATCCAACTAACAAATAGAAGAATGAAAGAGTTATGAAAACTACTTTGTAGAATAAGGACTCAAAACTGTTGTATTCTGAAGAAAAGAATCTTGATCATACTACTGTATACACTTGCCTGTTGCTGGCCACCTTGTTAAACACCAGGAGCGGTCCAATCTGTGTGAACCCCAGTGCTGACAGCAGCTGTCGTGTGGCGGACCCCCTGGCCCAGAGCGGCTGGACGCCGCTGTCCCCCACCCTCAGCTGCAGCTCCGGAGAGTGCAGCGTGAGGCTCAGCATGTCAATCAGCTGACACAGGATATCTTCTGTAGTGGGCAGGATCTCTGAGATGCACTGTGTGCACCGGTGGTTGGAAATGATATCTGGAAAGGGACAACAAATTAGCACCACAGCACAGGGTCAAGAGACAACTCAGTAATTTCTTGATTGTTGACAAATATGTGGATTGTCAAAAAGATACCTCTCAATCCTCGAACAAACAAAAAGAACTAAAATCATATCGCCCAGCAAGTGCTTTACCATATCATGATAAGTCGATGTTGAAGAATTGCCTATTTCTTATACAAGGCATTTCTATGTTTGGGTGTTTATTACCCTGTGAAGTGAAGGTTGTGTTTTCAGTTGATGTGTGTGTTTGTGGACAAGGGTTTGAGGAATTTGCTGTGCTTGGATACTGATGATAGTTGGTATGTGGGTAGGATTTGCAATCCTACATAGATGCATGTTGCTTGTGGGCCTGCTAGAAGCTTTCCTTGTTGCTTAAATGTATGTGCGTAGCATTGGTACAGTCACGTACAGTGTAATCATGGTAAAGATTTGGCATCTTCAAATGCGTTTTACACAACAGATATTTACCGATAGCAGCAGTCAGTGACTCATACGAGGGCAGCAGCAGTTTCCCCTGGTTCCAGTGGGGGAACAGGATGTAGGGCTGCTCCACATGTGCTCCGCGGGGCTGGAAGTCAAACCCCAGCAGTGACAGGAGGGGGAGGGCGCCCGGGGTGGCCACCACATGGTCAGGCAGCCGCACGGGGGGCTGACGGTACTCTGTAGCATCCAGGAGGTCAATAGCATCTCCAATCTGTGTACAATACAGGAAGAAAGAAAAACCATTGATCTGGACTTTCTAATAGAGATAAAACTGTTGACATCTTGGAAGTCGGGGAACAACAGACGATAAACTGGATAGTGAGTGAGTGAGTGATATTGGTAACATGTACATAAATAGAATAAATAGTGATCAATTGTCAAAACATTGAGTTTCTAGAACACACAACATGGGTTAAAACTGTCTACAGCTTTTTGTATGTCTTAAAGATGTAGCTAACCATTTAAAACACTGAACTGACAAGATTCTAAGGTACTATTTTGTGAGAAATGGGACTACAAGCAAATGGAAGGCATTTCAGCACCAAGGAGAAATCAAACCTGGCAATAGATGTTTTCAATGCTATTTTTCACGAGATAAAAGAAGCAAAGAAAGATCATCGATCCATTCTAGATAATAATACTACACCATTGCATCTATGCTAGAGATATTTAACAGGAAATACAAGCTGTATCACTGTATCATTGAAATACCAGCTGTATCATTGTATGTAAAATACATACCATCTGCAGGAGAGTTGGTACAGTATCCGTGTGTTCTTTGGAGTGAGACAGTAGAACTGAGACGCAGGCCTGAAGCCTGTACAGTAAGGTCTCTTTACTGGCAGCTGAAACAAAAGTACTTCAATTAATACTTCCACAGATGCAATCGTGACATCATGTGATTGAAGTAAATTTTACACTTTGCATAATACATATTGTATTGACAATTAAAAAAGTAACAAGATTGACACAGTAGTTGGCTGTCTGGTGCCATTTCGAAATATATCTTTACATCAATATTTTAAGAGTTTGTTTTGAATGGAAACTTCAGATTTACTAACTTAATGTTTGCTTGATTACTGTTAGTTAATATCTTGATGTGAAATAAACTCCAATTTCATGGGATTTTAAATGATGAGAAATTTGCCACCCCATGCAGACAGCCTTACCCTCAGGAGTGAGTGGTTTTGGATTGAGGAGATCCTCCACATCCTCCACCTTATCCATGGTCTGGTCCAGCATGGCACGCTTGATCTGACCCAGGTCAACCTCCACATCCTGACCAATCAGCACAAAGGTGCACCAATACACAGGGGCACTGAATCTGGAAGGTTAAGCAAAGGAGGCTCTTTTACATTCATCACTCAGCCTGTGAATTATTTCTGTTGTAATTTATCATTTTTATGGTATGAATGGATAAGACAGGATCAGAGTTTACTTATTCTATTCTGTTGTTGTTTAAATACTTAATCACCATTCACCTATCATCAGCTTTGACCTTGTCCTTTGCGACCTTCATGGCATTGGTGACCCTGGCATTTTTCTGCAATGCCTGGTAGAAGTGGTGGTAGAACAAGCTGGTCACTATGTTGGGCACTGGCCACCGCTGTGTCAGGACACACTTAGCCCCTACAAAAAAAGCATTTATTACTAACATTATTTCATGTTATAAAGCATTGAATCTGCAGTCTCTCGGTTCTCCCATCCCTTCAATGGATGAGTGCACCATTGTGAATCTGTAGTAAACCCAGATATAAAGCAGTAATTTTTTAGCTAAAGAGAGGGAAAGACATGACATGTTTACCTTCACAGAGGAAACAAACTTTCAAACATACTAAATTATAACCAACCTGCAGCCAGGAGACAAGTTGGTAACTTCAGCTGTAGATCCAGAGTGCCGCGGAAGTCATCTCCATGGCAACCACTGAGCACCACGAGTTTGGCCGACACCTTCTGGTTCAGGATGTCATCAGGTGTGAGGATGTACCTGTTCTGTGTCGGCGGGCCGTCCTGTAGGTGGTCGGGGTTGGGCGACAAGGCCAGGATACCCTCCTCCCAACTACCAAAGGTGGCTGTGGGTGAAAACGATTTTATTGTTAGGTATTGAAGGATTACAGAAAAACATGCAGTACGATAAACATGAGCATAAATATGACTGTCATATTTTCTTGTTTTCTAAGATACTCAAATGTCTTCACAAATCTGAAAAACTCAGTTTTGGACTCTAAAATGAATTGAAATGTTGATGTTGATTACAGCAATACAGTCTACATACAAGCTACTTCTTTTTCTCCACAAACAACACCTTACTTAAGTGTTAAGATTGTAAAAAAAAAGGTTTGTCTATGATACCTATGTGAACAACTGTAGCCCCTGGTAGGACAGCCATGACCATCTCTTTGGTGGCCTCTTCTCCAGTCAGTGCCTCTGTTCCCAGGTAGTCTGCCACCTAGAGCATGGGATGCAAACATTGAGACATCAGTTCTATCCCAGACTTACTAGTAATTATTTACACAGAATTGTCCTTCATTTTCTTCTAGGAACCAGAGAACAACACTAGTGACAAGAAACTGCCAAGGGTTGAAAATGCAGAAGTTCAGAATTGTTCATGTAAAAAATGTAGTATTTTTTTTTACTATCAGATTTGGATCAACTACACTCTTAATTTTCTGGGAGCAAACTGGGCCCTGATATGTGATATGTATGACAGCAGGAGATCTACATTTAAGTTGATAGGTTCAGAAGGTATGTGGGTAGAGCACCCTTGTTACCGGGTCTATGGAATAAAAAGGCATGTTTCTTGACCTACAGGTAGTCACATAATGCAGAAGATACATGTACCTTAGAGGCCTCCTTATCTGCCACGTTCAGCTGCTGGAACGGCTTCCACGTCCTCCCAAACAGGGTGACCTGTGGCAGGGAGGGGTTTCCCACCACCAGGGTGTACTCCTGCCCACTCAACTGCCGGAACTCTGTCACAAAGGAGGATGACGTGGTGATCTGCTGCCCTGTAGAGGTCTGCAATTTCAAATACATGTATAGAAAATATTTTCATGTAAAGATATAGGCTAATACATATCTACCAATTTATATGAATGTCTACTTAAGCTGGAAAAATTACAAAAGAAATAGTTAATATCAAGGAACCAAAGCTATCAAATTGTTAACTTCGCTAGAAGTTGGTTGGGCTAAACAAAAAAGAATAAATTGTCAGCATCATTGCTGTTCAGTTCAGACATGTTGACAACACACTGCTGGGTGTAAAATCTAACATGTCACAAGCAGAAATAAAGTTTATGCATCTCCAAAGTACTGTACAATAATCACCTTTGTGACCAGTTTATTGATGGTGTTCAGTAGCTTCATCCTCTTGAGCCCCTCCCTCTCCAGGTCTGGCCTCCCCTCACGTGTGGATGGAATCTCCAACAGGCCTTTCCCTGGATCCTTGCTCCTGTAGAGTACAAGACACAGTCGACACAGTCTCACTTTTTTTGTGCTAACCAAATTACAAAGCTTGATACAGCATGACAAAATCTTTTACTTTGCTAACCAACATACAGTTAGAAGAATGACATGCAATGTTTGATCCTTTTGAAGAAAAATGCTATAATTTGTAGTCTTGCAAATTTGCAACAGAAAAAGAAACGAATGTAGTCTACACTCTAGATCAACAGAGAATATAGCCGATGTGATATACCTTGGAAACTACCATCCAGCATCACACACCAGGCTGTAACATGGAATCCACATGGAAGAAGAAAGAGAAGGACAGCCCAGAAACAGTTGAAAAAGAGATACTGAGGAGGAGATGAGGAGAGTAGCCAGCAGCTGGGATGACCTGAGAAAGACAGCCCAGAAACGAGTGAAGTGGAGAAGTACCATTGGTGGCCTATGCTTTGGCAGGAGCAAAGGGCCAAAGTAAGGTAAGTAGATATACCTTGTGTATGTAATGGTGGACTGATCTCCTCTGGTCTTAGTCACCATGATACTGCCAGTGGATGCTGTAGCCATGATGACAGACTTCTCCTGCGGCCTGGTGGAAGCTGCGCCTGGCTTTCTGACAGACTGGATCCCCAGAAAAGCCACCTCCAGGACATACAGACAGGGCACAATGGTGATCTGAAACCTCTCACTCAGGTTTCTCTGTTTGAAGTCCTTCAGGAGGTCAAAGGGCACCTGCAAGAGATCTTTGTCAGGGACGATGACAAGGTCACTCTGAAGCGGGAGGGCTGAGAGAAGGTCCTCGACAGGAGCTATGAGAACATTGTACAGTTCCTTAAATGGCATTCTTGGCGGCTCCGTTTTCTTTGAACCCTCTTCAACTTCCTCCTCGAGTTCCTTCCTGAAGTCTTTCTTCAACTGTGAGGCCCGGAGGTTTGCCTTCTTGATTTCATACACTTCTGCCTCCTTCCTAGGAAGCGCTCTGTTTTCAATGTCGTAGCATGGGCTGGACTTCCCCTCAACTGTCCTGATGAGTGTGATGCAACTTCTGCACTTCTCCACGAGGTTCTCTTTGGTGGAGGACTTGTAGAACCTTGCAACACCTTTCCCAGGCTGAAGCACCCACAGTAACAGGGAATCATTGACCACAGAGTAGTACAGGACTGTCTTGTTTGTTACGTTGACGATGTCAAAGAGTTGCTGAATCTTGAGTGGATCAAATCTGCTCACTAAGCTGGACAGTGAGCCGGGGTCCTCAAAAAGCTTGGAACAGTCCGGGATCTGTGGTCGGACATTCAGTGTCCACAGCAGGTTTTGTCTCCTGTGGCATTCGGTGTACTCCAAAGCCTGGTCTGTGTTGCCGAGTTTGCTGAGAGAGGACAGCATACCATCATATGCCAGCTGAAGGGACCTGCAATAATGGCAGCAACAATTGGGGGATTATGAAAGAGACGCAACGAAAGTGAAGTCTTTCTTGAGCTATGCATCTCTAGTCTGAGATGTGTAAATGGAACTTGAACACTTTTCTTTACAAATGAATGCATCAACGTTACCTGCCCAGATCCTCAGGTAGCTCCACTTCCTCCTCATCACATCTGCGTGCCTGGTCCTCATAGACAGGGATGAGTTCTTCAAATGTTCTTCTTGCTGTCTCCAGTTCCTATCAAAGAACAACACATAATCATTCTCAGAGATAGTAAAATGACACATTATACATTCATGTTGGCAGACCTCAAAATCTAAACCGTTGATGCAGTTTCTATGATCTTGATTTTACCTTGAGTGAAGTTGAGAACTGGCTCATGTGTGCCACGTGAAACTGGCAGATGGTATGAAGGTCTGGCTGGTCTTCATCTTCCACAAGAGTCTGCGCTTGTTCGTAGTAGTACAGGGCGTGCTGGTGACGACCTTGTTCCGAGAACAGGTCGCCAAGTTCAGCAAGGTCCTGCACTCCAACTCCGGCTGGTCTAACTCCCTACACAGCTGTAAGGACTCCTGTAGGTGGATCCGTGCGTCCTCAAACTCTTCTGTCTTCATCAGAACTTCTGCCAGGTGCAGGTGTGCCATCATCTGAGCCCCGACGTTGTCCTCCTTTTCCATCAGGTCCAGCTGCTCCTCGTGGTGTAGCAGTGCCTGTTTGTAGTCACACACAGAGACGTACAAGTTTCCCAGGCAGCCGTGGGCAAGCGCCGTGGACGCCTCATCATTGGCCTCCTTACAAAGGGAGAGGAAGGAGTTGTACTGTGCGAGGGCCTGCTTGTAGTCTTGCCCAGCCTCGTACAGAGTAGCCATGTGGTAATGGGCTTGTCTCATTTGCTCTGGTTGGTTGGAGGACTCGATGAGCTTCATGTAGTCCTTTCCATGATGCAGTGCCTTGGCAAACTGCCTGATCTTCTTGTAAGCAATGCTGTAGAGTAGGAGAGCAGGCAGGGTAAAGAAACATTTACTATCACAGTATTGTAATCTTTCCATACATGTAGTGCTTCAACAAAATTCTGGGTGTAAATTCCAAGACCTTTACTCACCATACTTCACATCTTTGCATTTTAAGTGCACTTACACCATGGAAGCCATATATAGAAACTAATTGCTAATACAATGTACAGTGAAGACCACAGAGCATTTTAATGCAGAGGATTGAGTACCTAAGGTTAAGATGGATTCCCCGCTCTAGCTCAATAGACCAGTAGTCACGAAACTTTTTCTCGTCGTCCAAGCTGGCGCGAATGTCATCCCCGACAGTCAGTAGTTTGATGTAGTACATGATAGCCTCATACACCTGTCCCTCCTGCTCACACAGACTGGCCAGGTTTACATATGCCTGGGGACACAGGACAGCAACATGTCAGTCTCAACTCTCAGGAAAGGGCATCTAATCTTATGTTACATAGTACACTGTAACTGTAAAGTCATCTATTTTTGTGCAGTGTTTACAAAGTATGGGGATAATAGTGATCACCTCACTCACTCTTACTGATGACTTACCTTCGTTTCAAGCACTACATTATCAGCCTTGAGTGCTGCAGACAGACACTGTTCATAGAAAAATTTGGCCTTGCTTCCTTGGCGTACAGCTGTGTGAGCATCCCCCAATGACAGGTACACCTGGAGAAAAGTGACAAGCAGTGGGATGTCTGATTTTGGTGAAGATAAAAAATGTTGTCCTCAAAGCTAACACTTGTGATAGATGATAAAAATCAGTATCTTCCCAGATGACCCAGTGTTGATGTCACACACCTCAGAGTCAGAGAAACCATGTGACAAGTCTTATGACACTGGATCATGTCTATTGAAGAAGACCAGTTTGACTGGTCAAAAGCTCTAGGTGAGAACAATCCCCTGTGTTGAAACAAAAGTTTTACCCTTAAATATATTCCCAGATGATTTTATTCAGTAGTATATACAATTCAGCTATGGGACTGGTCAGGTAAGGTGAGATATACAATTCATTTTTGAAACAGTACTATGAAGACCCACCTTGGTGACTATGTCTGTGTCTTCTGTGGGAATCCTGAGTGCAGACTCCAACATCTGCACACACAGGGCAGGCATGCCACAGTAGTGCAGGGTCTGTCCAAGCTCATGCAGGGCAGCTACTGGCTTCATCTCTGAAATACAACAACACTTCTGTCATCAACATTATTCATACTTATGAATTACATTGTAGTAGAGATATTCTAAAACTTTGACACCTGTTTTTGATTATGAATAAAAAAAAGAAAATAATTGTAACGTTATACAAAATGTACAACAGAATTAAAATCTCTACACCTAGAGACTACTGGTATATCTTATTTGCTATTTGGTCAAGCTGCTAAAATCATGATGATATGATTAATGTAGAGTATAGAGTCTGTAATAGAGAGTATGATGATAATCTATATAGAGCAGCATTTATGAAGTTTCTGTACCCATGAACTTCTGTACTGAGCTGTCCCCCAGTCGACAGACGTGTGCGGCCATACTGACGACATACTCCATGAGCTGGTCCCTGTGTTCTGGGTCCAGGTCCATACACTGCAGAAACGAGCCCAGAGCCTCCTCATGTCTGTCCTGGTGGGCCTGGGAGATCGCCAGCAGGTAATAGTTCTGCAAGGTAAACAGAGCAAAGGAACATTAATTTTTTTCAAAAGAGAATAAAAGAACCCTAATTATTTGCTTTATTTATCTATACATGTACATGTACATTGAATTTGTAGTTTCCATGACACAATTGCGTAGCTCAGCCTTGACTGATTCCAGGAGTGATACTACAATGGCAATTTTTGGTGACATTTGTCTCAGACTATATTGCCCATAAAAGACTCAATAAGACTCAGTGTCTTGTAGATTTACAGGTGGTTACTATCATGATAATCATACATCAAAAGCAAACAATTGTTTGAAGTTGATATAAAGAATATAAAGAACAAAAGGCAATGTAATAGAAAGAGAAGCATATACATGTAGTGAAGTATCCAGGTGACAGCTTTACTAAATGAATACAAAACTTTAAGAAATGACCAGACAGTAATCAATAGTAATTTTACCATCCAGCAAACAGAACCTATGTACAAGCATAAACAAGGTCTTTACTTGGGGAAGTTTAGGCTTGAAGCTGATCAGCTGTTGAGCGTCTGCCTCTGCATTTTTGTAGTCCTCCAGCTGGATGTACGCGGCAGTGCGACAGGCGCGTATCTCGTACACGTCCGACTGTAGGTCCAGCGCCCTGGAGTACAGGTCCACTGCCTTGTGGTACTCCCTGCTGTGGAATGCTGCATCTCCCTCTGCCTGCAGGAGCAGAATCTGGAAAGAAAATTTCAGGATCAGCATTTCTATTGATGCTGCTTCTGATAAAACAACAATCTTTCAGTGACATTTTTATTTGATAACAGTGCATAACTTTAATGATGGAATAATAAATTTTTATACACTTTTACTGTTTCAAATTTAAGAAAATCTTCTCGATGTTCAAACTTACACTACATGCTTTACTTACCTTGCAGCCAAGTAATAGGTCCATGTGTAATGTGTTAACGTTAACATTTAATACATGTATTAGCTTTTTTCCAGGTATCTCTACTAATTGATGCAGTACTGAGAAAGTACTGTGGAGAAATTGTGTAGCTGTGTCATAAATATATTAATAGACTATAAGATGTTCACCTTGGATTCCTTGTCATCGTCACTTATTGATGATACTGAAGAGGTGCTGTTACTTGTCTGTGGGGCAGTACTCTCGTTTGAAGTAGGCTGATCTAAAGGCTGCGACGGCTGGGGTTGATGAATTAGAAGATCATTTAGAAGTGTAAATCAATCAAATAAAAATGTCAACATATCATAACTACAAATGCAAAACTACATTCTAGCTAGTCTTGGAAAACGCCTTTTGATTGTTGTATTGTATTAGGTGGTCAAATATACTTAGTATATAGCTAGTAACATTTAGATATCATTTTATATAGCTACAAATAAGTAAATCTCTAAGTTACCTTCAAGTTAGCCTTTCGATCCCTTTTGCTCCTGGCGTTACGCCTGGCAGGTGAATCTCCGTGGCCCCTCTCCATACTTTATCTGTATAGACACGCTCTAAAAAGCTGCATGTGTCCGTTTTTTCACCAGGAGTATAGCTAGATAGCAAGCTAAAATGGTTTGCCCTCCCACGTCAGCCTCACTGTGTGGCGTACCTGTAGCTTGGCAACTCCCATGAAAGTGATCCGACTTGTTGTTGTTTACCTTTGACCACAGCCAAACGCACCGCCGATAATACTTGATAACCATAAACAATAGAACGGTTTAAAATTTATACTGAATAGTACAATCAATACAAATATTTAAACAGAATGTCACCATAAAGTCTTTTTATAAGGTCATCTTCTGTATTAAAGGAAAAGTCCCGGTCTTTTTATGCTTGTATGCCATCACTGTCCCGTTTCTGAGGTCCCGTTTCTGACCTTTAGACTAGTTCATTTTTAGGGATGATTCTTTCCTATACCGAGGAATATTATCGGCTTTTACGGCAATAAATGTGTATTCAATGAAATAAAACTCTTTATAAAGATTGTAATATCCTTTTACATGTAGTTTAGAGCAATGGCTTCCTGGCAAATACCACTTGTTTATTTACAAGGAAGCTGTTAGGTAAATAACATCCCTATAGGTTCACACTAATGGTATTGTCCAAGTCAAAATGGCAGCGACCTGGCGAGGTGAAACAGGGTGAGATGAATGTTGCAGAAATTCTCAGGTGTGGAAAATAAATTCACTCAAATTTGTACAAGAGATGATGCCGAAGTGTTACAGGATCAAAATGATGTGCCTGTTATAAATATCGAAGCTCGTTGTATGGAATTTTACTTGAAATATAAGACATCAAATTCTAACGTTTAAAACGTTGCTAATTAACTGTGCCGTAACGCACTGTCTTCTGTTGTAAATTCCAAAAGTAAACTCTAATCAACGAAAAGAGATCCTGAATATAAACGAGACCGTGACGTAACTGTAGCGAGTTTCGTTTGGCTGGAAATGCTATAATTCGTCACTAAATAACATGGACAAGAAGACTTGTCCATGTGTTTGTAATTAAATTAGTTTCATCATCATCATCTTGATCAGTTTGACAGTTTAAGTTTTGTACTTTTTGAAATGTAGATGTGTCACCCATACGGCCATAGTGAAAAGCATGTCACTCACATTGAAAAACCTGGATGGCTTGTTCAGAACAGAAATGTTAGAAGAATTAGCGCCTAGCTAAATGAATGAGATGATTTTCATTATGTCTTAGATTGGAATTTGGATATGGTACTGATAATCAGGTCAGGATACCTGACTGTACAGGGCACAACACTGGTTAAACAGTGAAACTAGAGCTGTGAACATGTTGTCATATGTAGATAATGCTGTGTTCATCCTAACACATGATTATGTTGTCCTTGCAGAAAAGCTGAGGTGCTGAAAGCTGATGTGGCAGGTAAGATCAGAATAATATTTACCAGTGGGCCAATCAGCCGGGTAGACCACTAGGACTAGTAGGAGTGTGATTTAGTCAGGCTACAGTTTACAAGACATGACCATAAAGATGATATGTGATTAATGTACTCTTTGTTTTAGACTTTGAAATTTTCAAGAATGTTATCAGCTTTCTCTTGAGCTCAGCGTCAGTTTTATCCCACAAGTGTAAAACATGTAAGTAGGTACTAGTTATTCAAACTATTTTGTGTCTGCCATCAGATGGGCGGATGGGTCCAGCGGAAGCCTGGACGTCCAGGCAGACCCTACAGGACCTGTACCAGCAGGCCCTGGTCACTGACCTGGAGTACGCTCTGGACAAGAAGGTGGAACAGGACCTGTAAGTATCAGAATTACACATGCTGGCTTTTCCTACACCTAGTGTAGGTGCTTCTAGTCCCTCCTGTTCCTATTCCTATACTGGGCATTCATATATAGTCATAGTCCATGGCTATAGTTTTGCTTTGGTTTGACATGACAACCTTTCAAATGTTAATAAGTATCTGTTACTTGTTTGAACTAAAAATGGACCAAACTCCTTTTCAGGTGGAACCATGCATTCAAGAACCAGATAACTGCCATGCAGATGCAGACCAAGGATAAAACTGTACGTAACACGCTACTATATTATATTCACAAAGTTGAAGGGACAGTCTAAAAATATTGCCTTTGCCTTTCTATTGATACCAATGGTAAACTTGTTACTTATTAGAGAATAACATAATATATGGTTTTAGGTACTACCATAGGGATGAATTTTTTTAGTAAAGAATGACAGCATTGTATTGGCACTGTTACAGAACCCCAGTAGACGAGACATCCAGGCCAGTCTAGCTGTGTTCCTGGAGGGAGCCAGCGGGTTCTATCTGCAGCTGCTGCAGGAGCTCTGCTCTGCGTTTGACCTGGACTTACCCTTCAGGCCAAAGTCTTCCAACTATGGCATCATGGGAGGTGTGTGTTCCCAAGATATCTTTGTTATTGTAAATGTAAACATGCAGTAAAAAGAGAAAACACTCCCAGGCATACTCTCTGGTATATGTTGTATGACTATGAGGTCTGCCAGTCCACACCCATATTTGTATGTTTGTCATACAGTCCATATATGATTATGTTGCTTTTAAGTCCTTGAAGCTCATAGAAAGATTCCACTGTAAATTTTGTATTGTGTAGAGTACAGTTGTTCTTCAAGTTCAGAAAGATGCTGAGAATTGTCTTGTATTGACTTTCTGCATCTAGGCCAGATCCTTTGCATGGTAAATACTAAATAGACTGTAGCATTCTTTGATAGACAGTTGCAGGATTCAAATTCTGTTGGTTTGTAGATTTGATCGTTGTTGTGATTTATAATAAGGCCACACCAAGTAAATTTTATGGATGACGTCCTTTGGAGACCCTATATCTAATGCGAGAGGGCGAAAAAAAAACAAGAAGGGCCCTAAAAAACAAGATGCCTAGCTAGATTAGAAATATACTAAGAGACGATAAATGTTAGGACACAAATTGAACTAGAGAGGCCGACATTTGCTTGGGAGCAAATACAGCATATTTCAGTCCATCTCCCTCCCACGCAAAAGTGGACTATTCCAAACTGACCCCAGTGTAAAACTGGCAAAGATTCTCAAATAAATGACTTATATAGTTTTAGCTATGTAATTGAAAACAAGGATGCAAGAACAAGCACATTGAATCTCGAAAGCTTTACTAATCTTATTATAGGTATGCAAATACTAACAATGATGAGATTTGATACATTTTGAAGGTCTTCGGCACATGAAATTGAATGTGTGGGTCATTACGCATGACTTACTTGCAATGTGACCCCAGGTAACCTGCAGTGGAACACGTGTTCCATGGCCAATGGCAGATGGAACGGGTATTCTTTAGATAGAACATGGAACGGGTATAGCACTTTTGGCCCTTTTTTTGCTGAAAATAGCCATTAAAGTCCCCCAAATGAGTCATTTGGAAGTGGTGTATGCCAAATATGTGACTGCTATTCTGTAGACACATGTTCAAGGTACCCTTATACCGAATTTCAGATCATTTGGTTGTAAAACCAGGGCTCAGGATCCAAAAATCCATTTTTTGGCGAAAAATGCCCCAAAAAACCTTCATAAAAATTTTTCAAAGGCATGTATCAAAAAAATGAAAAAAACGCCTGGGGGGTATTGGCCCACTCTACCTCCATGCCAAATTTTAAGTCATTTGGCTGAATGATGGTGGAGTTGAATCCCTTTGACTGTGTGGCAGGAGGAGAAGAAGGAGGAGGAGAAGAAACATGAGAGAGCACAATATATTTCATCCATACCATGGTATGGACTGAAATATAATGAGGTGACACAGATTAAGAAGCAAGAAGTCTTTTATTCATCATCAAAACAGCAATAAATCAGCTGGAACAGCAGTTGTCGTCCTGTCCTGTTTCTTTCATCACATTTTTGCAGGCCTGCTGAAACAAAGCATGTGCTCTTTACCCATTTCGCGTTAACGTTACGGGTTTCACGTCAATCTAACGATTTTCGGCACTGTCGTGACTCTTTGGTCATAGTTACAGGAAGCGGAATTTCTTGTTTTTTTTTCTAGGAACAGGCCAAAATCAATGCGCGCGCGGATGTCATCCATAAAATTTACTTGGTGTGGCCTAACTTATATGTCAAAGTTCTTGACATGCAATCACATGAAACACCTTTGTATTTTCTGTTCTTCTGAACATTGTTGATGTTTGCTAAAAAACAGTTAGTCATTGGATATGATTTTGGAAATAGTCAGACGTTTCAGATAGCATCCACTACCTTTTGTCAGTGACACTTGAGTAACTGTTTCTTGACGTATCTTATTACCTGGATATTTAACCTTCACCAATGTATTGTTGATGTTTATTTCCGTCCAGAGCCAAGTCCCTGGCACAAGATCCTGCCCCCCCAGCCCAGCTCCTGCCTGTACATCTGTCAGCACTGCCTGGTGCATCTGGGAGACATCGCTCGCTACAGGAACCAGCTGAGTCAGGCAGAGTCCTTCTACAGACATGCCGCTCAACTTGTACCTTATAATGGTAAAGCATCTTACTATCAACTATTACCTGCTTTTCCCATTGGGTCAGTTAGTTCTCTCGCTTAGTGAGTCAGTCTTGTCTCAAACATGATGTCTTATGTATTGTCTGGTGGCGACATGAATATAAGTGTAACTTAAGTGTGTTGCCACCACGTCTTGCCACTATGTTTCAATAAAAAGAAAACTGTATTTTCTTAAGATTTTTGTTGGCCAGAAAACATGGGCAACACTTGAATGTATGATATACTGGTAGTTCTCCGAATAAAGTTTGACCTTTGACCTACAGGTCAGCCCTACAACCAGATGGCTATCCTGGCTGCGTCGCGTGCGGAGCAGCTGCCGATGGTCTTCTACTACTGCCGCAGCATTGCAGTCAAGCATCCTTTTCCTGCTGCAGCCACTAACCTCAACAAGACCTTCTCCAAACTGGCCGATGGGTACTTGTTGTACTGTAGCTATCTTTTTATACATACATGTATGCTCTAAGACAACAGTCCATGAATGGATCCTATACTATACTTGAGAGTCAAGACCTGTAGATATTTAAGCAAGTAACTTTCTGCCAGGGATGGTTCAAAACTGAAACCAGTGGTCCAGACATATCTGATGTTCATTCATTTGTCAGTATGAACTTATTTAAGGCACGTACATTGTAATGTGTATTGATGCTTCCCTCTGTTGCCTTGTGCTTCTTGTTTGTTGTAGAGAAAATGAGTTGAAGACCCACAAGTTGTCGTCCCATGAGGTTGTCCTGTATTTCCTGAGGTTCCATGCACACATCTACCTGAGCAAAGGTCTGACTGCACTTATTTCATTTTTGTTTAATGATTTCAGATCATGAGTGATGAAACCTAAATGTCCGTGTTTTGGCTCAGCATTATGTGCTAACTAACATTTATGATTGTCTTAAGAGTGAAATGTTTTGACATGTAAAAAAATTTTGTTAAATGCATCACATGCTGAAGATTATCTATTATAACTCTTCTTTGGTCACAGATCTGCCCTTTGCTGCTAAAATCAAAGACTTGCTGATCAGTCAGTTCAGGGTGAGTATGCAGATGTCAATGCAATGTTCATTATAGTGTGTTTGTTGTAAACATTGTATCTTTTCTGAAACTTTCATGCCGCTCTTAATCAATTGTCCTCAACAAATTTGAAACAAAAGTCAAGGTCTTATCCCAACACTTCTTGCTCTTGTGCCAAAAACAGTTACTTTACTCAAGTCGCAAGAGTAACTGTTTTTGGTGTACGTTATTATCTGGATGTGTAACCTTCACCGACGTTGTTGGTCTTTTCTTTGGCAGACCCACTTGTATCAAGAGGCGTTCACGTTACGGGAGCTTGTGTACATGGTGGCGATCAACCTGTTCTCTCTGCACCACGTGCGAGACTGCACCACCGACAAGGACATCGACACGGCTGCGTACAGCGATGACGAGATGGTGGGCTGGAACCTGGCGCTGGGCATGTCAAGTACGCAGGGCTAGCATTGGTTTCATGGGGGTAGTAGTAACATACTGTAGATCTTCAAATGTTTGTGTCGGTTTTCTAATAATTGCGAAAATCCCTCCACTGTAAATTCTTGACACTGAAAATATATGTTTCCAATGTGTTACTACTAACTGTACTTAAGAATTGTTCACTGCAAACATAAAATACTGCAAAAATCTCCTTTACCACAAAATAAAGGAATTTACAGGGAGTTGTAAGGAACAGATTGTGACAGTCAAAGCTAAACGGGAGAAAGTTGCAACTTCAGATTATTTTGTAATGTAATTCAAAGACAATTCTGACTCTACTGGATGAATTATGAAGATTTATAGATGTATATACATTTGTATATTCAGACATTTCAAGTGACATATGCATCTGTCACTCTTCCTCAGCATCACTAAAAAGGACCTTCAGCAACGTTTGAAGTGGACTTTTCATTTTTCCTGTTGAACTGGATGCTGTCACCTACTAATCCATCCTATTCCCTCCCCATCCCCCAGTGTCCTTACTGAGCCTGATGTTACACTACATCCCCACCAAGTCTGACCAGTCAGCTCAGGACTCCCCATGTCTGGCTGCAGTCAAAGTCACCCTGGACTGGCTCACTCACAGACCCAACCTCTTTGAGGAAGAAACAATAATGGATAAACCCTTGTAAGTTTCTTATATGCAGTATTGAATCATTCTACGTCTTGAGTGTCATCCATTTTGTAGTACTTAATACACTTCATTAATAGACATTAGTTAAATATCTTTCTTAAATATCATTACAGTTACTGTAATAGATCTCCAGCAAAAATCAGGAAGATGTGAAAGCATTCTAAGAAACACTGACCATTGCAACAGCTATTTGTCCTCTCCTTGGTGCTAGTTTTGTGGAAAACAGAATTCCATTTTTGTCCCAAGATGTCTTTGAATTCATTTTTTACACACACTAGAGAAAGGTAAGAAAATATTAGATGACTCAAAAAGAAACCACTTAAATTGAAACTTTACTTGAAAAAAGGTTGTCTCTGTCCATGGTGCTAGCTCAGCCTTCCATTGGTTGCATACACTGTGGTAGTGTAATGTATAATTTTCGTATTTCTAGTTGATAGAGCAGCTTTGAAATGTTTTTATCTTTCAGGTGGACTAATGCACCATTCCTCTATGTTGTTCAAATTTCAGAATAGAAATGTTATTGGGATATTTGAATACTGAAACAACATTAACTGTGTTATTTTCTTCAACATGACAGCATATGGCCAAAGCTTGCAAGAGTTTTGAACTGTATCCAGTTGAAAGAAAGGATCAACAATCCAGCAAGTGAGTACTTTTCATCATTGTACAAAATGCTAACAATACATGTTTATCCTTTGATCCTTATGACATTGGTACTTTATAAAATATTTCAACATTGACTTGCTATTTTCTTTTTTTATCCCTTAGATCGCCCCTTACCTGAGGACTTTGAACTGCAAGGATTCTTGCCATTGGTTAAAGCACACAGGTAAAAAGGTGTTTAATTGCTGGTTCAGATAGAAATGAATAGTTTGTGTCCTTTTACATGCATCAACCTTTAACTTTATTTTACACTTAAAGATACTGTTATTCAAGACAAGATGGGCTGAAATCCAAGCTCATTGGCAAAGTACCAGTTTGGCAATTGGATCAAATAATCACAAAACATACTGCCACATTAAGAAATACATTTCACTGTTGAGCACTGTTTATATTGTTCCCCAGGCCTTTGGACTTTAGCAAAGGGCAGAGTTCCATTCTGGAGCCAGGTGAGGTGCAGGTGCAGTACAGGTGCCAGCGGCTGTGTGACATTGGCACCTGGATCACTGACAACAAGCCCAGGTGAGTCAAAACTTAGCAACCTGTGTTGGTCATTGTCTTGTCTGCAACTTCCCCCTCCCTCACTCTTCCAATTCCTCAAACCTCCCCCACTGTTAGATGGTTTCAGATTTCCCAGAAACATTCATATTCAACAGGTTGACTGACTTGAGATGCAATTTTTTTCTCATTCTCTCTCAGTTTGCTGAAGAAACAAGGAAAACCAGGTGTACAGACTGTCAAGTTTACAAGTCCCTTAAAAGAGGAGGCCAGAGACGACAAGGGAAGAGGCAAGTCTGAGGAAGGAGAAGGAGAGGAGTTGGCTCCATCCTGGTCAGGAGAGGGGGAGGGGGGCATGAAGGAGGTCCTGTCTGAGGAAGGGCTGAAGTCTGTGGGGATCCAGGCTGTCATCAGCAGGGACAACAGGTCGCCTGAGGTCAACCAGGGAGAGGGACAACAGCAGGTAGGGAAACAGTGTCATTGATTGATTTACCTTCAAGTTGTCCATTTACCAAGTTCTATTGTGCGGTACAATAAGTACTGTACCACCAATCCCATAGTCTTCTAATAATTGATAATGACATTAAAAAGTATTTTTCTTGTATTACTTTCCCTATAAGTCTATGCAGATGTCCATAGTATTTGTGTCATTATTTACCAAGGTCCGCCAACACCAGCCAGCGATTGCCCCCCAGACTGTACCCCTGCATCATCCATTCCAAGTACAACATCAGGAACATCTCCACCAGCAACAGCTGCAGCTCTTACAGCAACAGCAGAGACTGCAGCAGCTACAGCAGCAACAGCAAGGTCTGCCCAGCCCCCCTGTTGCGGCTGTTCCTCCAAGGTCGACCCAGGACAGCACTCAGTACCCCTTGCTGCCCACTGGGAGCGTTTCACTGGAAATGCTGGCATTGCCCCCCTTCATCGGGCTTCAACAACAGTTGATCAAATCATCAGGCACCTTTCCTGGTGTGCCAGGACAGCTTCCCGAACTCCCGCACCAGTTCAGTCTACCAATCAACACGTCAGGAATGGAACAGTCTGATCTGAGGGGCCCCAATGCAGACAGCCTGCCGATGCCTGGTTTTTCAGGCACCAGCAAGTTAAACCAAGGACAGGCCCCTAAGGGCAGCGGCCATCAGTATGTTTCTCCCTTCTCAGGCCCAGCAGGCACTACTTCTGGCTTGCAAGGCCTGCTGTCAGAAGGGCTGGAGACCTACTCCCCGGCCGTGTCCACGTCCTGGCCTGAACCAGGCAGACCCAGGGGCCTTCCCGCCGAGGGGCTGTCCAGAGCGGTGGGTTCCCCGGTGCCTGCCTCGGGTGGACAGACACATCACAATCCGCTGTACAAGGAGGACCGTGCAGATGAAGGCTTCCCCGGGGTGGGGGTGCCGGCGTTCAACACCGCCCCTGGGGCCAACCTGAAGCCCCAGCAGCAGCAGGGCCGCGAGCCGAGACGGTCACCAGTAGACACCTTCCCTTCGTCCAGGATTGCCATGGCATTCCCAGCACTGTCTAAGGTAGGGATTATACAACCATTCATTGACTTAATGTGTATGGATACTTATATCTCAGTATTACATGCAATGTTTATTATTAGCCATATTTAAGTCCATTACGTTAATAAAATCAGTTTATTAAAACATTAATGAGTGCATTGTGATTGAATTTTATGTATGATATTTATTGCAATTGAAATAAAATTTTCCAATCACCATGTTTGTTACATACTACATAGTAAGCTATGTCATTTGATTTATCACTGTATGATGTGGCATCTTCAGAATAGTAGCAAACTTTTCCCTGATCTTGTACCTTGTTTTATACAGGGGAAGTCATCTGTTCCATCTAGTGCACCATCCTTTGATGACTATTCTCGGTAAGAATACCCAGATCCACACAGTACTATTTGCTTAAATCAATAGTACAGTGCCTCCTTAAAAACTTCTTCATCCACACTAGATCTTTGAAACTTATTGACTCCAATACTAGAGATTAATACAAGGAAATTCATCGAATGGTTGCTTCAAAATAATTAAGGAAGTGCATAGAGTACTTCTACAATGTATTAGTAGTAGTATGTAGATCCCGAAAGGTCCATAGGGGTAACTTTTGTTAAGTTGGTGAAATTGTTTTCCATCTCCAGGCCCGAGGCCTCCCCTGATCAGGCTGTGTTCACAGACTACAGCCCCAGCCTGCTCCCTCCCCAGTCTACAGGCAGTGGGTCGTACTCCCTCTTCCAGTCCTCCTGGTCAACCCCCATCACCAGCAGTACTGGACAGTCCCTCACTGACAGAGGTCAGATTCCACACACCCTTCAATCTCTTTGCGTCATTTGCTAAGGATAATGTATTTAATTATGTTCTAATGAAGTAGAACTATGTGACTGTATGTTTTCTCCTCTTCTCAGAAATTGTACATGTAAAATAGATTTTTTTTTTGAAAAAAAAAGGTGCTTTTGGAAAGACTGGACCAGTTGCTATAGTGGCAAGAACTACGAATGAACAAGAGTCCTTCTATATGGATCACAACAAAATACATAATGAGGAACAAAGAGAAATGCTGCACCCCTTACTGAAAATCCCAAACAAACATCATAAAATGCTGATATTAATTTGAAATGATTATGTATTTTCCAGGCCCGTACTCCTCTAGTCAGCTGTTGTCTGACTCCTTCTCCTCAGCGAGTGAGACGAGTTTCTCCCAGGCCTTCAGGGACACCTTACACCTGGAGGGGAACCTGGGCAGCCAGTACCTGCCTCAGGAGGCCGAGGGGTTCCCCGACCGGTATGAACCGGATTCCAGTCATTCGCAGGACAGGGGCGGCTTCAGCGGTCAGGGGAGAGGGGAGTTCCATGGGTCAGCATTCCCAGGTAGGGATGTGTGAAAAACTTTCTTTCTTCATACATTTTTTACTTTTAAAGGGAAAAAAAGTTTCCTAGATCAGGCAGAGTTTCTTGTATGGTCTTATTGGAATCCTAATGGAGATTTATGTGCTGTAGGTTGAGTAGGTGTTTTGGTGTCTGAATGTTTCAGGAACAGAGAGTAGTCACTTGAGTCAGCTGGGGACCAACATCGGGCTGGGGTTCAGCAGTTCTGGCAGCTCCTGGCCACCTCCCTCCACATCTACCACAGACACTGGCAATACTGGCTACTTCTCCAGTGATCTACAGGTTCAGTTACTATCTACATGTACTTCAGCAGTATTCTACATTTTGTTTTACAACTTGGCAGAGTACGATTTGGCAGTTGCCAACTTGTTTTTCCCTGTAAGAGCTATAGGTAGAGTAGATCTCTTCAGCCTCTTCCACCAATTACTGAACTATCATTCCCAGCTTGTGTGGACAATCCAAAGCCTTGTAGATGTATACTACTGGTGGGCATTAGTATCATGTTTCTACCATTACAGCCATTTCACCTATTAAACTCGTTTCTCTTTTCTGCTGTGCATCAGTCTATCTGGTCCAGCACGCCTGCCAGCTCAGGTCAGTCAGCCCTGGAACAACTCCTGCAGCAGCAGAAACAACAGCGAGACAACACCCCACCCTGAACCCACGGCTCACACACACAACCTCAACTACTTCCCAACCACACTCAGAGATGGACCACCGGACGACGTGTCCAACTTGAAAGCAAAAAAGCGAGCGTTTGCCAGCGTGTGTGTGTTGGTAACAGGCCGGGAGCATCGCCCTGTAGTAGGGACCAGCCCAGGTCCCGGGAAAAGCTTTCACATAGGGCACATGACCTAGTAGATGCTCCGTCTCTTCAAGATTCAGCCATGTCTAGAGTAATAAAAGCACCTGGTGCCAGTTCTAGCATAGTAGCACTGAAGGGGTCTGACTACCGGTGTGGTGGCTGCTTGAACGGGCTGAGAAATAGCTGCCCAATGGCCTGAAGATAAAGTTAAAGTCTACACAGTGCTGAGATTATAAACGTATGTTCTCAGAGCGTCTATTCTCCTGGAGCAAAGTTTTCAGTTTGAGGAGGGGCAAAATGTCTCTACATCATCCTGCAAAGAAGAGGCTTTGTTAAGGGAAGTGCTGGCTTAAGGTACAAATGTACATGTCGTGCTGAGCTAGAAAGAAAGAAGCATCAAAAATTGTTTGTCAAGAATGGTCAGGTTTAGCATATGATATTTGATTATGGACACCATTCTGTCAGTTCTGGTGTTTTGAACTGATTCCTGCTCATTTGCTTGTGTACTCTACAAAACATGCTAAGATGTAATGTCCTGTGTTTCAATAAGGTACACTAAGATTAAACACTATGTAGGCAGCTCTTCATTCAAAAGGAAAGAGGAGCTTTCCTGGGCTGTTGGTTATCCATGCATAGGATTGCCATAACTACGTACTGATGTTGTGGTGTCTTATTTAGTGGCATACCGTAAGAAGTTTAGCACCAAGACTTGGGACATACTGCAGTGCACTTGATTAGGCTCCTGACCTCTGCATAGACAAAATTTCAAGATTTCCAAAGTCAAGAATATCATTAGTGTACTGCTGCAATTTAAGTCATTAGTGAATCAGATGAATGTACTGTTATACAATATGGTAGTTGCTTTGGTAGGAGCAGTTTTGTGTGTCTTAGGGTGAATGATATCAATAGTTGTACCTCCCAACATGCTGATCACACAATATGGTGCACTGTGAGTCAAGTGTGCCCATTGCCACTATTAGGGTTTCATTCAAATCTAGTATAAGAATGACATTTGGAATGCATTGAGGTAAATACATGTTCTTCTAACCATATGGTAGCCCATACCAATCACAGGTGGGGGGATATAAGACTTCAGTAATTGTTTTAGAAGAGAGGTGAGAACAAGGTGCTGTCCTTGGTCTACACTCATATTGAGAAGTACAGCAGACTCAGTCCCTTATACATATTATGTATGTCCAGTTACTTGGCCGCTTTGACCCTTCTTTCATTGCATGAAAGGAATAGAACTACAAGTTTTACCTATCTTGTCCTGTGGTACAAGTAAGCAGGGAAACCAACTGTGAAACTCATGTTCCCACCTCTCCATATATGTATCTTGATCTACACAAATGTTAGAAAGTAAGGCCATACAGAGTTGATTTTGTGGAAGACAGACATCTGATCTGCATCAGCATTGGTTTCTGCCTTCACATAGGAGTGTCTGGTACGATCAGGACGATCAGAGCCATACTCATTAGCATGTGTGAGCCCATAGAAAATATACTGCAAAATCAGAGAGAATACATGATTGTCTGTGCTCATTTCAATGAAAGAGATGAATGAGCATGTACATGTACAGCCATTTCAGTTTCTTTTTCGATTATTTAATTCTGAATGATGTCAACAAAATCTAAATTTATCTTTGACTTAGTGATACCTGAAGTATTCTGTAATGGGCATGTGTGAAGCACAGCAACAGATCCTTTTAACAGTAGTAATTTCTTTGAAAAAATTGGACTTCTACTTGACACCACCATCATATGCCAGATGCATACGTGACTCTGAATTTGCCCTTAAAGTTTATATAAAAATCCATTAATGCCCTATCACCAAGAATGGCCCTCACTCCCTGTAGGAAGCTTGTCACCAACCAAGTGGCAATAGATGACAAACCACGCAATAGAAATAAAGATTATGTGTTACAGAAAATCTACTAGTATCCAGTACATTTGTATACTTTTCAGTACTTTTGTCCAATTTATCTGCATCTTCATTGGACTGTCCCAGTATGAGTCTGAATGTTAGATGAAAACCCCTGGTACTTCAACTCAATCATTGAGTTAGAATACGATTGGGTTTTTTTGTATAACATTGAGACTTATCTGGGACAGTCGTATCATAATTTAGGTGGTTAGGTAATTAGTAGTGAAGGATACGTTCGCATTTTTGGCAAGGAACAGAAAATTTATTCACATTTCACAAAATTCACACTGGGTTCCATAGTGCTCACTAAATATTACACAACAGCAGCTATAGGCACTTCTAGTCAGCAGCAATAGTGGTGAATATACATCTTAAGTCATTAGGCTGAAATACATCTACAAAGTAGAATCATATCAATATCTAATTCGATATTCTTCTGATGTGGATATTCGGTTTCGCATATTTTCCAACGATTGTATTTTTTCATGTTTAGTGCTTTATTCTAAATGATAGCGTTCTAAACATGTACAAGGCGCGGTATACTAGTACGTAACGACGTCCCAAGCGTCAATATTATTAATGAAAGATTTATAGAATTATATATCATGCTTTTCCGATGCTAAAATATGTACAGTCGCGACCTTTTCCAGTGTTAAGAAACCAATTAGATATACCCGTACGATTTTCTCTATAGCGCAAAGATGTCATTGCATTCATAAAAACACTCCATCTTTAGAATTGCACGAAAATGTCTAGACTTAACCATTCCTTACATCAAGACTATACAACTTCCCAGATGACGTTGCGTGTACATTTCTTTCCATTCATTTTGTAGCATACTTCCTACCCCGTTGATTGCCATCTAATACTTGCAACTCACTACAAGTCCAGCAATCAGCATACAGAAGAATTTCGAAAATGACCATACGTGATTGTAAACAGAATTAATGGCTGGCAAGAGATGAAGCTAAACTTCCTCCAGCATAAGACAACCGATTGTCTTCATCACTTGTTGAAGCTATCTCCTATCAGCGTTGTAAACGGATTGAATGTTCTCAATTGTATCGTTACTCACTTGTGGTATTTGGAGTTATTAGTTTGAGGAGGAGTTCGTGCGAGTTGTTAGCCTGATATCCAGTCTATCGTGGTTGGGGCAGGCTGTCCTGGGGGTTCTGATCGTTTCCCTCGGCTCAACAGACCGCCCGGTAGGAGCTGCAGTCTGCAGTAGTTTTGTACAACATGAGTTGATTAGTCTAAACTGTTTAGTAGTACCTCCGGTCGTGCAAAACCTACCGGGGAACCTAGCTGAGTCGTGCGGGGAAGAGCTCCTGCAGCCCCGAAGAAAACCCGACCGAACCACGATAGACTGTTTGCAGTTGTTTGCAGGTCCTGGTGTTTGGCATGGGCCCGGCCTGGATGGTGTTTAGGACGCGGCAGCGGCAGCAGGAGGCCCGGCCGGGGATATGCCGAACGCCGTGATGAACACATTGACCACCATGGTGACGATGACCAGGGCGGTGATCCAGTTGTTCAGCAGGTGCATCTTCTTGCTGTTGCGGAGATTTTCCTCGTCGTCCGTCTCTTCAACCTCGGTAAACTGTTGGAGTAACAAGTAATCATAGGACATCAGCAATTTCCTCCAATTTTCAAGGTTTATTCGCTCATTCAAAGTTCACTTTGATCTTCGTCTATCGAAGGAAAACTGACAACGGTCTTAATAACATACGAACAAACTTATTCAAGCTCTAATGTCGGAGTGGTTGCCATAAAATACAAGACTTTTCAACAGTGTGAAGGCTGTACACCGGTACCAGCGACTGACCTGTGTCTTGAGCAGCAGCAGCAGGGCCACTGCCAGCTGCAGCAGCACGGAGATGGTCAGGAAGAACAGGAGGAAGTAGTACATGATGGACACAGGGCCCACCTGGAGCACGTACTTCATCTGTAAACAAAGGACAACATCGCGGTGGTATGTTGAACAGCATATTTTCTTACCATCGCTACCAATAACGAAATCTCCAAAGACATGTTTGTCGTGATTTACCTGCGATGCGTTCGCCGACAGCAGTGCCATGTCCAGGAATCCCTGTGCCATGGTTTTCCTTGCCGTGAACTTGTTCATGTCTCTCAGCTGCTGGTGTACAGGCATCATAGCTAGCTGTGAAGTATGGAAAGTTCAATGGCAATGTATAACAAGAAGCCATAGGTGACAATCCTCCGTGAAGTTTTATACATTTCAACAAAAACAAGCGTCAACGCCAGACCTACTGTAACCTGGTATCCAGTCTGATCGTGGTCGGGGCCGTAAGAGCTCGGGGCCGTAAGAGCTCTGGCCCGCCCGCCTCACATAGGTTTCCCGGTGTGTATTTCACGAGAGATTAATTAGCCCTCCTATCGTGTTGGGGGAAACCAAATCCCCAAGCATACTGTCTCTGATTAGCGTAACACTCCTACCGGGACGGTCTGTTGCACTGGGCGGGGGAAGCTCTTAGAGCCCCCGACGACACAACCTGCCTGAACACCCCAATACCCCCAATCACGATCAGACTGGATACCAGGCTAGACCTACTGTGCAGACATTATAATTAGGCAACGGTTAATACAATGAGGGCGCGTCACAAGCATAAAACATACAAAGAGCTAAATCCATTACTGCTCCCAGGGCGTGTAAAGATACTGTGCTTCAAGTTCGAAGTTCATTCTAATTACACACACACAATCATTGCATTCACATAAAGATCGGACTATCATGGTCGTGTCTAGTAACAAAGACAGCCCCACCGTCTTAACGTGCCTGTACCTAATTAAGCGCGCCTGGAACAGGCCAAATTCCAGCAACAGTTGCGGTAAGCACCGCGAGTGTTACTACCGCCGGCCAGATAACCAGGATATCTGCTTACAGTACCTCTGCTACCAGACAACTGCCTAAACCTACGGCCTATTCCACAGGATTGTAAAAGTAGGGATGTTTCTAAAATATGCATTTACTTCAATATCAAAACAGCTACGGTAAAAATAAAAAGACGTGCATCATCCCGGACATAATGCCACACCACATGCGAAATTTCACAGAAATGCGACGTACGGAAGAATGCGTTTTGGCTGCGAACATCTTCCAAAAAACTTGGCATCTCTTAAGCATGGGCAAAAACATCTGGAACCACTTATCAAAACCACCCCGTATCTGCATGAAGTTCCACCCCCCCACTGCTATTCCAAACAACGCGTTTTTCTGGACCATTCCAATTCGCCTCGTAATTGTAGGGGTGCGTCTGCAATATTACATTGACCGCGAAAGCAGCAACGGCAAAAATACACATTCGTGCATCAACACGGGCATGCCCGCAGACGGCGTATAAAATTGCGTGCCGATTACACAAAGAGAACCCAGTGTTTTGACTGCGAACATGAAAAATCAGCCGATCACAACACTCCGTCCGGAGGTCCTAACCTCCTTCACGGAGTAACAACAGGACATCATCGCAAAAATGACGTTTTACTCACTATGATTGTGCCACGGATGAGCTTTAGCTAGTAATGTTTGTTTGTAGATCGTACATTTTGTTAATGGCTTTTCTATCAACTGATTTTACGATGCATGTAACAGTTACAGTTTAATTCGGTTACCTATACCTGAGAACAAAGCCATTGTTTGCTGTGATAACGCTAGTGCTCACCTCGCCAGGTGTCTTGGGACCATTTCCTTCCTCCTTGTCTGACGACTCCTCTTCTTCCTTCTCGTCTTCCCCCTTCTTCCGGGGCGGCTCCACCCTTCTCACCGCCGGCTTGACCATTGACTCTTCCCGGGCCAGCTTTCGCTTGCGCAGCGTCCGCTCATCGGACATCTCAGGCTGATAGGTAGTCAATGAATCAATCAATAGATCTAATAATCAATTCGTTACTGTGCTGTTAAACCCTCACGTAACCAACTAAGTTCTTAGTCACTGTCATCTACTTTTGTATCTTTTCATAAGAGTCTCTTGAGCAACTGGTTGATCAATATTAAGTGTAAACAACGACACTCTATAGTTGACTCGTATTAGATTCGTTTTTTGTGTAAATGGAACCTAAGAGCAGCTCTGTTTCTGTCGGAAATTAAGTACCGATCTCAGTGAGTACAACCCTATTCATATGGGTATGACTAGATGAACGGCATCTTCGTTCCTAGGCAACAAGATGTACAAAGGAACGTGTTCCTTTCCTGAGGTTGGTATTGTATAGGATATTGGCATTTACTTCTGTTACAGGGTTAGAACTTAGTAGGTTTGAATACTTCTCATGAATTGATCAATTTATCTATCTGTGTCTTCTTGCCCATTGGACATTGCGGACCTAGGCGTACACGTAGCACTTAACGTTAGAAACAGGTCACTCCCACTTCCTAAAATAGGTTTCAACTGGCAACAGTATGCTATACAGTAGATTCTAAATTTATGGTGTAAGCACGACGCCAATCTCTAAGTTGTCTATTGACTTTGCTAGTTATTCCATAGTACGTTCCTCAAAACTTCCCGATTGGGATAATGACAATCGTTTTATTAATCTTATAGCATAGATCATACACAGACGCCACGTATTAGACAGCATATCATTTTGCCGCTACGTGGATATTATGTTACGGACATTGGTGCTACGTTGCGCACGAAACTGACAGCCCAACATTACTGTAGGCCTATTTATTGCCGCAGACGTCCGACATGGTCCTGATTTAGATGAGGGTGTTTAAAGGGGTTTTAGTACTGCTACGTCAAAATATGTTCATTGGCGTTATACGTACATTTCCATGTTCAATTATATAATGCGCTGGTACATTCTGATCATCTGATCATTTGAATTATGAAGACAGTTAGACTTTTGTTTTATGATATTTTGAATCTCTCGTCAGATGAATCTATGTATACACGACCCTTCTGTACAAAACCTTAAGATAATATAACTCTTGCCATTCAATGCAGCTGGGGCCATCCGCAAAAATTACTATCATTAATATCATTACTAGTTGCATAATGATACTAGCTAAAGTATGGCAATAAAATGTATTATTTTCGTGACGATACTATCCCCTATTACGCCCTCTCCGTTATCGGTGTTTAGACCGTTTGACACATGCTTTCATGACACGGGAAGAACAGGCTCGCTTACTTCGACGAAGTTCTCGTGGACCCATCCCTTGAGTGTTTTCCAATTTTCGGCCATGTTTGTCTCTTCTCACGGCTCTTAGTCCATCAAAGACAAGCTGTCGGGCGGGAGGCAAGATGGCTGATAGCCCGGGGGATTCTGGGTAACTTGACGGAGGTAGAGTCAATGACATCAAAACAATGTCAGGATGCGCTGTTGTGGCATTGTTGGAGTGAGGATCCGGACAAAGGAGGGATGAACGAACGAACGAACGAATGTATGTACTAGTGAATGAATGAGAGAAATCATAGAGGAAATTCATACAAAGGTCGTGGCTTTTTGTGATGACCGCTTGAGTCCAGGCTTATCACTGAATGGTATAAAAACTATTGGAGTCACAGACAGAAAGTTTGTAACCAGAAGAGGCGTTCATGCACATTTATTCAAGCCTAGTTTAGCAAATACAAGGCTTTACCATAAGGCTAAGGCTCTGTACCTAAACATAGCATTTTCTCGACGGTCTAGATATTTGTTGTCATAGGGAACAACACTTCTGTGAGTACTAGCATTGCGTTACAATACCATTTATTTTCATTGACCTCCTCAGAAATTTGAAAAAGAAAATTGGTGCTCTTTTTACGTGAAATTGGCTATTTCTAACCTTTCAGATGGTTTAAATTTGCGATCCAGCACTGTAATTTGTTCTCAGATTAAATGCCGCGTAAAAGCTGTAATGCTATGAGTGCTAACATTACATGGCGTGTTTATGTCATAGATTCTCTTTGGACTAATTTTGCATCTTTCCGTGCTGACTACTTTATCCCCAGACTGGAGATGAGCACGTTGTCCGCCATGATGACCAGAGTGAGGCTCATGGCCCAGTTGTTGTACTTGTGGGCCATGTTACTGTTAGGCTCATCATCATCATCGTCGTCATCAGCCTCCTCCACGTTTACCTACGTCAGCAGAAAATGGTGGTCAAAGATTATAGAAAACGTATGATGTATTGTTTAGGATATATTCTAAAATCATTCAAAAATTTAAAAAAGGACAAACAAAATTCAAAGTTGCAAGGAAAAGTGTTCGATCTGTGCGCACCTGTGACTTGAGGAACAGCAAAATGGCGACGGCCAGCTGCAGCACCAAGGACAGGGACAGCAGCGTCAGCAGGAAGATCTGATAACCACCAAACGTCCCGGCGTCCATTGCGCCCCTCAAGACCACAGCAACCTGTAAAGACCGATACAAAATGTTTCATGAAGTTTGTCAAAATTGTACAACATCTTGTCTCACGGTAGAATCTGGATATTCTATTGTAGTGGAAATTGTCATTAAACGTATGTGGATGTGTCCCATAAACTGAGATTGATGGGAACAAACTCCGATCAAAAATTAAAAAGTCGTTATGAATGACAGATAGAAAAAACAGAAAGAAAGAAAGAAACAAACAAACTGATTTAGGCATGCATGGGGATTACCTGCGAGCAGTTAGCTGACATCATGGCCATGTCCATCAGACCTTGCGTCACTGTTTTACGTTGCGTGAAGGAGTTGAGGTCTCGAAGCTGATGTTTGCGTTTGGGCACGGTGGCCGGTGTTTCCGGTTTAGAAGGACCGCCCTGGTCATCCTGAATGAACGAACGAATGAATGAATAATGAATGAATGAATGAATGAACGAACGAACGAACGAATGAATGAATGAATGAATGAATGACATTTTATTATAGTTTCTAGCATCATAGACAGTCAGCCCATATTGCCTTATTCTATATCTATATGTTGTACTGGACAAGGCCCCAACTGGGGCATCACGTCCAGGGTCATTGACAATTGCGGCCGGTGGGGTGAGGTGCTCCGTTCAAAGAAAAAAATCAAACAAAAATGTGTTGTGTGCAATAATAAACAGTGCTATATACATGGCCGCAATGTGTCAGTAATGACTGACTAAGGAGTGGGGAGGCCCATGTGTTGGGCCAACCCCATCCTGAAGATGTCTCCATTATTATTACGTGCGACCATTTCGTGATTCAACCAAAGATATCGTTGTACACTCACCACTGATGATCCTTCATTGTCTGCAAGAGCGAGGCGTATCAGAGCTGTCCTTAGTAGCAGTGCCTGGCCCTTAGGGATGCCCAGGTCGTTGATTTCTGAAGCAGGCAGTAACTTCAGAACTCCCAGGTCGTCTAACCCCTCTTCCTTCAGTACAGAGATGGTACTCTCGGAAAGGTTGATGTCACAGCACCATGTCTCAAACGTCTGTGCGCATGCTTCTGTCGATTCTGCTGGATGAACTTGTGTTGTATCCACATCCGGATCCATGATCAAAGCCCTTTGCTGTTGATTAAAACACGAGTAAAATGAGCGTGAGTAAAATTATACGCAATGTCGGGCACACTCACTAGTAACGCCAAGCTACTGAACTTTGAACTGTTTAAAATTCATTCATGCCAAATTACTCCTCAATTTGGCTCGCTGATATTCAGTACTTCTCCCGGCGCCAAAAACGTCATAACTTCAAAGGCCAGAGTGTCAGAGCTAACAAAGTGTCAGAGCTAACAATGTTTGTAGACATCGCCTGAAGGGTCTGGTAGGACTGGACTTTCTACATTTTAATCTGTCTCTAACGTTAGTGCCGTACGTGACTTGAATGATTATCATCTACAATTCAGCAAAACTGAGTATTTGAAATCATTGTCCTGCATGAAATATAATCTTTGTGAGCCACCAGTGTTGCGACAGCCTCAAAAGATCTTTCCCATAAATTTATCTGTCGTCACTTCACGATAAATATTGTTAAACTCATCAAGGTCTCTGGTGCATGTAAACACGCCCAACCCATTCTTGTAAGAGCTATACCGTGTACTAGCAGATACAAGGGTGCCAGAGTATACAGTGCAATTTTACGGAATACAGTGAAATTTTACGGAATACAGTACAATTTTACGGAATACAGTACAATCGTATTAGTATACAGTGCAATTTTACGGAATACAGTGCAATCGTATCAATATACAGTGCAATTTTACGAAATTCCGTAAAATTGCACTGTATACTCTGGCAACCCTGAGATAGAGTACAACAAGAACGACACAAGTACAAGTTTTCTCTGTGATACAACGAAAATGTACTTCTCAATAAGGAACGGTGGAAACTTGTTGAAACTACGGACAACAGTAGTATCTATTCACAGTACCCTCTGCAGTCATCACGGTAAATGATAAGCTAATTTTCCTAGTCTCCACCAGACTCCTTTGCGGGCTAAATAAATAGTAGAAATCGGCCTAAAAAGAATGTAAACTGGACCCTCTATGGCCGGCCAACTCCCCTGGCTAGCTACAAAGGAGTCTGCAGGTGGAGACTATGATATTCCAGCTGTTAGGTAGTTCGTCCTAGTCAACGTATTGTACCTACTATTAGGTGTCCAAAATTAGTTGTTTTTCGGCCCTAAGCTCAGTTATAGCCGAATTATAATGACATACCTGTTAACGAAGACAACAACTAGAAGCCCAGGTCTCATGTACATGTACAGGTCACTGTGTACAAAACTGTGGACGCATTCAGTGCGTTATTGTTTATGACGTTGGAACGCATCGACCAATCACTGACATTGCTCACTGATTTGGTGTAAGTTAGCCACGTAACCTCATGCCTTTGGTCAGGTGGGAAGGAGGTGGCTCGTAGATTTTGGGGAGCGGTAAAAAGAACGATCATGTCGTCACACCGTCTCCAGGGAGACCCGAACATGGAGACGTTCTTAAGCAAGTTGTTGGACGACATGGTACACAGTACAAGTTATGTGTTGATAACTTTCCCACGAGTCGACTGTGTACTACGGTCAAATTATGATAGATTTTCAAAATTTGACGTTTGGCTTCTGTAACATTTCAAGTCCAGACTTTGAAAAAGGGTTGACTTCTCCACCATTATCGGAAGGCGGCGCTGTTTTTGGTGTTTGGTCTGGCTGCAGCGATGCGAAGTCGTCGGAAATGGCGGGAGTTTTAAATCTCCGGTGTAGGCAGCGATATATAGGATCATACGACCAAGTCCCAGCGATCTTAGTGGTATAGGTTGCCAGCTGCAACCATTTGAGTCCATAATTATCACTGGAAGCTACTGAAGTTACGGATAGAAAGTTTCTAACCAGAGGAGGGCGTCCATGCATTTACCTGTATCCAATTATGTAACGTTATCAGTTTAACAGATATATGATTTTATCATTAGTTGCTATAACTACTTGCACCTAAACATGGCATTTTGCACGACGGTCTATGTATTTTGCTGTCATAGAGAACAGCACTTCTGTATCACGTTTCAACATAATTTATTTTCCATGACCTCTTCAGAAATACTACAAATACACTCGTACGCAGCAAGCAAATGTACAGATAGAAAAAGAAAGGTGGGGTTTCTTTACGAAGCTTAAGTGGACTGTTTTGAACTTTTCCGACGGTTTGTGATCCAGCCCTGTATTGGACGGAAGTTAAATGCCGTGTAAGAATTGTAACGTTGTGGGTGTGTCTACATTCGATAGCATGTTCATGCCATAGATTCTTTTTGGAATAGTTGTGCTGACTACTTTATCCCAAGACTGGAGATGAGCACGTTGTCCGCCATGATGACCAGAGTGAGGCTCATGGCCCAGTTGTTGTACTTGTGGGCCATGTTACTGTTAGGCTCATCATCATCATCGTCGTCATCAGCCTCCTCCACGTTTACCTACGTCAGCAGAAAATGGTGCTTAAAGATTATGGAACTGAACGCATGATGTATTGTTTAATATATTCTAAAATCATTGAAATGTCATGCAATATCAAAAGAGGACAAACACAATTCAAAGAAAGAAAACAAGGAAAATAGGACAGTTTTGCTTTGAATACAAAAAACTTACCATATGCAAGAGCATTATACTACAGGTCCTTGCCATATGTGATAAAGAATGCAGTTCAAAAATGTTACTAGCTACTTTTATACTAGATCAACTAACTATTAGCTTCTAATTTTGCTTTATTTGATGCTTTACCATTCTCTACAAGGGCATTTGGTAAAAAGTACGATATCTATGCACACCTGTGACTTGAGGTACAACAAAATGGCGACGGCCAGCTGCAGCACCAAGGACAGGGACAGCAGCGTCAGCAGGAAGATCTGATAACCACCAAACGTCCCGGCGGCCATTGCGCCTTTCAAGACCACAGCAATCTGTAAAACCACACAAAAATGATGAAATGAGTTTGCAATAATTTATAGATTCATGGAATTGTATGTGAAGGGCCTGGGACTCACCCTTTGAAACATTGTTGACGTGACATTAGATGGGAAAACTTCTAGATCTGGTAAAAAAATAAAAACGCAAACTGAACCAGAGGTACCTGTGAACAGTTAGCTGACATCATGGCCATGTCCATCAGACCTTGCGTCACTGTTTTACGTTGCGTGAAAGAGTTGAGGTCTCGTAGCTGATGTTTGCGTTTGGGCGCGGTGCCCGATGTTTGTGTGCATGAAGGGCCGTCCGTGTCGTCCTGTATGTTTCGTCTGCGAAGTTCACTGCCGTCTGTGGGCTGAAAATTTTTTATATCATTGTTCACAGCGACGTTATATCAAACATAAAAAATTAAAACAGCCCGTAACATCCATTTTAGTGTGACAATTTCACGATTCAACCAAAGATATAAACGTTACACACTTACCACTCGCCCATATTCACTATATGTCACTGATGATGTATCTTCAACATTTTCTGCAAGAGCGAGTCGTTTTAGAGCTGTCCTAAGTAGCAGTGCCTGGCCCTTAGGGATGCCCAGATCGTTGATTTCTGAAGCAGGCAGTAACTTCAGAACTCCAAGGTCGTCTAACTCTTCTTTCTTGAGTACAGAGATGGTATTCTTGGAAAGGTTGGCGTCACAGCACCATGTCTCAAACGTCTGTGCGTCTGTCGATTCTACTTGTGTTGAATCCACATCCATGATCAAACCATTTGCTGCTGGTTAAAAAACAAGAAAAAGTAAGTGCGAGTAAAATTATACGCAAGGTTTGGCACATTCGACAACGTCAAGCTGCGGCCTCGCAGATACGCGCCATATTTCTTTCACAAATGGTAAAGCAACTATGAGAACCAGCATAACCTCCTAGCAGAAATGTGTGAAATATCATTCGCAGTCTTCCTGCCGTCTTGGCTTCTCGAACGTCATGTGTCAACATACCTAACACATAAAAATTGCCCTTTGGACACGCGTCAACAGGAAGCTATACCAAGAATCTTCAGACTCAGCCAGTGCCTACCCTCTAATTAGCTATCTCTATATACATTAGTCCTCAAGGTCAGACGACATTATTTTCCTATTTTCTATCATTGCTGGCTTAGAATATACGCCGAGCCACTCTCGATGTTTGCAGTCCAGTGCCAAGAACAGGATGTGAAACAATTCTTACAGCAACACTAGCCTTTTGCCCACTTACGTATACCGCGTCATGGGCATTGATTTTTAAACGTTAAAAGTTAACCACGTTTGGCACGGCTAACGTTATACACGTTTTAACGCTCACAAAAGCCCTGTGTGGATCTCTTTCAGGGTTTCACAAACATTACTGTTTAAATAGTAGTTGGTGGAATTCGGTCCCAGCCCTGGCCTGCTCCAGGTACCATGATACCCATTTTCAGAACGTAAAGTTTAATGCTTCTATTCTTACCTGTATGCTCTGAATAGGCCAACCAGATTAAGTTCTTAATAACTCGGTAACACAGGAATGCTGTCCTATCGGGTTGCAGTTCTATTGTTCAGCTGTCCGCTGAGATATTGTTCAAGGCTAGGCCTGGTCGCTGACTGCAACATAACATAAAACGTGTATAACATAACAGGGTAAGCTGTGTGTCGAACGCACTTGAATTCGAAGAAGTTTGGGTTAGTATCTAATCAGAAAATGACATCGAGGTACGCTGACGTACAACAAATACTTTTATTTTCACAACATTACACACCGCCACAAAGTATTACAGGAATACCTTTCCAACACGTTCAAGGTCCATTTTCACAGCTCAATGATGTACACAAGCCTGACAGGGTTAAACTAAATCATGAACGTGCTTGGTGTACCAATCACTTGTTATCCAGATATCTAAGATATAGTCTATATATAGGACAGACGTATTCACCCTTAATGCCACGCCGCAGCACTTCGTACATACATAGTTGGTAATGGGGAGCAGGACATCAAGTTATAACTAAAGGTTACACTTGCTAAGAACTTGTTTGAGGCACAAATCGTGAATTTGCTCACTACTTACCTCAACAGCTTACAAAAACGCTGAGTTGTTGATAGAGCCGCGTAAATTTCGGCTGCATGTGATTTTGAACTGTTCAAGTCACGCTTGTTGACCTTTACCCTTGAACTACTCATTTACAAGTAGTGTAGAGAGTCACCTATCGTAACCGTTAATTACTGCACCCGCAGGTTAACATTGGCGTTCCTAACCGCAAAGCATGGAATAGATCAGCCTGCACAGGTTTTAGTTCTAGCGGTCCCAATTCATAACCAGGATCGCCTGTAGCCTGAAAAGTTTAGACTTTAATCGTCTGTCATTCTTTTTCAACAACTTGTTCTATAGACGAGACTTAATTATATAATGTCAACTTGTTCACTGAAAATCAATCGGTAACTAACGTTAACAAGTGGTATTACACCTCAGCTAGTTCGGGTTATTTATTTAATGTTTCATGCAGTCTTGGACTTGCTAGCAGTGAATAAGGAGGCCCCAAAAGTAGAGATGAGTATGTTGACCGCCATGACGACAATAGCGACCACCATCGCCCAGTTGTTGTATTTGTGGGCCCGCTGGCTGTCTTGTTCGTCGTCACTGTCGTCGTTGTCGTTAGCTGTCTCCATGTTTATCTTAAAGAGAACATACAAACAAACGATCAGGAAACACGAGGAACTGTTACAAAATCCAATGTTCATTTAACTTAATTAATCAATTTAAGTTAAAATGAGACTATTGTCTTATATATATGTAGCCATTTATACCGATTCCGGTGGTGTTTGTTATTAATGACTTTTCAAGTGATACCTGATACTTGCGGAGTAGCAGTATGCCCTGTGTCACTTGTAGAGTGATGGAGATCAGCAGCAGCGCAAGCTGTACGTAGAACATGGTTTCAGGAAACCCTGACTGGATCACGAGTTGAAGCTGTGAAATAGAGAATCATATACTGTATACAAAACGTTGCCAGTAGCGTTTTACACGGTTAATTTTCATGTCACCGAGACTTCACATATTAGATTGTCGTTACACAGAAGAAAGGAACACGCCTCTGCAAGCTCTAAAAGGACATTTTCGGCGGCAGAATTTCGACAAGGTTAAGTTTCAGGCAAAAAAGTACGCTAGACTGGCGATTTTGAAATCTGGCGACCTTCTAGTGATCAAATTCTACCGGAAGTCGCTGACAGTGTGACGGCTCGTTATGACGTACCTGTGAGGCGTTCGCTGACAGCAGAGACGCGTTCAGATAACCTTGTGACAGAGTGTCGTGTTGGTTGAACTTGTTCAAGTCTTTGATGGGCCTGGGTGTAGGGTTTGCCTAAATGCGTGAAACAATTACAAAAGCAATGCTGTAATGTTATTGTCACTTAATAATGAATAAGAATTCACTTTAGCTTTTTAATAAATCGTTATGATAAAACTGCACTTCTATCATGTTAATTAAGCAGTCCTCACCTCTGGTTTTGTACTTGCAAAGTGAGGGAGTCGTCTTCTGACAAAGTCATCTTTCGGCTGAAAGAAAACAATCATTGATCAGTAAATTTTTAAAACAATTTTCATGAATATATACGCTGCCCAATGACATACACGAACGCAATCGTGACGGCCACATTGTATCTGCTTGGAGACACAAGAATTGCCAGAAGAAAAAGTAGTATCACCTAATTAGATTTATACGGGGTAGACTATTCCTTGTAGGGGCCACTACCGCATACAGCATTGATAGCAATTCTGAAAATCAAAACGTTTGTCTGTAAAATGAAGTACTTAGTAAATCGTCATACTCAGGTCAGTCAGGATTTGTCCCATAGCGGAACACCCACCTGAATAACTAATGAGCAGTGCTTGTAGGGTCTGACAGGACTGCCCTTCGGCAATGTTGTTAGATAATACTGGCGATACTGTTTTCTTCTCCCCTGTACGTATGGCGCACTTTCAAGGGATTTTCACACATCAGACAAACAAATACACGGTGACAGCCCACTACATAAGCGCCGAAAGACTTCGTCATATGCTTGTCGCGTACGTCAGTGGATATTTTGAGAGCAGAATCCATGCATTATAATTATTGTTCATGCAATTCCTGATAAACGTAAGGCTATAACACGTACTGTCTATACCCTGTTTAATGTTCAACGTATTCATATGATTGATATAGTCCCACTGAAAGGGTCAAAATCATGACGGAAACCTCGCGATCAGCTACAGGAAGTGTCATACAGATCAGAATGGATATCACTTCTTTCCTATCCAGTTTCAGTGAAACAAATCCTAGTCCGAAAAAAAAATATCATTTATGTTTGTCTCTAAGGTCGTATGTACCATGTTTTATCTCGTCCCATCCACCTATGTCTTCATACTTACCGGAGTGGCAGGAGATCCTGTTCCTGGTGTCGCCATATTTTGTCAGTAATGTTGTGTGTGTGTGGCGTACACAATGTAGCTGTTCTGGTCTTTCAACTTCTTGTTACTGATTGGCTGTTGGCTGTACAACAACTCATTTGCCCTGAGGCGGCAGCAGTGGTGGGTTGGCATATCACGCAACGCAAACGCAGTACACAACTCGCCTTTGAGCCCCGTGACCGGTGTTTTTGTAAACCCCACAAAGACCCTTGTGTTAAGCGGAAGACCAGAGAGCTCCAGTACGGACAACAGTACGTCGCTGGTGGCTGTAAACAGGCACACGGACGTAGGGTTTATAGGTAAGTCATGTTCAACTATAGCTAAAACGACGTCTCATGTGGGAGTTTAAACTAATGCGTCTGTGTACGTATACAGTCTTGTTTAATAGCTTCAACTTTCAAGCAGAGTTGTGGAAAGTGGCCCTAAATACTACGTGACTGCATTGAGCCTTTTCGCTCGGTTGCCCACTAGATCCCTGGTGTCTTCACAATAGTACAGCTTGCAGCTGTCTGCGACTATTGGAGTGGAGATAAGTGGACCATCACATGGCAACTACTACTCAACGTTATCACTAAGTTATTGAGGTTTATTGAGGAAAAACTCTCCTTTGGCTACCCACCCGAGGGTGGCAGCTATTCTTCCAGGCCGGAGAGTACATAAAACATAACAATACGTCAACATACAATTACAAATACATTTACATGACATAGTTAGAGTCAGATAACCGATTCGAATGGTTATCTCCTCGGACCGCGGAAACCATTATCAACATAGAATCAGCAGCAGGAGAGAGATGCGGGTCAGCTGGTACTAGCCCTGTGTATCCCGTCGCTGTAATCATAATGCTGAGACCAGAAAATTTCTCAGCCATCGCTCAAGTTAGTATTTCTAACCCTCTCCATCTTTTGACTCGAACTACTGCCTTTAGTCATATATTGTAGTATTGGAAACAGTGGCTGTTATTTTTTCACATGACTTGAATTGTAGAAATGGCACAAATCACCAGAGAGGCAGAAGTCAGGTACTGTAGCAATTAAATTTTCAGTAATGCGTAATGTGCGCATTTACGGGGGTTTCAGCAGTGACCATACGGAAATCCAGCAGTAGAAAACCCGGGTACTTCTGTGTGACTGCTTCGAATTCGATGTTTTTGTTGAGTGAGGCATGGAGTGCCGCGAAGAATTTGTCAACATCATTTCCATTCGGAAGGGTGTTTGCACTGCTGACGCCGTATGAATACATGTATGTGCGCATTCTCGAAATTAAGCCTTATGACTGGACAATGAACAGGTCAGCTGAAGTTAAGTGTAACGTTGGTCTAACGATGGCGAATTAGCTGCAACAGTGTTGCAGCTAATTCGCCATCGTTAGACCAACGAGGAAACGATATCCACTTTCTGTTGACTTTCCCAATTGACCATCGGGCCCCACGGGCAGGATTTCATCTCCAAGAATACATGGCTAATCGGCTCGTTTTCGAACACTCGAGGGCCGCTTAATTTTACACAGAAAGCGCTGCAGAAGTCGTACATCCAACAGTCAAAGAAAGTCATTAGTGTAACAGTCAGTGCTTGTCCGAAAGATTGTGATTCCGTGATATCTCAACCCGTGATAACCCCCTTGAAGACCCCTCGCAAGTGACCGTCCTTGACTCCATTGAAGACATCATCGGCAAGATGAGACCCGTGAAGAACCTACAGGACAGTCCCCTGTCAGACCCGGTGACTATGAGTCGCATCACATCCGGGGATGTTGATTCCGATGAGCCTAAACAGGGGTGAACGTCCTACAGACCGGAGAAGGTCGGCAACTCCCTCCCTCAGGTACCCCGCCAGAAAAACAGGTTGGCGACCGACAGGCTGTACATCCGGGAAAGTTGTTAGTCATAGAGGTCAACGTTCTACGGGTTGTACTTTTGGAGTGGAGGTGAACTTCTTTTTTTCCATAACTCATGGCTGGTTTGATGGTCAGATTCCTGACAGAAATAGATAGACATCCGTTTGAAATAGAAGAACGAAATGCGCTCGGGCGGCTCGGCTATGTTGTTATTTCGCCCTTCACTCCGATATATAACGAAAGGAGCCATACGCTTCACAAAATCTGTACCGTACTGTACACTGTTTAGTCAAACGACTGTTTTTGCCATGAGCATGTGAGGAAATACATCAGCCCTGATGACTTCCAGATCAGCCGTAGCTTGTTTTTGACTAGACTAGCCTCCGTAGCAGGCTTATAGAACTGGGGGTTTGGTGGTCTTCGGCTGTTTTCTTATTAGCCCAGTTCTAAACGGGGGTAATTCAATCAGGCCGGCTGTTGTCTATATGCAATCAGAAAATAGCGCATAAAAGCTCCCAAAGACCCTGAAGACCCTCAAAACCTCCAGTTTTTGGCATGCTCTGGAGGCTAGTCTTTGACTGCAATCTGACGTCGACAGTTCATCTGGTCCCGTGCCACAAACAAATCAGTAAAATCAGACTCCAGTGACCGTCTTGACACCGACCTTTGACTTGATTTCACCGATGAGTGCTGGCTGATACCATCTGCGTTTGCTCAGAATTTACAGCTTTAACTGGGTTATCAACGATGCGTTTATCTGATGTGCTGGACGTCTGAACTGCACAGCAACCGCGTTTAAAAAATACCAAGTATAATATCATATGAGTTCATTTCAAGACTTTCAACGACGACTCAGTTTCTCCATATGGTCGTTCTTGTTCCCCTTGTCTAAACATCACCGGCTAACGTAGTATGTGTCTTGTTTGTGACCATGGCTTGCCTCTGGGATGTTACTCTGTAGGGAAATTCAAATTTTCTCTGACAGCAACATAAGCCGCCTGTGATCCGTCACTAATAGCGTTTTAACCCGATTATTATATGAATTATTAATTCTCATGTATGCTCAAATGTACATTAGATCTGGACTCCAAGGTGATATTAGATGTTAATGTAATCACCATGGCTTACAGTGTATATCCATTTTTCACTGTTTGGGTTTTGTAACTGAATAAAAGCTAAAGACTATCAACCACAGTACACTGCGGCAAAAGTCCACACAAATTCACAGGTAGGTGCGATGGAACATTGACTTTATCTACACTAGTACTGTACCAGATTCAGTCATTTCAGCATTCACTGAAACACAAGGCAATCATCCTATCAGGACTAGGGTACAGGATACCCTCTACCAGGCCTCTTGGTGGACTGAAGGCTTGGCACTGGAGTACAAATGTATCCGCTGGTAGCAAATAGTCCGATGATGAACAAACCAACAACGCATAAGACCATGGGGCATAATGCAGCAAGTTTAAACTAGAAATATTTTGATAGATTAATGGCTTTTCTTGTCGGTTTGCCGTCAATTTACCTTTGTTGTAGATACTAACAGTTTATTCTAATAAGTATGACTAGTAATATCTGACAGTGCAAATCGGCTTATGAACAATGACGCACATATGATGTTGTTAATACAGATTATCGATTGCTGATCTAATTGCTGCGCATGTCTGTTTATATATAGGTAAATGCGACGGCGCTCTACCAAACATTCATTCTCTCTTGTTTTTCATGATGCACAGAGCTGACGCTTCTGACCTCCGAGTCCACCCCAAGTTACAAGGAAACACGATCGGATCCAACATGGCAGGCAGGAAAACACCCGCGGCATTCTGGGTGTGCTTCTTCATTCTGCTCATTCCCGTTCTCGGGATCTGCATCTACCAGATCGCCGACCGCATCTCCTTCTATGTGAGCTACCCTGTTACTCGGGAGTCCAGGGAAATAGCCGTGCAGTCTCAGCCGTTCCCGTCTGTCACGGTGTGCAACAACAACCCGATCCGCAAGGCGGCGCTGTCCGGAACGACCCACGCTTCCCTCCTGGACACAGACGAGCAGGTGCGGCAAGGTGTGGAGAACCTGCTCGCCTCCACCAGCAGCGGCGCCGTCAACCCGTCAGCCGCCAGAGAAATTCTGAACACGGCGTACCAGGACAGGAGAACCGCCCGCGCGACCGGAGACCTCGTCGGCATGTCCAGGGATGACATAGCGAACTTGGGCCACCAGCTCAGCGACTTCGTCATGAGTTGTTCCTACAACGGGCGGCAGTGCGTGTCCAGCGACCTGTCCAGCGTCTTTACCACCTTTCAATCCGCCAAGTTTGGCAACTGCTTCACCTTCAACGCTAATTTCAAAGTGTCCTCCCCCAACAAAGGCCAAGGACTGACCATGACACTGTACACGGACGTTGCCGAGTATGTTGGCCTTTTCGGCCGGCAGCCCGGCGTAACCGTGACTGTGCATCCCGCCAACACAACAGCGTTTCCCGAGGATGACGGTATCGTCGTCAGGGCCGGAGAGAGCGCGGCCATCGGCCTGAGGAAGACTGTGAACAACCGCATGCTTGCTCCCTTCGGCGACTGTCAGCAGGACACAGACGCAGAGTCCCTGTACCCCGGAGGATATTCCCTGGCGGCGTGCCGGAAAGAGTGTCTGCAGAAAACCCTGCTGCAGAACTGCGGCTGTCTGGACGATCCCAGAACAACTAGCGGCAACCTGTGTACCGCCAGCGAGGAAAGCTGCCGATCAAGGTAACAAGATAATGCTCTATGCTAGCTACTTTTTTTTGATCAAGTTTTGCTAAAAAATAGACGGTTTATCCAGTCCAGGATATACCTTTATAACATATGTACTACGCGTAACATAGCTCTAGCTACATCTCTATATCTGAAAGGACTGCAAAAAATAACCAAACGCCAAATGTTTCTCTTACAAACTTCAAAGGTACTACGAACAGGGTGCCACCTGGCGGGATAACTGTGACTGCAAGCGTCCCTGCAGGGAGGAGTCTTACGTCACCGCCATGACGTCATCCCCCTGGGCCCCCGAGAACGTCCTGATCCCCGAGCTGGATTACGTCACTCCCCTCCCTGACGTCGGCGGCATCATCAAACAAAACATCGTGCAGGTACAGGTGTATTACCTCGACAACACCTCCCAACAGGTGGACGAACGTGCAGCCTACCCGGTCAATAAACTGATGAGAGATATCGGACTTGACATCGCTGTGTGGCTTGCCCTGTTGCTGATCCTCATTGGGATCGGTTACTTGGTTGTCTTGATCATTCGAGCTTGTTGTGGGGAGGGCGGTGGAAACAAGGCCATTTAGTCCACTGAATCGAACACAATGTCGTTATGTATGGCAATTCTGGTGTATTACGAGGGTTTAGGGCTGACTACCCTGTGTGTGTGTGTGCGTGTATCATATAAGTATGGAATAACCATTTATGGGATGTATTTTACCAGTAATCAAGGACTTGCAGTGATTTCACGACTGAATATGACAGCTTAGATCGTAAAAGACAATGTCGTTATTAGACATCTGTAGGTGATGCATACTACGGTAATAATCTTAACTTAATTAGTGTGTAATACTATAGCGTAACAAAATATGTATTAACTAGAAAGGCCAATATTTGCTTTGGAGCAAATACAGCGATGGGTTCACCACATTTTACGACATGGCAGGGAAAGAATGGGAAACACAAGGGAAAACAATGATTTACATTGATATAACTATAATATGAAGTAAAATACAACTAAAACAACAGTTGGATAGCTATTCCCTACTTTATTGGTTAGGATTTTTAATTGCATAATGCAAACTGTTGATTTTCAAAATAAAAAAAAAAAACGTCCATGCCCGGCATTCCAATGCTGGAGCAGGAAAGCTTGAAATACCTACCAAAACACTTGAATACAGACATACTGTCAGTATGGAAATGCTTCTGTGCAGGTGTTAATCAAGTTAAATCCCAACAGCCAATCAGCAAGAAGTATAGAGGAAAGCTGCATGCCTATTGGTTGATGCCCTGCATTCCATTCTGATGACTCATGCCCAAACGTGGTAAACAAGGCAGACTAACACAGTAATACATTTGCTATAACACAGCCAAAAAACTCAAATAAAACCATTCTAAAAGCCTGTATCACAATAATTTAAAAAACGCCTAGGGGTATTTGCCCACTGTACCTCCATACCAAATTTCAGGACCTTAGGCCCTAAAATGAAGAAGCTGAATCCATTTAAAGATATGGCAGGAGGAGGAGGAGGAGAAGGAGAAGAAACATCAGAAAAAGCAATATGGTTTCACCACACCACTTCGTGGTGTGGTGAACCCATAACTATAGGACATAGGGATATTTCAGTAAGTCATTAATTTAGTCCTTTTTTTAGCTAGACTTTCTGAAGAATATACAAGAATAACACAAATACCACTGATTCGCGAAAGCATCTTCTATGAAATGGAATGTTTCGTAGCCTCTGTGGATACTTCTATTCTTGTGCCACCTGTAACGTTACTGTTGTTGTTGTTAATAATGATGTTTACTTGAGAATTATGGAAACAATATATCTATATGTGACTAATGTTGAAGGTAAATGTAAGAATCTTTGAACCGCTGTATGTGGCCAGTGAATATTACTTTAACAGTTTAAGCTCGGTTACTGGCATTGGTGACTAACGTGTACTGTGAATAACGCTACCTAAATAAAAGTGAAGCTGGTGTTTGCAATCTTACCTGACTTTTTATGGCAGTGATTACTTACAGTAAATGATTACGTGTAGGCATGAATCATTAATAAACTGATTTCCAAACAGATGTTGTTTTTTTTTTACAAACGGCATTTCCAGCGTTACGATTTTTTCTTCCAATATCTGCTTGGAGATTTTTAACCATCCAACAACAAACATTAAGAACCGAAAGATAAGTTTGATAGTGAAATTTTTACAGGGGATTTTTTTTTACAATGCTAGGCAACTTCTGGTCTCGGAGACCATGGGATGAGGTTGCAATCGTCAAAATCGGAAGATGGTCAAGGCCACTTGCCGATACTGATAATATACGAAACCCCCATCAGAGCCTCATTTGTTCAGCGCAGTGCATCCTGGGAAGGTGCCGGATAAACACAACATGGCGACCGTGAGTAGGAGGAGGACCCAGGATAGGACCACAGTTTAACCTCTAAACCCTCCAAAACAGCCCAGGGACAGCGGAAAGCCAACTTCCAACACAGTAAGTGCATCTTAGAACCCCTTTTGCATTTTTTGAAATCACCAAAAACTCGCTGAAGTGCTGAAATTTGGGCATCTTCGTGTCGCTTCTTCCAGCCGGTTTGTGATTTTGGCTGCTGTGGTTTGGAGCGGGGTTTAGATCAGATGGTCTGATCCTGACCAAACCATGAGTCATGAGGCAGTAATGTGGAGCTCTGGCAGCTCCTGACACGGACTGAGCTGCAGTTACGTGGTGCATGGGTCTGCTGTCCACGTGGACAAAGTGGTTCAAAGGAGATTTAGGTAGCAACACTAGTACTGGTAGTGGGTGTCCGTGATCTACGCAGTGACGTTACACTTACAGTATAGTGCTAAAAAACATAAATGGTGTCTCTGTTTAACTATCATCATCATTACCGTCATCAGCGTTTCATATTGCCTGAACAGTACAGAACAAATGTACTACCACGGTATTTAACTTCAACACTTAGCCCCAGAAAGAGAAAAATTAACAGTAGGAAAGTACTCATGTCAGCAGTAGTTAGTGATGATATAACTTGTACCATCAGGTCAAGAAATGAAAATAGGCATTCATCCCAAACTTTCAGTTTGTATCGAAAATGGCCTTTCCTTTCCAGTCTGAATGCCAGGAAACCAATTTAGCAAGCCCGGTTAGACCTCCTATGTTAGCTTCTCATTAGTACTAATAGCAGACACTTTGCCTCACAAAACTGTTTTGAAAAATCTATTGGGAGGTCAAAAATCAATCCTTAACCCTGGCCCTACTGAGGTGAGCTGTTGACGCATATATGTTAGACAGTAGGGTAGAAGGTATTACCGTAAGAAAGAAATGTAGACTCAAGAATCTTAATTAAAGTTATTATGGGGTAGTGACCACTGTCTGCAAGCTGAATAAATGAATGTAGAAAATGAATAAATATCTACTATAAATTTGTGATGAAAATTTGAATATACTTTTGTACTGCAAAAGCAAGGGCAAGTTTTAGGAAGAACTCAGTACATGGGTTGGTTGTTTCAATCCTTTCTTAGAGTAATAGGAAACTGGCACAAATATATCATCATCTGGTGCTGCATCAAAGAAGCTGGTACCCCCCCCCCCCGGGGAACAGTCTCATCTGCAGTGTAATCATGTTGCTTGATCCCTGACTGATAAACAAGTAAGAGAGGTGAAACAAGTCACACAGGAGCAAACATTACTGTCTGAGTTAACATTGGGAACTGAACTTTCCCCTTAGGTAGGACAACTGTAAGTGCTGACTCAACCAGGCAGACATAAGGCCTTAATAACCTCAGTCTGCTGGGCAGACTAGGTGGGGCAAAGGTGAAACCGTAGGAAATATTAAATGGGTATTATACTTCCATTAACTGAGGTAATTGTTTTGGGTGTATCTGTGTGTGTGTGCCAGTTTGTGTCTGTACACTGTGTGTTTGTGCATACTACAAGCATAACTCAAGATGCTCTGGACAGAGATTGTGATAATATTTTGTATGTAGTCATAGCTCTTGTTGACTTTTCAAAGGGTGGTGTTTACCTCTTATGATTTTGTCAATACTGTAGTGTTAGAATGTGTATGGCAACAAACTTGTACCAGTGCATTGATCAGTGGTATGATCAGTTAGTTATATTACACTGGGGATATTACTAGTACATTTACTACAAAATGTACTAGAAACCAAAAATAGAGGGTGAAAATGGTTACAAAATATAAATGCACAAATTAAAGATGAATCAGTAAAAGCAAAGCTTACATGTTGATGTATGTACATGTGCAAATGTAGTCTGTATTGTAGATTGCAATGAAATTTCAATGAAATTGGTAGTACAACAACAAAATTGTAAAGGCTGTATAAGTCTGCCTTCTGTAGAAAAATGTAGCCACAAAATTCGCACACGTACATACGGCAGACCCAGGTGTAACTGTATATTGATAAGATTATGACTCTGATTAGAACTGACTGGTGCAAGCCACAGGGACTGGCTCCTTTATAAATAATCAATCCTTCACATTCTCTTGACAGGCATTTTTAAGTTCTTTTAGTTAGAATAACAGTCAAATGGTGGATACATTGTATGTACACAGGTGTACATTTTGTTTATTTCTTTATTTGGGATCAGTGTTTAATCATTTGTCCTTGTATCATTGTCATTCCCGGATTTCTAGAGATTGTAGATATATGTATTAATTTCTTTGTAATAACTTTCATGAAAAAATTATTTGAAAGGCAGCAGTAAGCAAAAATCAGGTCATTCCAATGTAGCATTATCCTTCAAAGCATGTGCCTTCCAAGAACTGGTCAGTCTGTATTATCAATCACTGACAATCAGTTAAATACATCACTGTCTAATTTGAAATGCCCACATATAGCTGTTGGAATAGGCCATCAATTGAGAATAAATGTGATTACTATGTATTTCTGGTCAGGTTATTACGGCATTGTGGATGGATTTAGGTCACTGAGCTGGACTCATCAGAAGGATATGATCTGGATATCAGCTGTCAAATTCAGAGAATTTGAAGATAATTACAAAGGTCAGCTCAAAATCGAGAAATATATACAGGCAAAAAGGATAAATTTTGAATATTTCTTGAATCTAGACCTAAACAGCACTGTCAAAAATAACCAGATATCACCAGGGCGGGTGACCTGCATATTTTGTGAGCATATATCCTGTTCCTGTTTATGAAAATTAAGGATTGTTTGAAGTTATATTTCCCAACAGCAATGTGTCTTATTCTGACATGCACTTGTATGTGATAAGCCATGATATATTTTTAACATTCCAATATGATCTATTGCTACCTCTAGGATGTGCAATGTTTAAATAGTACATGGTACTAAAAGGCTAGAATATTTATCATGTTTTCTTGTTTCCTTTACAGTAGTTGAGACAATGCCCATTTGATGCCAGGCAAGTTTTCTCCAGAGTAACACCCCTCACAGTAGCATGGCAGCGAGCGGGAAACTCCTGGAGCTGGCCCAGCACCTGAAACAGGAGCGTCTGTTTGTGTCGGCCGAGAAGGACTCCCTCCAACGTCTCCACAAGGAGGTGATCACCGCTGCCGAGAGGCTGTACCACGCCTCCTGGATCGTCAAACAACAGCGCGCCAACGTGGAGAGTCTGATCCTGTCCAGCCACGCCCAGCATGGCACCCCTGCTGAGTACTGCCACAAGGCCAACTCCCTGGACAATGTCAAGTTTATGGACGGGTACAAGGTGCTGGGCTACCAGGACACTCTGTATGGGGACTTCCTTAAGTCACTGAGGGAGGCTCCACAGCTGGTGGCACAGACACTGGTGTGTGGGGAGAAACTCAGCCTAGAAACAACACAAGGCATCATTCAGGTAAGTTTCTGTTATGTTTGTGTTCCACTGGTGTCTTGCAATGCTGGGTACTATTACAGGCATAGGAAACACTATTGAACTACTCACTCAATCATTGATTTTAAGCATTCACACAGTACCTAGTTAGTAGGTACATTTATGTCTTGGCTGAGTTTTTTTGTTATAGCCATATGTATACTATTCATCATTCAGAATCAACATTTAACATGTTATTAGATGCCATTGACATTATCATTGCTTGACGATGAACATCCAAGAGAGAGAGAGAGAGAGAGAGAGAGAGAGAGAGTGGTATATGGCACCACATTTAAATGATTCATCGATGAATCGCCTTGCTGAAGTTTGTGAATTACTGGTTTTCTCCCCAGGTCATCGTGTCTGCCATCTATGGAGGCTGCATCATGCCAGAAGACGAGCACTTCGTCCTGCAGATTCTCCACTCTCTCATCGAGCTCCAGCTAGCAACAAACAACGACCCCCGCCGCCTGCTGCGCCGCGGCTCCTGTGCCTTCAGTACCGTCTTCAAACTCTTCTCCGAGTCGGTCTACACTGCCAAGCTCTTCCTCACCGCCGCCCTGCACGAACCAATCATGTCCTGCCTCGCCGAGGACGACTACTTCCTGGAAACCAACGTGGACGCGGCGCTGGAGAGATTCTCCCCCTCGGAGATCAAAAGACGGTTCGGGGACCGAGGAACGCCTCAGTTCAAGCAGAAGCTGCAGGACCACATGGAGCAGCTGAGCAGCCAGCTGGTCAGCCTCTGTAACAAGTTCATCACCAGTATTAAAGCCAACATGTACTGCTTCCCACAGAGTCTGTGCTGGATTGTGTCCCAGCTGCACAAGCACATGAACAGGGTGGGGACAGTGGAGGAGGGGGACATCAGGGCCATGTGTGCAGACCTGCTGCTGTCTTCCTTCATCTGTCCTGCTATCATGAACCCAGAGCCATATGGCATCATCTGGGACGTGCCAATCAGTGACGCAGCACGCTTCAATCTGATGCAGGTAGGGTATTATGTAGAGTCATTACTTATGGGTGTTATCAAAGGCTGATGGGCAATAAGAGGAAGTACCTGTACAATGAAGCATGACATATTTTCACACCTCTTTCCAAAAATACAGCTATGTTTAGGTTGGGAGTCTAAACATTTTAGAATATACACTTGCTGACTAAAGATTGAACCACTATTTCCAAATTTTTTTCTTACTCATGGCATTATGATATTCGTCAATCCATGATGGACATTTATGTATAAAAAGATAGTATTCTTACTAGATGAGATATGGTGACCTAACCTGAGCTGTTTTTCCAGATTGCCCAGATCCTACAGGTGTTGACCCTGTCTGCATCAGAGAATGCAGACTCAAAGATGCAACCACTATATTCCAGGTTTGACAATGTAAGTATCAAGTAACATAATAGAGGACCTTTCCTTTACCTACACTATGGAGCACTGAGTCACTTTTGAAATGTTGGAAAAACTGTCTTTCGGGGCTTTTTTAGTCTCAAAGTTCTGATCAGATAATTTTATCATACATCATGTACCTCAAAAATAACTTCTATATTGTGTATTTGCTCATCCTTGTACAATGTCATTTGTGTTCTGACAGTCCCACTCTGTGATTGGTTGTATGTTCTGACAGTCCCACTCTGTGATTGGTTGTATGTTCTGACAGTCCCACTTTGTGATTGGTTGTATGTTCTGACAGTCCCACTCTGTGATTGGTTGTGTTACAGGGCTGCATGTCGACCTTCCTGGATGCAGTGATTGACAGGTCATGTGATGACACCCCACCCCCTGCCCCCTCCCAGCTCTCGGGGTTGGGGAGAAGTGCTGTGTTGATCACAGAAACTGAGCTTTACTGTTTGGTAAGTAATTGTGTATTAAATTTCTTATTTCAGACTCTATGATTAATAATGGATGTTGTTAATAAGAACAAAGTACCTAGAAACAGTAGCTAGATTTATGGAGTAGACAATTTTTTTACCTCTTTTTTCCTACAATATCTTTGTGTTCCCTGGCAATTAGCTTTTGGGCATGAGTTTGCAAATGAAGTACTGTGAATCACTTAATGTTTGCAGTAGCAAAAGTGCTCAGTCTGAACAAGATGGACATGTTCATTGAACTATGTGTTTGCGGTGGCGACAGGTGCAGTAAAAATAAGTCAGCGAATTATTTGTTCATGGCGATGGTGAGTTACAGTACAGAAGTGACAGCAAAAGTCGTGTATATAAAAGTACTGCAAAAAAGTTGTATTATTGTAAGTTGTAACAGTACATTACAAATAGCACCTGAGTGAGATTGTGTTGTTACCACAGGTGTCATTCCTGCGGGACCTTAAGGCAGCCGGCGGTGAACCACTGGACACCCAGCAGCTGGACACCATCCTGTCCAACGTGCCCATCTCCACACCCCCTAACACCGGCCCCTCGGTGGGGAGCGGCAGTGCCAACGTCACCCCTACCCCTACCCCCGTCACCTCCCCTCCTAACACCCCCATGTCTGCCAAGAAAAACATCCTCGGAAAGGGTATGTAGGTTGTTCCTTTATATAGGCAAATAGTTTTGAAAGTATAGTTTGTAATTTTTTTTACAAGGCCCTGGCAATTGCTTGTACAGTTGCTAAAGTAACAGAATAATGATTAATGTGTGGAGTAATAGAATAACCTTATCCTTTTATTCGTATTTAAAAGAATTCATAACCTGCATTTGTAATGTGTGCGTGCATGGCTATGTGCATGGGTGTGTGTTTCTGTGTTTTCCAGTTATTTTCCAGTAATCCACAAACTTGTCATTACATCTTGGCTGTGCATGTGTGTTAGAAATTAAACTACTAAAGTGGAAAGAATATTATGGTGTGACATATTCTTTTGCTGGTATGTATAATATATGTGTGGAAGTGTAGCAGTCATTGGCAGTCTATTACATGGGTACCAGGGTAGTACAATTTAAGTAAATTTTACTCATGTCAACCTACAACATGAGTTAATCGATTATTTCAGTGAAGGGAGTGAAGGCCCGCCTGCCAGGCACCACTGCCAGCGAGTCAGAGGCAGACTCAGCTGGAGCCCCCTCAGAAGTCGTCATGACTCCTCCTCCTGAGGAGGTCCTCATCATCTCACTCAGCAATGCTTCCAACGAGTGCCCTGGGATATTACCGGAATCCAAGGTGTGTTGAGGACCTTTAAAGGCATTCTGTGCAGTTTTTAGGGGTTGGAAACCAGATTTTTCAAAGTTCAATATTCTAGTCACTTATTCTAGTCACTTATCTACATACTAAGTTGAAACAACACTGACCCAATTTGCTTATATCGACATTTATGGAGCAAAATTTTAACGAAAAACAGTTACTGGAAGGACCTTGATTGATTTTTAGGGTACCAGCCAGAAAATAAAGGACTCTATCTTTGGACTTGTTTCTGCAGTTTTAAATACCTAAAGTGTGAAATACTGATTCAAATGTGCTAATGTGGGATAGTATGTGTCAATATCATACAGATTGCCTTTTTCAGAATATTTCCAGTTTTGCTACCCTGAAATTACATTGGATGCCTTTAAGGGGGATCGTAATCCAGCAATATTTCTTCTGGAAATTTGTAGACTTGTATGCTGAGATTTTAACACTGGAAAGTTTTTGTAACTGTAGTTTTGCTTGGATAGTGGATTGAAGCTTTGTTCCCTTTCCAGGTTCTTGGGTCCACTGTTCACCACGTGACCATTGCTGGTGGAGATGCCTTCGACGACGGAGGCAAAGACTCAGACAGACAATCTGACAAGCTTACTGGAATATCCATAAGTAAGGATAGTTGTTTCTACAATGACTTACTGTTTTATTTCTACTGTTATAATAATGATAATTTCTACTGTAAATATTCACATGTTGATTGCATTTGAGTCAGCAAATATATATGCACAAAGAGGGATCCTGCGCCCTACTAGGGTTTGGGTTGGCATTAGGAAAGGCATCCAGCTGTAAAAAAAAATCTTGCTTAAAAATCACTTGCACTTGATGCAAGCACATCTTACCCCCAGTTTGAAGGGGAAAAAAAGACATTAAACTGGATAGAGAGAAATGTTAGGAGATTTTTTTATAGTCTTGGGGTAGGAAAATTGGGAAGATATATGAACTACCTGAATCCTGGTGTAAACTTGTGATCTTTTTGTCTGTAGGTGCCCACAATAGTGATGTCATGGAGGCCACATCTGAAGGTGGCCCCTCCACCAGAAACTCGGTTTACTCGCTGGAAAGCGATCACGGACCGGAGCCCATGGGTCGCGACCCCAGCGAACGTAACGCCCTGGACTTCCTGGAGAAGGAGCAGAGGACGACGAAGGACAACATCGACGAGAAGCTGCGTAAGTTTGAGATCATCCGCGACATGGGGATGGCCACCACGGAGGAGAGGGACCCGTGTGAGACCTACAGCACGTTTAGTGAGACCTGGAGTACGGACGTGCTACCGAGTGACGCTTCAGAGCCACCACCGGAGGGGAACCCACTGGAGAGGTTACAGGTATACAGCACCTTAAGTCATTTTGCTTGTATGTGTTAAACTGTGTGGACTTAAAATGTGTTGAATTTCGATAGTTCGAATTCAACATAGACTCACTCATTTTTTTCCGTTCATTAGAAATAGCTGGTGCTCTGCAAAGCCTTTTACCAGTGATTGCTTTCATCATTTCTTGATAGCTATCTTTAACGTAATTTATGTATTTTATGTCATTAAAATGGGTCTTGACAGTTTACAATATGCACTTGATGTTTTAGTAACTGGGATGTTGATTTTCATTTTATACTCTTTTCTTTTTGTACTATGTTCAATAGTTGCCATATAACACATATATTACTGTGTTCAATTATCATGCAATACACGAACCATGTACAATTCTTCTTCTATGTCAGGTACTGTATGATTGATTGCACCACCACATGTTCATGTAGATTTCCTGTATCACTGGATGACTGAAATGTCTTTCTACAGGAAATTTCGGGTGCAGGTGCGGAGGGTGGAGCGTCCCACCTGGACAGCCTGCCTGAGAACCTGCTGGAGGTGGACATCTCGGAGACAAACAGTGAGACCTGGAGCGTGGACGTGCTCGCCAGCGACTCAGAACCACCCGAGCAGAAGATGGAGGAGAGACTGTGTGAGGTGGAGGTGGGGCTGAGTGAGGTAACAACTTCACAATCATCACAGTAGATTTATAAAAAAAATACAAGTAGCGCTTTAGCCTTTAATTGTGTTGATGAACCAAAAATTCAAGTTTTCTGTGTGATGTTGCATGTGTGTTGCAAGAAGTGGTGTCTTACATGTAGATTGTAGACATATTATGTAGTACTTAGTTGGTCAGCACAGTAATATGATGTGTGACTCAAGAGCGGTATTGTATTAGACAAAATGTAATTTGGGAACAGAGAAGAAACACTGCATGTTTTTTGTAGTGGATTGTTGCATGGTGTGTAGTAGATGGTAATATAGAAGTGGTCTAAAATATTGCTTCGTTCATGTACATACCACGTACATGTGTTGTGGTGTCTGTCTTACTGAGCATATCATGTTAAATACATGGCCAGAAGAAACTGAATGTGTTTTCTTTGCATAGTCCTAACAGGTGTCCTACATAGAAACACTACACTACCAGTCCTGTAGATTTAGCTTTGGTGTTGTGTTGTGGTGTGTTGTGCAATGTACTTTTTGTTAAAGTAGTTTTGTGGGTGATTGTCTGTGGAACTGTGAATTCAACCCAGAAGGAAGAAAGGTCAAAGTGACTAGTTCCTCCATGTCTCTTACAGTCCGGTAGTGTAGAGGACATCTTGGAAGCAGAGAAAAATGAGGAGGCTGCCGGAGGGGTTGACGGAGAGCCTCGTTCCAGAACTAGCACCCCCTATACTGACAGCGAGAACCCCCCGAGAACCTCCGAGGACCAGGTCTCTGACAAGAGCTCTGAGAAAAGCTTTGACAAAAGCTGCAGCCCCTTCCCAGAGGATTGTCCCAAAGGGAGGGGGTCTCAGGATTCAGAAGAGTTCCAAGACGCGGTGGAGAGTTTTGATGAGAGTAAGGAGAGGAGAGGTCACGCTCCCGCCCTCCATCCGCCCCCGGAGATGTGTCAGGACCCGTCCACGGGAGCACGCTTCAAAATCCGCCCTATCGCACTCCGCAATCCTGTCAACGGGCCCGTGGGACCAGGCAAGCAGCGACACGTGCCCGACATCATCAGAGACTTTGAAGGAGGCCTGTCACATGCCAAGGAGGCTCTAGGAGCCAGACTGTCAAACTCCTTAAAGGACATCCAAGAAAGTTCAGTTGCAACCGGTTTTGAAACGTTTGACAAAAGAAACTCCTTGCTTGACGATTTTGACCCCTTTGCTCCAACGCCCAGTGACGATGCCCCAGCAACAACCCCTGCAGACAGTTTACGCGATTCTGTTTTTAGTTCCATGTCGTCCTTATCCCCTTTGTCACCCTCCAAATCAGAGGAGAATCTTCTTAGTCTAACTGCTTCCTATGCCCAAGTCAGGCACACGTCGAGCTCAGACTCTCCAACTAAGCTCAGAAGAAGCCAGACAAGTTCTTCCTACAGTGGAGACCTGAACAACACTGTACACAGTCCTGACTTTGACAAGCCGCTTATCCAAATCGACGATAACGAGGGCTTCAGCACCATCAAGAGAAGACCCAAACGAGAAAAGACAAAAGTAGTGGACATCGTAACAGAAAATAATGTGGGAGGACTGGGGAAAGCTTCCTCGTTTGACGATCAACTTTTGCAGCAAGGGTCAGAATCGCCCGGTCCTCATCCCATCGAGCGCCCGCTCGAGCCGCTCTTTACGAAGACGCGAGCTGAGAGAGCGACGAGTAGTCCCGGAGCGGACGGCCACACCGGCAGGATGGGGACGTCACTAGCAGTCAGTGGAGGCTACAACGACAGATCAAACATATCCAAATCCATCAGTTTTGACAGCTCACTGACTGTCGTGGACAGGGAAGAAAAGGTTGGTTGAACAAAGAACTGTGTGGTTTCCTCCTACAGCTGTTCTACTCCAGGGTTTCTTACTAACAAAGAGAAAACTTTAAGGGGTAGTCTTGTGTTGTGTCGTGTTGTGATAGGCATTTTTTTCTGCTTTGGAGACAAAACTTTTTCATGTAGATAGTAGTCTGATAATTGTGTATGAAAAAAGCATATAAAATAAGATAAAGCTAACTTCTATAGCTTCCTTTTTTAGGTATAGATATAGATTAGGCATACTTCTTTTGAATTTAAACTTCATTCTGCCTTTCAATTCTTTTATATCCATTAATGACTAAGATGGAAAGATGACTGTCTGTACACAATTTGCATAACTTACCTCAAGTGTGATTTTTGCATTTTATTTTGTGTGTGAAAAAATTCAGTATTGTTAACTGTAGACTGAACTGTACACTTTGCATACAGAATGACATTCTTGAATTTGTGTAAACCCTGACTATTGTTAGTTTAATGCTGTTGTGTTTCCTTACATTTCTGAATGTAGTTTCTTTCAGACTTATAGAATTCATTCCATGCACAGCCATGAGTGATCTTTGCACCTTTATCAATATAATGCACTAAAATAACCTGTATGAAGTAGACTTAGAACACATCTGTACTGTGCTTGTAGTTCATGGCTAACTAATGAACAGCGACCAGTGATGTTTTTCCCTGTTGTCTGCCCTTTAGAAGCATACAGGCCGAGGTCTCTCTGGTAGCTTATCTAAGGTCTGTAGATATACATATCACTGGGCCTGGCAGCATGTTGTACCATCATCCTCAGTTGTGTACATACCTTTGCATGCTTTGGTGGTGTGCTTTGAAAGTCTCTATTCTTCATATGATTGCCTGTGTTTCTTGGTGTGGTTTCTGGGCACGTACCCTACTTTGGCATGCAAGAAATCACCTAGAGTAGTGATCATTTGCTGCATACATGTCATATACATGTATTATATACATGTACACATTGTTTTTTCCTCTTGCTGTGGGGCCATTTGAGAATGTAAATACGGCTACCAACTTGACTATTTAGGCCTTTGCCTAAATAGCCCTACTAAACCTGTGCTATCAATATCAAATGTAACAACCAGTCACCATGCTTCATGTTACAAACCAGCATTGTTGGCTCTATGTCATTTCTTGGCTGTTATGTTAGCATGGCAATTTGCCAAACATGTCACCTACATGTATAAATGGATGGAAACCAGGTTTTGGTGGGCATGTTTTAAGTCTAGAAATGAGCCCCATTTGCAAATGATGGAATGTACATGTATATGAAGTTTCTTCCTTTTTCCATTTCTTGTGGGCCCAGGTTGGTGGATTTGATGCATGCAGGTGGTTGTTACGATGTTTTGTGACAGTCTTTATACATTTTTCAAATGACATTTTTTGCATTTTTTATGACAATTGTTAAAATGAATGCTTCGATTGTGGAGTTTAACAGTAAACCATTAACAAGAAAGGTAATTCTGACAATGGTCAGAGGAAAATGATGAAAGCAACGTTTTAGAAATTTAACATGTGAAAAAAGGTTATTTTTTCAAATCCAAACAATATACTTCAATCTGCCATCAATATGAAAACATATTGCAGCTTGTATTAAAGGTGACTGAATTCTGTGCTGTCACTCTTACAGGAGGGGAAAAGTTCAGAAAGAGGCAGGTCATGGTGGAAGAAGAAAGTAGCCATTTTTAAAGGTAAGCACTATTGTATTGTATTTTTACATGTACATGTATATACAGCCTACTACTGTATATTACAGAGAATTGCTTAACACAGATCAATGATATGTTTTAAGCAATATGGCTGTCTAGATGATACACTTAATACATTTTATGCAGATTCTATAAACTCTGTTTGGGTTACATAATTGTATTATAGTCATATTTTGCAAAGATATTTACACTATGATACATAGTTGATTCCTGAATCTGTTACCTTCCAAACTTTCTGTAACATTTTCCCTCTACTTCCTAGTACTCTATTCTACACACTTGCACTGTATACTTTGCGCATATTAATATGCTGCATTTTCACTGTCATTGTTAATTTGGATTGAACTCAGTGACTCAAAACCTGTGTCCTTCTTTCTTTGTGTGTTTCTCTATTACTTTCCTTTCTGCTCTTCCAGTAATAGGTGAGTATTCAACTGTCTTTCTGTCAGGGACAGTTCAGGAAGAATTATTGGGGAGGGGGAACCAAATTATTTGAGAGAAAAAAGAATGACAGAAAATGTTCAATCTACATATATATAATTAACACTACCGGTATCTATCCTAACCTGTCCCTTACTCCTTTCTTCTTACTTACTATACTATATTTCTCCAATCCTCTATTGATGAAAGTTGTATCATCAATACTGTTGCCTCTTTTATCAGGAATTGTTTATACCTTGTGGAACTTTACACAAGTCTGTTGTTGCTCATGTTAGGTCCACGAGGAAGCAGAAAGAAAGTGTCAGAAACTGACCGTGATGAACAGTCGTCATCACCGAGCCCAGGTTTTATTCCCACTGTGGATGAGACAACAGAACCACAGGTACTGACAGTTCAAGTCCAGATTTTCCTTTTTGTTTCAAAAGTAACAAAACCATATTTTCTTACTGAGTTTAAACTGTACTGTATATATTTTGTGAGCCACTTTTTAAGTAGAAAATAGATATTGTATTGAATTTTGCAGATTTAAGAGACCATTATATGTTTCTGCATGTACCAATGTCTATAGGAATATAGCTTATAGTGTGTATATCCTGCAGGTTACATCTGATGACATCCTGAACAAGTACCGGACCATGAACAAAGACATGTCCGCTGGTGATTCAGAGACAACACAGACAGATCACACCCCAGGTACCTTCCTATAAAGTATAAAAGAAACAATGGTAATGGTTTCTGTTTTAGTATGATTCATACTTCATATTTTATGATAGTCAAAATTTGTCTTGTGCAGGTAATTTTTTTTTATATTACCTACAACAGTAGAGGTATGCAGAAAAAAGTATTCAAGTCCTGGGAAGGAAAAATGATAAGAAGTAGTGGACTTTCCTTCCTCCTTTGACTCCTGTTACATTTTACCTGTTTATTCTCTGTCAGACACAACAGAAGACATCCTGGAGAAATACCGCACCCTGCCTAGTGAGGAGTCCTTCAGCATCAGTTCCTCCCCACATGATAACATCGACGACCTGTCATCCAAACGCAGGTAAGCTCATAATGTGTGGCAGTTCTTAGTGTGGAATCACATACTTTCTGCATTATGTTGTAATGTAAGATTCTGTCCAGAAATGGTGCGAACAAAGATGTTTCAAAATGCACCAAAATGCAAGAGAAGTGCATGTTGTCTATATATACATTAGATAGCTTTAAACAATGCCTAGAGTTAGATGTTCAAGGGTTAGGTGTAACAAGTCAATCGGTGTAATGTAGCCAGCTGCCGCTGCGCTGCGTGCCTGCGAAGCTGGTGTGTTATGCCAAAAGGTGGTTATACCAACTATACAGATACATATACCTCAATGATTTCTTCTTTTTTCTTCACTACCTAGTTACTAGTCAGTACTACTATGTACATGTATGAGAAGCTAATCTTACCACTACATTTCCCAGCTCAATGGGAGAAGACCAGATGGTCCCGACCACGCCCACAGACACGCCCATGGAGACGTCCTACTCCTTCCAGGATGCCAAGCGGAAGCTGCGGCTGGTGCTGGGGGCGGCAGACTTCAGCACCCTGCCCTGGCTCGCCAACTTCGTGTACATCCGCGCCAACAGGATGAGCTTCATCGCTGATGTGTACTGCTGCGGGGACGGGACCATCATGAAGGAGAACGAGCTCACTGGTAAGTGCCTTGTACACATTGTTTGTACATTCATATTACAATACTTGGCATTGTAGTTTTTTCAACATTTGCCAAAAGAGGAACAGTTACTGAGTTAGTAAATCTATTATGTACAGGGAAGTACAATGAACCCGATTGTTAACAAGAATGTTGTGATACTTTTGCTTTCCTTTCTAAGGCTATCAGATAAGATTATGGCCAGAAGTTTGAAATTATTTTTAATTTGGTTTCTGTCACAATAGTTTTCTCTAAAGTTTTTCTATAAAGTCACGATAGTTTTCCCTAAACTGTCTCAGTGGAACATTTTATAATAGAAGGTCACCTTTAAGTTTTTTACTTAACATTCACCAGGTTTTCTGCTTGTTTTCATTCGTGAGATTAAAACATGATCTTGAATCTGACATCTGCAGCATTTCTCAAGGCCCAGCTGTCTGAGGCCATCAACCTTCAGGACAAGTCCCTCATCGCTCAGCTGCACGAGACATTGAGATGTGTGCAGCAGTTCGACGACACTGGGTGAGTTTTGGTTTTCAGCAGGACAATTTGAAAATGATGAATGTCAAGTCAAGTCAAAGTTTATTGCACGTGGTACAGTGTAAGGCAAAGTGTTATATAAGACTAATAACTATTCAAAGCATTGTACAAGATTAGCACAATCTTTCCCTGTGTTGCCCAGTTGTAAGAAGCTGCTGACGTCCCTGCTGAGTGACTACAGAAGCCGAGCCCCGTACATCTCATACCTGGTGCGGTGCAGACAGGGTCTGCTGTTCACACAGGCTCACCTGGAGAGACTTCTGGACAGGATAGAGAAGTACGTCATGCTCTGGGTTCTACCAGCCAAACTGGGGGGTGATTTGTGCAAGTGCAAGTGCAGTGCAAACAGTGCAAGTCCCAAGATGACTCCTTTATTTTCTGGGTGGTACCCCAAAAATAAGCCCACGATCCTACCAGAAGCTGTTTTATGTCACGATTTTATGCTTTTTTGCTCCACAATTGTCAATATACGTTGGAAAGTGTTGTTTCAACTCAGTATGTAGATAGGTGACAAGAATATTGACTTTGAAAAACTGCATTGAGCACCTTAAATTCTTTACCTTATGAGGGTCTCACAACTTATTTAATGCAATTCCTGTAGGGACCGCATGGTGTGCCACAAGTACTTCACATCGGTGTGCGTGCGGCTGTTCCTGCAGCAGAAAGAGCAGGACATCCAGACGTTCCACCAGCGCTTCTGTGAGCTCACCGCGTCCGACGAGAAAACCGACCTGGTGGAGGAGTTCCTGCATCAGCTGGGCGTTGCCATGTCCCATGATGCAATGTGGCAAGGTATGTCTGCCTGCTGAATTATCAGATACATTTTAGAGCTGTAGAAAGGTGGCTACAATAATAACATGTCTGGAAAGGAAGCAGTAAAGTCAAGGAAAACATTACTAGTATGTAGATGAAGGAGTTGATCTTTATACTGAAGGTTTTATATGTTTTTCCTTACTCAAAAGGCTGATAGTAGACATGTAGGAGGGACAAGTAACATCAGCTATTGTTAGCAGTCCTCTTCCAATTTTACTGATAGAAATACCTAAACTGTTGCCTATGTCTTGTAGGCAGGTAAATAAGATGTTTTTGTTTGTTGACTATGTTTCCCAGTTGCCACCCCCACACAGTTAGAGGATGGGAACTTAGCTGTGGAGAGGAGCATCATGAGTCGTATCTACACCCACGCTCTGTATCCCAACGGGGATGGAGACATCATGAGAGACCAGTGAGTAGTTTGTAGGATGCTACTTATTTAATTGAGGCTTATTTGTTTGACTGCTATTATGTCTTAGATATGGAAGGAGATGGACGGTTACAGAAACGTCAGCTGAATAAAACACTTGGTTTCATGTAAAGAGTCTCTTTATTCCATGTCTTAGATATAGGCATTGATGTAACTTACAGAGGTGGAATTTTATAGTTGATTTTCTTTGCATACAATTTTACAAAGATGTACATGGGCTTGAGATTATGTTCTTTTCTTTATTCAAAATAAGCACTGATATGTGATGGTCCATATTATCAAATTTCTTCTATGTTTGGCAGTTGTTGCCTTGAGTTGATGCTATGTTGTTGTGTTTGCCTGTAGACTGTTCTATGACTATGTTGTTGTGTTTGCCTGTAGTGTAGACTGTTCTATGACTATGTTGTTGTGTTTGCCTGTAGACTGTTCTATGACCACATCCTGAGGCTACAGAAGGTGGTGACAGCCAGCCACAAGGCCCTGCAGGTGCCAGAGATGTACCGCCGTGAGGCACCCTGGCCCTCCGCACAGAAGGAAATTCTCACTATCAATGCTTACAAGGTAAACACAGAACATAGAAGTACTAGCCTAAGGAATCTTTGTGTGTGTGTGTGTGAGTGAGTGAGTGAGTGAGTGAGTGAGTGAGTGAGTGAGTGAGTGAGTGAGTGAGTGAGTGAGTGAGTGAGTGAGTGAGACTGACTTCAACAATGCATGGAAGGAAGTTGTAGTAATAGATGTTCCATTCTGGTTCATCTACAGTGTGTGCTTCTACCATCTTTCTTGTCTTCCTCCACAGACACCCAATGACAAGCTGCGGGTGGTTGTGCGGTGTTCTAACATCATCATGAACCTGCTGAAGATGGCCAATGAGAACTCTGTCCCTGGTGCCGACGACTTCACCCCAGTTCTGGTCTATGTGCTACTCATGGCCAACCCACCAAGGTTTACTTGCTTCCCTAGCTTGCTACCTAAAACTTGTGACTGAAATTTCATTGAGTGAGTAAAAACGTACACTTAAGTTAAAGGACAAGTAAAGTAATTTCAGTTTTGGTGCCTTTCAACCCAAAATCTTGTTTCCAAAAGGTGATTCGTACCTGTCCCGTACACATTATTGGGGTGATTTTTGACACAAACACATGTTCACGTTTGATGTCTAAAACCAATGAATCACCTTTTGCAAATAGGATTTTGGGTTAAAAGGCACCAAATCTGAAATTAGTGTATTTGTCCTTAAAAGTTTCAGCTGTAAGATTTTTGCTTCTTATTTTTTCCAGTTTGTTGTCGACTATCCAGTACGTGAACAGTTTCTACGGCTCACGTCTGAGTGGGGAGGAGTCCTACTGGTGGATGCAGTTCAGCGCAGCTGTGGAATTTATCAAGACCATCGATGACAGGAAGTGATGTCACCCAACAGGAAATGATGTCATCCCTGGAAGAGGCAGACTGTTGCAGATGATGAAAAGTTGTCAAGGATGAATTGGGAAGAAGTGTAGTAGCAAGTATTTGTGCAAAATAACTTTTTAGATCAATAATTTAAGCACATTTTTCTATATCTCCTCCAGTGCAATTCCCCCCACCCCTTAAACACGCACTTCTAATTCTTCCTGTTTTGTCCATAAGAAAGCTGTGCTACAAAGTTATGTAATAGAAGTGAAGATGAAGAGAGGAAGGAGATATCGCAAGAAGGAGCTGATTCTGAAATCCCATGTAGGGGTTTAGGGTATAACAGATGAATATTGGCATACATGTACATGAAGTATCAATAGTAGCTACATGTATTATGTAAACAGTTACCATACATGTAAGACCTTACGAGACAGTTTAGAACAGACCTCTGCAATACAGTACACACTGTAACCAACTTGCTGTATGTGAGACTATTAGGGACTGTGATAAGGTGGAAGTGAGTGATGTGTGTATGTACATTGTGTTCTGGTGCTGCTATCAAAATTCTATGGTCAGTAGCAACGATGAGAAATGTGTTGTAAAAAAAGTATGAAACAGTGAAACCTTTTACCTACTTGAATGTCTGAGACACTGAACATGTAGGAACTCCTGTTGTGCTGTGTAGTTTGGCTATGCAGCTGTAGCATACTTTATATACACATGAACTGTTAAAAGGTCCAATGTACACTAGTTAGTGTAGTAATGCTCTCATGTTAAAAGCGTGGGCAATACTTATTTAACAAGCCATGAAAACTTGTATCAATCAAGTTATAAAATGTTGAAATCGCTAGTACTAAGCAAGGCAGACATGTAGCAATCTCAATCACATTGTGGCCTTTAACAGACCCATGCTTTAGTGTATAGAGCCACTCTGAATAGAAGTACTTTGAAAGACCATCAGAATTGTACAGACATGTCAAATTATGGGGAAAATTAACTTGAGAGACTACTGGCAATACTTGGAACACCAAGAGTGAAGAGATATGAAATGATGAAGTATCTTTCTCCAATACTGTTGGCTGGCCTTGTATCAAGTAGACTGTATTTTGTTGTATCAATAATTATTTTGCCAATCATAATTTGTGTATTTGCTTACTAAAATATAAGTAAACTAAAAGGTGAACCATGTAAAAGAGATTTTCTCTAGAAATCATGAAGTAAAAATTTGATTTTGTGTCATCTTCCTCCTTTGTAAGGAACAGGTTTTCATAACAACTTCATTTTAGTTGCTCTATCATCCATTCAAGTCCCCTGTATCCAGGTTTGACTTGGTTGGAAACTGTCACATGTGCATAGTCTATGACTTGTGGGCTATTGCAAGGGCACAAGACCACGTCACAGCAGCAAATGTTCAACGTGCCATGCTATGACAGTACTTTACAAAGAAGAACCTCTGTGTGGCTAGGAAACTCTGTACAGTTAGAGATAGTGTTGATGGTGATGTACATGTACGTTGTTCCAATGAGTGATTGTGTTTGTGTACATACATTAATGTATACAGTAGTACCACAAGTGGGTTAAATGATTGTCATTGCTGGTATTCGTGTTTTTCTGTGTAATTGTGGCCTTCACTGGACAATAGATCACAGTAGTAGATATACTGGTAGGCACAAGAAATGACGGACAGGAAATCTTTGTGCTTATAGATGATGATGCAAATGAAGATGGTTTTGTCTCTATAACTAGACGTTTCAGTACACTCCATGCATATTAATACACAAATGGTGCAAAACATTCTACTTCATAATATGTGATACTAGTTACCCTTGGGACATGTTGCCCTTGTATGGTCAATACATTTATGCTAGTGCTGGCTAGGTGTCAACCATCTTTTACAAACCAAAGAATGACAAAAAAAAGAAAGAAGAGTTTGAGCCATTCACCAGAAATATTTTTGAAAGCAGCAAGAATGCTTGTCAGTAAAGTAAAGAAGGAAAGGAAATTTAATCAGACAAAAATCTGTATGCTAGCCAATGATTGTGTTGGATTTGCTGTAGACTGAAAGGGTGATAAATTATGTACATGTACATGCATTGTTTTATCAAAATCTGAAAAAAAAGAAACAAAGTGGATATGTTCTTTAAGAGTCATAGATAGTTCACTAAGGGCAGTACAGTTATTTTCTTTCATGTTGAAGATGATGACAAAATTAGCCATGGTCGAGACAAAAGAAATGGATAGATAATGTGAAGCTTGTGACTTTATTCCCGGACACATTTTCCAGCAGCATGAACACGAGAAAAAACATTTTGAAACAGATTTTGTATACAATGATTAACTGCTTTTGTAATATTATCTGATTATTAGAGTTGTTTAAAAATGAGCGCACACCATTCGAATGTCTGCAATGTTTTTGTAGTTATATTATCAACGGTTTGAAACAATCTGAAATATGTGTAATTTATTTCATAGCCTTGTTGAATATGAAAATATTCTTTGCTAGATTTGTAAATAGTTTGACATAACATTATGGCTATGATATGAAGCAAGAAGTTGAAATGCCAACAATGTATGATTTGTGACATCTGTATGTGATGCAATGAGACCTGTTTTGCTGTACTTTTGTTATTTCTGTGGACTTTTGTCAAATGTACAGCTTATGTAATGTGCAAAAATGGCTTTTGTGATGTTATCTATATAATATTCTTACCATGCTGAACGATTCTGTCTTGTGCAGTTTGTAGTTTTGCCTCCAAACTTTATGGTTATGAAAGAAAGTCGGTTGGCTGTCGATCCCTCTGATATGAAAGAACACGTTTGTTTATATTAACATTTGTCTGGCAGTGGTGGATTTGCAAGGCGCGCTTTGGTCAATATGTGAAGGTGTAACCATTTACAAGTTACATGAAGCGTTACATCTGCAAGCAGATGTATTTAGTATGAATAGTTTTTGGCCAGTCGGGTTTTCTGACTGTCCTTCATCAAGGCAACTGTCAGAAAAACCGTCCTAACATCTGCTTTGAGATTAGCCGTAAAAACCAGTATGTCCCGCATATGATTTTCTCCTGACTGGTCCCTCTGGTAGTTGTTGTGATACCTGTAACAGGGATTGTGATCAGGTGTGCGTTTTTCGCGCCAACTGCATGTCGACGTCACCTCACCCGATGCCCGGCTACCCAATCAGCTGGCCCGACAACACCCAGGCCACACCCCCGAGGAAAGTGTTTGTCAAAATTCAAATCGTCCAGCTGGGCCTCTCCCATCCCTGAGTGGGGGGTTCAGTGACCCAATCTGCAGGACGCCCGAGTCTTGTCGTAAACATCTGAGAAGGATGCACGTTTGGAACGACACTAGCATCGCCATATGGGGATAACAACCAACTGAAAGCAACAGTTGTGAGCAGAAGTAACTGCATACCCGTTTCAAAGGTAAGACTTCTTGCGAACATGTTTGGTTTGAACCTTTTTTCTGTCAGGGAAACGGCAAATTGCTAATACTGGACAG